ATGATTCTATATAGCTTTATATACTAATAGTAGCTAATTCTGAGTCAGGTTTCATTGGGTTCTGATGTCAATATTCACTACCAAGTTTAGAGTCTGGATATTACAATGTGAAATATGAATGTGAAATGATAATGATGAAAATGAAATTAATAGGTAATGGAAAGTGGATGAAGTCTGGTGGGTTTTAGTGATTGAATCCATGGTTGGTTGAGATGACATGGAGGCCAGTGGCATGTGCATAACACCAGCCATTTCAAGGTCTTCTCTCATTCTGCTGCCTATAGTCCTCCTATCAGCTTCTCATTTAATTTTCTGATTCTGGTTCAGTGGATCCAGTTTCTGAGTATGATAGTGGCTTCTTCCATAAGGTGTGCACTCCTTACAGCTCACCAAGTCCATTTGGTACTGAATAGTTTTAGCCAACTGAAGAAAATCTCTCCCCCTATTCAGCCTGTAGGCAGTTGAATCTTAGGTTTCTGTGATTCTTTCAGTGTGTTGGTAGTAGAGGAGACTCAGAGTATATTTGAATGCTCATAAATAGTTCTACCTACAGAAAGCATATGAGTCTGTCCCACAGCTACTTGTAACACACCAATAAGTCCTTTGGCCAAGCCAGTGGAATCACTTGCTAGTCAGCCTCATTTTTTACCTTCTCAATCTTGGTCTCCCTCTCAAGATCCTCAAGTCCATCAGCCTCCTTCTGCAATTTAGCAATCTGTGCTCATATGTCCTCCCAGGTCTGTTTCTTCTTTGGACAGTCTCATGATAGATGACTCTCCTGTCTATAGTTGAAGCACTTTCCCTCCTTCTTGAGATAGTCTATGTTCATTGGTTTTCCACTACCAGTGTAAGTTATTCCTGTCTCTGTCTTCTGCACAGTGTAGGATGGGGTCATGATGCCAGCTTTCATCAATGAGGTCCCAGTCTTTCCATTAGTGGCTGGAGTAGGCTTCTTCTGCTTGATTGTGATCTCTGCACTAGCCACCTTCTGCTGCAGCCTTTCTTTATTCATTTCAGTTATCCTGTCTTTCCACATGTTATAACCCTTTGGGATGTTGGTGCTTATATCAGAAATCATTTTGATATAAGACAGGGGCACCCTCATCTTTAGATACTTGACCATATGTCTCTTATCTTCTATGCTATTCTGCACTCTGGCCAAGGTTCTGAGATGTTCTAATTCATCAAAATACTCACTGGCAATCTTGTCACCTATATGAAGTTCCTTCATCTTGTTTTTATATATCTCTTAGACTGCAGGATCAATGAATTATCCTAAACCATCTGTTTAAAGATAGACTAGAACAGATAATGATAGTGCTGGCAAGTGATAGAGTGAAAGATGGAGGCAATAAGGATCTATTATTGTTTGGCCTTGCTTTCAAAATATGATACAGCAAAGACCACTTTGTTTATATCAGCACCAAGGTATGTGATATAAACCTTGAAATACTGCTCACAATCAATCAGAAAGTGATTGATATTATCCAAGGCATCTTTAAACAGTCTAGAGGTTCAGAGGAGATTGGACTTGCATTGCAGCATTGCAGCATTCTGGAGTAAGACTCTCATCAGGTTGAGGTATTCATTGAAAAGGAGTCATTGCCACTTGGCTGGTGGTCCTGAAAGAGAATGAAGGGAGCTGTCTTCAGTGATAGGACTTTCAGTTGGTAGGTTTTCCTTTTGTATAATGTGCCTGTTTTATATAGTAAATCCAAGGTGTACCACCTTAGGGTCATCTCCACCTTCAGTTGCTTCATCCAGTGGTGGCTGTCCTCTAAAGAGCCAGCTACTTTAGTCTGTCCAAGGGTTTTAGAATCTGACCAGCCATACAGATTCTCAAGAGCTCAGGCATTCAAGCCAGAGTATAGGTCATCATTCCAAGAGCTCAGATCATAAGTATTTGGAACCAGTAGTTCAGCTTGAGAGAGCTGAATATATAGCATATTTAGGTGGGATTGGCAAAGTGTTTAGCATGAGTTGAACCTTATACTCATAGCCCAGCAGGTCTTTGAGCTGATTTTTGGGATGCATCCTGTTGTAAATGTAAATAGCTCAGTCAGTGATAGTATACTATAAAATATATCATTTTTTATTATTATCTGTGACTGTATACTTTCTTCCTAAAGGAGTCATTAGCTAGCTAATATCCTGCTATAGCTTTGCTACTCCTTCTTGATATAATTCCTTGAACTCTCCTTTCTGACTCCTACAGATTTTTTCTTCAAGCACTTCTTCAATGGTGTCTCTATACTATAGCTAGGGGTCAATTTCTTCCAGAACATCCTTCTTGTCCTTGTTGTCTCTCTTATCTTCTTTGTCTGTCTCACTCCCCTCAAAGAAGTCAGCAGGCAGATCATAGATAGATGGCTCAGAAGCTCTGATTATTGCTGGGGAGCTCCCTATCTATTTGAAATCTGATTCTGCTGCTGGGGGTTCTAATAGAAGGCTGTCATTGGGGTTGAGAGGGCCCAGTCTCATTGCCTGCCTCTTGTGTTCTTTGTTCCTCCACTGCATGGCTATATCTGCAAAAGTCCCTATAAATTTGCTTGTTGAGAAAGAGAGCAGCAATATACTCATATAGGAATCATCAGAGGGCCTGGTCAGAGATTCTAGCTTCTGAGAGTACTCAAATATCATACCTCCCAAGGATGGAGCTAGCATTGAAGGAAAGGGTATTAGTACTCTTGGTGTAACTGGGTGGAGGAGATTCTGCAACTTTGATTTATTGGGCTTTCTTGGCACTGATCTCTTCAGCAGGCCTGCTCTAGAGGTCATCTTTATCATCTGATCTCTAAGCATGAGAGCTATCATCTTCACTTTCTGTGTATAATCCATAGTGCTCAGATGAGGCCAAGCCCCACTCTGCTGCCTATATCTCTCACTGCTCTCATCTGTATTGTGCATCATAGTAATCTTCATTGGCCTCCTGCTGCTAATAGTCAAGCTCTTCTTCAAGCTGGTCAAAGTATCCTTCTCTTTTTATTTGCTTGACATCTCAGTGTGTGCTGTAGTCAAAGCCTGATAAGTAGAGGTCACTGAGGGTTAAAGGAAGGGGACTAAGGGCAGAGGGTATGAGGCTTTCTCAAGAGGTGATATATCTGGACCTCCTTCCTTCAATTTTCTGAACATCATCAATAGAGTCTCTGACATGGTCTCCAATGCTGGGCTCAGAGAGAGTAGTGGAAGGGTCAGAGGATGGCAACTCCTCAAAAAAGTTGTTAGAGAGGTTCTCATCTTCATGGTTTGAGACTGAAGAGAAGTTTGGCAGAATCCAAGGATTTCTGAATCTCATGTCTCAATGCTCATTATGTCCACTAGCTGTTTGAGGGGATCTATCTGGTTGTTGGGGTTCTTCCTCTTCTATAGTGTGCCTTTCATTTGAGTGACTAGGCCTGGCTTCAGATACAGTTCTGAATGCAGGCTGGAAGAAAGTTCAGGCAGAGAGAGATGTCATAGAGGGGGAGATCAGACATGACATTTCAGAGAATATGTTGTATCTGCTGGAAAGAATGGTAGTGCCTGACTATTCAAGCTGTGATTGATTGATGTCCATGGCAAAGTTGAATAATAACAAGTAAGCCTAAAAGTGTTCTGATGATAAAAGCTAGAAACTTAAAGAGATCATTGGTAAGGTCAGGGGTGGATGTGTTTGATGGTGGTATTTGGTTTTCTTTGCTCTCAGTTGGCATAAGGAAAGGAAAGCAGAAGTCTTAAGCTAATTGTTAGATCCAAGTGACATATGACTACAAACACATAATAAACAAGCACTGTATCAAGTTCATACAGTCATGCTCAAGTCCACTAAATATGTTTAGTAGTGTTATGTCTCAAGGTCAATACAAGTTGACTTGAGATAAAGTGGTAGAATAAAGAATAGCTTGAGGCTAGAGATACATGATGTCAGTTATACTACTTATATACTATTTGCCTCATAGATAAATATAGTCCTACTAATTGTGCATGCTCAAGCTATAATGCTTATTGTCCTGGAGTGTTGTGGTTACCTACAAAAGGGGTGTTGTCCTGCTGTTGAGGCATTGCTACATGTCAAGAAACAATAGTCAATTGTGCTGACTAAGGTTGTCTCATAATCTTAAGCACTCATCTAGATGCCTTGACTAAGCATAAATAGAGGTAAAAGAAAGAAAAAGAGGTAAGAATTGTAACAGCAAATAGACAAATGCTAGAGCTCATCAGACTTTAACTCAGAATTAGCTACCTCCAGTATATAAACCATATATAATCATAGTAGATACTCAGTTTGAATGTCAACTTGGTTCAGCCCAATACTTTATCCCCACCTCTCCTCATCTTAAGTCTGATGGATTCCACTCTATTTAGATTATCTTAACCCTTCACCAAACTCCACTCTCTCTGCAGACTCTGCTTTGCATCCAAATCCTTTGGACTTCAACTCAAGGGTGACATTTGCTAATAGCTTCATCTAGCCCACATACTCTGCTGGCCTTCATGTGTGCAATTCAAAGTCCATCTATTGGTGTATTTCTAACAACATCTACAAGTACATTCTCATGTTTGATCTTAAACTTGAAATTCTTTTTAATGCTTGCTTCTGATGATCTACACTAGACAAAAGTCAATGTATTTTTATTCACAAATACATAAAAAATATGTAAAGTTTTTTTATAGTTTTTTTGCTGAAAAAAAGTACAGAAAATATTTTCAAACCTTTATCATGTTATGCAAAATTTGCAAAATACAGTGAAAAGTTATAAATATTTCTGAAAATTTACTTAAATGAACTTTGAATATTTTCTATGTATTTAGGAGTAAAAATACATACAGAGCAAGCAAACCAAATTGGATATTTGAATTCTCACTATCTGTCTCTTTGGATGAGAAGATATCTCTGAATCACTTTTAACCACATCAGCCTTGATGTATTACTTGCTTGGCCTAAGCACCTGTCGAGATCCCCCATTTGCACTAGCCGTGGATTGTTGTGCAAAACCGCTATAACATGTGATGGTAAAAATGCCCAATGAAGAGATTTTGCATTTTTATTAACTAATTCCACAATTCCAAGACTACTTCTACATCTCTATACAGGTGCAATGAACGAGTCTAATGCTCCAGCGATAGGAAAGAACGTCACAAAACCTCGTATGTCCTAAAGGACCGAGTCATGTCAAAAGAAGGGATTTTATGAGATGGAGCAAGAATTTGTCTTTCTGCGACAATACCATCTACTTGTCAAGAATTTCGATACCCGAATCACTAGCGGTTGTGTCATTGAATGCAGGTCGCATCTTTGCCAATCCATGAGCATTCTTGTAGAAGATGACATCACCTTCATCTTCAACAAACTAGCAGAAACAACACTCAGTTAGAGAAGCGAAAGTAGCTCTAACTTTCGAGCCTTACCTTGCATTCCTTGTAGACGCGATACACCTCGGCCCAGCCACCAGGGCGGCCATCCAATCGGGTGTGTCCGTTTGCTCGAAGCTTCTTCTTGAGCGCAGCGCTCGCTTCCCAACTGAATTCCGGGACCGTCAATCATTATGCATCAATATCATTCATGGATAACTCACGCGCTGTAATGGGGTATTTTGCTTGCGACGTGATGAAGAATATGTGTCTCCGAGATGCCGTGCGTGGCATGAGCACCGATCCAACCCATGACACTGCCCAAATCACCGAGCAGGCTGCGATCTAGGGTAGCTAGAGCACCCCTGGGGAAGGTGAACTCAGGCGCTCGGTAGTGGGGAAGAAGAGGATCGGTGTGTTGGAGGAAAGTGATCAAGACAAGCCAATGGTTGACCCTGTACCGAATCTATCAGTGGCGTTGACACTACAGAATGAAAAGATCCAAACCAGATGTACGGTACGAGATAAAGACGGAAAACGGTTGGCAGACCCCAGTGACGAATTGAAAAACCGAGAGCACACAGCCAAAGACCAATGCCAATATTCGACCAGATAATCTGGTTGTAATGGTGAGAACCGAACATCGGGGCATTGGGGTTGAAGTCTATTTACGCATATGGATTAGCTGATCCTGGATAGAGATTGTAACACGACATACGGTTCGTTGTACCCTTGGGATACCTTTTTTGACCAGAAGCATTTTTAATCAGATAAAACCACCAACCGCCGAGCTGATCGAACACGTAAATGAAAGCTGACATCTGAAAACACCGGGATGCTTACCAAGTAGCTACCTGCACCAATCAAGGCTCCGATGGGAGAATCTCCCAGTGCTTCCCACATCTCCCGCTTAACCTCCTCCGTCACCCTGGAACCAAGCAAGTCCTCCTTAGTACAGTCGAAAGGCTTAAGACCTACTTCCGAACGCGTGGCAGGGACGAAAACCTGATCCTGGGTCATATGGCCAGTGGATGCGTGGTGCTTAGCATGGGTGATCCGCCACGCTTGGTACGGAACACCAAGTCTGATGAAGCGGAACAACAAGCCAAGTCAGAAAAAGAAGTTCAGGGGCTAATACCACGTGGCCAGAGATTTTTTTCCTCCATTTGAGGAAGGACTTTGACACCGGACTTTGACAAACAGTGGACTCACCCTGAATGAAGGACCCAACCAACCGCCGTGTTAATCGCCTTGGAGTCGGAGAATGCTTGGTGCCCGCACTCGTGCGCAATGACCCAGAGACCGGTAGCGAAGAGACCCGTCCAAAAGCTATACAACGCCCAGAGAGAGAAACGTGCGAGCGGATAGAGAGCAGGATGGGGCAACGTAATGGCGTCCACATTGATAAACGTGTCCGCGTATGTTGCTAGCGTGTAGAAGGCTGCAATAACGACCAAGTCCCAGACACTGGATGGCTATGTTAGCTACACCGAACCAAGGACGCCGACAGAAACGCACATGTACAGAGACGACCTCAGCGCCGACCGCTTGTGGCAATGGGCGCTGTAATCGTCCAATGAGCATCATAATTATAAGGCGGTTTTGACACGACAACTCACGGAATTGCACTGAGTAAATCCTTCACCGTGAAGTCGGGCACCACGAAGGTCTCCTGTTCAACGACAGTATCTGCAGCGTCAGGCGTCATGGCTGTCGATAGAAAAAGCCTCGCTCTAATCTTGAGGCGCAGGAAAGGCAATCTAGAAGGAAGGGAACAAACGGAAAGATGGTAAAGGGAGAAAGACAGGAGCCTTTTATTTTTGTTGGGGTTTCTTATGGGTATACGGCGGAATTCCGGGTGTTGCCGGCGAAATTTTAGTATTATAGGGCCCTGCAAAAGATATTTGGCCCGGCCAACCCAGAAAGCTCCATTTCCCATCATCTTACACACTTTACAATAAAATGGTACGATAAATATATTGTTCATCGAATGACTCTAAGTTGCTCTGCTAGCCCTTCCAAAAATGCAAAGCCATCCTATCAGCGAAGTCATGAGATATGGCGACACGAAAAAAAAAATAATGAAATGCGTACCTTTGTCACAGTCCGACCGTTGCTGCGGTTCGTAACTCTACCAAAGTCTTCTACCATAGCAGCGAGCTGCTTGTTGCTAGAAACTACGCTCACTTCACGGCGTAGCCTCGCCACAACTCCCAGTTTCGCAAGCATGGGCTCTCGTTTTTGCTGGACGTTTTGCGACTTTGATCTTGATGTCCTTCAATAGAAACGTCCGGATTAGACGTTGATCAATACCGCGAATGATGTGGTCAATGTGGTGGCGCATACCTTAATGGTGTCGCGTCAAAAACAGATGGATCCTCGAGCTGCTTGTACAACGCGTCAAGGAATGCGAAACCTTCTTTGGTTAGACTTCGGGAAGTATAGGATTTGAGAACACGCGAGAACTCGGAGACAATATCGGATAATGTCGCGTTATCAATAGCGGCCAAGGCTCTCTTCGTAAGTTTGTTCAGTTTCTGCGCTTTTGGCGTGGCAAGGTTGGCGGTGTCACCCTCCGAGTCACTGCTGATGACAATACAATGATCAGGCTCAGGTCTATGAACTTCGTGTCTGGCCTTTTGAATGGCATTGTCAATGTTGCGTCTGTCACCAAGAACGACGCGGTCTCCAAGGTTGAGGTTGCCCAAGCCGTTCAATATCTGCTCCATCTCTTCTGGTGCTGGGGCGGTACTACGGCGAGGAGCGCGAACGACCCTAGGGGCCGGAGGCTACGATAGTTGGTGCCGGTCAGCTGTGTTCATCAAGATCGCAGTTGTGCATGCTCACCGGCCATATGAAATCATCACTCGATGGGAAACCTTCTGCAATAGCGAGCTCCCTGAATTCGTTTATCCACCGTCCATAATCAGGACAGTCCATAAATTTTAACCGTCGACAATATCTCAAAAATTCTTCGAATTCTGAGGGTATCCCTTGACAGAGGTCTTCAGGACGGGCGCTCCTTTTCATTTTCTTCAATTGCTCATGGGCGTCATCTGTCTTCGGAACGCCATTACGTGTCCAAGGCAGGCCGCGAGGGGTGACCAAGTGAATTAACATCAAAGCGGCAGCTTCCATGTCGTCGCGGCGCGACGGCACTAGAAATACTTCAATGTCAGGTCAGAAGGATGATGAATCATTGGCTGACCCTTTCCACGGCAATGAACACCGACAGAACTGCTCACAAAGGTAAATGGAAGGAACGCCGAACACAGTGGTGCTTCCGCACCTAAACCAATAATTGCCGATGAAATCTCGCTTTTCTTTGCTTTCAGGTATATGCCGGTGGGTACGTGGATCAATATAACGTTTCGAGAAACCAAAATCAATCATGTAGATCGTCTTCTCATGAGGCGGAAGGCCGATAGTGCAGTTGGCTAGCTGGATATCTCGATGCAGAATGCCTCGGGAATGCATGAAATCTAGTCTTGCTATCTGGATATATTTATGATGGTGAGTATAGCTGGGGAATAGTCCCGACATACCACTTGCATGGCGATGCAACAGACACTCCTCAGGTCCATGGTTTCCTTCCCACTCTTACGATACAAACTATCCAGACTGGATCCGAGGAGATCGATGGCAAGGTAGTCCCACTTTCCTTCTACACCGGCCGCCCAAAGAGTAGGCATGCCCTTTCCGCCTTGCAACGAAGGGTAGAAATGCCGTTCGTATCGGTTAGTTGGACACTCATGATTCACGTCCTGGATCTTCAAGGCGACAACCTCGCCATTGTGAATGTTCTGGGCGCGCCAAATTGAGCCTATGTCCATAGTTATATACATGTAAAAGGTTTTAGATACCTTGCAACACACCTGAATAGCCCGACCCGAGATTCTCACCCAACCACCAATTCCCGATGATATTAGGTGGACGTGCAGCCATTTGTGAAATTAAATTCGCGTCTCAGTGGTTGTCGTTCGCCTTATGATGGACTTGGATAGACAAATGATTTGTACAGATATCCGTGCCGCTGCGAGGGGCTTACAGTCAGTAATTCCCTTGAACTTTACGAAAAACGTCAGAATAGTCGTAGTACCGGTCAGCACAAGAGAAAGAGCGCGCGGTAGCGTTAGGATGTGGGTAGCAGATGAATGATTATGGTGGTGGTGGTGGTGGTTTGATTCCGAGTTTGAGTTGGACGCGTAGTCACGTGGTGGCACGCGTCCAAACATGTGGCTGTGTCATTTCAACTTGCAAGTTGTGGCCATGGATCAACATTGAACAACATGATGCAATAATACTTGATAGCTCTGCAATGAGAATTTCAAGCCGAGTCCCTTATAATTTCGTACAATATAGTTATTCGTTGGGCAGCCCGAGTTGATGAGCACATTCGTCAAATGCTTACGAGTATGCTGCGCCAAGTGTAGTCTGAGTCTGGATTGAACGTGCGCTTCGGAGGCTACGTTGACTTTTTCTTACGTTAGGCAGTACCGGTCTGGTCTACGTCGTTTAATGTATGTCTCCGACTATCTCTGCTGCTTCAATGTTCTAACTATCATACCGCCCCGTCTAGGTGCTCGGGACCCTTCCGAGGCCCATCGGGCTTTGATTGGTGGAACAGGGACCGTGTGCATCGTTGTCGGATTAATGTTGGTGCCAGGCAGGCCTCTTGTAGTTATCTGAGAAGCAACGAGTAACATTATTTCTATGTATGCATCGCTACGCCCATGGGTCTCGAACGATGGAGGCCTGACCTTTTGCTTACCACATTCAATTGTCGTCACCAATCGTCACAGCCGAGACCAATAATCGTCACCGAGCCTTGCTTCGGTTCTTCGCGTTCTATTTAGCCCGGATCCGTATATAATCTCGAGACAGACCTCTCTTCATTGTCATTCTTTCTCTCAATTATACCACCATGTCCTCTTCGACAGATGCTGCTATCCAGGCCGAGGTCAACCGCCTCAAGCTCGAGCTCCAAGCTCTCAAGGTCGAGGATGGTGTAGAACACATCTACGTTGGACAGTACCTGCTTGCCAGGTTGCAGCAGCTGGGCGTCACGGTCGGTTCGCTATTTTCCTTATCGTAGCATCGCTTATCTTGCGATACAGTCCATGTTCGGCCTCCCTGGAGACTTCAACCTGGGCTTCTTGGTGAGACCCGTATTTCGCTTGATCTCTTCGGTATACAGACCATGCGGTATTTAGGACCTGGTAGAGGATCACCCCACCATCGATTGGGTTGGCAACTGGTACACATCTTCTCATTTAAATAGTGAATGAGCGCCTGACCTGACCTATTCTGATAGTAATGAACTAAACGCGGCCTATGCCGCAGACGGATTCGCCCGCGTGAAAGAGCAGAGTATCGGTGTCATATTGACGACGTGAGGATTCTATTGCCGCTATCGCGACGCGCCGTTTCCAATATCATATTTATAGGTTTGGTGTTGGAGAGCTATCGGCAACTAATGGCATCGCAGGAGGTACGCTCTCTGTCTGCTACGGCGGTCTTGAGTGCCTCTCCTTACCTCTATGCAGCTTTCTCCGAGATGGTTCCCGTTCTTCATATTGCAGGCGTCCCCAGCACTGTCCAGCAGAAGACCAAACCCATGCTTCATCACACCCTCGGTGATGGCAGGCAAGTTTCTTGATTCCTTTGATTGTCATGTGGTCAACCCCACCTAGGTATGACGCATATATGAAGGTTGCTGAGCAGTTCAGTGTAGCCCATGCATACCTTACCAATCCGGCCACCGCAGCGGTTGAAATTGATCGCCTCCTCACTGAATGTATGACAAAGGTAGTACCACAGCGATATGTCTTCCGCCCTGAAATCTTACCTAGCCGTTATTCAGGCCCGTCCTGTTTACCTGACCCTGCCTACGGATATCGTCTACGACAAAATATCGTCAGCGCGTCTTAAAATACCTCTGTCCGGTATTCCTCCACCGAACGAGCCAGAAGCCGAGGCATTTGTCTTGGACAAAATTGAGCAACTCGTGAAGGAGGCGGAGGGCCATGTGGTTGTTCTCCTCGATGCGTGTGTTGTTAGACACCACGCACGCAAGGAGACAAAGGAGCTGATTAGGAAGACTGGATTCCCAGTTTACGCTGCACCCATGGGAAAGACGGCTGTGAACGAGAGTTGGGAACGTTTCGGGGGCGTGAGTATCCTCTCGCCTCTGAAGATGCCGTGCATTTACTGACTTCGCGACGTAGATTTACGTTGGATCGATCAGTCACCCCGAGATTAAGGAGAAGATCGAGTCGGCAAAGCTCATTTTATCTCTTGGCAGCTTGAAGAGTGACTATAACAGTGGCAATTTCACTTATAGTATCCCAACTGCGCGCACTGTTGAGGTATATGTTTTTTTCGCGTCTGGCTATATGTGTCGTTTATCCTTCGTGTAGTTACACTCCTCTTGGACCAAAGTCCAGTATTCCGACTATGCGGGTATCGGCATGAAAGACCTGCTCCCGAAGTTGACCAGCAGACTGCAGTCCTATCAGAGTGTAGCACTCAAGTACGATGTTCCGCGTTTCCATGCTGTCGTACCTCAGGAAGACGACGGCGTCATCTCCCAATCTTGGCTTTGGCCCACAATGGCCAAATTCTTCAAGCCAAAGGATGTTATTGTCGCAGAGACTGGTAAGTATAACTTTCTGACTGTATTCTGAGCTCAATTTTCGTTCGCAGGGACTTCAAATTTCGGTATCTTGGATGTGCCATTGCCTGATGATTCGATTCTGCTGAACCAGATCTTCTGGGGAAGTATCGGTTGGTCTGTTGGTGAGTATCAAATCATTTCCTATTTTTTCCCCAATATATTCATGCCATCGCAGGAAGCTGCCTTGGGGCTGCCTTAGCTGCGAAGGATAGGGATCTAGGTCGTGTCGTTCTCTTTGTCGGTGACGGTAGTCTGTGAGTAGTTTTCTGATTCTGTCCAGACTAATCATTAACTGTAATCTCCTAGTCAACTCACTGCGCAAGAGCTGTCGACTATGATTCGCAAAGACCTCAAGCCCATCATCTTTGTCTTGAACAACAGTGGCTATACCATCGAACGGTACATCCATGGTCAAACTCGGTGCGTACTTTTTCTTTCCTCTGCTGTGCGTAACCTAAGCAGACAATCCCAGAAAATACAATGACATTACGAACTGGAAATGGACGTCACTTCTCGAAACTTTCGGTGACCTTGATGGCACGCGCTCAAAGTCCTATACCGTCAACAATAAGGAGGAGTTAACGAATCTCCTGGACGATTCCGAGTTTGCCAGTGCCAGCAAGATCCAACTCGTTGAGATCCTGATGCCTATGCATGATGCTCCTCGAGCATTGAAAGTGCAAGCCGAATTGAGCGGCAAGACTAACGCTTACACCAAGTAAAGGATGAACTATATCTTTCTTTCATGATAGACCCTGTTTTAGACGATGACTGGCCTACCTCACTTGGTTGTACTTTTGGTTATTAGATATTTCATTGAATCAATGGCAATGCTTTCGTATGGGAATTTCATGTACTACGTCGAATCGTATTCAAAAGTTTGCACAGGCCGGCGGACAATTTCATCAGCAATGCTCTCCGATGAGGAACCCTCCTCCTTGTTACGTGTTACACTCTTTGTTTCCAACTTTTCGAGAGACGAAACGCGCCCAGGTTAACGCATTACATCTCATTTATACATGTGTATACGATAGTATGTCCTACTTACTCACACCATACTACATATTCGACTTAGACGGAGCTTCAGATCCAAAGATCTCCTTTAAGAAAGCATCATAGTCGGGCGCCCTACCCAAAAAGTCCTGATAGAAATCGTTACTCAACATCCATTAAATCGAGACGTCGGGTCGCAACAAACCTGCAAAGAGTCGAGCTCCTCTCGGCCTCCACCAGCACGTAATATCTTGTCACGGTAGCGTTTGCCCCGTGCAGGATCAAGGGGGTCAGCTTTGAATATAGTAGCTGCAATGAGAGTCCAGAGTGGGTACACGAGGCATCTAAATCATGATGATCACGCACCATACATGTCCGCTGCGAATACCAACGAGTACGTGTACCTAGTGATACATCAATAACGCTTTTATCCTCAGAGAGTAAATGAATGCCCTACCCGTAGTAACCCGCATCGTAGCCCCCCGTAATGTGCCCGAAAGTGCCTAGATCACGCTCAGCCGAAGTGAGGCAAAGCTAAACTTGCGTACAATGTACCTTGTCCAGGGCATGGTTTACCGGCTTTGACTAGCGAGATGGACTCCCTGAGTTCGTTCCAGAGATCAGTATAGTCCGCATCCTCTGATCATCGCAAAAGCTAAGTCTGAGGTTCAAACATTGCAATGAGCAAACCCACCTTGATCCGTGTGTACTTTGATGTCGAATTTGGCGAAGAAAAGCTGTCGGAGGTAGAATAGGCCAACGTTGACGTACCGGCTTGTCACGGATATTAGCCGACCCTCAGGGGAACTGTACGCAGGATATATCAGACCTTTTGATGAGTTTGTCAATAAGCTCAGACGACAGAGGTTGGCTGGTCTCATAATGACTGGACATCTTTTGCAGAACCTTTGGCTCCCAGCACCAGTTCTCCAACATCTGAGAAGGGGCCTCAACGAAATCCCGCGCCACGCTACGGAGAGTTCAGTTTCTGCATAACGTTAAGGAGGGGAGGACCGACCTAGTGCCATGGAACCTCGAGAATTTGGTTCGGCTCAGCAACCCGTGGAAGACATGCCCCATCTCGTGGAAGAAAGTGACAACGTCGTCATGCCTCATGATTGCGGGCTTATCCGGTGTCGGTTTTGCAAGGTTAGCGACCATCGCGGCGAGGGGGTACTTTCGTGATCCATCGGGAAGGTCATAACCCGGTAACAGAGGCCACACGGCTGCATGCGAATATTTGGAGGCTGTCAAACGTGAATTTTAGGGTGTTTTACAGCTACTGCACACATACCACGCGGGAAAAGATCAAGGTAGCAATACCCTACAAAATCAGACTCGTCTTTAGCATTCTTTTCCCAGACAGCAAACTGCTGGACATCTGATAGATCGTCAGTCTGCTGTCCAGGAAAGAAAGATGGATTTTACCAGGATGCCAAGTTGAACCGCCTTTGATTTCTTCAAATCGAACACCCAACAGGTTCTGGTAGATAGAAAGGATGGTTGGGATGACAACGGAAACTGGGAAATACTCCTTGATAAGAGAATCATCGAGGTCGAGAGTCTTTTCGATGAACTTTCGGTCATAGTATCTATAGTCCCAAACATAAAACTCTCCGTCAAAGGGAAGACCAGCTTCCTCGTGTTCCTGCTTTTTCAAAGCGAGGAGGGATTCTTTGTCTTTCAATCCGACCGGTCGAAGCTTTTGCTCCAGATCGTCGAGGAACTGTAGAAAGGGTCAGCTTCAAACGTTGATAAACATTTAAATAAACCTTTTGTGCTCCATCTGCGCTTTTGACCATCTTCACTTCGGTGACGTAGTCGGCCCAGGTCTGGTAGCCCAGGAGCGAGGCAATCTTACGACGGAGCTCTAGTGCCTTGGTCAGGAGAGGTACATTAATCGAGAGCCGTGATTCGTGGCCTTCTTGAGCTCGTTGACGCGTCGTTGGGTTCTTAGCATATTTGAACTAAAGGAATACACGTCAAGTCGCGTTTGTACGGGTACACCTAAACATACGATGGGGAAGATATCGGGGGTCTTGTAAGTGACATCGTAGACCTCCTTTGAACCTTCCGAACGCTTGGTATATCCAGAAATCACATCTGAAGGTACGCCATCAAGCTCCTCGAGAGTGAACGAGATGACACCCTGTGAAGAAGTCAGGATAAGTGTGAAGAGATAGAAAGACGTACATTCTCCTCATTGAAATTTTTCTGGATAATTCAATGAGTAAAGGCATCAAAGGATGACGCGAGCAACTTACGCTGAAATCCAAGCAAACCTTGGATAGCTCCTTCTTGAGGTCCATGAGTTCGGCTCTCTCTTTGTCGGGTAAAGCCAGACCAGCACGCGTTCCTTCCAGTACCTAGAACACATAAGAGTATAGCATTTTGACGGAACAGGATAACAAACCATCTTCTCTACGAGCCGCTGTTCCTCCGGAGACAACTTGTCCCAGGCACCAGATTCCTTGATATTTTTCTCTGCGGCGACTTTAGCGCGAAACACGTCCAGACGCATGGAAGCATCGACGCCGTATTCGCGCACGAGAGCATCGGCATCATTTGAGGCGTCCCGAAGCTCTTTGGACGGCGAGACATTCTGGTAGAAAGAGAGAGGTTCTATGACAATGTCGAATGCGGTCTCTGCCTCAGCAAGGGGTAGCTACATGACATCAATAGGTCGAACTCATTCGAACAAAGGATGATCCTTACAAAAACCTAAGTAAGGTTCAGATATCGGAAGTAGGCTCCAGACTAGTAACTACGCACCGATTTGAAATCAGAGTCCTGGGCTGCCAGACTGCCAATCTTATCGAGTGCTGTACGATCCTTTTCGATAGCCTGCTTGGTGATGCTCAGTATCTGCTCTGGGGTATGGTCCCATGAAGGGGGCGCCTGAGGAGGAGTGAGAGACATCGATGAAGTGAATGCGGTAGAGAAGGGAGAAGTGCTGTATAACCTAATGAGAGTGTTCAGCGTGACCCTCCGGGAATCTCCACCACCTGATCGATAGCTGGTGGCGACGAGCCCAACGGCGAGTGCTCCTCCCCATCCCAGCGTCCGTTTTGATTTCTGAGGTGCTCGCAGGAGTCGAGAACATAGACCGAGATGTCGAAGAGACATCCAGAAGAAAGAAAAAACGTCGATCATCCCGGACGGCAGTTTATCTTATCAGGGAATTTCAGTCATCTCCATTTCGTTTCTCTCGAAAAATAACATTTGTATGCTGAATGAACAAAACTATCTATAAGAGTGGTGCTTGGCCCAGTTCTTGGTTGATGACTACATAAAAGTCCCCCCAAAAAGAAAAATAAAGGTACGGTTAACCAGCCACCTTAACGTCAGCTGGGCTGTCATCTTCATCGTCGACATCGTCTTCCCCATCTGCCTCTTCTTCTACGTCATGCACCGACTCGTGTCCCGAGGGATATCTGCCTGAGCCACCCGCAGCATCACGGCGGTCATCATCTCGCTGGATCTCATCACGCATGACTTTCACATCCTGGTCAACCTTGGCTGCAACACGATCAATTCCAGCCTCCGCGAGGGACACATGAGCACGATGCTTGGCAAGATGCGCCGACCGTCTCGGGGGGCGCTTGAGCCGGCGACGAGCAACCTGTACACTCCAAAAAGTGAGAAATCTTTTCAAGACATGAATAATAACGCTGACCATCACCGGTACTGAACATTTCTGATGAAAAGACAAGTTTAAGAGGTAGGAAACAGGTAGTAATCAAAAACACACCTGAATAAGATAATTAGATGTGGACCCGAGAAGAATCCTACAACGTGTTGGTTCAGGATGGATAAAACTACGAATATGGGGAAGGCCTACCCCTTAAGTTGCCCCACTCCACGGGATCCAACAATCATCATTATGGGCTCGACATGGTCAACGATGTCTGAACCACAGTCAGCCCTTCTTCAACAGCTGCCGACGCGTGCCTCACCTAGTAGCATATGTCTAGAGTTCTTCGCATGCCATGCCTGGCATCGTACGGTGACATTCAACTTGGTGCGTTGCAATAAGCTTGTGGCCTGTCGGGCGAGAATATAAGCAAGAGCTTGTCTCTGGAAATGAAGCCATGGGTTAGCGGCCACGATGTATGTTACAACTGATAGCTTGCCTCTTGCTGACTTCTCAATTTAGTAGGGCGGTCAGCCGCATTGGGGATAGCTGGATCCACTGGAGAAAAAAAGACAAAATGATGAGCCATGATAACTGCCCACCACTTCCGCTAAGGATCGACGCACCCTTGCTTTCGCTTTCGACCACCGTGACAATAAGCATTTCATCGCCATCTCGGATAACAGTACCTATACCCCATTCAAGTGCATACCGACTCTCCTCACTCATGTCACTAGCAACCACGTAGCGTTTCGGTGCTCGACCGTCGAGCTTTGCTTCAGGATCGCCTTGGGTGATGGTTATGGTACAACGATCCCTTTGGAACACAGGGCGTGACGTCTGAAGCGGAGGAGGCTCGTGTTTCACTGACTTTCTCCGCTTGGGATTCCGTCTGCCCTTGATAGTACCTCCTGCACTACGTCCATACGAGTTCAGGGTGCTGGGAAAGTACGGTTCGGGAGGTACAACGACATTAACACCTTCTCCAAGAGGATCAGGGTCCACATCTATTTCGTCCCCGCCTATGAAAGTTGTATCTCCTATAGCAGGCTCGATGAAGGCGTTCCGCTCAGTGTTGCGCTCAGTTACACGATCAAACATATCATCGTCACTCCAGTCCTCGTCTTCTGTCTCCCCGTCATCACCAACGGTGTCATCGCCTGAGTCATCGCCATCATTCAGTACGAATGCATTGCGGGGACGAATACTGGAAGCCGAGTCCGACAAGTCAACATCAGAATGGGCAAGAGGGAGGGGCTGCGGAGTTGGTGATGTCTCTCGCTGGCGAAAACGGCGGAAGGAGAACGGGGATTGAGAACGCGCACGGGACTGGCTTCGGGACGGTGGCTCTGAGGCGGCAGGTGTCTGAGAAGCAGACCGCACGTTCATCATCTTGGAAAGGGACCGTCCTCTCTCCTTCTCCTCCTTCTTCTCCTTCTCCTTCTCCTTCTCTTCGGCCATACTGTTCAAACTCGAATTCGTGTTTGTTCGAGTAAGTGATAATGAAGACAGTCCCCCAATCATGGAGCTGAAGCTCATGCGACCGAATGAACCGGGCTTCAAAGAGCTGTCCGTAGTCTTGGGGGATAAATGCACAGGTGGCTGCGCGGAATTCGTTCGTTCTAGGGCGTTGGCAGCGAGCTGGGAGCCCTCATTGTCGAGATGCTGTGATTTGAAAGAAGCCGTCAGTAAGGTTGATGCAGACCATCGGTGTGGCGTAGAAGGACGGGAATGGGGTGGTGTCTCTGCAGCAGGCGTCTCGGAGCCGTCGCCACCGCAAGACGAATTCACAGACGATGCGATGGGTGTCGGTGAAGTTATGGAAAGCTGGGCGCCTTCAGTAGGTACAGGTAGCCCGGCGCTGCTGCCTGGGCGACTGCCCGGAGTGTATTTCGCATACCAGCTACGCCTTTTGCTTTCGGTAGAAGACATACTTTGAGCAGCGGTACCGGTGCCCCGAGTAGATGAAACGCTCAGCCAAGAAATCAGAAAATCAGCTTACCTGTACAAACAACTTCTGGGCCTTGGCAGTGTCCTATAGGATCTTTGTGAGGTAACGCGACTCTTGGCAGATGGTATACGTACACTGGTCATCGATATTGGAGTACCTGGCGCTGGCACCGTCCTGGCTACAGGAAACGGCGGCGAGAATAATGAGTGAAAAAAATGTGGGTTGTCACTGTCTCTGACAAGGTGACGACGCCGTGGTGCGCCAAGCCTAAAATAGTAATAGTAAATTCATTTTTTAACTTATCAAGCTTACACAGCCACTGGTCTCGGCAATGAAGATCCGCCTTCGGACCGTTGCCTTGCGATGAGTAGTATAAAAGTATTGCGCCAAATTACAAAAGCCTCTACAAATGTGCGATAAACAACCCAAACCGTGCTACTTTTGCGTCTCATCACCGGTTGTAACCTCATCTGATTGTGGCTCAACCTGTAATGATTGTGGCCCAGAAGGAGACGACGAAGAGGTAAAGAAATCGACCTGCGAGTCTCCGCTTGTCGGCAGGTGAGGCGGGACAGTTTCGGGTACTGTGCCGCATGTAGCCGGGTACTTGGTCCCATGGGTGGTTTCTTCAACTGGGCCTGTCGCTACCGGCGGAGAATCATCTACTTCCGCTGGCAGTGGGTTCTCTTCTGGTGCAACAGCCTCGAGAACAGCCTCAGCTGACAAGGAACTCCTTGAGGGTGTTTCAACGCCGGAAAGACTTTTTGCGGCAAACTCTTCATAGTTCATTGGTTCACGCCGGATCTCCGTCATCAGCTTTGCCCCCTCTTCACCAGTAGCTTCAATGTCAGCATCGGCATCAGGGCCTCCATGCGCAACGGCTTCATCGAATCTTTCTCCAAGAACATAGATAGGGCGGCTCTTGTCAAGGTCCTTTAATCGTTCTGTCTCTGCACGACCGTTCTTCGCTGCCTGTCGAAGCATAAGAATCATAGCATCGGGCTCCGTAAAGTTTTCCAGGAAAAACTCCGGAGACAATGCCTCTGCAGGATCGGGTGGTTGGCCATTGAAGTTCAGATTCGTCCAGAACTCTGCGATATTCGCAAAGCTTACGCCTTCCGGCAGACAGTGAGCGCGGAACTTGCGGGTAAGAGCTGCTCTGAATTGCGCTCGTGTTTCCGGTTCCTGTTCATCCGCAGTCAACCCGATCGTCCATTGTGTCGTCCCTGGAAAAGTGACATTCAAGGCTATCAGCCTTCCGCAACAACATAAAACTCACAGTCTTCAACATGTGAATATTCAATGGCTTTGCTACTGGACACCTTCCTTGCTGGATCCCCGAGGTAGTGCTTCAACCTGACTACTAGCTGCTTGATCGGAGATTTGTCTTCAGGAGATTCAGACTTCCAGTCTGCAGGTTGAACAAATACGTTCAGGTCGGACGCCACGGTCTCAAAAGTCGCTTTAACCGACTGCATCCAGTTAGCCAATGATAAAAGAAACCTGGACTGAAAAGACGGACCTGTCCTGGGAAACAGTTGACAACCTCTTCTGAGATGGCTTCAAGCAGAGAGACGCATTTGTCGAACACACGGTCGCCTATGCCTTGAATCTGTCCAAAAAGGCAGCTGTCCATCTCTGCCAATGATACATATTGAAAACCGAACATGCGCTCCGTGTTGTGATAGGCCACAAACACGCCGTCCATGTTTCCAATGCGCGCCTGGAAGCTACATGAGGAAGATGGACATGAATAAATCCCATAGTAGAGCAATTGAAATGTTTACCTATACTTGAGGAAGGCCGCACGGGTGAGATCATAATACTCCCTTTCAAAGCTTTCCATGACACCATAATGCTGCTTTATTATGTATCCAGAGTTCTCCTATAGATGGTCGAATCAAAGAAGTGTTGCTAGTATCAGTTGTCATTTATACTAACCTTGAAATTTAAAATGTCCATCCGTATAGGCAAACACGCTCGTGTCTTGATATCAAAGACGCCTGTACCAGGAAGACGAGGATCCTGACAATCCAGTTGAGACCGCATGACAAACGTTTTCGACTGCCATTTCGTCAGTACTTGTCTCGTTGCATTTGAACTTGGATACCAACCTTTGAAAACCGGAAGGCATCTCTAATATTCTCTTCCGTTGTCTCGGCCTCGAAATCTGGTGTTTCCGTACGCATGAAGGTCGGGAACTCCGGTAGCGGAGTGGTTAAGTATTTTTCAAGAAGAGTGCCCTGCCAGAAACGTAGGTAAGTCATTGGAAGAATGTTCTCCGGGTGGCCCTACCATCCAAGTTAAGATATTCTTGTCCGATAGTGTGTCTGCGTGAGAGTCTATAGCGTAGGTGCTATCCCGGTGGTTAAAGACAACAGTTGGAGGCATCCGTTGGCCTGGCGTAAAATTAGTTGGCTACAATCGAGTCAGTTAGACTTTGACAGCTGTGAATGGCGGGCCCACACACCGCATGTTGGAAGTTTTGGCTAAGCGTTTCAATGTTGACGGGCCTATTTCCTGAGATGAGGAAGTATATCTGACACAGCATACCCGACAAAGACGACGTTGATCCGGCGAATTTACGATTTTCGCGATTTGCCAGATTCCAGAGTTCCTAATTAGAAGGAAGTTAGCGCCGACTACAAAATATAGGCTAACACCACATACTTCGTCTCGAGAGCTCTTTGTGAAACCGGGAAGCCGTTCAAAAGCAAAATCGAATACACGAGGTATACTCTCCACACTAGGAGGAAAATTATACACGTGCGACCTAGGATCGCGTAGCCAGTGAACACCAGGGCTGCATGTGTGTTAAAGACTATTCAAAAATTGCGGTGTAAACGACAAACTTGAACAAAACACGGTCCAACCCGTGAGAAAGCCTTGCCACTGGTCTCTGTCGCGCAACAGGCTTTACGTCTAAGGAATAATACCATGAGAAGGAAATTGACTGAACCAATAACCCATACCTTGGAGAACGTGACCTTCTGTCGGGTACAGCATGCCCTCGACCGTGTGAGCGTACGGAAGGATTAGCTTAAGCGGGTTTGGGTCCGCAAACACTCCCTCCGATTCCACAGGCGTATCATCGTGTTTCTCGGCCTTTGCGTTGTTCGGCTTAGTTTCCTTGGCCTTTACCTTGGTAGCAGCCTTAGTCTTGGGGGCCTTCACCTTCACCTTTGTACCCTTTGTCATGCCCTTAGCAGCTGCTTTAGTCGCTTTCGTGAGTGCTTTTGAAGCTTTCGCTTGCGGCTTTTTATTCTCTACGTGTAACTTGACGCTTTTGGGCCTCGACCATATACTCACATCTGATACGTACGACGCAAGCATCTCTGATGACAGGCCTTCGGATGGCCTCAGTTTATCGGCCACGAGCGGTGTTAGCTCTGGCACCTTCAGTTAGAGCACTCCAATGAACTGGTAATGAATATACTCACTATCCTCTCCCCATCCTGTCACAAACTCTTTCTCTGAAAGTCCCGTTTCCTGTGTACGACTTGGCATAGCCGCCATTCTTGTGATAGTCTCTAAAACTCTGATACTCGTTTTAGCATTTTCGGACAGTGCTTCCTGAGACTGAAGTGACATCTGGAAGAATTTCGTCTGAGTCAAGGGCTTGCGCCGGGACATCGTTTTGAGTGAAGATCGACATATTGACGACGGTCCTGGCAGATTTGTGCGGCCCGTATGGAAGAAGGACATGGTACGGGTGCGCTTGAAGCCGGCCAGAGTCGGCAGAAATTTCGGAGGCAAAACGTCGACGTGAAATAAATATTTCGGTGAGAAAAAGCGGCAGCAGGACACTGCCTAGGAAAATAATGGCTGCACAGAGTAGAGAGAACGCGAGTGCTCTTTTGAAAATTGAAACTTCCCAAGACGGGAAATTCCATATCATGTGATGATGTGGTCACAAGCCACGCGACATGTGTCACGCTGTGCGCCCCTTTCTGAAGACTCCGCCTCGTCTCATTCCCTCATCTCATACGCGATGGCAGGATTCTTTGAATCCGTATTGCAATGGTTCATTGGGTGAGCTCTTATTTTTTCACATTTTCTTTCTCTAATCCACCCATTTCAGAATATTCTTCTCCAAGTTAGCTGAAATAGCTGTAATTGGCATCCAGGTCATAACTCTTGACGTTGTTGATGATTCTTGCGTTTACCTTTATGTTACCCAGGCCTCCGGAAAGACGTCCCTTGTAAATGTTATTGGGTCAGGACAGGTGATTTCACAGAATTGATGTATACGTATCCTTCTAATCAGACCGTTCAGTGGAGTGAAGATGTCGTGCCAACTGTCGCATTCAATTTTAGGAAAGTTAGAAAGGGAAACATAACCTTCAAGATATGGGACGTTGCTGGTATGCCTAATTGTCTATGCAGCCGTATAAGTTTTATTCACGGTACCCAGGACAACCCAAATTCCGGTCCATGTGGGTTAGTGCATCAATACTTCTTTCTCGTTACTTCGGATAACGCTACTTCAAGGAACGGTATTGTAATGGAGTTGATGCCATTGTGTATGTCCGTACTTTGGCCATTCACATTGCCACTCTGATTGCGTTCTTCAGTTTCGTTGTCGATTCCGCGGATGTTAGTATTCACTAACTCCCGTAGTGCTGATCCTGTCTTGATCATTCTCGAACAGAAGGAAAAATTTAATAGCGCCCGTTTCGAACTGCATCAGCTACTTGGTCAACCTTCACTCTCCGGGGTCCCTCTGCTAGTGGTCTGTCCTTCTGTGTCTCCACCGAGGCTGGTCAACCTGATCTTCAATCTAATACACAGCTCGGCAACAAGAGTGATATCGAAGGGCATGCTTCTGTGAAAGAACTGATTAAGGAGCTGTAAGTCGACGGCATCTATTCTGCCAGTCACATATCTGTAATCGCTCCCTTTAACCGTTCTCCTAGACAACTAGACAAAATCACCGACAGACCGGTCTCAGTACGTATCTTGCTTTTTTTTGAGATCTTAGTATTGTATTAATTGCTTTTCTAGTGTTACTCGGTATGCTATTCTTTTCTTTTTCCCTACAAACCTAATTCTCGCATCAGTGTTCCATGAAAAGTCAGCACAACCTGTAAGTTTCTGTTCGTCTTCTATGATAGATGTTTGCTAATGTCGCATTCAAAAGTGGTGTTATTATGCAGTGGCTGTCGGAACGAGGCCATTAGCTGTGCTCGTTACGAGCTCTCTTCCCCATCGGTCTTATTAAATAAATTATTGTATCCAGCGTTTTCTGTGCTTAGTTTTCTGTGCATCTTATCGGATCCTGTTACGTCTTCAAACTCTGGATTATGGAATTAATGTCTATCTTCGTTTCGCCATTTGGACCGTCAGGTTGTCGATATACATTTGCAGTGTTTCATTCCCGGAAGTCTGCTTATCGACCTCCTTCTGAACAGTTTGCACCCTGTCATATAATGCTGAAATTCAAATCAGATTGGATATCCTAAGGGGGATGAGGCTACACACTACGAAGGTCGTCCTGCGAGGCTGCAATTTCCCTGAAGTAAACATTAGTCCATAGAAAGACGGCAGATAGAGAATCCTCACTTGAGGAGTTGCTCCTTCCTCAGTGCGTCCTTGACGATGTCGCCGGTCTGAGGCGAAGGGCCCCAACCCACAGTGTCGTCGTACATGGCGGGTAATGGAGGATCGGAGTTTGAAACCTTGCTGACGCGTCGCGTGCAGTGTCCCTTTGTACCTACCACCACCACCACCACCGCCATCAATACCATGGCTGATATTCTTCTCGCTTTCAAAGCCGGCAGGGCTTTCAGAAGAGAAGGAACAAATATGGTCGACTCGGTCGCTGGAAAGGGAGCTATTATGATCACCAATGGAGAGGATGGACTGTTGCATTTCATTTGGAAAAACAGAGTCACTAATGATGTCGAAGAAGTCATTCAGTCTCATCTGAGGTGTAACCTTGTCTAATGTAGACATATAGGACCTCATTCTCTTCCCTTCGGATGCAAGCTTCGTTAAAGCATCCGGACGCACATATGTATTGAAGTTCTCCTCGTCGAATCAGAGGCACTTTGTGAGCTATCTTCTGCTACTTTGCTGGACAAACTCTGAATTTATTACTAGTTCTGGATGCAGGTAATGCCCACCTAATGCAACTATTCGATGGCTTCTCATCGCCCGTAGGATGCTTCTTCAGACAGAGACGACGAGTTCGTGCACAATGTGAATGGCCTTTTGGAGGATCCAGAATTCGTCCCAACGTGGGGATCAACGTCAACATCGTCTCAAGGTGCCTCTTCATCGTACGACTTGCCTCTGTCACCTGCTGTCCTTGTTTTGACGTGATATTAGTTCTGCAGCCTCGCAGTTCCAGGCAACGCCGGAACAACTGGAGCAATTACAGTCGATACTTGCATCAATGACGGGAGGGGTAGGTGATGCTCAATCTCGCGTCCCGGGTGCGTCTGGTAACTTGGCGATGAATCTGCCTGATGTATGACCATTTTCTGCAGAGATGTCTCTCTCTGACATCCTTACGCCTGAGACCATCACCCCGTTATTCACCACTCATCCTTCGCTCATACCGGCACTTTTCCCTCACCTGCCGCCTGATCTTCCAACGCCTCCTACGCCAGAAGCCGTGCAACGCGTGATTACGTATGTTCATTTGCTCAACTTCATGAAACCGAAGTAAATGTGCCCTCTTCAGCTCGCCACAATTCCGAGCTGCTGTTTCGAACTTCGATCAAGCATTGAGAACGGGTCTTTTGGGTGGGCTTGTAAGAGGACTTGGGTTACCGGAGGAAGCAGGTACAGGAATCGGCCCTTTTTTGCGAGCTGTGCAAGAACAGGCGGATAACGAGGAGCTAGCAGGAGCGGACCAGATGGATACAGATTAAAGTATATGCATACTGCATATTTTATAAATTCTCTTCACGCAGCGTCAGTATGACCGAACGCGAGATAAGTGCACAGATGGTAAGCTACTCTTTGTCACCATACGCATTTTTCACTGCCTGATGATTTCCGTTCTCGTTCCGAATGTATCATTATTCCTTTGGGCGGAAAGGGCGGCCCGACGAGACCGCCCTTTCAACGCATACCTATATGTTGATGCGGAGCAGGGTTCATGAAGAACTCTATGGCAAACCTTAAAACGATGTTTTATACCATTTGTCGTATGATCCCAAGATCAAATTCAACGCTAGTTTACGCCATTCTTAGAGATAGGCTCAGGAGCCAGCCCCGAATACACTGTCCTGTGCAGCGCTGTCCAAAATGATTAGACAATACAGATAACCCGAGAAATTTGAGGCCTGTAACGTAAAGGTTTTATGAAACGGATCGTATTCTCCCTTCATATCCTGTTCATTGTCGGTAGCTGATAATAACCAGATAGATACATTAGTACGCTTCCTTTCCCCGGAAAGGAGATCTGTTGAGCCTATGTGTTAGTGAATGCTTCTTGAGAGTTAAACTAATTCTCGACCCTTCCCGAGGTAAATGATATTGAGATATGACGCTTCTTTCTGGGGGATCATCAGACGAGAGTTTAGCAGTTTGTTTGCACTGCGGTTTGCGAAACAATGATACCACGGGACTTGCTGCGTGTCAACGATCCCTTAAATTATGGATGCAGAGGCCACGGGCTGCAGACCGTACAAGCATTATCATGGTAAGTTTTCCTGTATTCTGTACACCCCGGCTAGACATTCAACTTTCGAATGATGTAAGATATTTCCAGATATCTGAGACAGACCCAATACAGACGTTGTTTGTCTTCATGCATAGCTCAATTCTGAGACTACATTTTGGACGTTACGGTCCGAGGAGTTACTATGAGCCTAGGCGCATGAAACCTAGCCGGGCCCATACTAAATCTCTATCAACGCAAAAGACTCCAGCGCCCGCCACTCACCGCTAATACCTGGGTCTACTTCAAAACGAGACTGCCATGGATGATCAATGATCACGATAATCACAGAGCAGTAACTTACACGTCACTGAAACCCAGGTGGAACCCGGTAGCGGGTATTTCCATTACAACAGTGACCTCGGTTTAAAATGAGCGGGCCATGCAAACGCAATATTTACCGTTCAAATGGCATTCATTCCCCTATCTCACTGGAACAGGACTTCTGTGAGTGCTGCCGTTCTTTATCTACTTCGGTGGACTTATTGGCCCATAGATGCAGGAGAAGATTGGCATCAAGGAGACCCATGACCTCCGGATTGGGTCTGCCTACGCGGTTAAACAAGCAACTCCCTATGAACGCTACAGAGTGTCACGTATGAGGGTAAGGATGAGGCTTCAATTATTCACTGTAAGTGCTTCACATTATCGGCTCTCTGTGTCTCCAAAGTTCTGACAGTCAATATAGACCACCTTGCTCCTAATGGTCGCCTCACCGTTTGCACTGCCGATGCTTTTACTCAAGCTTCGCAACCCGGATCAAATTTCTGCATCTTTCGAGACCATTATTCCAGCTGCCTTTGTCGCGTCCATTGTGGCTGCGCTCACGATTGCTCATGCTCGCAGGTTGCTGGTGAAATCCAACGTAAGGCATCCCTGAGTTGGCAATGATATCTCCTGCTCACATGTAGTGCTTCTCCAGGTGGATGTACTCTATTCAGGAAACGATGTGCGTATATTACCCAGGTATATCCTAAGTTACCGACTCTTTCGCAGGTCTTCCAAGATGCGAAACTCTGGTACATTTCCAGGATTTCTAAGTACTCCGGCGCCATGAATTTCGGCTGCGTCGCAGCATATGGTGCAGGATGTGGTTCTCTGCTACTTGAATACTACCCCACCCCCACTATCACATTTGGAATTGCATTGTCCACCGTCATCCTTGTCCATACCCTTCTCTCCATGATTCCCCAAATCAAAACCAACACCTTCTTTAAGCGAAACGTCTTCTCTGCTGTATCTAATCTTCGGGATGCTGTTTCGGAAAAGAACGTGGCGGCGCTTGCACCGACGCTGTAATCAGACGGTCGCGTACGTGGGATTTACCGGTGCTTATGTAGTCATTGGAATGCATTGGTCGTATCTTCTGCGATAGAATGCTGGGATGTCGCACAAACTTGGTGACTTTGTAAATACACGACTACTAATTAATCATGTTTAATTGCCAAAAATAGATGATCGATCATCATTCGTGGTGATGAACTTAAGTTTGAACATGAGTCTGGCACGAGACCTTGCCATCTCTTGCTGCACACGGATTCCTTCGCAACAGTGATGTAGCTGTGGGAATGCCTGGAATCCAAGGGTCCACTTCCTTCTTAAATCCGATACAGACGGGGTATTAGCAGGACTCAACTTGAACTTGTTCACCCATCTCATATGGTCGATGCCAAGCACTGGGTGAGCGGCTTTGTTTTGCTTACCATGCTGGTTGACTCCTGACTCGCTGTAAGAACGACGTCGAAGCGGTAAGGTTGCCGGTGGTCAGAAAGGCATCGGCCTACGATCGCCGTCGGTTAGAACGTTGGGGGGCGAGGCTGGAAGTTCAGCTAATGCTTGTAAGAAACTCTTCGTCGAAATTTTTATTAACTGAGGAGGAACGTTCTTATTAATTAGACCTTCTGCCTCTTGTTGGTCATTACACCATTTGCGATTTACGCCTTGTCTCTTCGGTCTTCTTATGGCCCAATACACGAGCATCGGTTCGATACCTTCCTAACCCGGGCCTATGTCATGTCGGTTGTTACAGTAACGACCCTTGTTCACTGCAGGGCGATGCTTGAAGATGCTGATGTATGTCAACAATTACATTTTTCCCAGACTAGTAAGTTACTTACTGATGGCTGCGGTCTGTAGGTGGACTTGCCCTTCACCGAGGAGTGTCCGCGAAGTTCCATTACCAAGATATTCGTCAACGTAAGTCTCGTGGATCTTCTGATTTACATGGTGGTTGAACGTATCATTTAGCTTCGTCAACGCACCAAACGCTCTTTCATCACGTTTGTTGTCGGGGCCAGCGCTTACATGAATCTGGCGTGCTTCTCCATCTGTTTGATTGGCTGGACGGACATGCTCTGGCAGCTCTATCGCACTGTGACTATTGCAATCGTCATCATCTCCACCTCCGCAAGCATATTCCATGCCTTGTTCATGCTGGCATTTCCAAACCACTATGTCAGGTTTGTACCCCGGTGGACTGTCTTCTCCATCTGGGATATCAGACCACTTGTTGATCAATTCTGGGCACGCGAAGATCAGAAACAAATCGACAAGGCGACAAAGAGCTTGAGATGGGAATTCCACGATTGGATTTTTGATCGCAGTGAAGGGTATCATTGGAAGGGAGGGAAGAAAGGCCATGATAGCCTCAAGAAGATAGCCCTCAACAATCTCCGTGCGTCACTGTAACGATAGTGTTTCAAGGGCATTGCCTGTGTAGCAAAGTTTCCAAATACTCATCAGACACCTGTACTATGCGCCTTCCTTGCAGTATCTTCTCTTTTTTTTAACAATAAAACCAACTCGTACCAGTAACATTGTAGAAACGTTCTTAGACCATCGCAATCATCGTTTGGCACTGGCGTACGTAAAATAGGACAAAGTGGATCGACTATAGGTCAGAACACTGCTTCCCTTCATCTTCATCGTCAATCGCCTCATTCAATCACCTCATCCACTTCCATCGCCTCTTCCGCTCGTTTCTTCCTCCTCTCATAGGCCTTGATCTTTCTTGCTAGGTCCCTATTTGGTACGCAGTCAGATAGCCTGAACGAGGCTCTGCATCCAGAAGCAGGGCATTTCTTCGCGTCGCATTCGTTTCTAAACATCTCTTTAATGGCAGCTTTGGAAAAGGAATGCTTGCAGATGTTCCTGGCAAGACATTCAGTATCTTAGCATAGTAAAGAAGGAAAGACGAACGATGTATAAGGCTCTTCAATAAGACGAAGAGTTATAGGGCACTTGTAGTCTTGTGTCACGCCTCCAACTTCAATATCGACGTCATCGTCACTTTCATCTCCATTTTCTGCGCAAATAACTCAGTTGAATACGACATCGAGGAAACAAAATAATAACCTTTGTCTATCAGTTCTGTCATTGGTGGCATAGGTTCATTGGGATGGTCTACTTCCTGTTACAATATGACGTCTCGGGATACACTCTCAAGTGAAGGCTACTTACATAGACAGCTTGCTTGAAAGCCTTGTACTGTTCATTTTTAGCGTATTTCTGACGCGTAGTCTTCGCAGAATACTCCTGAGAACGCTTCAAAACGCCAGCATGATAACGAGGTACAGCATCGCACTGCAGAGGGGGATGAGAGACCTTTTTTTAACGATAGGCACCTGAAAGACACACAATAGTCTCCTTCTTAGATAGCTTCTCATGTATTTCATCTAGGACGCTCGAATGGAATCGCATTTCTGCCTCGATATCAATGAATCCCTTCACCAACAACTCAATTTCCTCAAGGTTCTAACAATTTGCTTACTCAGATTCGATAGAGATGCAGGCGAGGGCAAGGCCCGCACCTTGTCTGCCACCTCCTTTCCTCCGTGGTCAAGAACAGCTACCGCAACATCGTCGATGGCGCCACAATGTTCTTGAATCTTCGCTGTCATGAGCATCCAATCCCTCGAGAGCCCATTCAGCTTCTGGAGATCCCCCTCCCCGAGCGGTTGGTCGGCAAAGTTCTCCACATCGATAGGGTCCTCGTCGTCTGTGTCCGGCTGCCGGGCCTCCCGTGGCGTTGTATGCTGTTCGCCGTTGACTTGAGGTCTCTTTTCTTTCTTATCTGTTTTGCTCTTGGTCCTGCGACGAGGTTGTTCATCCTCATCATCCATGTCCACGTCCTCCCTGGATGGCGTCTGTGTAGCGCCTTCCTCGATGTCAGATGACTCTTGAGCTCTGGCGGATCGGCGACGCGATGACATGGTGGTCGGTAGAAAGGGGAAAGCGCGATATGTCACAAACGCGTCCATCCTGTCACGATCACGTCTTAGTCAGCTTATTACACCAATCAACTATTTGGCTGCTTCTTCATCCGTTTGCCAAGCCACAAACTGCAATCTAAGGTTAAAATAATTGATACATATATACAAAAAGTGAGTGAGAATTATATACATGTTAATCTACAGTACTAATTGAGTGGGGCAGTTGATGATAAGCCAATGTCCTGGTCGACCTACAAGTACAAATGTGAATCCCCCCAATATTCCACTATGAAGGCCTCTCTCCTTGTATCTCCTTCATTTTATGTACCATGATATCATGCGACTCCTGCACATATTTTTCCGACTCACTTCGCTTGAACTCGATTTGCTTCCCCTTCACATGCATATCTGGCTCACGCATGGCAAACGGATTCACGTCGGCCTTCGTGTCAAGGTTGGCCAAGCTGTGATTGACAAAACGATGGGTCGTCTCGTCAGATCGTACCGCGTATATAACATCCAACATTTTGGCGTCAGACGGGAGACGCCAGTAGTCGATTGCGATTTGCGGAGCTGGCATGTCGGACCACTCCGGAATACGCCCTGCTTCCATCTCCTGGATACAGCGAGTACTATACCAGTTGAATAGCAATGTAGCCGGCCAGTGTCTATGAGGCAAGTGACTCACTAGGTTACAACAGCCTCCTCCTCTAGGTGACCAACGAAACGATGGCATGTTTTCGGGGAAACCATATATGCGAAGACTAAAGGTTTGTAAGTCACAAGTTGATACGTCGTAGTTATTATGCTTACAAAATAGGTTGTAGAAAACTCCCTGCGCGCCAAGAATCATGGCACGGAAAAAGAGAGACGGGTGACGGAGCGTCATAAATGTCCTGCAGTATAGTGAGATACCGAGCAGAAAGGCGAGAACGATGATACTCCACTCACATGAGGTGCATCCGTTCATTCTCAGCTTCTTCCAGACAGGTGTGGATCCTATAGAGAGCATTACGGTTAGAGGGAGACAACTCCAATGATGAATACAACACCGACCAGCCACTATCTCGTCTCATTAGGCGGAGACTCTGAAGATGCCTCAACGTTGCTGCTACCATCCCTGGCACACCGGCAATAGATTCCAGAAACAGGATACGCTATGTTGGAAGTGTTATCAGAGTGAAGGGAGATCATCACGATTGTGAGAAGGACTTACGTTCAACCATCCCTGCTCGTCTAATAAGTATCCCTCTTTCCTTAGCTGTTGGAGTGTCATTTTGGCATCTGGTGGGATGGGTTTGTGCCTATAGCCCGAAATAAAGTCGTAGCCCCATCTGCAAAGGTCGACATTAAGGAGGGAGGAGTGTCAGCGACTAACACGCACGTACCGAGCGAACTTGACGAGACCGTATGCAAGCTTATCTGAGACGGTCTTGGCCTCACGATGTAAGACCTGATGCTATTATTCAGCGACCACGAGCAAACTACAAGGAAAGATCAACGCACCTCGACGGCTTTTATTTCTTCAGGAGTATACACAGGGTGGAACAGCACCCAGTCGCCTTGCATGGTCGGCACGGTGCTGACCGCGTCGACACGAGTGAGAGGGGACGACGAGGTGGCAATGCCTCGACGGTCACGGTCCTCTAAACACGACGGTCAAAGAAAGGACAAAGCAAATCTTGGGTTACGATGACTCACGAATATGATGTGGCACCAAGTTGACCTCTGCATGGTTACTTTGTACCACTGTAGCGGGATGTGTGGCGCTGGACGCGATGGCACGAACACGCAGCGCGCCAATCGCGACCTGGCGCACGGGCAGTCGAGTGATAGAGGTTCTCAACATAGCAATAATTTTGAACGGGCATTATCATTTCTTCTCCACTTTTATAAGCGTCCTGAATACAATTCTCTTACATTCAGACTTCCGATTCCTCCCGAGCCCGAGTTCCGGTTTTGGGAGCCAATAGGAAGGCATAGTGGTGTGGCTGTAATAGGAATTTTGCGGAACTGGGTCAATTACTATTATTGAGTACCACCCTTGTATCGGATAGATACATCACAGGCAGACGGTTGTTGCAGAGGCCCAATTGGAGGAACTAACCGAACATTGAACACTGTACATTTGAGAATAATAGCGCTCGCTATTGGTTCGCACAGTCCATTTTTTTGCGCAAAGCAGTTTCAAGACAAGGCATATTCATGATCCGGTTTGAGCTTCTGCGTATTCTGAAACAACAATCGGCAGTACCTACTAGAATTTCTTTCAACCCGCGTACAGTGGAAATGACCTCACTTAACGTTTGATTCGCTGATTGGGTGCTATTTTTTCACTCAGACAGGCATTCGGATTACTCATTTCTAGGCCACACCAAGCTTCGTATTGGCCGCTCCAGGTTCGTGTCTCGAATGATTGTCGACTTTGATGCAAGTTCTCGCACACACCGGAGCTTTATACTTTCTTTTCTGTGCTTCAAGACTCACGCAACATGATTGGTTCCCCAGTTCATTGGCCAATCCGAGGCGAGATACGGGCCGCTGAGGGTGCCCACTCTTGATGCGGAAAATTCCGACTTTCACTGCGCCCTAGCAGGAGTTAGCAGGCGAAGAAATTCTCAAATGACAGAGTCTCACTATGTAATTAATTCTTCGGTCAAATTCCTCAATCGATGAGTAATATAAGTATGTATTGTTCGTTATCCTTCGATCACCAGCAGCTGCTCCGCGGGTTAGGAATGAGATGGAATGATAGAAACTGATGGGGTCATATCAAAGCTGTCCTAGTCTTTGGTGGCAATCGTCTGGTGTGGAAACGTCAGTCACCTGCCCGTTTGTGGTTGCTCTGAGGCTTGCCTGAGTATTGATATCCAACAATTGGCGTCGTTATCTCCAACTCTACTCGCCTCGAGTTGCCGCTCCGATTACTATGCTTCTTTCCAATTTTCCCCTTGCTTTTGAGGCGGTGGTCGCCAGCAACAAGCACCAAGTTCCCAAGGAGGTACCCAGGAGTCGATATATCAGATCGACTTGAGAGTTGCTTGCATGCGTGCTTGAGTCGTATTCGCAAGTACATAATCGCTGTTACAGAAAATTCCACCGAGGACGTTCTGATTTAGAAATACAATCTTGATATTAGATCTACAGGGAAGGATAGAAGACTCCGGCCATGAAGAAATAGGGTTCCTGTCGGGTCGGACGTGGAGAATTTCGATGGACCTTGGACGAGTTGTGGATTTTTAATAGCTTGCCGATATTCTCACTTGGCCGAGCTGGCGGTGAACAACTACCTGAATCGACTCTGTCATTGGCCTGACCAGCTATCGATTAAAACAAGGATCTTCTCGAGCCCTTGCGTCCGGCCAATCAACGCGCATGTCATTCCCGGTCCGATCGATGAGACGAAAAAGCTACCACCCACACGGCGTATACAGACCTTGAGAGAGTTCGAGAGTTCGATTGAATTTGGATCTGCCCAAGAGCTGCGCTTTGTTGTCGTAGATTCGAGGCAGATTCGTCTGCGAGTTTCGTTTGATTGGAGGTGCAATGCTCAAGAATGTTCAGCACTGAACAAGGCAATTCTCTGCCAGGGGACCGGAATCGGGGTTTTGTTGATCGCCCGGTATGCAAATATACGGAATGTGGCGTTGCATCGATTAAAGCGAGATCTCCCCATAATGTGGGAATACGGCTAGAAGGAATATCAGAAAGCTGATTCGCGGTTGCGATCTGGACGTTATGTGGACCGTACCGACAGCAATCTGAATCTAGCAATGACAATATTCGCGCCACTGATCGAGAAAACATCGAACAGACAAATGCGGGGAATGCGTTTTCTGAGGAGGGTCCCGGCGGCTCGAAGGCCCTGAATTAACGTCGAGACGCTTCTTAATTAAAAGCGAGTCGGACGAAAGGGGGATACGAGGTTAGCGGGAGGTGCGGGTTACGCTGCTGGGGCAACGATAGAAGTCGACCTTCGGATAATTGACGGGTCAAGAGGACGGTTGGCAAGCAGAGAACTTGGGATTTACGGAATCCGAGTGGTTCTTGAGAGATTCTGGGTGAACCCTCTATCTCATAAGATCTCTGAGCGCCAGACCACACGCTGCAGGAGGAAGAAAGGACATAGACATAGCTAACCCTCGGTGACGACTGAAGAATAAGAGGCTCGGCCGACCGAACGATGAGTACGTGTACATATGTCGTCCGAGCACACCTTTACCGAGGAAAGCTCGTCTAAGCGTGAATTCGTAGATTATGCAGGCGCTTTTCGTGCGCTCCTTTTTCTCGATACATCAGTCTGAGGATTGACGAAGCCGATGTCCTTGCTACAAACGTCGACTGGTTGGTACTTGCGATCGATCAAAAAAATGCGCTCAAGGTGAGGATATGCCTCATGAGTGGTGTCATGTTGTCCGACACGGTCCCGACCTACGACACCTGCCTTCGTTCCTCGAAGGTCGATAAGAGTAATCGAAATTTCTCGGATTCTCGGAAACCGAGCGTTCATCACGCGTTTCTGAATTTCATCTGCGTTCATTTTCAGCTTCCGTGGGATGAAAGAAGAAAATGGGGATTGACTTATTTGGCAAACGGCGCCCCGATAGGAATTCGGGGTTAGGCAGCTTCCGCGAGAGTCTTGAATTTGAAGAGAAAACCTCCCCTCTACCGCGAGGTTAACCTTGCAAAATGTTTGGGGTGGAGGTAGGGAGCATTAGAACGGATATCATCTCTTCAGGAGCAGCGGGGAGCGCTTCCGTGCTGCGCCCAAATGAACATGAGGAAGCGGGCAATGGAGTCACAAGACATACAGCATGTTGTTTGTGTGGTGCTAGTATCTCTACCCTCGATTGCCCGATCCTTAATTCGTGAGCCGGATACATGCGATATGTACGGTAGGGACAGTTGTTGGATTTCTTTGACAGTACACCGTGCGGTTAGGAGGTGAACCAAGTTCTTGTCAGCTGTCAAAAGACAAGGTGGCTCGTTGTGGCTCTTCCGTTCACGGGACTATAATCCGAGCGGCGTCAAGCTTTCTGGAACGGAGCGCCAGGAGACTAAATGTTCTTCCCTGCTAAGCACTTATCTGACCAGTAGAAATTGACCTGTCCGAGCAAATCAAAATATGGAATTTTGGGAGTACTTGAATTTCAATGATCGAGTTTCCTGAATTGATGTTGTCAGCCTGAGTGGAGCCTAACCCTGAGAACAATAAAGTTTACTTCACCGCAAGAAAATTTGACTTGAAATCAACAATAGTAGAACATTATTTCGCATTTCCCTTCCACACACCTATCCGAGTCGACAAGTTTGCATTGATGCATGACGCATCCAACCGATCTAAATTTATGTATTTAATTATGTGAGCCAGGGTGGTATGGAGCCAACTTTAGGAAAGGCCTTCTACGTCGGAATATAGCTGATAGGCTATCCATCGATTAGGATGAACGTGATGAATTGACTTAGTGCTATGTAGTTACTCACGCGCCCACGACCATGTTCCTGGTGACTTCGGCAGCGAGTGAATACCAATAGAACGAACAAACGCCGCGAAAAGAACAGAGTCGAAGCTTCCGAAGACTCGGTAGTAATGTTGCACTGATTTGTTTTGGTGCTACGATCGTGAGTCGAGTTTGCCTTGCTCGTCAGGCAAACTCGGGCGATCGCAGAACTGTCAGGCACCTGGACCTGGTCCTCGCCTCGAGGTTTCATGTCCTCTCTGTCAGATGAGGGCAGACCCTTGATGGAAGCGCTAGCGCCTCATTGTTTGCGTTCGGCAGATGGAGAGAGTCCGGATTCTGAGGGTCTGGATAAAGGATATTAAGTCTGCTTGGAAACGACCATCAAGAACGTACATACGAAGGGGAGACGGTGGGACTTGGGAGCGTGGGGGCCCGAATAGCAAGGCTAACACTGGAAGATGTAGAAAATGATGGAGACATCGAACTCGGAGGCAGGGAGAGTTTAGAAGCGCAAGACGCCTACATTGGTAAGACGCCACTGCAGTTGAACGCATAAGCGAGAGCCACATAATGTAGCTGTATCACTGAGAATCAGCAGACATGGGATAGACCGAGATCGAAGAGACAGTTGTGAATCTTCGATGGGTCGCGTAAGGGCATTACTAGGACTTGAATACATGCAAGAAATGGAAAACAGGCGAAGACGCTGCGTCCCGGAGATGAATTCGCTAGGGATGTCATCGGCAATGGAAACGGGAAGAGCAGCAATGGTGATATGTTATAGAATACGACCTCGTGTAAAAGGTATGTTCCCTCGGAATCGGAGACAATGTAAATGGCCTGGGAGGGGTATCCAGCGATAAGACGCGTGGCCGGAACCAAAGACGCTTAGGCCGTCGACAGTCGGAGAAAAGTGGAGAACGAGCAGCAGAGAGCAACGTTGTATTCTAGATATTGTACGATATACGCGCAGCGACAGGCAAGAAATAAAATAGAGTACAAGAGGACCCTGCTCTCATCAAGGCTGGGCAGGGAGGACAAGGTCATGGTCGCCGGAAGAGAAACATGGGGGATACTATAAAAGGCAATCGGGAATCGCGTCCCAATCCATCAGGGATTCGGACTTGTTCTTTTCTTCGACGACGTCCTGTCAGAAGGCAGTGACGGTATCGCTATCGAACTCTTTTCTCCTCCTTTTCCTCGTTATAAGGGCCCAGTACTACCCAGAAATGTGCTAATTCTGTTGTACTACCTTTCACTGCCAGCCCATGCAAACAGTTCTCGCACCTCTTCCTCTCACAATGGATTCTGCTGACCACGATTTCTCTCCGGCACAATGGACTCCCCATCGCTTTACCCCTTCGCCGTCCTTTGATCCAACTCCAGATATCGAGTACCCTTCACCAGTCGCTTCAGTGGCACCATCGTTCCAGCAGCCAGCACCACCACCGGAGTCGACGTCGACGGCGGCGCCTGCAGACGACTTCAACCAGGTCCAGTCATCTATTGGCCCAGATCGTGTGCTGACGCGGCGCCAAAAGGCTGCTCTCGAGGGCAGGCGCTCCTCGTTTCCTGCTGCCCCACGCTCTCCAGTGCGTATGTCTTCTCGGGGTTATCAATTATTTGTCTAATTTTTATTTATTAATAGCAAACTATCCGCTCTCATACGCCACCAGCCTCGCCTCACCGCGAGCGCCTGTCGATGAATGTCTCTGCCCTGCAGATGCCCCATCCGTATCCACTGACCCCAGACTCTTCCTCTACTTCCTACTCAGCCCCTTACACCTTCCCTCAATCCCAGAACTCTCATTCCCAGTCCCCGTCTGACCCTCGTTCTGCCTCTCCAGCCTTGAGCACTACCTCTTCTTCGGCTTCAGCTTCGTCCAATCATCCCCAGTTTGCACAGTTCCAACATACTCCAGGCCTTTCTGGTAAAACACAAAAACAGCGCAAGCAGCGTCTCTTTAATGTCGATCGCAAAGCCATCTGTCAATATCATCGGCAGCATCCGGATGCTCGTCAGGAAGATATTGCTTCGCGCTACGGGGTTGAGCGCAGCACCATCTCCAAGATCCTCAAACACAGAGTTAAATGGCTTAGCGTCCCCTCTGATGAGGAACTCCGAATCTCAAAGCACCGGTATGTACGTTCCTCCCATCTGGTAACATAACTTACCCACACCATCCCGCCTCAGACCTTCGAAGTTCCCTATTATCGAGGAAAAGATGGTCCTTTGGTTGTCTGACTCAGAGACCACCAAAACCTCGCTCTCTGACATGCGTTTACGCGAAAAAGCCCGTCAGATTGCACGGGACATTGGCATGTCTGAAGATAGATTCAAAGCTTCCTCAGGCTGGGTCGAAAACTTCAAGCATCGACACGGCATACGCGGAGGAATCTGGACTGGTGACGGGCTTAATACGCGCGCCGCTAGGGCACTCGGAATGTCCTCGCCGGATACCTTGCTCACTCCGCAGGAAGCTGAGGAGGCCATTCGAGGGTATGAAGCCAGAGACCGAGAAATCGAACGAAAGCGAGCCGCTGGGCTGAGGCCTGCGAGTTGGCCGCAAGAACAGCCAACACATCATCCTTCGTATAATCATTATGATTCTTCGCAATATGAAGCCTCGTCGTCAGTACCCCCTACGACAGAACAGTCGTCGATAACACAATCCTCGCTCCAGCCAAGGTATGATTCCACAACAAATACTGTGGTGCCATACGATGGTGGCTCGTCTGTGCGATCGCCAGCGTATCAAACTCCAAGCTCTTACCCCGCTCCCGCTCCCACTTCGCCTACGGCCTATCCTCGCCCCCCTTCGCCCAGCTCTTCATACCCTCCGGCACCCCCTCCTGACTCCTACCCCGTTATGGAAGCCTATGTTCCTGTACCTAATATTCCCGACAACTCTGTGCCTACGTTGGCGGAGGTAGAAGAACACATGAACAAGGTGCTCCTCTTTTTCGATACTTCGGCGGGCATGGGGGTCATTAGCCATGAGGATCGAGAAAACCTCAACCAAGTGAAGCGTGCCCTGTTCCAAGCAGCGAGCGGCGTGCCCTACGTGAGGGAGTAGCTTACTGAAATAACTTTACGCTGGGGTTCTCATATAGAGACGATGTCCGTATTTCCTTTTTTCCTCCCTCTTTCTCTGGCTCGATAACAGTCTCATTGCAAATGGTCTCCTTTCTCGTATGCATGCATCACCATCATTCTTCATCCGCATCCATCAAGACATCCTTGTATACAGTTCACTTCACTGTACATGTAACCAACCCCATTTGTTGTTGTTAGGTACCAACCAGCAGTTAAAGACCATCCACATCCTGAAAATACGTATACCACCTGTATGTACAGTTTGCGCATTAAAACAATATCTGCGCCTGTCCTGCACACTTATGCATGGCGGGTAATGTTGCATTCGCCGAGAAATAAATATGTTATTATCGCTTTACATAAATTTGTACCAATTTCTTCTCTTTCTGAAGATCTGCCCTCATAGCAACTGCATCCGTTCCCCTTATATGAGCTGCACAAAGTGACAATTACCATAGCGCCGCAAAGACCTTGCCCTGGTAAATAAACATTATCCAGCTAGTCCTAAATAGTTCATCTGTTAGCCGTGAACCAGAGAGGAGAAACAACGTTCGGCATTCGATGCGAACTTCTTACTTAAGTTGACTTGGGATTTGTAGTGGCTTCACTTCCATACACTCCGCTCTTGGATCTCAACCTGCCCCTGGCCTTTCATCGAACCGGCTTGCGTTGGATATTAGAGAATGGTTACAACGATAAGTGGCTCACCACAGGTTATAACCAAGGTGACTCTTCAAGTTAGACCATGTCCTCAATCGTTCGGGTTCAGTTCGCGAAATACTTGTCTACGAATCCAGCACGATGTCAACTGACCAAGGACTTGGGTCATCTAGGTATTTTTTTCCCAGAGAACAGGGATCCCCCGTCGGAGAAGGCCTGTAAAGAAACGCTAAGAACAAGGATAGGTAAAACCTCGCTCGGATGGGGTAAAGACGCACCATTGTATGCATGCCGACGTTTCATATGTAAAGGAGAACGAAGTAACGAAAATTTGAATGGAGAAGAGATGATTTTGTTAAAGATGATGTACCACTCTCAGAATAAAAAGAATATCTAAAAGGAGGAATATGGATGAGCTTGAAATTTGATCAGGAGCGACAAGGTTGTACTTACCTTACCCTTACACATGCCGGATCCAAAGACGATATAAGAGATCCTAGATTTCGAGGGTAAGAGCTAGCCTATTAAGTTTCTAAGACGGTGTAGTACTCCGGAACATCTCCAGCTCAAGCCTCGAGACGTCAGTGACACTGGCAGTACGGGGTTGCTTGATTATTGATATACTGGAATGTGGCACAAGGCACCGAACTTCTAAGGGAGCCTGAGTAGAGCACATGTACAGCAAATAACAGATAAAACTCGCCTGTCATGGCGCAAGAACGGATTAGCTAAAAGAAAGGGGAAAATTGTAAATAAAAAACACACGCCTATTACGTTTAGTAGGTTGGTGGGGACCTAGGCGCAGTCCGCTGCCCAACCTGGGGCCGCAAGATGTGATGTGGGAATCATTGATCTAATAAAAACCGTGTTTGATTGGGAAACTAATTAGAATACTTGTTAACGGTTAACTTTGCTGATAATTCCAAAGAACTTATCGCGGAATTATGTAAGGAAGTCCTGGAAGGCGAGCCTTTCTAATGCTTTTCTGTGGAAAACGGCCATCCCATCTTGAGTCTACTTGAGAAAAATGATCAGGCAAATTAGGGACCCGGCACGGTGACAGGCAGGTGGCAATGCACACTGAACACACGTTGGCGTGGTATGAGCGGGGCAACCATTGAACTAAGTTCCGGGGTACATCGATAAACTAGTCATATCCTCATGGATATATGGCTTTGATATAGCAAGCCCGCCGCATGCATATGCACAACTGCCGTAAGGAGATGTGATGGGAATGATAAAGGACGATATAGAAACGCAGATGATTGAAAGTAGTAGAATGTCGGGGGAAAAAAGATGGAGACACTTGGCGTATGCCTATACCATAGACTGTTAGATGGAAGAAACAAGCCATGCAAACTGGGATAAGTATAGGTATCTGGCGGACAATAGTGCTACAGATGCACCATTATCCTTAGATCCGTTGTAGAAATTTGGTCTCGGTGGTAGGCCACATACAGGACGAATAAAAGAGCAGTAGAAACCAGATGAAGGGGCATCAGCCGACCAAGTAAACGACGAAGAAGGCTCGTTTGAGCCAGTCTAACCACAGCCTGACGACAATGGGTCGATCAAGCCTTAGGCCATAGAAGCGGATAGCTTGATCAACAACTGTCACGGACGTTGTGGACTCTTTCGAGCCTCGATTACAACTTGAAGTGACAAGTGCCGGTTATGAAGCTACGCGTGCATTAGGAAGACGGAGAACCGAAAATTTCCAGGACTAACATTGAACAGATAATATTTCCAGAACGAAAAATACCGTTTTCAGCCTGTGAGGATGGCCACCACATGCAGGGGAAAAGGACATGGCTCGACATTTGACCCTATTCGGGCCGACTTTGCCGATCTGTTTGGATGGTGATTTCCTCTTTTGACTTTATAATATAAAGTTTCGACCATCATGCCGACCGCCTGGTTCGAGATATTGTGGACTCCATACAAAGTACTGAGTCCGTATCGACCAGAACCCATTCAATCCCTTGCTCTCAGGAAATTATCAGGCGCTGAATGTTGAAACGCGGCTGCCGAGATCAATCCGACTTAGGGCCCTTTCCTGCTCTTTATGACCCGTTCTCTTACACCTGGCCTTCTTCTAAGCTCTATCTACCGCTGTGCGGGTAACGACTCCGGTGAGAAAGTGGCCACAGAATCACATCGCTCTGCCCTCGGGTATACTGCATTCCCCTGCCCGGTTCATATGTTCGTCAGCAGTGAAACCTTACGATTGGCGACGTCTGACTACCGATACCAGCAGAAGGATATGCTATTCTGACCGGTTATTTTACTCCCGGACAGGCTCTGGACTTCGCTGCTAAAAGAAAAACTCACGACATGTTTCATTGTCTTCATTGAAAGTCTACGGAAGGGCAAAACGACCATCCTTCAAAGCCTCCTTCGCTGCGCCACTTTGCTTTCTAACTCACACCGTGACCACAGGAACGTTTACTTACTCTGCTGTATGTGTCTATGTTCCTTGATTACATATATGAGCTCCTTAGACGTCACCTAGTTTCCAACACACACATGTGAATGAAAACTACTGGTTGCGATAGTACACCAGCACGTGGGGTCCATCTGTGTACGAATTTCGAAACGAGGTATGATGTACACCGCACACATATTTTTCTCCGGTGGCAAGAAAAGGAGATGCATTTTTACCGGCGATATCTGCGTTTACTATTGTCTCCTTGCAAAGGATGTTATTCGAGTCCCTAAAGACCGGTGGATAAGATTCCTCCGATGGTATTACAATTAAATAAGTAGCATACATGTTATCTCATGTTATAGCAAGGGCATAGCAGGAGGGCATGCGCCGGCTCTAAATGTGTATAGGAACTTCGAAGGGAACTTCCGTCACGTGATCGCGTATCTGACTCGTCTCGACCGTGATTCGACATGACTCAAGGTCAGCCTATGTAAGTTCTATACATTTCAATTGATTGGGCACAAAGTTGCCAATAATGCCTTCCGTTCTCTCTACCCAACGAGCTTATACAGGAAATTGGCCTGGTGGTATGTTTGTATGTCTCTGTTATCTTCCATCTCATGTTACTCAACCTTCCGCAGGCTGAAACGTCGACCTCAAATATCTTCGTGCCGTATGCCAGCGCGCTTGCATATCCCTTGACCCCGTCCTGGTCCTCACATTGACCGTCAATTTAAACCTGGCTGAATTCAAGTACCATCGCATTATTTTCCCCGTGCCATTGATCGACGACCTAGCTACCCTCCGTACACCTATTGCACTATATGTTCGGCATCTCTCAGTAATTGTATCTACTCGGCATTCTCCGTTGGTTCCGAAATACGATCGCAAGCTCACACATAATCACTCTGCCCTTGGGCACCTAAAGAACGATTTACGACCAGCTTTGACGTCCTTGATTAATATCGTGTCTGCGACAGTTGGGTATAGTGTTCCTCTTGTGATTTTTCCCCCACACTTGCTGTCTTCTGGCCATAGATTTGACACGCAGGGTATTCGGACGGTACCGTCTTGGGTTATTGATGAGATCTTCCAAGGGTTGAAATGCCTTTCCCCTACTCGAGGACGTCCATATCTCAGCCAGACCTTAATCTCCCATTTCTATCCTCGGTCAAACATTTGAATGGACCACGGGCATTTGATTGGGGTGGGTCAGGTCACTGCTACCGTACATTAGAGAAAGGCTTGTCCCTTGCAATCACAGCCTGCCCTGCCCTGTCACACTTGAAACTGGACGGGGATTCCATATCCGTAAATCACCTTCCTTACATTTCGCGTACCATCTCTCAGAACGGCTACCGTCTCTGTCAGCTGTTTCGTTATGTATCCCCTGACAAGCCTCCTCTCCTCACCAATCTCGACATTCGTGAATGAAACGTCTCCCATTCCGTCTGGCTGTATCCCAACCTTCGCTCCTTACAAACATTGATCATCCGTGATCGCTGCGACGTTTCCCCACACTTCTGGAATGGTCTTGTCCAAGAACACATCCAGATTCCGGACCTTACCTTGGTCATTGGTACCGATCCAGCGCCGCTTCATTTTCTCCGCTCCAATAAGGAGCTGGTGAAGTTAGTTTTATGGACAGGTCTCAAGGACTTGACGGGGGACTATGAACAAGTAGAACGCATGGGGATGGCATCCTTCAAAGACATGTTACCTCTTCTTTCTGGTGCACTGGAGGAGCTCCATATTAAGCCTAGGTTGCGGGGAAAATGGGTATATGGGAACCCTGCCACTGACTCGATCGCGCAATGCAAGAAACTGAAGGTCTTGGGAATACATGTATCTGATCGTGATTCTGTGGTCAGGGCTTATTGTTCGCTTCTTTCATATTAACAACAATGCTCACCTGTTACCAGTAGACATCTTTACTAGACTTTGTTAAAGTGCTGCCCGCTTTGCGCACGCTGTATTTGTACGGGGCTCCAACTCATGAACGGCCGCACACCCTATGTATCATCGATACAGACGCCTTGGAGAAGCTTCGCATACGAGACGCCAGAGTCGAGGATGTGATGAGCTATCTTGAGGTGATTCTTCCGGACGGGGTGGTATACAAACCAGAATTGATGATTGATGGGGACAAGCCATCCTGGTTCTTCAAGCGTTTCCAACCAGCCTAATGAATCGTCCTGAATTTGTAGAGAACAATCCTTCAAAGAAACCCAAGTGTTTCATGCTTTCGATATATGATACTTATTTTTACCAATGTCTTCTATGTCCTTGTGCTTCCCATCAGTCCACCCCGTTCAGGGTACGGGTTTCATCGTATCCTCGCGAGCATCGCGTTTCGCAGTTGAATTTGAGGGCCCTAATAACAGCAGAAGATTGCATATCTCCAACCCATCGCCACTCCGTGCACCTGATCCCCGCCGTCTGCATTGGCATCAGGCTGAAAATTCAAACAGCTTATAAGAAATATTTCGCGCGGTCCATTGAATCTAAAAATGGGCTGTAATCTTGTATCCCCATCATTAACCATTTACGTATTGAGACACGTCCAATTCAGTTGAAAACTCGGGTCTGAGCAGAGAAGTTGAGAAGGGTTATGAAATGGAGTTCTCGCATAGATTTATAGAACAACACCAGCAACGCAAGCTTCAGTTATAGCATCTACTAGAAGTTGATTAATGACATGGTATGAGTCTGTAAGCTATCTGCGCTTTTGGGTTCATTCAACGGGCCCAGACGTGGTCAAGGGCTGACTGGATATCGATAAGGCTGAGCTCCAACTCCAGATAGCGAAGCCCCTTCACATCATCCCCGAGTTCGTCGGCCATAAAGGCCAAGCGGATGGAGTCAAGCGGATGGACTGCAAGATGAACAATGAACACCTGAAAGCATTTTGTCTAGCACTATGTAGCGAGTGATCAGATCATCGCAAAATTTCTATCAATGAAATCCACATACAGAAGGAATCGATGCAATTGTCGCGCGTCCGTTGCGGCCTACGGCGGAGCTGGAAATGTATGATTAATCGTAGCGAATCAACGCGGGCTTAGGATACCAAGGACTTGATCTCCGCAATGTTGTATTCGAAACATCAAGACTCGGAAACAACTGTACTTATATGAATCTTGATAAACTCAAATTGCTCACGAATACCGCGGAGTTGGACCTCCTTCTTGATAACGTCTAAAATGAACAGATCACCAGGAGCAGCCAATAACGATCCATTGACCCACATGTATCTATAGCTCTTGACCCTTTCTCCAAGCGCATAGAAGCTACCTATGATCTCGAGGGAAAAGCCTGTCATCTCCTTCGTACCCGACGAGACGACAGCAAATCCAGGTATCAACCGACGATTCTAGACACCGTTGTTTGGAGTATATGAGGTGAAGATAGCAAGATCGGTGGCAAGAAAGCGGAAGCGAGACCTGGAGCTGTTAGTTAACATCAGACACAACGCACTGAAAGAAAAAAAGATCAAGGCGGACCACCATATAATGCCAGCAATATGGTGGATCATGACTTCTTCAAACCAGATCTAAGTGAAGATTAGCAAATAACTTCCTTTCTAAGAACGAGGAAATTTATCGTACGCTTCGGGACCGGCATTTTTCATGATGGTCAACTTGCCAGCGGAGGCGGCTGACACCATTTGCTGTTCTATCGACTTGTTGATTTTTGCAGAGAGATTCTATATTACGAAGTGTTAGGAAATACTGTGACGAAAAGTGGGAGCTAACGCACCTTGTGCAATGCAGCCTGCTTGACAAGGACAGCTTTCTTGGGAGCGATATAGCGTTTTCCTTTCTTTGTGGCTGCCGCTGCCTTTGACGCCTGGCGAGCTGATGGACCGGATTTGGCCTGTAGCCCCTTCGTCCTTCCCTGTGCCATGGCAGTAAAAAGTTGAGAATGACAAGTCACACGTTACATCCACGTGGCGTTGTGATCCCGCCGTTCACCGAGTCCGACTTGGCAACCACAATCTCTGCGTTATATCACTTCCAGGTGGGCATGTTTTCGTCCCGCATGCTATGCCTGCAGCGAGCAGCCCGTCTGCAGGGAATTGTTAGTATTTTTATTGCTGTATCTCTTCAATATTTGCTGATACAGTGTCGAACAGCGAACATACCACAGTATTACTCCGCTGCCTAACAAGGTCGTCGTCGCCTCTGGTCTTCCAGGTTACAGTGCGGTGTCGGGTCATGTAGCTACGGTCTTTGGATGCACTGGATTTTTGGGAAGATATCTCGTGTCCAAGCTTGGTACGCATACCTCATCATTCCGGTTGATGCATAATTGCACAATTATTACAGGAAAACTCGGCACCCAGGTGGTTGTTCCATACCGTGATGAGGACGAAAAGAGGCGTCTGAAACCCATGGGTGATCTAGGACAAATTGTGCCTATGGTTCGCAGCACGGCCCATTCGTCCTTTCGGTTTCTTCTAACGCTTCCGTCGTCCACAGGAATGGGATATCCGTAATGAGTCCCAAATAGCCGAGTGTGTAAGGCATTCGACCGTTGTATACAATCTTGTTGGACGTGACTATGAAACCAAGTGGGCCGCTCGCGTATCCCTCTGACGAAACTTTTTTTTTAATTTGGGAACGTTCACAGAAACTTTGACTTCTCGTCGGTCCACATCGAGGGCGCTGAACGGATCGCAAAGCTCGCAGCGGAGTCTGGTGTTCCACGCTTCGTCCATGTCTCGCATCTTAACGCCTCGGCTTCTTCACCGTCCAAATTGTACCAGGCCAAGGCAGAAGGAGAACAACGTGTGAAAGCGGCATTCAAGGATGTTACTATTGTTAGGCCTTCGGCCATGTATGGATACGAAGATAAGCTATTGAATAATATCGCTAGTACGTCTCGCGTTTATCCGTGCACCATTGCCCATGTGCTGACCCAGCTATTACTAGTCTGGCCCATCTGGTGGAAGTTGAACAATGCCGAAACCCAAGTCAGGCCGGTGCACGTACGTTGATCCAGCTTGCTATGGACATTTGGTCTCACGAGGACTGTTCTCAAGGTCATCGATGTTGCACAAGCTCTCGCTACCCTTATGACAGTACCCCATTCACCTGGAACTCTCAACCTTCCCGGTCCATCCACGCTCACATACGATTATCTGCTGGATCTCGTGTCTTCTGTAACGCTTCAGCCACCGTCTAAAGCTCCCACAATTCCCAAAGCAGTGGCGACCCTTTTGGCCAGAGTTGCTTCGCAGTCAGTGTGGTGGCCAACACTCAGTCCGGATGAAGTGGTAAGAAGGTACATTAATGACGCTGAATTGCCGGGTAATTGGGATCTTGTCGGTATTACTCCGTCAGAGATTGAGCATCATGCCATCACATACCTAAGGCGGTATCGCTCTGCAGATAACTTCACGCGGCCGATTCTCTTTCCTCCTAGGCCAGATGTAAGTGTTTACCTTGTGCCATTCCGCCGTTACTTTTTGCTTACGTTGTTCGGAAGACTGTCCAGGAGAACTGAGTGGTTATGTTTACCCACCATTTAGAAGAAATAAATAAATCTTGTCCTCTGAATATCCTTTCCGCTTTGATGTAAAGAGTGATGCTTTCTACGTTGGAATACTTTCATAAATGTGTGTATACCGATGGAGTGGTGGGGGGAAGAATACGTTACAGACAGAAAACGGTGTAATTACGAGGCGTAAGTCGTTAATGTGTGCAATCCTGAGTGATAAATACAATCTATCCCTCAATGTCATCTGAATCTGACTATGTCTAGAACCCGGGAGGCACTAATGGTTTTGGTTGATTTGCCTGTGGATACATTGGAGATATCATCTGAAGAAAAGTCAGGATGAGACAACAGCAAGAATGGCAAGAAAAAAACTGACCTGCTGAGCACCCTGTTGTTGCTCCAGCATTTCCTTCTCCTGCGCTACAATTTTTGCCTCGTCTTCCAAGCTCAGCGCCAGAGGCAGAGCGACGAGCAGTGCAGATGTTGTAACGACCCACACAATGTTCCCGAAGAATTTTCCGCTCTTTTTGACAAAGGAAGCGGTTTTTGAGACACGCGAGGCGATGTTATGTCGGGCAGTTGGGGGTACGATGTCTACAAGCGCAGCGATACGGTCGAAAATGGTCTCGTCTGCCGACAATTCTGAGGAGACAGAAGAGAGCGACTCTGTCGAGGAGGTGCGCGAGGATGAGGAGGAGGCATAGGGAGAGTTGGACTCCTTGTCGTCAACAATTTCAACTTTGACCATGGCTGACGGTATGTTGCTGAGAAAAAATTCGGAGCCGGGCTGAGTGGCCCAGGGTGGATTGGCCTTATTTGGTCCCCTTCCTGAATCGGCGTTCATATAAAGTACCTTGCCCTCTAGATCTTTGTTTCTTCCATCCCCTTGCTCGTCCCTTATCGCGGTACCATGCAGGCAGATGCCCCAATGCCGTCGGAACCATCGACCAGCTCTATTCAGTCAGGTATCCGTCGTTCGCCATTCGCCGTCGTCCAGCACATAGCTGAGCTTACAGATTTCGCTTTGTAACGTCCAGGCATCGTCCTTCCTTCCCCTTCGATGCAAAATCAGATTCACGAGCTCGCGAAGACTCTGCCTCCACCAAGGAAACAAAACACGGCCTGTGATGCTTGTAGAGCGAGGAAAGTCAAGTGTCATCGGCTGCCAGGCCAGGAGAAGGTATGTCCTACAGCTTTTCTTCGTTCGTTCCATCGCTGACCTTTGTCCTAGTGTCAGGCACGTTTTCTTCTCTTTCTATACTACCATCGTGTTCAACTGATCCTTCCAGCACTGTGTCTCCAAGAACTACCCATGCACGTCAGTACACTTCCTTGTCGATAAACATTACCCTCATTCCCGCTTCTTTGTATCTCAGTCATTTCGTCCAGCAAGCCACGAGTGAGAAGAAGCGAACATCTGCCCCCGGACGACGGAAATTATCATCTGCCAATTCCAGGTACGTTGTGCCGTTCCTTGCACTCGTTGACGTGGACCCACGGCGATTCCGATTGCTACCACCCATACTCTCTGTCTACCTTCTATATGCAATTGCGCTGATCATGGTTGCTTAGTCCACCGTCTCCTAACCCTTTCAAGAAGTATGTCTCTGCTTCGTTGTGTCCATACTCGAGCTGATTAATTATCCGTCCAGTGGCTCTCCTTCCATAGAAAACGGCTCCCCTGGTCATATGCCAATGTCCAGCACTTACAGATACAGTTTTTATCCACCTGTGACTATGAGCTCGTCTACGCGTGAGGTCTTAGCATATCTGTTCTCACCGCCGGAAATCGGAAAGTCAGTGGGTAACGCTATTCGCGTAACTTTTCATTTGGTAACCTCAATATCGTAAAATCAGTGATCCGACACCCTTTACGCAAATCAGAGTTTCGCCTTATTTCCTCTGGGGAGAACAGGCGTCAAAGCTAGAAGAAGAAGCGTTTAGAGTCGAGTGCGTAGTTTTCATACCCTCTTGATCCTTTTGTACACATGAGAATATCTCTCCTTTTTGGTGCGTCCGTTTGCTTATAATAACCCTACAGTAATTTGCTGACTACTATCCGCAGTCTTTCTCTCACTGTCTATTGCATCCCTAACTGCATGCCCTTGTAATTTGACAGGTTTGCTCTCGACCTCGTGGAAGTTTTTTTTCAGATCGTCCACACTCGGCTGCCCCTGCTTAATCCCGAGCAGTTTCGTAACAGTCTACGATTGCTTCCATCCCACGCGGCAAAGGCTACCAAGCATCTGCACCCTGCCTTGGTGGCCACTGTCATTTCATGGGGCGCCAAGTTTTCTGAGCATCCTTTACTCGTCGCCGATCGCAGACGTAATAATAACCTCAGTGCCTTGGCGAGGACTCTCATACTACGGACCCGCGAGCTTGCTGAAGCTCTGAAGGTACATCGTATTCCGAAGGATGACCATGTAGTGATTGGACTCTTGATCGAACCACTTCAAAGTCGTAAGTCTGTTTGCCAACCTTATTTCTCAAGCTTCTTTCCAATTTTTCTTTTCTCCAGAAACTCCTGATGACCCGACAGGTAACTCAGACTGTCACGCAGTGTGGCGTAGTTAAATCAATCTTTCTAGGCTTTCACGGGTTTTGGCTGGCCTCAGCGACGAGGCATCTTATGGATCTCGGGGTAGGCGTCCAACTCCATCCAGACACCTGGTATTTCAATTTGCTTTAGATAAATCACAAATCAGTCATATCGTCCACTCTTCGCGACACGGAAGAGCGGGGAACCATGATTTTTGCTTGGTGGATGGCGTGCATATGTGATGCATACGCTTCGCTGTACTACCGTCACAAACCGATTCTCGACGATGACGATTATGACATTGACTTCTATACCGTCGATCCCATTAATCCCGACGGTCATGACGGAACAACTCCCTCGCCAAGAGAACAATTAGAAGTACGTGAATCGCATACTGAATCCCACACGCTAACTAAGTCAACTCTACACCAGTTTTTGGTTAGTATCGTGATATGGTCACTTCCATCTTTTGACGTCATGAACAACAGGGCTACTACCGAGCAGCTCATGCTCTTGCACGAACAGCGCGGCAGATGTCCAGGCAACTCTGGAAGCCTGCGACAGAAGCCGATGGGCTGCCCTTCGACATCCTATACACGTTTTTCAAAGCCCTTACTGAGTGGCGCGATGACTATCTCCGGGCGGTAGGCGTTCCCAGCAATGAAAACCAGACGTGGGATTTCGTTACCGTGAGGGGATAAATCATTGTGTTCTTTTCAAGTTGCTCATCCTTCGTGATCGTATTTTAGGCGGTATCTTCCTGTGCCAGCGATGCACAGTACCATGTGATGTGGATCATTCTTTTCAATGCTCTAGATGAAGTTGGGGTAAAAGAAATAAACGAAGCTACCCGGCTTGGTGTCGATCCGAAGTTCGCGCCTGATTTCGCTCACATGGATTCGGTGATGCAAAAAATTGCGGACGAAGCTTTGCATGGAGCTTGCCGGATATCTGCGCTGGTACGTCGTCTGCGCACGAGTTATTCGTTTATCGATTTTTTGTCACTCACTGTATCTATAGGCAGCGGTACTAACAAGCAACCAGTACCTGGTAAGCGACCGATTCTTTTCAACTTTAAACCCATTGACTCGAGTTTCATTGCTTAGCGACTTGACCCAGCTGTGATGCATGTCAGCTGTATCCAAGCTGGAACCCTGCTCGCACGTCTAGGACGGCCAGAAGCAATCAACTGCATCAATGGCTTAGAGCAGTACAGCCAGGCTTATGAAGAAGCAGGCGATCATGCGAGTGAGATCAGGCGCATATATCGAATTGGCGATCGAACTGGTGAAAGCGACTTCAACCATATGAACTCGGTTGCTCCCAGAGTCATTCTCGAGTCAGGATCACCGAGTTCACGCCGTGACGATATGCAGATTGACGAGCGATAAAAGAAGAATGAAGGCAACACTCCCAGCTCAAGGTTTGGAGTTTTCCCTCGTTTTCGTGTCCGTGTTTGGAATTCACTGTCTATCTTGGAGTCTTCTGTTGTACGGTTACCTTTGCAGTGATTGGGTTTCTTTTTTTTCCGTTGTACATTCCACATAAGCAGGTATGAAGGCACCAAGTAACGGGGCTAATGGTAGTTTTGATAACTGGACATTTTATTTATCATCCTATGCGTATCGGTAGTAGCAGTAAGTACTGTAAGGTAAGGTCTTGTACTGGTATAGACAGTTGTATTCAATTGCTTCGATTTACTTCCGCTTAGCCTCCGGAAGTAATTCCTGTCCGGCAACTAAACTGAACGGCTAAGGAATAGAGCATCTTGATTAGATCTGAAGATCAGTATAGTGGGGTAGTCGTGATTAAAGGAATATATGCCAAACAAAATACAGTAGAATGCTAGGAAATATAGATAGATCATCCCACCAATACTATATCAGAATCACCTGGTTCATCATCTGAGGAAATCACAATCACCTCTACAGCTTTGCTTTTCCCCTTTCCCCAGATCGGGCTCTTCTCCCTCGGCCTACGACTAGGAGAGTCCAGTTTATTCTTCCGCGGGCTCTTTCTCGCTACATCATCCTCGGAACCTCGCCCACGGGCTTTCGCTCTGACAGGAGAGGGGGTTATAGGCGGCGGCGGAGCAGGTGACGATGGCCTTGGAACAGGAAGGTCGTCATCTTCATCGCCGTCATAGAATATATCTCGCGTTCGAAACCTATTGAAAAAGATGCAGGCCTTCCGGACGGTATCTTCAACGGACTATACGACGGTAGTTGAGCAGATGACGAGCGACCCAGTATAGGTAGTTCCTCGTCCTCATCGTCGTTTTCGCTATTAGTATCACCATGTAGATCTCGATCTTTTCGGGGGCTCAGGCTGCCGAACTCGTGCTCCAAGTCCATCGGAAATGGTGCAGGCTTCCTCGATGGTGTCTTAGTCGGACTGGACAGTGTTTTTGTTTTAGGAACTTTATCGAGTGCGAGAAGAATTTTAGACGAAGACGAAGGTGTGGAGAGGAAGGCAGGGTTAGCCTTGCGTTTCATAGGCGTATGTGGCGTCGTAGAAAGAGCCGTTGTCTTTTTCTTCCTCGGACTTGGTGGTGGTTCGTCATTACCGCTCATCTCCTCCGTCACCTTCTTCTTGCCTTTTGATTTCTTCTTCCCTTTCCTGCGCCTGACCATATCTTCGTACTCCTCTACTAAAGCGGACCTGGCTCTCTCGACCATGACACCCGGGAGCCAAATAAGAAGGGGGCGACGCGGGTCCTGAGCAGGGTCGATTGCACGATCTTCCGTTTCAAATTGCCAGGGATCGGCAGCGTACAGACCGGTGCCAGCCGGTCTTCTCAATCCGTGCACACCAGCTTCCGCCAAGTGGACAGGAACAGAGACGTCGACTTCAACGCGATACTGCAGTGCGCGACCCGCCGACTGATGTTGCCGTGTACGGTGAATCTTTGTCATCCACCCAAGTTCACCAGCATCCACTACCTCGTCCCCAGCGAACTTGCGCCAAACGAGTTTCTCATCCTTTCCCTGTTCGCCCTCAATTATGTATCTTCTTAGAACACGGACAGCCAACCCAGGCCAGATGAGTGTCCTGAAACGCTTGACGATCGATTCTTTGTATCCCCACTCAAAGTACATTTCGCACAGTGCAGCAATCGCAGGAATGTTTGGTTCCTTCTTCATCCAGTCGATGTCATTGTACTTCTCGAGTGGTGACGTGACTGGTTCCGTGTACGCCAATAGGATATTGATGTCCGGAAAGGTCTCGGGCACAGAATTTGCCAGTTTGCCATGTTTGTGTCCCAGGCATCCAGAGGAATTGGTTCTGAGCTCCTTGATAATTTCTGCGCGCCATGTACAGAGATGTACAGGCAATTCTGCTCTCGTCAGAGTTGTCGCTATGCGGTACAGTGTATCTGCGTGACCTGCACGAGCAAGCCCTTCGGCAGTGTTAGGGCCACAGCCAGGAAGACCCTCGGGGGAATAGTCACCACCTGCACAGAGCGCAATTAATATGAGCTCTGCCCTGCTTAATTTCACATCCTGAAAAACCAGTACGAAATTCCTCTTCTCTGTAGCTGAAGTCTGTGCGTGCGCCGAACTTGGATTCCGCCAGACGGTCTTGGCGCCGAACAAGAGCGCGTCAACGTCGTCACTAAGAACGCCATCAATGATCCCTGCAGCATTCAGATATGCCAGCTCCGCCTCCGCCTCGCCTGGCGCATAGCGCCATTCAAACCCAAATGCCTCGATAAAAGCCTTCAGTCCATCGGTCAGCGCGTTCTCGGACCAGGTGTTGATACGCCTGCCTCGCTTCCATGCCGGTCTCCCTGGACCGTCGAACATAAAGAGAGGCAGTATTGGATTGCGAAGAAGAATTTCCAGGCGAAAGAAGAGCGTCCGCAGCTCGGGATTTTCGCCTTCCTGCCCATACTCAGCATGGAAGAACCAGAGAGAGACGTCGACGCCGAGGCGAAAGGCGTGTGGTGGCCGATTTGTAGAGTCCATCGTCAGCTCATAGAGAGATTTCCTGGACGAAGACTCATCGAGGAGTGGCCAGAGTTTTGCAACGCCCATCGTGAGTCCAAGTGGCAGCAGATGGAAACCTCACCACGTGACTGTGGCGCGTCGTTAATGAGCGTTACACTTGTTTCTCTATGTAACATTCAACGTGAGTAGCGTGATGTCCTTCAGCTCTTTTCTGAGCATTTTCTGGATTACAAAATCGGTGGCTAAGAGAAGGAATGGAACGTCTTGTCATGAGTCCAAGCAAATCGATTGACGCACCATCGGAGGAATAATTGTGATGCTGGATCGTAAGGCATCAAGATTCATTGTACTGATGAGTAAGTCATCGTAGTACACTTCTCCGACTGTCGGAATGCTTCGTAGAAGAGAGAGGGTTAGTGAACTCTTTGATAGAGAGCACCGTTTCAGCGAGTTTGTTCCGAACAATCTGGAGACACCCTACTTACTTTTCCGGAACCTGTACATCCCACTGTCACAGCATAAGTATAATTACACGAAGCAAGATGCGATGAAATTTTACGGACCTATTCCAACATGTTCATCCGATTTCATCTCAAAGATCAAGTTATGTAGAACTTTATGACCATCCTGTTATGATGTAAAGGTCAGACACAATGTAAACAATATTACTGTATATAGCAGGACAACTCTCAAGCATATACATTGCGCACAAATTCTCTGCACGTAGACTCCCACTGCTTGGCCAGTACACCGGAGGGATACCTATTGCAGAAAATTTGGGCTCTTGTTCCATGTTGAAGTAACGGAGAATTCTTTCTAAGCTGATGAAGGGGACATTGTTTTGTGGACGACGTCCGACATCAGCAGGTGACATACTTTATTTTCTGTGGGACAGATTGAACATGCAAGATGACGGGAAACTGAAACATGATTGTACTTGCCATGTAGTTCCACGGCATCAAATATCCTCACCCATACAAGAATCATCGAGCTGAATGAGACTACGAGCAAGTTAGGCATTGGATGAACATTTGGCCTCTGAGGAGGGTGTTTTACCAGCCATGGCAACAGAAAGGCCCATATTAGCTGAGCTCATGTTAGGCCCCCTTCCATAAACTAGATAAAAAGCCTGCGACGAGGTAAACAGCCCTGCCAACGCATCCGTTCGAATAGATGTCCATCTAATGCAGCTTAGCTAAAATATGTGGCACCAAGAACGACGAGTGCACACCTATGGAGATCGTAGAAGATGGGGTCTAACATAATCATCGATACGACACCTAGACTCTTGAAGATAAAATTCTTGAGCGCCGTATGCCCTGATTGAAACTAGAACAGAGTGTAAGAGTTCACCTTTGAAGGGTTAGCATAGGCACTCACCGGGTCCCACGATAGCCGCCCCGAAGCTGAGGGCTATGGTATCTGCGTCCCAAATACTGGCTACTTTGTTATGAGAACGCACTGAGCAAGGAGTGGGGATTTCGCATTTGAATTGTATTGCTTCACTGGTAACTGGACTTTCATATACAACTGCCCGAACATGCCACCAAGGCATGTCATCACGACTCCTGGAAAAGAAAAAGCATGACTGAAGAAAATGATGGAGCCAAATCGAGTGAGGAGCTGCAAATTTAGCTCCGTAAAGCGGTAAATCATAGAAGGGATACCGTTGTCCGCAGTTCGCATTTATTAGCCTATATGACGGCATTCTTACATGACGGAGAAATCGTTTACTCGGTCCAACGACACCTTGGCTAAATAGGATGTGTAGGTTCAGTTGCAATGCAGCAAGTATCAGGATGTGTTATTACCTTGTACTGTAGATAGGATACCAACGATGACCAGACGGAACTTTTGTTGTAGGATTTTGAATACCGTAATTGAAGAGAATACTATAGCGGGTGGAGTTTCGGCTCTCGATAAGTAATTAAAGCATACAGGCTCGAGTTGAACGCACCTGTAAGCCGTCTATTCACGATAAGCATCTGAAGGAAATGTTAATAATGATCTGCTACACGCACAAATGACGCATAGGTTGCAATCATTGTAAGAAGCGGGATTAGAAAGCTTTCAGAGACATGAGAAACACCGTTGAAGGTCTCAAGACACCATCTGACTTCACATGGGCAGTCAGCAGGACCAGAATTTTGTTCCATCGGACATATGTTAACTCGTCAACCCTCCTTTCCATAATCTGCTCTTTTATTTTGGATTCCCAGCCGAACAATTTGATCATTCTCAACATCGACATAGCTAAAACAGACGATTGGGATTGTCCAGTTCCGTCAGAAAGATGTTTAAACATATCTTCGGTGACTTTCTGTCTACGATCATCCATCTTGACGACGTAAATACTACGGAAGGAGAAATAAAATTAAGTAAATACCTTTTTCATTCTCTTTTCTGAACGACTCGCATCATCCGTGACAGGTAACCTGGTATAGGAATACATATCTGTGATGAATGATGGTGAATGGCTGAATGGTAAGACAGCGAATGGTACTTTACTATATAGGATTCCCATGGTCAAGAGCAGATCGAAAGGAGACCAGAAAACCTCTAATAAGGACATGGGTAAAGCTGACTCGGTAATACTTCCCACGTCGGCTGTAGCCAACGTATTGATCCTGCCCATGATATTTGACTTGGCCGTTTTCTGACTTTCCAGATCAAGTCGAATGCGGAGAGCATGCTTGAATATGAGTTGTATAAGGATTCCTTGCGCTACGTAAGGGGGATGACCATCAAGAGAAATTACATACGGCCGTGTGCATAAACCATTCCGAAAAGATAGCTCGAAGAAAAGGGCCTAGAAACGGCCACGAAATCCAAACCCATGGACGGACAATCGCGCCTTCACCATCAGTCTCCAAATAGCTGCAGTGCTTTACTTCAACTTCCTGAATAAATAGAGTAAAACTTACTGTAGAAGGAGGTTAATGCCAATGGGAGCGACAAAATCCAGAAAGATCTGATTGGATCTAAGAAAAGGTTACCTAGGAAAGAAAACTGACCATGTCTTAACAACCTGGAGTAGTGAGTAATTAAATGAAGTAATGAATAGATGCGAAACATAACATACCTCAGTCGTAATGATGACCATCAAGCGAATAGCCGTCTTTCTGTGGTATTTCAAGAAGCTCCGGAGAAGATCGTAATCTTGGTCATCAGAGAATGGGTCTAGGAATGGGAAGGCATTCCTGATTTGCACTTTCGACAAATGCGCATAGGCCCAAAGGAGGCAGCTTCTCCAGAACAGATGTAGGGTCACGATAGGCCAGATACACCAAAGGATCCAAGTAGGCGAACAGTAAACGAAACAGCCAAGGAGCCATTTCTTCAGGCAGCGGGGTCCACAAATCCACAGGAATCCGCACGTCATCATCTACTGGAATATACTCTACGGATGTTGACAGCGGAGTAACAAGCCCCACGATCATGAGGGTAATCTTTGCCCACAAAAGCCAGTCTTCATGCGGAGTCCTGGGGAAATCGGTCGAACGTCACCAAAGGGTATACATCACGATAGCTGTAAGTCAACAGTGACACAAGAAGTACTGCGTTAAGATGTTAGGCGGCTGCTCTGTGACGGAACAGGTTAACGGCGCCAGGGCGGTAGCATAAGTCTAACACGTTTCACATTAGAACGCACCAAATCAATTGAGAGATCGCCTTATGCTGGCTAGGTATGCAGCGAAGGCCTGAAAAATCTGGTCTTCATGGCAAACTGGCTTCCCTTCTTCAAGGAAGCCGAGAATATCGTCAGTATCAACTAGAAAGAAACCAACGGTCGACATATGGCAACACGATCAGCGTGTTTTGTATCATTCTTCTTCGTGCTCAAGTACGAACATGGTCGCGGAGGCAACTGTCCAATAGAAAGGGCCTAGACTCGTGTCGGCCCAAAGGCTAAGGACGTGATCAGCCCGGCAGTCAGCCTGAACACGAGTCGCACGACGGCGCAGAACATACTTGGAGCTGGGCATCTCGAGGTGCCCTGGTGCAAACCTTGAACGAATGAGCGAAAGACGCAACCAAGGGAGGCCACATACAGTATTTGGTGATGTGGGTGCAGAGTAAGATGAGCAGATGATTACAGTCGCCTCCCTCATAATCCACTCTCCCATAACCCATAGGATGGTCCATCTACCAAAGTGCAGATTTCCCTCAAATTACTCCCTCATAACCCATAGCACCGAATGAGAACGGAGGGGGTATGGGTTATAAGGGAGGCGACTGTATTCCAGAATCGCCGCTTGAAGGCAAAAAACAAGCCAAAAAAGGAGTGTGCTGATATCGACAGAAGAGGTCGGGCAAATGTGACTAAAGTACTGCACAGGATCTCACACAGGATGCGTACATACTCATGTCCTCAACTCAAACGCACTGATTTGACAACCTTCGAAATGCCCGATCTCTCGCCATCATACCGATCAGAAGCACCACCCTTGTAGACAGCCTTTTGGGATGCGATTTTCTTCTTCGCCTTGTCGAACTTCTGCCGCTTCTTGACTCGTGGGTTACGCACGCTCTTTGGACGATGAGGAGTAAGGCCCTTGTTCTTAAGAATGGCACGCGTGAGTGACCGCGGCCCCGTTGCTTCTTCTTCGTCATAATCGATACTGAAGAAATGAAATTTTAGCAAAATGGATTTGGCGTAAAAAATCACTGCATACCGAGCCGTTCGTGCCTCGTGCGAGGCTTTCCTTTTCTCCTTTTTATCTTGGGCTTGTTTCTTTACCAGTTCATAGTAACCATCGGCATCCTCTGCTTCTGGCTCGTCAACGTCCATATCCATAGCACGCTTAGGCTCTGGATCGATGCCGTCCAGATCCTCTCCACCTTGCTTCGAAAGTCTCGCTTGAGCCTCCTCAACCGTCCGCTTTTCCTTCTCCTTCTTACGCTCGCGATAAGGAATATCGTCGTCCCCTCCAAGCGTATTGCTTCTCGCACTCTTCCTCCGCGAGCTTGTGCTCTCAATCTTGGAGGTGTGGAACCGCAAACTCTTCCTATGCGCGCTTTTGTCGGCAGCATCTACATGTTGTAATGCAGTCACTTCACCGAATGCATCAATCTCATCGACGTGCTGTTTGGATGAAGAGGTCTGAGTTGAAGTAAACTCGGGCTCGACAAGATCAAATACAGGGTCGTCATCCTGAAGGGACATGGATTTCGTCGTTTTCCGTTTTTTCTTGGGACGAGATCCGCTTTCCGATGACAAAGCTGGCACTTGTAACGGTTTGATCGTTAGAGGAGGAAGATCTGTAGAATGGTCTAAATTTGCCTCCATCAAGAGTTCCGCCAACTCGCTGTCCAGCTGAGGGTGCCGGCCCCGTCTCCATGACTTTTCAGCATCTAGCATGATATCGTCGTCCAGGTCGTCTAAATCGGAATCACTTTCGAGATCGGCGTCGTCGAAGTCAAGGTCTTCAAGCGTGATGAGGGATTGTTTTAACGTCAATAGACGTGACATCATCGGATGGGTCTTGAGCAATTCTGGGTGTCGAGCGTATTTTTCCTTCGCTCGTAAGTGAATGTAGAATGCGAGTGTGCTGGCGTAGGTCAAAAGGACCTCTGTTTTGCGATCAGAGAGGTAGAGACGACATATAGAAGCTCTTACGATAATGGAGATGCAACATTCCAAGACTCAGCGCGTCAGGCGTCTTACTTTCGGTCCTGGTGTCAAATTTAATGTGCCGAAGGCGCAGGCATAAGAAACCTTCCTCACCGAGTAATCTTCTCTTTAGTTTTGATAAGGTTTTGGGCCGTATCTGTCCAGTCTCGGGCAAGAGCAAGACTCTCTGGGTCTGTGCGCTCAAAGTGCCGGATGAGTGAGGCATTGTTTAAAGGCAATTGCTGTACCGCCGGAGGTCGCGGTTCAGCTAGTGCACTAAAAGTCGCATGAGCACGAGGATGATGGGAACAGAAAGTTGACGGACTCATTATTCTCCGCATCCTTTGTCAAGTCTATCGGGTCGTTCAGCCCAAAGTCATCGTCGGTCATGTCCTGGCGCATCTTCGCCTGTAAGCGCCTGGCCTCCTGCTCTTCTAGTTCGTTTCCTTCCTCATCATCGGATTCCAGCTGGGCAGCATTGGAAGAATAGTACGCGGATTTTGATCTTCCCCACGACTCTTCCTCTTCGGACTCTTCAGATTCAGAGGATTCAGAGGATAGCATTTTTCCTTTCCCTTTGGATTTATTTTTCTTTGACTTGACGGCAGTTTTCGAGTTATGGGTCTCCTTGTAGTCCATACCATCCTCATCCATATCTTCGTCGACATCTATTCCATATTCGTCTTCGTCTTCGTCTGATACTCTGTTCAAAGCGAAAACTTCGTCGTCCTCGCCATCATCGTCCTCTCCCTCATCACCGGCCATAAGAATTTTATCTCTGGAAGCATGAACTTGGCAAAAATCAGCATTTTCAATGGCTGAAACACCGAAAGATGCCTCACATTGGTCCTCTTCGTCCATGGGTATGTCCGAGAGTTTGTCCCATTTCTTCATTTTACCGTCTGCGCGATTCAAGACTTTGGGTTTCCTAGAAGACGGCCCAGGTTTTATTCCCCGTTTTTTACCCATCTTGAGACGTGAAGTACAATTTACTGGGTGACTGAAGGCGTGAAACAACACAAAAGTTTACTTGACCAATATTCGTTTTTAACTATTTGGTCTGGATGCCAGCACCAAATACTGCCGTCTTCCTGCCATCATGACTTCGTTATTGCGCGCTCTTGCGCTCAATACCGGGCTACGTGCTGCGGCACTTCTCAGGGAGATACCACCACGATATGTTCAACCCAGTGCCCTCATCATCCTCCAACAATGCCGTTCCTTTCACTCGTCACCACCAGCGGCCGCTACTATGAACCAAGCAATGAAGCGGAAAAAGCGACCCGTCCGGCGTACCCAGCTTTCCAAGTCCCCTCTTTTAGATACTTCCCCTCAGAAAAAGGGTGTATGCACCCAAATCATTATTGCAAAGCCCAAGAAACCCAACTCCGCGAAGCGGAAAGTCGCTCGTGTGAAGTTGACCAATGGGAACTCGTTGCAGGCGTACATCCAAGGCGAGGGGCACAACTTGCAGGAGCATAGTGTTGTTCTGGTTCGAGGTGGTCGTTCGAAGGATCTTCCTGGTGTCAAGTGAGCTTCCCTTTCACTGGCGTTGCTTCCTCGTATTGACCCTGCTCCCAGGTACAAGGTCGTCCGTGGCGCGCTAGACTTTGCCGGTGTACCGGGTCGTATGACGGCGAGAAGTAGATATGGGTATGTCTGTCTGTTATTCTGTTTAATGTCTTGTTTATATTATCATTCTTAGGGCCAAGAAACCCAAAAAGTAATCTTATTACCGTCGAGATTACGTTGAAATATTGCAATGCGTTTTCGTAACATCTAGAAGGTCACCTGATTACTGCGGTTTTTGTGTGCAAGCGATATCAAGAGAAGGACTTTTCAGTTCTTGTTCTTACTACTGAAGTCGAAGTCCTTCAGATCAATTTGTTCCTCGATGAACCGTATTCCTTATCTCCAGATACAGCTCCAATTTTGTCAGACTTTCCAACATTAGAATCACAATCTTTTCAGGCGTATTTCAGCTCTTGTTTAACGTCTAACTCTCATCGCGCAAAACTGCGAACATGGTTACAAGTCGTCATGATGCATTAAAGTATTACAATTATTGCCGAGTATATTAGCTGCAAGTATGTGGTATGTAACGGTTCCGCTTTCCGCCATGTCCATCAAGAAGAGGGTATCTGAAAAGAAGCTATAAACATAATTTTGTCAATCCGCCGGTGTCCCTCAGCTTTTCCTCTTTCTCCTTTTGTGCTCTCGCAATCTTCTCGATTTCAGTGTTCAAAGCCCAGCACCAGGCATCGCGCTCCAATTTGTTTCGCGTCCGAAAAATGACTAGTTTGTGTTTGCCCGACAATGGAAGATCCGCATCCGCATCGCTCTGGAGACGATACCGAATTGCGAACAAGGTATCCTCTTCCGGATCATCGGTTTCCAAACCGTCCTGATAATGGCGTGGAATGCTGTTGGAGTCAGGATCGTATTGACCTTGAGGAAGTGCCATTGCCGCAAAATATCCCGAACAAATGTATGCGTCCGACAGACTGATCTTATGCATAGCATTGTATAGAGCCGAGTGCGATTTAATGCGAAACAAGCAGAGACTTCCGGAAACGAGGATCATTCGGGCGAGCCTATATTAACGTGAGAATGGACAGAACTTGGATTGATGGCAGGGATGACTAACTTGAATTGCCCGCTTAGTCCTCGCCGAAGATGTATTTTCCCGCCTCGTATAATGGTTTTACAACCTTCCAGAACACACCAATTGTACAAGGAGGTTAGGGCTGGCAAAGGCGCTGAGGGATCCGGAGGCGCTGAAGGAGGTACATCTTCCACCGCATCGTGAACATGCTCTTTAGGCGTCAGCCGTGGCCTGTGTGCTGCAGAAACATCCATTTCGTCCTTGGCATCTGCTCTATGTCGCAATTTCCAGTATGAGATCAACAATCGCAATCTGTTAATCCACTCCAGAGAAAATTTGCGAGAATAACACTAAGATTCAAAAATGAGCAACGGGATATCCTTGATTCAATATGATACCCACTTCAAACCTGATGACATGGCCATTTTTCAGAAGAAGCTCGAACGAGCGTTTCATTCTTAGGTGATGTTTGTCCGAAGCCTTGTTGACGATATCTTCTCCTCCTTCGTCTTCGTTGTCACTGTGGCTACTTTCCTCCACGCTAGGCTCGGACCAGACATTCATCCACGAAGAATTTGCATCCCCATGATTGTCCCCAGTGCCCGCTGGATCGATCTCTGTATGGGTGTGCGAAGGAACAACTTGAAACGCCCGTCTTACAGATATTACACTCCTCAAATCAGCTACCGCAGTGGCATTCAGAATCTGTGACGTTCCTCGTTCGACCTCGTGCTTATTCAGCTTCTGAGCGTAATTTTCGGTATCTCTAATGGGAAAGGGCGATGGGGGATGCGCCTTCGAAGTAGGAAGAGTAAAGAGATTCCCGTCATGCGTGGTCATGTATATGCGTTGTTTCAGCTGCGTGTTTGGCTTAATGCGGGACACGTAGCCTTCGATACTCGGAGGTTCGTGGTAAAAAGAGTCTTCTGTTTCCACGTTGATATGATTCAGGGGTTTAGCGAGACGAGAAGGATAGTGATCCCCAAGACGAAGTTCGAGATGAGCCTATGATAAAATATATCAGCGTTGAAGACTTTGACGAATACATCGATCTACCTGCTTGTATGCCAACCCACAGAGAACCGCCCAGCCTCGTCGTTGTCCATACACATCGTCTTCGAGCCATATCCAATCCAAATTGGTATCCATTCGCCACGCAAGCTCTAAAACCTTACCCAAACTAATTTCTCGCTCAATAACCTCTCTCCAATCAGGAACTTTGCGAAGTGATTGCAAACATAGGGCGATAACATTAGCCCGCGTGAACATCTTGCTGTATCCTTCCACAGTGGCCATTTTAGGGACATCAATTTTGACTTTGGCGTCCAAACCTGGATTGCGAACCTCGATCACAGATGGGACTTGACCTCCGATGTGGCACCTAATGTAAAGGCATCAACGCGTCTGCATTGCATTCACCAAGTTCGAAGGCACGAGTTACCACAGCTGCCACATCCAGTCCTGGCACCTTGATCGATTTTTGGGTTTGAAGACGAAAATGTTAGTGCCTGCCTTTGCCACATGGAAAAACGCTCGTGACTTTGAAGTTCCGTTGTATGTAGGGGTGGGTGGGCAAGTGATGCAGAAGGTTAAATCAACGAATGAATATAAGAATAGCCGCGTTCGTTCTGATTTGAGTGGAACGAGAAAAGCAAGGTGTTTGTGCCCTGTCAAACGCTCCTTCCCAGGAATAGTCTGAAAAGCAATCAGGTCATGATTCGAGCATGAAACATGGATATACAAACGTAATCTTCGTACACTTCAATGGAGTCTCGCCTCCAAACAACCATGAATTCAGCCCAGTCTTCATGGCGCAAGCCACTCGTCATCCGGTGCTGGTACTCGTCGAATTGAGACCCAAGAGATTCACATTCTGTGTAACTGACGCGCACGAGCATCCTGTCTCTCATAATAACGCCTCCCCACCCAGCGTTCGAATCTGCATAAGCAGTTGCTGGGGTCATTGCTCCAGCACTCGTCTCCTCTACCGCTTCCCCGCACCTCTCCAACACCTCTTCTGGAGCAACGGGCTCCTGGTCTGGAACATTCAATGTGGTTGATATAGGAGTGAGCGTGGGGTCGGCATAGTGAACCTTTTGCTTTCCTTTCCTTTTGCTGGTCAACGTACCACTTTTGATGAATGACGGCATCTTGATAATAGGTCTAGGAATTACATCTGTGTTGGCCTTGCTCGAGGATGAAGTGTTCCGAGCTGTGGCGGGTCGTCGTATAAGCGCCGTAACTGAAGATACACTGTGGTTGTCACCATCAGACGAGCCGGGCACGGCGCCATTCTCCAACGGCGGTAGTCGTGAGGTACTGGCTGTCACAAAGGTTTCAGACTCCTCATGAGTTGGGACGGGAGGCTCTCTGAATGAAGTACTAGCTTTAAGTTCGAAAGGTGCGGTGATAAACGTTTCGTTGGCAGACGCCGTTGAATCCTCGGCAGGTAGTGGCGATGATGGTAACTTTCCAGCCTCGTCTTCCGGTATTAATGGTAGATATACGTCGGAAAGGCCTTTTCGACTAGAATAAGCGGACGTGACAGGCTCCATGGATTCGAGAACGTTCACGCCCAGAAATTTTCCCACTTCAAAGCTAGAGCCTACCCACTTCTGGTCCGGAACTTTGCCTGACGAGGCAAATTTTCGAATCCAGATGGAGCCCCAATCACTCTCGCGCCATTTGGTGAGCATTTCTTCGTGCACGCTGGACTTGCTCTTTTCGCCCCATTCATCTGGATTTCCGCCGGTTAAAAGAAAGAATTTGTAGGCCATATCATTCACGAGTTGACTGAGATCTCCTTCCTCTTGATCCATGGCAACCTCACCGGAGACAAAGTTCTCCGGCATGGGCCCAATGAAGACGCGTCGATGTAGATGGACATTTTCCGACATATGTTTCGCTTGGGAGGTAGAGGATCCTGCTGTAGAGAGAGAGAAGCTTCGCCTAAGTTCGAAATCCATGTCAGTGGACAGGAGAGGAATATAACGCCAATTTCTTCGTACTTTTTCATCAATATATAATGTTCGACGACATTGAGAACTATGTATGGTAATGCAAGACAAAGACTGCCGAACAATGGTAGTAAGCCAACTTGTCTTTGTACTTAGATGGCAAGGTTACGTACCGAAAGCCTTTGTGACCAATAAAAGGCAAAAAATACAGTCAATTACTTGTGTCCAATTACCTTGGATGGCAAAAGGTGGACTTTGAGAACGAGAACGTGGACGGCTAAGACAGACAGTAGCTAATGGTTGGGTGAGGTCATTTTCTCATGGTTCGGGCCGGAAATCCGAACGATCGTGCCCAAAGTATCGCACTTCTGAATATAGCTACTAGTACATGTCGAGTCTCATCACGCTGAGTCGCTGACGGCTGACTTTGCCTTGCTATACGATGTGAGTGTTCTACGCTTATGTATTTTTTTTGAGGAACGCGGCCAGAGTCCCACGTTTTACATCCAAAAGGTTGGGGATCATCGATCCCAGGATCCTATCAGTAATTGATGTAGGTCGTTTTAGCATGCTGTACGCAGGAGCAGTCTGACAGAGAAAAAAGCTCAGCGGGCATATGCATGGTTTTCTATTCAAATGTATATGTATTCTATCTTAAATAACTTGTCCTGTATGCAATGCCCTATGAAATGATATCTATTTTAAAAAAAGGCACATAGACATTATACTACTAGACCCCCTAGCAAGCGACTACATAGGTCACCAGAAGGTAAAGTATCCGCAGCTGACCTGGACTAAGCAAGGCAAATCACAAGCGGCATCGGCGTCTTTCCGGTAGATTGACAAGACAGACATAAGAGCAAGATGTTGTTCGAGGTAGGGCTGTGCTACTACCACCTATATCATGATTCTCGGATTGCTGGGGTACGTGAGATGTAGGGGATACGAATCTGTGTGTTTGGGGTCATGTTCAGCACTAGCACTTCTGCTCCAGAAAAATCACACTACGACAGAATAACTCAACGCTTTCCCGCGTACAATATATAATATCTTTTTTTTTTCACACGCACTGCTAACAGGAATGTTGATTCCGCTGATTTTTGGCCAGGGAAAACAGATGCGACCGTGACCCCATGCTATTAATATCGTTGGAGCTCATGTTCACGGCACTAGAAGTGATGGACAAGCCAATACAGTCCACGGGGCAAATGACAAGAACGCGCACCACAGCCAGCAGATGCAGATTGAAATATCACCATTTCTGCCGCTTCTTGGCCTGCAAGGTGTTCTTCCCTCGTGCACCCCGGACGCTCTGCAAGTCCTCAAACTTCTTTTTCGCATAACGTTTCGCCTCGGCGTCATCCACCAACTCGTCCACCAAAGTCCTCTTACGGTTCGCCCTTGTAAGATTATCCGAACTGCCGCCTCCAAATGGTGTGTTTGCAGTAACAATAGTACCAATCTGCAAAGATAATTTTAACGAGTGCTGCTACGCACATGAAAGGGATGCTCACGGCAAAATGTTTCGGCAGGCCTTTGATGCCTTTCCCTTCTCCTTCGTCTTTACGATAGAAGCGCTTGGGGTCCATATAATTACGCAGACGCATTGCTTCCACCTCGCGGTAGAGTCGCGGAAGGTCTGCTTCTGCTGGAGCAGGCATGTCAAACCATCCCGGCCCTGCAGTTCGCTGTTTTAACTGGCCCCAACAATAAATAAATTACGTTGATAGAAAGGAAAGATGGTCCTCACCGCTTTACGTTGCTTTTTTGTCAGTACTTTCCCACCTTTGGTCAGTTCTGGGGGTGGTATAGGAGGTGCGGGTACGGATGAGGATTTCTCAGCAAGTTCGATATCGGGGTCGCGTATGGCCGTCGGTCGATTATGCCTTGATTCATCAAATTCGAAATAGGGCTTGGGAATGTTTCCGGGGTCGAGGAGAGGTAATATCCTATAGAGCGATTGAACTTTTGACACCAAGAAGATAAGAAGAAGCGACAAATGGACATACTGGTTGCCGGGTTCGTCATCTAGCTCTACTACATCCCCTTGTAAGATATCCACAGAATTTGTCGGCTCACGAGACAGTGATAGAGCATTTTTCCTGGCTTTTTCAAGTAAAGAATCGAGATATTCTTGTGTGACAGGTTCACTGTCCGAACTACATGAACTAGACGTATCTGAATCGACGTCGGAGGTAGAAGCCGAGTCCGAAGAGTCCTCTACAATCTCTAGATACAGTTTGTTCAACGTGCGGCCTCTTCAGCATTCTGTCACATACCTGTAGCCTTTTCTTTCCCTTTTCCTTTCCATTGAAGCATGACGATTAAGGATGGGGATGACGAGACAGAGACGTGTATATCTTGGTCATGCGTCCGAGTCGCTGGTTACGCTGCAAGCAGCAATAATGGCTCGAGCTCTCTTGCAGGAGTTCTCGAATCGTCGTCGTGACCTCTGTGACCGATTTTGCCGATTTTGGCCGAGGCGAAATCACATGACTCCCCAGGTGGGCGGATGCAAATCCTAAGATTGCCTTCTCCACTGCATCCTGCTTTTTTCCAGTTTTTCTTACCTCTGTTTCTTCCTGTACGATGAACGAGAACACATATTTTTCTGGCTGAATTCCACCCCCTTGCTCAGTCTCGGATGAAGCCGCCTGACAAGTTTACTTCCCATTCTTCTGTCCGACACCTAGCTGCCTACCACACAAATGCGGGCAGGGGAGTAGTAGAGGGACCCTCCGGGAAAAGCAAACATGTCCAAGCCTCGTAACGAGACAGCTTAGGATGTCAGGAGGAGGACAGCAGCATGCGCGGTGAGTTCTCCATCATTCAGTGACATCGAGGAGTTGTGCTGAACTGCGAATGATAGTGAATGTAAGGTATGCCAGCAACCAAAACAAGTGAACACTTCTGAGCGTTGTAGCAAGGCAGCTAGGTAGGCATCAGTGTGCAGGGTGAGTTCTCCATCGTTTGATGACGTCGAGGGCTCGTTCTGAGTTACTGATGATAGCAGAAGCAAGGTGTGGCCACCTCCAAGGCGTGCGATCCATATCTGAGTTCACAGCAAGGCCACTACGTGCCGACTGGAAGGGCGATCAGCATGCGTGGTGAGTTCTTTGTTGTCCAGTGATCTTGCGGGTTTGTTCTGAACCATGGATCATAGCGAATGAAAGGTATGACTACCCTCAAGACAAGCGAACATGTCTTTGCTCGCAGCAAGAACAAGGCATCAGGCATTATTCAGAGGTAGGTGTAGGTGCGTGCATTCCTTCTCGGCGAAGAGAAGGTGCAGATTTTTATGGCTGTTACTTACAGGTCCTAATCAATGCTTTCTCTGCGGCCACAAACAGAGACGTTAGATGTTACCCATTGCGACACCCGTCTGTCTGCTTTGATGGCTGTTCTCCCTTACGCCGTTACATTCATCACAACTGCGAGCTTCATCTCAATGATCATATATCCCATCTATTAACTTCAGGACTACACTATCATTATGCATATCTCTGTATTTATATTTACCTTGACGGTTGACTTGACACACATTCATATGCGCGCGTGAGGTTATTTTGAGTTACAGAAGCAAGCAGGAGCAAAGGCCATACACACATTATCGCCCTGGACTTTAAGAGAGCCATAGAACCAGTCTATGTATACTAATATCGAATGTAATATAAGCGACGCTGTGAGAATCTCTTTCTGGCCCTGAACTTTTTCCTCTTCAGAGTCCACTCGAAATCACCAATTCATAGCAGGGGGCACATTTCCCGATGCGGCATTCCAGCATTTCACCGAGACGAATGCGAACGAATATTCCAAAGGCACTCGTAAGTAGTACAATTTAAGTCTCTATAAAGTACATATAAATGAAAAGATTGACTGGTCATAAAGAGCGTAACAGTCCAAAAGACTTGAGAGTATAAAAACACCGGGAAGTTTGAGCGCTGATGATCGTAAGTTGTAACGACAGGATAATGCTATAGCGAACAGAACAGATAAGACGAAAGTGTAGACCAAGATAATCATACTACCCAAAATATAGAAAGCAAAGCACAATAGCGTCGAAGGAGGATAGAAATGCATACAAACAGTCGCGAAAGAGAGTGAAAGCACGAAGCAACCCGATAATGAATTAGTCCACAAAAATGTCCACAGCAGCGTGAAAAAGGAAGTCGCGATCAAGAACCACGTACGGAAAGACTTACCATTCTTATTTTGAGATGAGGTAGTTAACCATCGCGTTCACTTGTCGCTGCGCTTTCGCGCGGCGATAAGATAATACTTGGCCGACCGTCTTCCCGACGAAGCGGTAGCGGCGGAGAGGACGCGCGCCGCTCGCGGTCAGACAATCGAGGACTCGATTGCTGCCGATGAAGTCCTGGACGACGGATCATCTTTCCCGACACATGATGAGTGCTTTCACGATGCGAGGTCGGAGGTGACTGCACATTAAGGCTGCGAGGCTGAGAAGGGCCGTCACCGCGCGGTATGGGATCTAGACGGCTAGCAGATATCGAAAGACGCCTGGAACGGAAAGGACCCGGGGAACCGTTGTCCGATTCTCGTCCGCTTTGACAATCCCTGTCTCTGTCGTGTGTCCATCCGGGAGACGATATCCGTCTGTCATGTTCAGACATCAAACGATCTCGGTCAGAGGGTGCGACTGGAGGAAACGTGTACGACTCTGAAGCCATGGGACCAGTAGGTATAAGACCATTCCTGGCCATCTGTTTCTCCTTCGTCTTGTGGGTACCGGGCATCTCGATGCTCGGACGGCGACCGCCATTGGGTATCCTAAGGGCATCCTCCAATTCGTCTATTCGCCGCTGCATACCCGCCATCTCCGCTCTCATGCCGCTCATCCTTTTATCGACAAGACTTTCCACGAGCTCATGGAGCCGATCTTGTTGCTGATTTAGATTCTGCACAAGGGCCTGTGATTTCTGAAGCTGCTCGCCCAGCCAAGTCTTCAGCTGCTTCGAATCATTAAGCGCATCGTAAAACATCTCAAAGGGTGTCAAGAAAGCGGCCTTTCCACCCGAATAGCCAGGGTGGTGAAGAGAGCTGGGTGTAGGGGGGACAAGTGTGGAAGAAATAGCGACGGAAGCATTTGGCGGCGATCTGCCTGAAATTCCGGGAATAGGATGGGTAACTTGGCCGGATCCTGACGGATTGCGTTGCAAGGACAGTCGCGTTGGAGTGGGGGGAACATTACCAGTTACCACCCTTTTCATATTTTCACCACCGCCCAGTACGGATGGCAACCGCGGCAATGTCATTGGAACTCTTCCAGAATAGAAAGAACCCTGTTGCCCGCCAGCATGTGGTATCGGTGGCGCACTTTGAATGGAAAGTGCTAATTGCTCTTTCGTATACGCCTCTCTGGGGCTGATGACAATATCAGCCGGTTTTTTCTTCCCCTGACCGCCTAGTTGATTAGCCCGTCGTCGCGCAAAGCTGATAGGAGGTGGTGGTAGTGAATGCGGATTAAGGCTAGATGACGAGGCTTGAGTTGGTACAATTTGCTGAGGAGTGGGAATAATGATAGCGCCAGGACTGGGGGGATGAGTGCTCCCGCCCGCAGTGTTGGTAAGACGACGTGATCCCGTCCCTGAATTAGGGCTAAGACGAATGGGTCGGGAAGATGGCGGAGGTGCCTTAGATGGCGTCGACCGCTCATCGGAGGCAGAAGGGACGCCTGCCAGACCAGGCGAGACGACGCCAGCTACGCTACCTCTGCGCTGCTCAATGAGAGCCTTCTGCTTTTGCTTTACGGAAATCATGGACCGGACCTGCTCGGCGGCATTGGGATTGTCGCGTTGGCTGGGCATACTGAAGCCAATGACGACGGGCGATATAGGGGTCGAGCCAGCCGGCTCTGCTGGGGTACGAACGTCTGTATTGAGGGCGCCAGGTTGCGGTGCGCCGCTCACGGTGACCCGCCGTCGTTTTGAAGGATTGAGGTGGACAGACGATGGCGCCGGTGCAGCAGAGATATCCAGCAGCCGTTCTGGCTGGGCTGGCTCTGGACTGGATTGGAGCATGTCTTGGTCAGGTTCCTCTTTGACCCGGGTCGTGCGAGTCGTCCTGGAGGGCCATTAGCATCGTGTACCTAGTATCTTTATATTTTCTGTAACGCACTCATTGTCCGACTCGTTTTCTCCCTGCGTCGGCGGCGATTCCTCAACTCGTGCGCGTTTCCTACTCACCCTCTGTGAAGACGATGCCTCTTCGCTTCCTGGACGTGAAACAGTCATCGTCGGCGTTTTGACGCGAAGATCGCTCGAATGTGGTCGTGTCTGGATGGGAGGCAACGATATGTTTCCCTGGGATATATTTCCCAGTGACGTCGAGCTGAAGGCCTGGGCAAAGGACGGAAGAGACTGTGGGATATGTGTCGCTATGCTGCTCGTATGGTTGAGAGACATGCCGTGCTGGCGACTGGACAGGTCGGCTCAGCGAACACAGTGTGCTGGCTGCTGATAACGACGGCAAGCTGGTGTGGCGGCCGTCGAGAACGATGGCAATGATGGGATGGGGGTGATGGGAAAGGGTGGTTGAAAGAAACAAGGGAGGCCTACTTCGGTCGGATGGGATAATTAAAAGAAGTTCGGTATGGAATATGTGTTACCCTCTTTCTGTAGCCCGATCATTGACCTTGAAATTTGCTGCAAAGCCTCCTCCTGCGACAAAAGGGGCCGTATACAAGCAGCAACCTTGCACTATTCTCATTTTTGTATATTTTCTCTCTTTTACAGCAAGCGTTCACAAAATGTGTCAATCTCAAACACGAACCCGGTATCGGGGTATGAAACACGACAACGGACAACGCATCTTTTTACTCCTCCATGCACAGAACTGGTGCGAACTGCCCGGATCCGAGGTCATACCCTTTGTTCAAGGTCGACACCGCAGTCCCATCATCCAAGTCCGATTCCGTCCTCTTCATTTCTCACCAGATAATATCCCCTTGCTTCCGTGATCCCATCGTTCTCTCGACACCAACCATATGCATCACCTGCGAGATCCCGAATTGCTGGGATTCTTCTTTCAGCTTACGCAATGGCGCATCGTGCTAGCTCGACAGCGAAGCAATCTTTCCTTACTCCAGAAGGGATGGTCCTCCTCTGGTGCCGGATTCCTTCACTGCATACATATCATGGTCCGCCCACGACCGCACCTCAGTTAGGCGATTGTTTGATTTTGTCGTGATAATCGATGACATCCTTCGGAGAAGGGGTCCAACAGTTCTGGAGAGTTTGATAAGAAACAGGACATCAGAATCAGTTCCACACACTGCTTTTGTCAGTTCGGCCAAGCAACTTGCCTAACTTTAGACCTGCAAAGAACATTCTGGGTTCAATCATCGCAGTTAAAAATTGGCCGATGACTCTTTTTTGCTTATAACGGGCGCGCATCCACATGCAAAACACTGTGCTTTCAGTTGTGTCTTCTGACTTGGTGCGCTACGCAATTCAAAATGGGACTACAGCCAATTTAATAAATCGTTTTCAGGCATCGGAACAAAAGGAACATTTACCTTTTGCGAGTTTACTTTGTGTATTGAAGCGAAGATGGACGTCGTCAATGTTTGGGGCCTGACCGCCATATTTGTACATCGCGGTCACTTGATCAGTCTTCATCGCGTTTCCGAGTCGTCGTTGTGCGCCGGTGTCGGAGCCGTTGGTACATAGAAGACCCCGTAAACTTCGAATCCTAAAATATTGTCGAGTCTGCAAAGCCATTCGCCTCCGTATCCACCAAAGAGATTAATGTATAACTCATGCCGGCATTTCTTTGTTCTGAAAGCAGAATGCAGCCGAACGCAATTGATTTTGCCCAGTATTCTGCCGGCAATATTCCGCGCGTCCATTAGCAGAAAACGTTGTTCAGTGCAGGAACTTGGGAGCAGACGATCTTTTCAGGGCTCCCAGCGGAGAGTCTTCGTAATGCAAGATCGTAGGACGAGGCGCGTCTAGACTGGTTTATCGCTTCATCTTGGTCTTGGTCCTAAGGGTCTGAAGACGACGTTACAAGCATTCCGCTTCTACTCCAGGAAAGACGCTTCCATGGCGGTTGCTGGACTAGGGTAAACCCTAGGCAGTCAAGCCCACAACGACAAGCGGCTCTCATCGGCAGCCAGCTTGCGGGCATTGGGCGATGAAGCTTGTCTAAGCCTTCAAAGATTTAAGCACTGTTGTACATGACACTATACCTAATAATGTCATGAACGCTAAGCCAATTGCGCAGGAATGCGTTTCTACACACTGGGTAGTAAATTGAAAATCAATTATTGAGAACAGGTCGTACCATAGAAAAGTTCAGAGCATGGACTAAGAATTGAGCATAGAACATCAACATGCCAAGTCGTAAAAAGAACCATGTCGTTAGTGGCGTAGCAATGTGACTATCTTCTCAGATAACTTCATGCTAGTAGTAGTGGCCAGCGATATCCGACTGTTGTGAGAATACCATGAGTAATGTTTATAGCAGCATTTGTTATTACATTCAGTGAAAATAGTTCCTGAGTACGCGCCCCAGCTGCTGAATTACACATATAAGCTTATTGGTTTGAACAGTCAATAGAATCATAATGACACACAGACTTATCCGTTATTCGGCCCGTTTCATTTTCCTCCGCACCGTTAGAACCGTCACTTGTGGTGCATCGGTCGACTTTCCGGCACTTTGTTTGACACCCGGCGCGGTTTCTGTCTTCTTCGAAGGTCTGTCTGGGTTGCTGACACAAACTGACCCGTAAATGTGTGAATTATACGTCTCGAGAGACGGCTCTGGCTCGGGAAAAGGATTCGGGGAGACATCTGGCTCGATTCTTGTTCCATTTGCCATTCGAGGAGGTGGGGTAGATGGCTGAGGGGGAGCCAATAACGAACACGGCTCCGGTGTACGTCTCTCGGACTTGGGAGGACGATCACTTGCACGTATGGGACGAGGCGCTTGAATGATAGGCGTAGGAATAGAAGCGATGCCTTCGCACAGGCCCCGTATGGCACCCTCCAAAGACTCCGTGGCTCGGACTGCAAAATCAGTCGATGAGAAGTCAACTGCAGTATGCAACGACGTCATGATTCTTTTATTGATTTGCGACGAAACCTGCCCTGGTTGAGGGGCGAGTGGGGAGATGGAAGAGTGTATTGAAGGATTTGACAATGCTGGATGGGGGAATGTTACTCCAAGAGTGAAGAATCCGGTGACAGCGCCAGCCACGCATTCTTGACGAAATGACATGCGTTCCCAGAATTCGTCTGGTGATACGATTCCCAGCTCTCCCGATGGACGCTTGTCCTTTCTATCATCTTTTTTTTCCGACGTATGAACGTCTTCCCCATACTCTTCTGATTGCTTTTTTGCCAAGTCCAAACGAGAGTTGGTACGTGTACGTTTTCGTGCGGGGGATTTAACTCGCCCATTCTCCGTAGTATATGCAATCTCATCGATGAAACGGGACTTTGGATCATCATCGAACCATGGTATGTAATGGCCCAAATTCAAAATTTCGCTCTTCGGACAAGCCAATGGAATGTCTTGTTGCGAATATGGATGACCATATATCCAACGCAGGTGTGGTCGAGACGATGGGGAGGAAGATGACGACGTAACTTTCAAGGAATTCTCTGCCTCAAGTTCCGAGTACCCGGGAAGCACATAGTTCAATCTAATGATAGCTTTAGATTGGGATCGAGCGTCAAGTTCTGTGGCCACACCAATAAAGATACCCTTCCACCAACCACACAATCGCACGTCACTCAGCGGACGTTTCCCTGAAAACTCTGAAGAATTAGGGAAGAGATACTGGTCCTGGGCACGAGCAAAAAGATGAATCCAAAGATGTTGTGCCTCAATGGGTCTGGTGGCAGGGTTAGCGTAAAACAGAAGCAGTGAGCGGACTAGCGCAGACGTGGGCGATGGGGAACACGCCTGCCCAGTGGAATCCACCTTCGACACATAGAGAATGGCGCATGACGTGATAGGTATATTGTACACACAGGCCTCGATACCAGAAATCATAATCCGTGGCGAATCTGGAGTTCTCTGCTCTGACAGAAGAATGAGAATGTCCTGCAAATACGACCTCGGTCTAGGGAGCGCATAAGGATACAAGTCAGCGTGTTTCCTGGGCGAAGAAACCAGGACATGAATATGGAATTCCCGGGTACCAGGAAGGTCCCTCAGCCCGTCAAGAAGGGCATTCCTGAGGAGATTGACCGACATGGCAGCAGTGATGGAAGAAGTGGAGATGTTCACTGTTTAGCGCGCTCTCAGGCGCTATTTTCTTCCAATGTGTTTGCCAAACATAGATCAATATGACGCCATAACAATGCTTAGCCGAATTCTCGAGTGGAATACCTTCGCGGTTCTTCCGAAGATTATGATCGATATGCAGATAGATATAGAAATCAAATAGAAATACAGCAAGAAATTACGGTGGAAGGTTAACGTTTCCCGGTTTCCATGTGGTCGTCACTACACTGCAGATAATACTGGCACCAGGTCCAAACAGGCACTTCCGATAGGCTAACATTTGAGTCAACCACGTTACAAGACCGAACGGTAAGCACTCTGCTACACTCACAGTCGTAACACCGTCATCTGTTTTCGTAATAGTGGATGTTTGAACATTGATCATGAGTGGCGTGACAGACTGATGTGTTAATTGTTCAATTCGACCAAGTCGTAACTTGTATTTTAAAACTTACCGGCGTCCTTGATGATCGTCTTGCAACTGGAGCTGGAGCTGGCATATGAACGGTCCCCCCCGAGGCAGTCTGAAAGAGTGAAAACTGCATAAATGTTTTATCTGATTTTTGGCCCGCCTTCTCCCGAAGTGAATAACGACAGTTCAACCTGAGATTTGGCGTCAGAAAAAGTTCGAGAATCGAATACCGGAAACGACTCTACAATGCCAAGAACGAGTTAACGTAGCCTAAAAATGAAGCAAGATACTAAGAAATCGCCACCACCTCGTATGAGCGTCAACACATACATTTTCCGCCTATCCAACAGAAGGCCAGCCAAATGTAGTTATTGGGCATAATTACAAACTAAAAAAAGTTGTGAGGCAGCCACGAGCAGATAATAAGCAAGCCTATACCGTGATTACTATCACCACGCCGATCAAGCTAACCGGAGGTAAGTTGAGCATCTCCAACCGACCGAGAGGTTCAGAAATACCTTGAGACTAGGCCCGTCGCTACGCTATAGACAATCAGGGTGCTGATGAGAGAGTCGGTTCTTAAAGAAGTTTCGTTGTGGAAGGATTTTTGCATGAGGATAAACAATGCACACACCTCGGATAGCCCGTCCGGCTTCGATACAGATAAAAGCACAAGGAGGCGGCAATGAGAATATCCGCGACCGCTGAGCTTCCATTTCCTGCACTGGTGATCCACTGTAAATCAATTCTGAGAATCGATGTCAGGCTAGTGTTGTATCACACTCACAATCAACTGCTGGAATTCTCCCATGGATCCTAATCTGAAGCTAGAATATCCTTCTGTGCAGTCGCATGATATCAAAAAAGCAAGATAGACAAACCTTTTGACGGTGAAAACTGTAACACGTTGCAGCACCTTTAATGAACGTAAACTTCCCAGGCGCCGGAAAAATACCTATTTCAAGACCTGCTACTATTGTAACCATTCCTCGAGGAAGAGGGTGAACTAAACTTACCAAAATGAAAGCAGGAGAAGACCGCCTAATAAGCCAATTGAATGTCTGCATATAGTAACAATCATGGAACGCAACAACGTACAATAGTTGCAGTGATAACAACATTCCTCGAGACTAGTAAACTATGAGTGTGCTGCTTGACTCCGTCGTGGAAAGCCGCACGTGTATAAACTCGTCGAGCAAAGGAACTGTTTTTAACATTCCATGAATACGCAATATATATCAAAGTGCCTAACGCACCATTCGACGATCACAGCGATGAGTCCCTACGATAACAAAGGTTATATGAACCAATTGCGTTCACTGTGACAACATACATTGAACCCGGTCTGCACCTAGCTCATCAGAACATATATCAGAAGGTTTAATGTGAAATTATGGTCAATGAACCCCACATTCATGCTCCTGTTATTCCGTTGTCAGAAAGACGAGTAAGCAAGAAAACGGAAACATACCACGTCAGATGATCAAGCGAGGAGGCATGGGAGAAGTTGGTTATCAGGTGCCTATGCTGCGTCAGTCTTGACCAATGAAAGAGCGGACCGTCTACAAACCAGTAAAGTGTCATTATACATAGTATAAGGTGAATGGTGTCCAGGATGCTTATGTGTGCTCAGTCAATAAAAGAGCACTAATTCCTAGGTCAGACAGACCATAAAAGCGCGACCTGACAACCAATCAGATATCTATATGGCTGGCTTCAACTGTGAGCAACATTACTGTATATCGGATACATGCTTTATCTTTTGAATCGTTTCTGCTAAAGCATTGTCAGTGAGCGAAAAGCGGATTCAGCATTCGCTCCCACTTGAAATAAATATATCTATGGTGACGTCATAAGACTGAAATGACTCCGAAGAACATTACTGGCATACGTTTGAATTATTGTTACACCGTACAATCTGTTCGACAGTCTTTGAGAACAAATGACCGAGAGAGAAACGTACAACACACATAGAGGCGGCGATTAGGCCAACGAAGGCGCTTCCGTATGTTGAATCAGAATCCATGGCAGATAAAAAAGACGTCGAATTACGGTTGGGAGCAGGTTGTTCATGTCACTACTGTTGAGCACATTTTAAGAAGTGTCAAAGGCTGTGGAATTTTCCAAACGAAGTGTGAGAAAGTTCAGCTGTATGGTTACCTCGGCTAAGATCGAAACAGACAGGTCCCTATATCGAATGTTGTAACCCACCCAGTATTTAACCGCCACCAGGGGGAAGAAACGACTGCATGAGGCATCCAATTCAATCCGGTATGTAGATGCTGGTCGTGCTGTTCTTTGTTCTTCAAAGATTGCTGTATGCGTTACAGCACTTCCTGGGTATCGAAGCTATTAGTTGACAGCAAATACAACATGTATGGAGAAAATGGAAAGTACCTTGATCCATAATACCTACTTGGGCAATTAGTGAGTCAGACGTTACAACTGCGGGAAGGTGATGTAAATATGATCATTGGGTACAGTATGCTACAGATATGCAGTTAGACACACAAAACAGATGGAAAACTACAGCAGAGATTGAATATGAAATAAACGATGGAATTATGCAACATAGGCAAAAGTGTCTCGAGTCCCATCCACACGCTCGATGTACTCCTTCTCGAGTAGTGTATCAATAGCCTTTGTGAATGATCGATCAGTATAGTAGGGGCTGGAGGCAAAAAAGGGAGACCGCCCGAACCTTCTTAATGTCCGGAATCTTCGGTGCAAATCGCTGAGAAATCTGTGAAATGACCTCTTGTATGAGCTGTTGGTTTTTCATCGACTTCCTAGCCTTCATGATCCTGGAAGTAAGGAGTATCATAAGAAACCGGATCCAAATATATGCAGTAGGAGACAGACCGAACGATAGTGGCCTGGATAACATACTTCCGGTCCTCGTCGACGTTTTTCAGGACCTCAGTTGTTTCCGCCCTGACTTCGGCTTTAATCGGTTGATTCAAGTTCACTCTGATCTTCTTCGACTTGAAGCCTGCAAATCCTGTCAGTCGCGATATCACCAATTCTTTCTTATATAGTCGCACCAGGGTTAAGATCATACTGCTCGGACTCCTCGTTGACGAGAATCTTCGCCTTTACAAGGATGGCTAGGACTTGATTAATGAGTTCTTTGGGAATTGAGGTGGCGGTGACGAGTTCGGAGAGAGAAAGCGTATCATGGTTGTTATACTGCACCAAGACACCCATCTGGAACGAGCTGGTCATCAGTATGTATCTCTGGTTGAGATAGTTGGTTCGGAGTTCGTTCTTCGAGTAGTTCCATAGCCAGGTTAGCTTCCGCCCCGAGTGTTTCGTTTGGTAGTACTTTTGGAACCGGTCGAACGTAGGGTAAATTTCCCTCGGTACGGTAAATTCGTGTGAAGGCGGATTCAAAGGCCAGAAGTTCGTACCAAGAACCATGACGCTAAATGTGACGTCTAGGTCATCGTGGTTTTGTTGCATGCGTTCCTTGAACTGATCTGTCAGATCTTTACTCAAACTCATGTCTATTGCGTGACATGAGTAATAAAGTACGTCGAGGATCGTCAATAACTTGCCTGTAAACATCCGTTGCAACTTGTTCGTGTATTCGAACCCGCAGGCCTCTTTGAGCTTGGAGATCATACTGGCTTCGGCCTCGTCAGATGCTGACACGCTATGAATCAGACGTTTCGACAGCTTGGTAGAGTAGAATTGCTGGAACACGTCCTTATCCTCGAGGTATTTAAAGAGGATCATCTAATGAAAGACTAAGCACAATGAACGTGACTGATGTGAAAACAAAAGCGCACCACACGGTTCAATGCCCCTTCCAAATCCTGTTCCTCCGCCATTTTATTGTTTTTTCGGAGTAACAGATCTGCATGCTTCGCCAGCAGTTCTGGTGATTTATTACTTGAGGTCCCGGTCGCGGCGTTCCGATTTACAAAGTCTCTGCATGCCTTGTCGAGACTAGCAACGAATCCAGCTTCCCCTCTGAAACTACGCGTCACGATCGCCGAGTTCTTCGCGTGAACCTCCAAAAGCGCGTCAACATAAGCTTTCGGATCCAGCGCCTCAGGCGTCGTGCCTTCCTCGCCTACAAGTCGTGAAACTGCGTCAAGGCCAGCCTTCTTGACGTGTTCCTCGAACTTTTTCCGCAGTGGCTCCAGACCGTCATGTATGCGAGATAAAAGCGCATACATGCGTTGCAGATCGGCGTCTCTATCAAAATCGAGAAGACTTTGAAAGCTTTCCCACATGAGGTCGGAGTGTGATTTAATGAGGACGTCTTCGCATTTGGATATGAGTGTTTTACGTGTTTCTGTGTGTAGGTATCGCTCGACACGATCTTCCTCCTCTCGTAGACGCTCTTCAGCCTTCTTGAGATATTCGGGTATGCTGTTTTCTGCCAAGAATGCCTCTGACTCCTTCTTGTAATACATTTCTGTGGCAGCAAGGAAGGGAGCTTCGAAGTGATCTTTATAGACGTCGAGACATGGCTTGTTTGGATCCATGTCATCCAGTCCAAGGGATACAAAAGAATCGACGACCTTCTTCACAAGTCCCTGATCAATAGTCTCTCCGTTTCGCTGTTGTTCAATCAGGTGTAGTAAGGCATTGGCTAGGGTGGAGTTCTTCTGTTGTATCGGAATGAAAAGATTGTTTTTCCATTGGACCAGAGCCAGCTGTGCACGCGTATCAATAAAATGATACAGCACAGATAAACAGATGCGACATACGGTATACACCGGGTACACCGTTTTTCTACCTTCGTCTCTTTCCCGTTTGACCCAATGTCGATTGAGGTATGTGAACAGCCGGTTGATGTAGTTCGCTCCTGTCGTGTATCTCTGCCATTCTACAGAGTAATACCTAAGTAAATTATCCTCTTGCAGACGCCCGGCTTTCTGTAACAAAGCTGTTAACGATCGACGCGACATGAAGCAATGCGAAGCAACGAACGTCCCGAAGGGCTTTGAGGTGCACCACGAAATATCGGATAAGGTTATTATACAGGTCGGATCCCATGAGATTTGCCCCGGCTACAGAGAGTATTCAGAACGGCTCGATTAGCTGGAAAAGGTATGCTCACTTCTGGTAGCCGCGCCAAGGATCATACCTTCCGGTCCCGACTTTGGTGACGTGCAATAGTTGTATGCGACCGTGTAGAGCGACATATACTGTATGTCTAGCTGTTAATTGACAAAATCGAGTCAAGATCTGAGCCGACCTTGGAGTACGAAACACCGGTCTGCAACTTGGTCATGATATGGTCGACGCCTTCCTCTAGGAAGGCCCAAGTTGTTGTCAGGTCTGCATTGGCGGGAGGAATAGGTGGATTCGGGTTTGGAAACGCCATGGTTGCAGAGTGAGGTGGACGTCCACTAAAAGGACTCGCACGGCGACCAGAGTACAGACAGGTATCCTTAGTGACATGTAGTCACAACATTTGCAACATTTGTGACACAACCACAAGAACAGAGGAGCATTCATGTATACGTCCAAAGCAATATATCTAAAGTAATAGAACTGAAGTGCCGCGATATGGTCACCCTGATTTCACCGTTCCTTCCATTCCCCCGCCTTCGTCAGTCTCTTGTGTAGCCATGGGACATAACGATCCCTGAAGCATTCATTAACGGTTTGCATGCAGAGAAAAAGGACCGGCAAACCAGTATCACCACAACTCTCGTCTCTTTGCACGAATGGCCTTCACCAATGCATGTCTTTCGCTCCATTTTTCTCTCTCCAGCTGGTGACCTGCCTCCCGTTTCTTCAGCAAGGATTTGCGTTTCGAGCTCTTAAGAGCAGCAACGAGGCCGACAAAGGTCTGCGTACAGCCGAACATCTTCGCCAGAGTGCCCCGACTATATTTTTCAGGATTTCCTCTCCTGAGCTTCTTGATTTTTTCTATATCAGCCTCAGATACACGTTCAGGTTGGAGTCTCTCATTTGGACGAGATAGTGGAGGTAGAGCATTATCCGTAGGCTTGGTTCTAGGTCGAAGAAGAGGTGAAGCCGGGTTTGTGGTCAACGAAAATGGTGAAGGCGACGTAGGTGGGGGGCGATGGATGAAAGTGAGTTCTTCGTCGGGAAGGGTAGTCACAGCGGCCTTGGGATTGTTTACCAAAGGATCTGGAGCGCGATATGGCGGTCTTTCCGACGTTCCTGGTTTCGGTCGCGGATACCTGGTAGCATAGGAACGCATGAACGACAGGGCCTGTACGCAAAACTGCCGTTGCATGTCGTGGACGACGATGAGCTCTTGGTCGGACTCCGAAAACTCGTGCCGGTCCGCGAATTACGCTGACTAAGCGAGACCTAGACGCGACCTTCATCGTGGACGTTGAGCTCGTCGTTCTATTCACGTTATGCTGTGTGTCTTTCGCTGTGCGGGACGACCATTCCGCCTGTCGCCATCCGTTGGTGCCGGGGTCAGATATATCAGCTCTGAATCGTCTTCCTCCTCCCAGTCACCGCCCAAAACCGCTTCATTTGGTTTTCGAACGGTCCCTGAGGAAAGTAAAGAGTCACTCGTCAAAGAGGTTTTTGACTCTGTTGCCTCCTCATACGACCTCATGAATGATGCGAGTTCTCTTGGTGTTCATCGCCTCTGGAAAGATGACTTCGTGTCGAGACTCAGACCTGGAAGAAAGGGCCCTTTGAAATGCATTGACGTTGCTGGAGGAACGGGCGACATTGCGCTCCGAATTCTCGACTACGCCAGAGAGAAGCATTATGACAGGGAAACAACGGTGGAGGTCGTGGACATCAACGGGGAGATGCTGAAGGAAGGCTTCAAGCGGTTCAAGCAGACAATGTACCATAACAGTGCGTGATTTGTTTGGAAAAGTCCGGAGCGCTTTGCCAATATGCCTGCAGCCCCACAGGTATCATTTCATGAAGCCAACGCGCAGGAGCTCCCTCCCTCTCAGTTTCCCGACAATAATTATGACCTTTACACTATCGCATTTGGTATTCGAAACTGCACGTCGATTCCAGCCGTTCTCCAGGAGGCCCACCGCATATTGAAGCCAGGCGGCACATTTGCATGTCTCGAGTTCAGCAAAGTCAATAATCCTGTCCTTAGCATGTAAGATGAAAGCGCTAAAAGCTTGTAATACACTAAAACGGTCACTAAATAGGTTGTACGAACAATACTCGTTCTCCATCATCCCTCTTTTGGGGACTATCCTTGCCGGAGACCGCAATTCATACCAGTATCTCGTGGAGTCCATTCGACGATTTCCTCCGCAGCCTGAGTTCGCAGACATGATTAGAGAGGCTGGGTTCAAGACCGGTGAAAATATAGATGGAGGTGCATGGACAGATTTGTGGGGTGGTATTGCTTGTATACATACCGGAGTCAAAATTTAACGCGCCGAATAACTCTGGACGCGAGTAGCTTCATCCGAAAACGCACTCAACATGTTGCAATTCATTTCATCTGCATCCACGCTTGGAACATGCCGTTCCTGCCAAGCCTTCCAGGCTTTTCACTGAAGACTAATACTGTAAGTATTTTTTACGTTCGGTGTTGCCATTCTTTCTGTTAGTTGCCGTCACTATAAAATTAAGCACCGAATAGGCCTTGAGGCTGGCTGGGCCATCACCGAACAATGTCAGAACCAGCCTACCCTCGACAAGGAAACAGCAACGGACGTATCATCGACGAGGAGCATGCTTTGTCCAGGCGAAATTCTTCATCTAGTAGCAGCTCAAGTTCTTCATCTTCCTCATCTTCTAGCTCAGACTCATCCGACATCTATGGAATGCGAAACTTTCATCTGTTTCCCCGCAAAGAAAGTCTTGTGCACTTTAAAGATCGTTTCTTGAGGAAAGGGAAGAGGAAAATTGGAGTAATGGAAAGTTTTAGAGCCATCGCATTGTCATCATGTGCGTCTGAATAGCATGTATGCCCTGAACATTTCTTGACTTTGTTATTCTTCGCAGGGGTTAACTCTTTCATCGTTTTTATTCCTTTGGCATGGGTAGCCCACTTTGGAAATACTCACGATGAGCACGAGAACGGAGATGCACAACGCGTATGGCCGTACGGAGTCACATTCACCTGTGAGTGACAGTCAACGGACTCAGTGTTGAATCATCTTTAAATAACATACGTTTCCACAGTCTGCTTTCTCGCCATTGTGCCGCTGGAAAGACTGTTTGAATACGGAGGAGAACAGATGTCTTTCTATTGTGGATCGGACCTGGGAGATTTAATCATCATCTCTCTGAATAAGTATGTGTATTCAGGCTACGTTGGTTTCTTCAAACTGACTACATACTGCTACAGTGCAGTAGAAGCAACCTTGGCCATATTATTGATGACAAAATGCGAGTGAGTATTATTCAACCACTCTATCCTGTAGAACCATCTAAGTCTACTCAGGCTGAAGCTCCTCCAGTCGACTATCATTGGTGGGCTCGTTCCCTGTTACGTTGCATCGCTTACATCTAGACAGGTGTCATCGTTCTTCATCTTCTCTTGATACCTGGCACTTCTTTCATCACGGGCGGCGCGCGCGTAATGGAGCAGGACCTTCATCCTCACGTCACGCAGCTCAATCATACATTACTAGCCATTGGGTTGGTCTAAATAACTCTTAATGCCCACTAAAACGTGTTGACACAAGACAGTGTGCTAGCACTTCTTCTCCCCACAGCGTTCTTTGCGTCAATTGAGGGTGTGGACTCGACGAACGTCGTCAATGATGAAACGCGCCATGCATTCCTCCAAATGAGCCGCGGTCTGGCGGTTATTCTCCTCCTTGTGTACATTTGCTCTCGCATATTTTTGCACAATCCACCCGGTGCCAATAATGCAATGAGGTTGCATCCGAATGCTCCCAAGGAGATGGAAGAAAGGGAGGAAGAACTAGTAGAGGAGGAGCCTGAGGTCAGTCAATGGGTCTGTATCATCATGCTGATCATCACTATCGGTCTGATGGCCGCCACTGCCGAGTGGGTACGTCGAGAACATTCAAGTACGGTGGTCGTTTGCTTACCATATGCTTGCAGCTGGTTGATAGTATTGAATTTGTGAGAGAAGAATCTAACATTGAACAAGAGTGAGTCATGTAGGAATACCTATAGCTCTAGATTGACTATGTGATTAGGTGGTTCGGTCTTATTCTCCTTCCGATTGTATCCTTCTCTGCGGACGGCGCTGTCGCAATGATGTTCTTTGTTCGATACCTTTGCCGGCACTACTTCGGGAAACCTACACCCCCAAACACAGTAGCCAAAGCTCGAGCCATCGACCTGTCCATCCAGTTCATTCTGTTCTGGATGCCATTCATCGTTCTTCTGGCATGGTGGACGGGCAGGCCTTTCTCCCTTCTGTTCGGTGTGTTTTACTTGCCGAGATGGCTGAAGACTAAACTAACGAGTACAAAGATACATTTGAGGTCGCATTGACGATTGCGGCCTGTTTCTTGGTGAATTATGTGACCGCAGATGCCAAGACAAACTGGGCTGAAGGATTTGCCATGGTATCGTTTTATGTGATGATAGTGAGTCCTGGACCGACTCCCTAGCCTGGTCTGATCTTTGTCTACAGTCATTGGTATCGTGGTTCTACACTGGACAACCTGAAATTCGCAACCTCCTGGCTTGTACGAGTGTAGCTGACGCTGTTGCCGGTGGTGGCGCCGAATGATGAAACGACATATCACCGTTTGACCTTCTATATGATTCAATGTTCTCCTGTGCTCCTGCAAGAATGGTATTAGCTGAAACTAAGATACAAAGCGCACAACTGTCAACAAGCACAAAGCAATAACCAAATTCTAGTGTAGGACTAGTTCCACCGGCTATTAGTGATTGAAGAGGAAGGCGACAGGTAAGCAGACGTACAGTATTTGCCACACCCCAAATTACCCCTCCTTCTCTTTCGAAGCCAATTTGACAGCCAATTTGATTGGCTGGTTTGGCTGTTCAGACGTTCCCCTTCTGATCTTTATGGAAGTGCATAACCCCTCCTTGCTGCCCTCCTCCTCCAAAGGCAGAGACAACGAGGGCGGTTGATTCACCCTTTGAATGATAGATCCAACAGCGTACTTGACTGTATGCAAGAATCCTTGCTGGATTCGTGCGTCTGTGACCTTACTGTTTTTTTCGATACCGTTCTGGATGACAAAATTTCCGGGTAAACACCAAGGACGTACACGATGATGAGTCCGTCGAGTGCACCATCGCATATCCCTAGTTACGACGGAATTGTATGTGTCGAAGAATACCACACAGCCATAACACGGTGGCGCAGAAGTGCCGAGGTAGGGATATGGCGTTAGGTCATTATTTTGATTATGATGATATAGAAGTAAGATTGACTCTGGGCAATGTCCTTGCGAAGATGCGGCATCTTCGTGGTTCATTATGGTGTTTAGGAAGTTGGAAGTGGTCTCGCTCAACCGGCTCTCTACGTCGCCTTTTTCTGTGTCTGTATGTACACTGTCATAGGCGCTGCGAAGACATCTGGATAGGGTTTCTCGGCTATGGCGCGTGGGACCGATGAAGGGTGGTGGCTGGACAATGATTACTCGGAGTTTCTTTTTAAAAATGGCACATGTTCGAGGTGCGGCAGAGATGTCGAAGAGAACGTCTATACGCAGTTGAATTTCCATCAACGTGTGTATATATTGGGTAAGGCTGAAGGGCTGTTTATTCTTTCCTTGATGTAGAGTGAGCAAGCAGTCAACAAATATTCAAGTATTCAGTAACGCGACGTACTTTCGTTCTGGTTGTGATATGTCTCTGATTCCTCAAAACCGACGGCCAAAAATATTTTGAATGCAGATGGAGAGGTGACAGTGTATAGGGACGTCATGAGTTTGGCCACCAACAACCAGGTGCCGTCAGGTAGCGCCTTGTCTATCCTGCACAGCTCGCGAAGCATGACGATGATCTCTTGGACCACATCCAAGAAGTCGAGATACTCCTTCTTCGGTGGTGGATCCATTGTACGAGCGTGCTCAGCGACTGCCAGGAAATCAGCATGATACTTGCTGACGCGGTGGTAGATCCTCCTAAAGCAACGCCTATACACTAGCCCGCTGAATTCCAACAAAAGCGCGAGGCTTTCTGACAGTTCCTTGGCCCGCTGGGCACTCGCGAGAATGTCCCAAATAGAGTGAATATATGTCTCCAGTGCCTCCGGAGTAGATTCTCCCCCCGTTGAATTGGTAGCTACCCAGACATAGACCGAGTCTGGATGGTGTGAATAGGACACAGCCACAGACTGGCCTTCGGGCTTGTCGACGCACATACACGCGACTGCATCCAACGCTGCCTTGGAGAACAGCTCGGACCTTTCCTCGGAAATGCGATGCCCAACTACTGCATTCCGACGAACGGATTGCTGAAGAATATCGTGAAGATCAGGTCGGGCAACACTGGAAGACAAAGCAGAAAGGATTGACAAAGAGTCTTGTGGTGAAATCTCCATGAAGACGGGACAATGAAGAGATGAAAATTCGGAGTATTTTTCTCTGGATTCGACGCCTTGTACGTCAGGAAGAGGGTAAGCGAGCCTAGCACCTTGTGGGGACCCACCACGCGCCGTCCGAGGTCTGTGAACGATGTGACAGCGTGAAAGAAAGGAAAACCATCAAAAATGGACAAAATGCGGAATCGTCCATGGGTGGGTCGAATGAACGCGAATCCGACACTTCGATTTCCCTGCCTGTTGTTAAGGAGATGCTCTCGGTGACTGCCGCCGCGATCGCCGGGACGGTCCTTTTCCAGAGCATCCATGTCGCCCCTAGTCGTCTTGGTTTAGATCAAGAATTGAAGACTTTCTTACACTCAGAGCGTACGTGGAGAAGCAAAACAAACACTTTGAATCTCATTTTGTCTTTCTTCTCCGGTCTTTCGTCCAAACAAACAGCCGAAATCGATCCGAAGTTCACCATGGGCCGAAGCGCAAAATTCGCTAAACGCATGGTAAGTAGACCTACTTATGTCTCAGGTAGCGAAGCATTTCTTGATTCCTTCTATCTCGCAGCCGAAGAAACTAAAATCCTCCGCGCTGGCCACTGGCTCTTCAGCGAACAATACGTCTCACGCGCAACAGGTTCAAAATGCTAAAAAAAGAGCCAGTCTGAAAAGCAAAGCGGTGGATAGGGGAGGAACCAATGAATCGCTGCTTGGAGGTGCAGATTATGTATCATTAATGATGGGGGGACGAAAGAAAGCTCGTCAGGAGGCTCAGAAGCTACCTAAAGATAGCTAGACATGCTTAGTATCCATCAGCTATTCAATTCGCATCAGTGGTAGATGATTGACAAATAATTACTACATTTTTTTGGGTCAGTTAATGATGCTCACTTCCAGAAGGTTTTAACCCAGATGAACAAAGTAGAGGAATTGCAACGTATTTTTGTTAATAAAATCGAAAAGGCAACCGCGTCTAACTTCAAACCGAACGTGATTAGCCAAGGACCCACTGTGGACGGCACCTGGCTGACCATAAATACATCCTGCCGAAGTGGCATCAATATATTCGCACTATTGTATGAAAATTCGACGCACCCGACATAGCAAGTCATTTAGCCAACCCAACAACATTTCCCCAGCTTGAAACAGTATCCCGGTTACGAATTAATGGAATGCCCTGCAATCTACCGTCGTCGCTCGAAGGTGGTTGTTGTTGCGTCAAAGTTCTGTTCTGAGGAGACGATGGCAGGCCAACAGCGACTTGTGGTTGGAGAGGCTTGATGGTAAAGTTGGAAGAGGCATGCGATACATGAGCAGAGACGGTAGAGCTTCGCGTAGTCGCAGGTGCGAAAGGTGGGATAGCAGAAGACCTAGAATCCTGTGGAGTTTCTGACCGTAAGTAAGCTTTAGTGAGTGCAGACACAGATTGAGGATTGCCGAGGTTGCTAAATGAGGATTCGGATCGCGCTGCTGGGCTGATAGGTCGAGCGTTGTTTTGGTTCGCGGCCATATTCAACATTCCCTCAATATCCAGAGGGTTCATGCTCGCTGACCTGTTCATGGGGATGATACCGTCAGACCCACGTCTTGTCTGACCGAGACTGACAATGTCCCATGACTGCCCACTGCCACGAGAGAAGTTGGAAACGGACGGAGAGTAACTCGCAAGGGCGTAAGGCGGGTCTACAACAATACCGTCTGAATGCTGGAGTTCTGGGGATCCAAAGGGAGAGTAGTCTCCCTTTTCTGTCAGGTCAAACGAACGTGGTTTGTAGAGGGAATCTGGCACGAAGGGGATGCGACTCAATCGCTGCTTGCGGCGTCGCCTCTCGCGAATGACGAATATAATGGCGAGAATCGATACCAAACCCACTAGTCCCGACGCTACACCAACGCCAATGACGACATTCCTTCCGAAGTCATAAGAATAGAACAGAAGAGTTCCAGCCTGAAATCGACTTACTTTGGCATTGTCGACTGGGTAGTCGCATCGTTGTCTTGACTGCTGGTCCCATTCTTGCTATTTGTGTTATTATTAGAAAGGCAATTCCTTGATGTCGTCGCGTCTCCAGTAACTAGAGAACCGAAGGTCAGCGCGGGCAACTGAGGCGAGGATAAGTCCCGAACTCGCCTGTTATCAAAGATGAAGTGTTCTGCTGATGGGGCCCACTGTCAAATAACAACACGACGTCGTTTTGACGGGAAAAATTCATTGTATAAATGGCCTGTTTAGAGACCGTATTATCGCTGGTCTGCTGTAGCAAAAAGGATTGTCCCTTTGGCTTCCAAAGTCGGACGGATGGAGCCTCTGGGGTAGCATATTGTACGGTGAAATTACCGCATTGATCCACAGATTCATCATAAGTGAACAGGGTTTCCTCATCAGGATTAGAAGGAAGGCAGGCCGTGTTGTCCGAATCCAGGATCCTGAACAAGTCAGACACCTGGGCGGTGCTGTCTCCGTCCTGGTCATCGAGAGAAGCGATGAATGTCGTGCCGGCCTTCAGTGGGAAAAAGGTAATATAAACTCCGGAGGAGTTTATTGCCAAGTTAGGTATGGGTATACCGATAGGTGGTGCATTGAGGGGAAGGAGAGTGAGATTAACAGGGATAGAGTCCTCAGGAATGTCGCTCCCCTGGAATGAGATGGAGACGGGAGCGCACTGGGTAATGTTATCATTCTCGAAACTGAATTTAAATGTTTTTGCGAGAGCGACCTGCGATCCCAAGGCCGCTACGCCCAGCAGAAAAGCAAAGGTGACGACCAGCATAAGAGAAGATAAAGAGAGAATTAGTTCATGGGGACCGGCCGCCCGAGTCGTGGACTAGCCACAGAGACAACAGGGTAGGAGTGGTGAGAAACAAACACAGAAATGATGCCGCCAATCAGTCAAGTACGGTAGCACATGACACGCATCGCGACGGATTCGGCAGATCAGAAAGTGCAGAACTACATCATTCATCAAGGAAGAGTATGCATTCTTGTTGATAGATGCAGCTGAGGTAGTTGCTTAAGATAAAAGTGCAGGAAATTCTGAGCCTTTCTGCGGTTCTTGGGACCAAAATCTTGTTGGCTTTTCTGATTCGGCACGACCGGGCCGAGTGCGATGACGAATGTGGGGAACCTAACTTGGCGGGAAGGAATCAGCTATGTTCCGGTCGACCACCACAGGAACGTTTTCCGCCCTTAAGCAGTCCAATTTTCTTCCTTTTCGTAACTACAGCCAACTGCGGGAGCGCCTGCCTCGTTCTCAGTCACCAATAGTTTCTCGACCAGCGTTCTTCAACTCCGTAACGTTCGATGGGCAACAAATTCCGACCTACCGTGTCCTGGACGGTGTTGGCAAGCTTTTGGACGCGACATTTACAATAGAGGTATAAAAAACCAGCTTTTATCTGTAAATATAATGTATAACCCGTGTTTTGTTGCCTAGATTGATGAACAGCTGGCACGAAGACTGTAAGTGTGCACACCCTGTTCCTTGTATCATTCGCCGACGTGACAGCAGTTACGAAAACATGCAACTACTACCGGCTCTTGATAACATTTTGTACAACGTACAGCGGCAAGGGAAGATCTCATTCTATGTCAGTGTCAGGTAATGCTCATGACACAGTTGTGGATCTGATACATGGCTTCTTTCAGATGACTACGGTTTGTTCATAGATCCAGGTGTCATGTTTAGTATCATGTTTATTTCGAATTAGTACGGCGAGGAAGCCACGATAACCGGTGCAGCAGCTGGTCTAGCGATGAATGACGAGTAAGTTTCCCCCCCCCCCCATAAGCGCGTTCATACTCGCGTTCTGATGCTCTCCTAGAGTTCTTGGTTAGTCAAAAAAATAAAGTCACTCTTATCTTCCGCATGTTGACATGCAGACTATAGGACAGTACCGTGAAATGGGTGTCCTGTTGTGGCGCAAATTCGGGATTCAACAAGTCTTTGCCCAGTGTTTTGGGAATCAAGAAGACATGTCGGGGAAAGGCAGACAAATGCCGGTCGTGAGTACAGGGCAGATATTCCATGCCAATGCTACTCATCTATTTGCAGCATTTTGGATCTCCCGAACATCACTTTCATACTATTTCTTCGCCTCTTGCCACACAAATTCCACAAGCAGCGGGCGTTGCCTACGCGCTTCGTCGTATGCGTTCAGGTGCTGTCGCTGCTTGCTTCTTCGGGGAAGGAGCCGCATCTGAGGGCGGTGGGTTATAATTACGGACAAGCTTCTTGGTCTGATAAATCTTCGGGGACAGATTTTCATGCTGGGCTTATGTTAGCCTCCACGATTCCGTCTCCGGTTATATTTATTGTCCGAAATAATGGATTTGCCATCAGTACACCCAGCACAGAGCAGTACAACGGCGATGGTATTGCTAGTCGAGGACCAGGATATGGCATTGACACCATCCGTGTGGATGGTAACGATGTTCTTGCCGTAATGACTGCTGTAAAAGAAGCTAGACGGCGTTGCGTAGAGGAAGGGCGTCCCGCCTTGGTTGAGGCGATGACTTACAGGTGTGCCATAGAGCTGAGTTTGTTAATTGACCATTGATTCGTTTCTAGAGTAGGACATCATTCTACTTCAGACGATTCATTCGCATATCGTCCGAGATCTGAAGTCGAAGACCGTAAACGCATCGATAATCCCATTGTCAGATTTCGGCTCTATATGGAATCCCAAGGATGGTGGAACGCGGAAGCCGAAGAATCTCTGAAGGCAAGATTGAAAGCGGAAGTCATGAAAGAATTCAAGAGGGCGGAGTCTATGAGCCTCTGTGAAGTTGGAGAACTATTTACTGATGTCTACGGTGGTGAAGTGCCATGGAATATTGTAAGATTTTATGCATGTGCATGCACCTCCTTTCTCTGATTGTTTTGAACAGAGAGAACAACGCGAAGAATTAGGGAGTCTGTTAAAGAAGTATAGCAAGTCATGGGAGCCATGGCGGAATCAGCTAGCGAAGTACAAGAATGAAGGTCAGGACATAATGGAGGAATGATAACTATTGCAGCTTGGAATGGAAACTCGTGAAGCTTGTAGCATTATTGTAGCCCTTAGTATTGCAATCACCCGAACGTTTCTTGTCGTGGCCTGTTATACTAGTACGTGTACAACTAACACCCCGAAATGCCTGTAACTCAATGACCGTGGCCTAACAGAGAGCTCAGAGTAAATGGCACCAACATGCCAAATATTATAAGAAGGACGCGTATGGATTTGTGAATTTCCGATGCATTCCCTGAAGCAGGGCGATCTGACACTGGCTGAAGAACAGTCGCGACGTATAAGAAAGTACCACCCTGAGACAATTAAACAGCTAGCTCAGCAAGAGTCCAGAAATGGCGTACAACTTACAGAGATGAGCAACGCAAGACCTGTCCAGTCTGCATGATCTCCGGCGCCGAAGAAAGACAAGAACGCATAAGTGGCAAACGTGGCCACGGGCGTTGTGGCACTGAAAACGGCAAGGTGCTTCTTACACTCAGGACGAGGGAGTGATGTGGCAAGCAACGAAGTTGTCAAAGCCAAAGAAGTAGGCGCTAAAGTACAGGTTAGATGAAGGCGCTCGGTGTGATGAAGGTCAACATCGACAGATCACCTTTATGAACTATAATGGCCAGAAACACGATGAACGAAAGACGGGAAGAGTCGTCTTTATTGTTAGGAAACAGAGAGACGCCTAACGCGAGCCCGTCTGCTAGGCTGTGAATTACCAGTCCAAAAGTGAGAGGATAGGCTCGTGCTTTCATCCCATTGGCGACAAGGCTACGAGGATTGCCATCCACTTGGACAAAGCCAGGTCGAGAATGACTTTCTCGGCTCTCCAGCTCTCCCAGTTCAGCATCGAATTCAATGCTCGAAGTTTCGTAATCATGCACAGGTATAGCTGGAACGTCCGACGAAGAGTGTGAATGCGGAGAGAGGAACTGTTCAACTACGAGCATCGATGTGAACCCGAAGAGTAATGAAAGGGCCACACGAGACGATAACAACGCAGGATCAATTTGGGCCTCTACAAGAGCTTCTATTCCTCTATGGACATTAATAAACGATTACCATGGTGAGAAGTAGCCATACTCTGGTATGATCACTCCTAAAGCAGTCCCGAGGAGCAGGCCGGTTCCAATTAATGTAAGACGAAGCAAATGATTCTCTACGATAACGTGAGGCAGAGTCTGAAAAAAGGGACGTAGTAAACATACTTGAAAATGTAAAAGACAGAGGTAAAATTCCACACGCAAAGGATGAAGCACCCAAGAGGGTCGTCATTGTGAATAGGGCAAGCATGGCTGTGACTACCGTCGGTTGACGTGCAGCAATTGTCAGTGTTCAGTACGTCCACTCGTCGACGTGGGATCTTTGGCTGCGGCACGCGTTCCGGGCCGAGACTGATTATGCTGAGTCACATAGCTAGTGTGGCGATATTTGCCGCTGTTGTCGTGTTGTTTCTCAAGCTTCTTGGCCGCCATCACCATCTCTACTCTGCATCCTATGGCCAAACGACGTGTCATCGTCGAAAGTGACAGCGAGGATTCTGCTGGAGCTCCCAAGCGAGCTCGCACTGACGAGTACAGCGAGGCTCCTTCCTCCCAGGCGCGTGAAAAGACGCGTCTTAATGGCAAAGGAAAAGAAAGGGCGCGTCAAAATGAGGATGGAGAATCCGACGCGGAATTTAATATGCAACACACCGGAGTCGATGACGAGAAGTACGAGGAAATGCACCAAGAGCAGATCAGGGCTGCCGTGGAATCCAAACGCAAAATCGCTGGTGTACGTTCGCAGTTTTCCCATTTTCTCTTTCCCTTTAAACCTTTTGTAGGGGATCGCTGATCATGGCATCATCGAAGCCATAGAAATGCATCAGTTCATGTGTCACAAGTATTTGACTTTCAGTTTTGGTCCACAGATCAACTTCATTATCGGTATGTCCATGAAGTCTGTATCCATTCTTTACTTAAATTGCATCTTAGGTCACAATGGCAGTAGGTATGCCTTCTTTGTTGGACGCCTCTAGCTCACTGTTTTTCTAGGTGGGAAGAGCGCTGTTCTTTCAGCCATAACGGTTGCGCTTGGTGGTAAAGCCAATTCCACAGGTCGAGGAAGTGGTTTGAAAGCTTTCATTCGAGAAGGACAACCGTGAATTCCTTGTTTTTATACGTGTTAGGCTTTCCTGAGATTGATACTGTCTAGTGCCTCCGAAGTGACGATTCAGATAAAAAATCAAGGTGAAGAAGCGTACAAGCCTAAGGAGTATGGGAAATCCATTGTCATTACTCGCAAGTTCACTAAGGAAGGCTCTTCTTCCTGGAAGATCAAAAGTAGAGACGGTAAAGTTATTAGCACAAAGAAGGAAGAGCTGTCGGCCATCTGCGATCATATGAACATCCAGGTAGACAATCCGATGAATGTCCTGACGCAAGGTCTGAATTCCCATCGCGTCGATTTGTTCTTTCTTTGACATTGGATCTAGATGCGGCAAGGCAGTTCTTGAGTGCTTCCCATCCCACTGACAAGTATAAGGTGTGTTCCTCCTGGTCGAATGAGCAGTTTTACCGACTCCGGGTAGTTCTTCCTTCGCGGCACTCAGCTCTCCCAGTTGTCGGAAGAGTACACCACTTGTCTCGAGAACATCGAGCATACGACGAAGGTCCTCAACTCGAAGAAAGCAGTGCTTCCGGATTTGCGTGCAGCTTGCAAAGAAGCCATGGCCCGATTCCAAGAGGCGACCAAAGCTCGCGATCAAAAAAAGAAGGTCAATGAGCTGAAGAAGGAGTTAGCCTGGTCTTTTGTTCATGATAAGGAGGCTGAGATGACGAAAGCTGTTGAGCACGCCGCTAAGACTGGTCGCAGGATCCCAAAAATTGAAAACAATCTGAAAGAAGCTCAAGTACGTAGTCTTTTGTCTGGCTCGTGATTTGGCTAACATTTTTCTCTCGTCAAGGCAAGATTTGAAGCCGAAACGGCCTCCGTCGCTCAGTGCGACGAGGAGTTCCATGCGTTGGGCAATATGAATCATCTTGCGGATCAAAAGAAAGAATTGACGGAGAACATGCGGAACAACAGAAGTCTTCTTAACGAGTTAACAGTAAGTCTACTGTAAGTTATCCAGACTCATCTGCTCACTTTTGTAGAGCGAGCGAAAGCAAATGGAAACCACCTTTAAGGCAGCCAAGGAATCAATCGCTCTCATCCAGAAGCAGATAGATGACGAAGCACGTAGAATGGAAGCAGATACGCAGACCAAACGAGAAGAATCCAGCCGTCACCTAGAGCATGCACGTATATCTCTTCAAGAAGCTGAGGCCGCTTTGCCTGCCTTGATTGAAACCAAGGATCAGATTGACGCTGAGAACCGGACGACCAAGGAACACGGTGAAAGGGCAAGTAACGATGTGCAGAGAATGCGAGATGACATCATGCGCTGCGATAATATGATCCGCAATTGCGAGATGCAAGAAAAGAACCAGTACGCTGCATATGGCCGGGATATCCCCCAAGTACTTGACAGGATCAGGCGAGCAAGATGGGTCGGCGATCAGCCTGTTGGCCCACTGGGTGTGCATGTCAAGGTTCGGGACCCTGAGTCATGGGCAGACTTGCTACGCAGACAGCTCGGAGGCATGTTAACGGCTTTCGCGGTTACTGATGCGCAGGATCTCAAGCCGCTCAAGCGGATTCTTGTCGAGTCGGGGAAGTTGGTGTATTCAGTCCTTTAATCGACAGTGTTTCTAATGTTTCCGTGTGCAGCCCTCATCTGCTCATCTTCGTAGCACCGAGGGACATATTCGATTATAGCTCTGGTGAGCCGCCGGCACATATGCTTACTGTGCTTCGCGCACTTGATGTATGCAACACCCTTTTCGACCCTTCGATTCACTAACAGTGATCTCAATATAGATTTCTGATCCATATGTTCTTCGTATCATGATTAATCAAAGGAGCATTGAACGGTACGCTTTCTTTCTGTCCCACCCTACGATCACCGACATTTTGATATTGTACAGTATGTTTTTGGCGAAAACTCGTCGTGAAGGGGAACAGGTATTACGGGAAGTGAACGGTGGCGGCCAGGCATGGACTGCAGATGGCTATCTTCTCAAACGTTACCCGTATGCAACATCTGTTTCCTTTGTTTGAGCATGAAAAGGTTCTGATGATTTTTTATAGGGAAGGCGGAGAATCAACCTCTCCACTGCCCAAACAGAGGAATGATGCCACCAATTTGTTGTTGAGTGGTCGCAATTCTGCTGCAGAGAAAGAGTCGGTGGCCTGATGCAAACCTTGTACAATTTTACTGATAACTTCATGCTCCCCAGGCATTACATACGCGAAAGGAAACGATACGAAGAAGAGGTCAAGGTTTACACTCAGCGTGTCCATGACTTGAAGCAGAAGTACATGATGGGCAAACGCGCCTATGACGCCAAGCTGGTGGGTTAGAGTCTTTTAGGTATATCACTCCTAGGCTGACTACGCTCTTCCACTAGAGAGAAGAGATGCAAGCTCGACAGACCATATCAATCGCCAGGGATAGGCTACACCAGTTGCAGGAGGCAGCACAGGAGGATATGCCTGCCAACATTGCCGGGTTAGAGGCTTCTAAGAAGGTGCATTTATCGTCGTCTATGGCTCTGATGGTATCTGACGATGTTTTGTAGGAATCTGAAGAAGAAAAAGAGAACCTCGAGGCACAATTCAAAGATCACATTGCTCGAAAAGCTGAGATTGACGAAGAGCAGAAGAGTCTGTTAGAGCAGTTGAATGCCGTTAAGAGGGACATGGAAGAATTTGAATCGAGGCAGAAAAAAGTTCAGGTATGTACCCAGCTTGCATGCTTCAGCATTGATCAGTCAGATACTCATGGATTCATGCTTAGACCAAGGTGGAGAAGGCTGCTGAGAAGCGGATGGAAGCGCAGAACAGCATCAAACATTATGAGGCTAAGCTTAAAGGGGAACAGACCAAGGTTGACGAGGCCAACGAGGCGGCCAAAGTTCTGGTGGAAGAGTTTGAGGCAAGTTTGCCTCAGTACAGTGATGGCATTAGAGTTGACAAATATTTCTCCAGGCTTGGACTGCGAAGGCAGCTGACTATTGTGATCGTGTCGAGACTACTCGTCGGTCAGATGAGATTCAGAGGAATCTGGACTCCGTCCAACATGCCTTAAAGGAGAGAGAGAAGAGGTACGTTTCTGTATGATAGACGTCGCAGCATCTCAATCACCGCTGCAGGCACGGTGCAACGGTCGACGAAATGACAGTGGAGGTCAACAAGACGAGAGCAAACCTTGAAGTCGCGGAGAATCAATTGAAGCAGATGGTCTCCTTGAACAAGGTATTATGAACGCATGCCATATCCAAATGACATTGCTGATTGGTGATGTTCAGAGGTTGAAAACTTCTTTAGTTGCTCGTTTGAACAGATGGCAAGAGTTCCGCCTGCACATCGCTGTTCGGTGTAAGCTTGTATTCCAATACAATCTCTCTCATCGAGGCTACTTCGGGAAGGTTTTGTTTGACCATGATAAGGGTACGTTGCAGCTCAAGGTATGCTGATAGCAGTGATCTCGAGTGCAGCAGGCTCATTCCCTTCCAGGTCCAGACGGATGATGTTGCTGCCACACAAGGTTCTAGAGACAAGGATCCCCGTTCGCTGAGCGGCGGCGAAAAGTCGTTCTCTACTATTTGTCTACTTTTGTCGCTGTGGGAAGCTATAGGGTGTCCACTCCGTTGCCTTGGTTTGTGTTTTGCTTGTGCCGTGTCGGGTTTGCTGCTCATGAATCCCCTTTAGATGAGTTTGATGTGTTCATGGATGCTGTCAATCGTCGGATTTCTATGAAGATGATGGTGAGTAGTTGACCTTTCCTTCTGGACTGCCGCCGCTGACGGGCTTTCCAGATCGAAACCGCTAATCAGTCGGACAAGAAGCAATACATTCTGATCACGCCGCAAGACATGACAAGTATTACAGCGGGTCAGACTGTGCGCGTTCACCGTATGCTAGATCCGGAAAGAAACCAAGGAGTGTTGGCGTTCAGCTAAGTAGAAAGAGAAAGGCCTGCATATGTGTGGGCATGTCTTCTAGATAATCTTATTACCTGTTGTTTTATAGTATCCATGCTATCCATGCACGTCCAGCTAGGCTCGTTCCAGTTTAGAAGTAGACTTGGTACAATGGGTTCCTTGAAGTTGCATTTTTTCTGACACGTGAGACAACGCGTACGCGCATAGCGGCATGTCGTGCCGTCGGTGCAACTTGGTCACACCGCGACAAATTTTCTTGGTTTCCTATTCATTGACTTTGCTACGAGCATCCTGCACGGAACCCCGTTTGTTTTCTCCAAAATGGGCAAGAGTGATATGTTGCGTATCATTTCAATGCCTCTTCGCCGACCCGCACCCTCAATTACCCCTGTCACACTACCGCGTATCATGACCTATTATCAGTTTCAACTCAACCCGCCACGGCCGCAAGAGTTGAGCGTTGGGCGGTCGAGATGGATGCCAGAAGGAGGTCTTTTACTTTGGGCCCAAAACAAGGCTGCCGACACTTGGGCGGGTTTCGGAAAGGCAAAGGAGGGAAGCTGGAAGGTGCTTGTTACCGAGTTCACCATCTGTTTACAACTCTCACGTTGGCTTGACACAGCTGAAGGTCTTCCAGTATGGTGAGCGTGTCGTTGACAGGATAGACTTCGAAGAATTGGCATTGAAGGGTGTCGACCCTTCCCTAGGGCCAACCGTGTTGCATCCTGACTTTTCAGGCAATGTGGGGAAGAAAAATTCGTCCTTAGTCAAGGTGCAGGTACGTTGGTTTCTCTCGTCACCTAACAACTGCTTCCTTACCCAACAATCCAGATACCCCTACTTTATCCTCCATCCATCATCTCCGGAGAGGCTTCTCTTGCCCATTTGTTGGATCTTCTTGAGCACCGGGAACCTCGGCATAGAAAAGGATTTTGGATCTGGATGATTGCTGCTCCGTTTACCGCACCCTTCATGATCATCCGTGCGTCGCTTCAAAATCTTGATCCCTCTGAAACCCATTTAGTCTCCGTTAGCCGTCATACCTAATCTACCATTTTTCTTTTGCGTATGGCGATCGTGGTCGCATTACAGAGGTGCGTCCTCATCACTTCAGTCATATGTCCTTCATGCATTCTGATGTGTATTTTTTATATTGTGATGCAGCGTACCGAGCTTCCCAGTACCTGAAAGCTCTCCTTGGCGATGGTACTATAGTACCCCAGTCCAGCAAGGTTCTTGACCAAATATATCGAGACCATCTCCCCAAAGCTCTGCCATCACCATCGAACGCAGGATCATTGGATTCAAAGAAATCAGTACCGGCATCCCCAGTTCCAGGCGAACAGCTACTTTTATCTCGAGAAGCGATTCCCAAAATCATATCTTCATTCAACCTGAGATCGAGTGCAGCGGCAGACATGTACAGGGCTGTAGAACAAGCAAGGGTGCGGGTTAAAACATAGCGGAGAACGATAGTGGACTGTCAGGACATTAGATGGAAACCTTTTATGCGCAAGGCATTGTTACCAGGTCCTCGGTGCTTCGTGGAATACCAACGAGGGGACCCTGCATCTCAGAAGGCCGACTGACTGTAGGGGCTCATTAGGACGAAGGGGGTCCTTTCTGTGACACCCATGATATGAGAGAAGACTGATATGGGTAATTGGGATCGTCTAGTGCGCTCCCGACCCTCAGTTGAAAGACCCTTCTCTAAGCATCGACGGATATGTGTGGTCATCGATTCTATCAATACATTGGAGCTGAAAATTTCGAATATACTTTTTGCCAGGCACTAATGGAAATTTTCGGTGTCGCAGTCTAGTTTTATCCGTGTCAAGTGGAGAACATTATCATCTTCTGAGATAAGCCGGTAGCAACATCGGAGGGCCAGATAATAGGACGATAAGGCAGCTGTCTCATTACTTGTGCACAAAATTAGTCTGGAAGCCAACTTTGTTGAAACGACTTTCTTCCGGTCTGATATCTCCTTCCGCCTACTCTTTCTACGGTGCTTCACACAGCACCGAACCGGAGGATGATATTTTTTTCCATCCCTTCTGTTTCTCGGACGCTTGAGATTAGCGCCCGCCCTGGTCAATGCTACAGGATTTCCTCCTGGTGGAACATATTGAGTCGTCATGTCCCGAGTCGGTGTCAAACATTCCAACTGCAACCAGATCAGCGGTTGTCAGGTCAGCGTCCTCCGAGAATGTTCTCGTTGGAGTTACAATGAAGTAGAACGCGCGGAGCATTACTTCGATTTGGCTCCGCAGAGCTACCGGCCCGGTGTGAGTCCGGAGGATTTTTGCTACATAGCATGGTTGCACATTCCCTCTCTAGTACAGGATTCAGCATGCCAGATACAGAATTTGGTTTGCGTTCCATTCCATTTGCTTGTACCTCCCGCTCATGGAGAGCTGACAGATTGGGAAAGCAGCGCACGGCAATACAAGCAAATCTTTCTGATCGCTATTCTATGATAATGCCTACAAGCCAATCGAAAGTACGCTGATGCAGCCACCTGGACTTGGAGCTTGCTTGCTACGCTTCTTGTTTTCCCCAAGGCTACATCCAGATCTAACAATACGTGAGACTATGTCCCTGGTGACGGTACCGTAGTACCCCAGTCCGGTCAGATTCTCGGCCAGATATATCATGATTTTCTCCCCAACTTTCGGTCATCGCCGTGGAACGCAGCACTTCTGCAGACTTGTGCTTCGTCGGGTTCAAGAATATCACCACCAATTCCTCCTATTCTAGATGAGGAGATGCTCAACCGTTCTTATCTTGAGGAGATATCGACATTCTCAACTAAAGTATAGGGCCACTGTTGGCCCCAAAGTAGGCAAAGTTCATATCTAGTCTTCCGTTTGGCCAATGTCGATCTCTTTACCGTCTGCTAAACAATATTATTCAAGCCGCAACAATCGTTCATGATCATATGCAGCCCTTCACGCTGCCTGGAATTAGCTTTCATTTGTAAATGAAAATATAGGAACCACATCGCTCATATAACGCCAGGGTAATACTGTATTTGAGTCGCGTTGGGGACTCTGCTACAGGAACGCCCTATCCGAGCGGACCGGGCTCCATCTGGACATCGCCTTGGATGGCAATCACTGGCAGGTAATAAGTGAAACCCGACAGACCTTTGGATATACCGCTGCTCAACTCGTACGCATCTCTTGCTAATTAAGAAATGATTTCTGCTGAATTGGATCCACGCGGCGCACGAGATATGTGCGCGGGACCAACGTAAGTTACCGCTGTCAGCTCAGTACCAAACTCACTTTCTTGATCTAAATTTGGATTCGATCGATGAGATTCATGTGGGGAATAGCTGGAATATTCGCATTGTTTCTGGGCTGTACTAGTCCTGATGCCCGGACGAGCTTTGCAAGGCCACTACGACCGTTTCTATTCTGGCGCTCAGTCACATCAATCGCATTGAATTCATCACCGCGGTCTTCCAATGCAAATTTACCCGTATACAATCCACCGAGCCTGCCCCAAAACTTTACATCTGTCCCGAGAAATGACAGGGCCCAAGGGTCTAAGTTGGCAGTTGTTCAGGGAGGCCGATTTTCCCTTATAAACGGAGAACAATGCCTGTGGTCCTCGATAAGCTCCTCCCAGGTGGACCCAACTCTCAGCGTCTTCAGCAAGTACCATACCACTGTCCGCCATGTCTTCGATCGAAAAGCGTAGAATTTTGATGCTTCATGGGTAAGTCATGCCCAGCTGTCTCCATTCTAGATACTAACAGTGCTACCCCATAGCTATGGCCAAAGTGCATATCTCATGAGTCGTTTGGTAAAGACCATCATGCCGCGTCTCTGATGAGCATCTTCTGATTGTGGTTCTAGCTGGCTTCCACGATCAAGGAGTGCGCCAACGATAACATCGAATTCTGTTAGTATCGCTTCATCTTTCTGGACGGCCGTCATCGCTTACTCATGATACTGATTAGTGTTCTTGGACGCACCATGGGTGATGACACCCGCAGACCCAAGCGGCGCTGTCGCAGCCGCGAACTCTGGGATTTCTGCCCCAGTCTGTACGACACCAACAGCTTCCCCCCAAGGGCCAGGTACCCCCCGACGTTGGTTTACTATTCATAACTTCGGAGGGAACACTATGCCAGGCATAGAGACTTCTCTCGACCTGCTTCGTGAGACCCTACAAAATAACAGATTCGAGGTCGGTATCTTGTCTAGGTCACTGTATACACATATTCAAATGCATCCGTAGGCTATCTTTGGGTTTAGGTATGCGCTTTAGACCGATGATGTCGCAGGTCACTGAGCCAGGCTTCTTTGTTTAGCCAGGGAGCAGCGATGGCCGAGCTGATCGCAGCTATGGTGTGTGCTCTTCATAACGTTTGTGGATCATACCTGATTTCGATTCCTACAACAGTTGGAACGACCGCATCTCTATCCGACATTCTGTCCCAATGGTGTTGCGCCTCACCCACCCTTGTAAGTTGCTGACCTTGGTCTACATTGAATGTCACTGATGAGTTGTTCCAGGAAATATATCGTTACGATTGCGGGATTCCTGCTCCGAGGGCCCTTGGCTTCATGGGGGGGGCGTTCGAAGAATGCGTTCCACCTGGAAACCGGCGCTTTCTGTCTGAGGACGCCCGTTCTTCATGTTTTGGGCGAGGTCGACCTCGTTGTTCCCCGCGAGAGAGCGAACATTTTTATGGGTTTCCACGAATCGAAGAGGGTCGAGCAGCACGTTGGTGGTCAGTGTCAAATTATCTATCCGGGGCGTATTCTGACCGGGGCTTCTTGTTTATAGGTCACTTCATACCGACGCGACCCAAGTGGCGAAAGTTCTTTGTTGGGTTCCTCCGTGATCCATTTGGCGAAATCGTATCCCCTACGCTTGTCAAGGAAAGTGTTACCATTGCACCGCCGCCTTCGGCTCAGATACCGGAGACGAGGTATCGCATGGGGCAGAGCCTTCCACGAGGATATGAATCGGAGGAAGAAGAACGAAGATCCGGCGCGTCTACACCCGATTCCGAGCCGCCTCAAACGCCTACCTTCGAGCCGACCCTGTTACCCCTGCCCTCCGCCAAGGAGGACGCACGCATGTGGGATGTGTATACCGGACTGGTGTACCAAGGATAGGCGAAACTGAATGTACTAGTAGTTTGTAGTTTTAAGTTATGGTAGGATAGCTCGATAGAGGGATAGAACGCATGAATTCTTGTATATTACATATTTCACGATAATTGAATTGCGCCATCGCGCGGGAAACCCTGGATAGCGTTGGGTAAGGATTACATGCCACCAGCGATGTCACGGTTAGACAACCCTAGGTAGGGTCTTAAGTTCAGTCCATGTTTGTGCTGTGGTCCTCTCTTTCAGCGCCTTCGAGACAAATAAGTTCCGCCGGGCCGTTCTTGAGTTCTTGTTGTCTATGCGCCGTCACAAACGTGAAAATTGAAAATTTAGGCATAATACTTGGGAGAAGAGATAGTTATCCAGTGAGCCTTAATGTAGGCCCCATAACCAAGCGCGTAAATCTGGACCTCATGGGCGCGGTCCGATCATCCCGACGTGGCGCATCAAAGGTTGGTGATGGCTGGCATGGGAATTTGAAATATGCTCTGGTGGGTGCTCCCTCCCAGCATGAGCAAGCACGTGATTCTTGAACACTGCCGGTATTGTTCTTCGATTGGGAGACCATTAAATTCCCTTCAATATCAGGTTTGATCAGGGACGTAAAATACCTACAAGAGCTGCGATGTTCTTTGGCGGTGCTGTCGTCATTATCTTCTGTTCCTCCTGGACAGCTTTGGAACTCCAGATAACAAAAACCATTTGTGTTGCGTTCAGACCCAACGCAAGGACCATTATTTGGTCCTGCGCGGAGTTGGCGAATTAGTAGCCCAGCTTGAAATTCCCTTTGTGTTTCGGTGTGCTCTTATCACTTAGTCGGGAACTTGTTTGTATTTAAGCTTTTTCACTTCGACTTGAACAATCCTTAACGGAGCTAATGGCTCTCCTAACTCCCCTGCAAAAGGCATTGCATACAACATGGTAATGGTTGCCTGGAATTCTTCTCTTTGGTTGGCCACATCAGAGACATCCATACGAGGTGACGAGGAACATAAGATTTCTTTCCCGACTTTTACATGCGAAACTTATCGATCGATAATTTTCGGCAAGTGATACACACGAGGGCTCCACAGTAAGGTTATATTCGACCAGGCCAGACCAATGCGAACAACGGCCTCTTCAATGCGGAAGGCGAGTATCCTAAAGCATCCGCTCTATGCTCGCACGTCATGCTCCTCATCAAATCGCAATTAGGAAGGTTCGGCATGCTAAAGGAAACTCAATCGTGAAGGAGTCCGACCTGTCACCTTGGTGTCGTCGACGCCTGCTTGTGAAGAGAAAGCGTAACAAGCGGACAAAGAGTTCTAGCGGTAAGATCGGACCTAGTGGCCCCGGCCGGTGGTAATAACGTACTGAATTTTGGATCATTCGGCGTACACGCAAAGTTGCCTTGCCATCGCTCGCCATCAAACGTGCCCTCGTCGAAAAGTCAGTATATAAATGGTGAATAGGAGGGTGTGGGTAGTCTCGACAAAAGGGGGATGCTAAGAGGTGATAGAAGCATTCTCCTTGATATTGAAACTTTTGAAGACCAGATGGGGCTTGTGTGCGTAGTAAGAACGGACAGAACGTGCTGTGTAGGGAAGAACATTCTGCCTCGCGCAATAAGGGAGCTTGTTAGAGAGTATATCCAAGTTCCAACCGGTATATAGGAATTCAATAGCATCTGGCCAGAAGAGATCCAGAATTCGAAGGCTGGAGGCTTGTGGGCGGCCAGCTAACCAGTTGAACCGAAAACAAGGGTGATGCGAGTGATGAGAAGGTGTACGAGTGGTAAGTTATACCCACTTGAATCCGGCAGGGCATGATGTTTGGGGTGACAAGGAAAAAAAAAATCAAATTTCTCCACAGTGGCGGCAAGGAAAGGTCGACGCGAGTACAAGCAAATTATTTAGTGGTGAGAAAGAGGGATTTCGTAAAGGTAACATGTGGGATAGAGACAGTTCCGATGGTTATCGAGAAGCGGGACACTAGGTTCATGGGAAAGGACTGGATCAGGAAGGGTCCCGTTGGAATCAGGGCGGCGACGGTGTGGGTATAGATGCTCCGTTTTTGGCATCTTTATGGCAAAAGTCTCAAAAAACCCCGAAACGTCGTAAATCGGACGAAATATCAATACAAATTCGGCACAATTGAACTCAGCGAAGGATCTCTGATAGAGAAGCATACATCATTCAGGGTAGCCACCTCTGGCAAGCTCGTGCACTTTCTTCATGCCCACCACCATCCAGTCGCTGCCCGTCGAGCTCATCACTCGTATTATCGTCCTGGGCTCCAACTACGAATATCCGTATACTGATTCTCCATTCCTCTTCAAGCCCGTACAGAATACCTTCTACAATTCCCCTTCCTGCGCCTTCCAGATCGTAGTTTCCCATGTATGTCATACCTGGCGGGAAATTGCCCTGCGAACTGCCTGCCTCTGGACTACCCTGCATTTTCATGAGCCCGCCCATATCCAAAGAGCTCGTGTATTTCTCTCCCGTTCTAGGCCCCAGTCGTCCAGCACATTAGACATCCTCATATCAACCGTATCTGAACCCGAATACATACCCAATGTCAACCTCTATCTCACAGAACTCCGTGACATCTTCCAGCTCATCGTCGGTCATGTCAAGCGTTGGAGATCTTTCCACCTCAAAATTCGAGATAATCAGTGCAAACTGGTTGCTCGTCAGTACCTCTCTTCCTGTGGTCCTGGACCAAACCTCGAAACCCTCCAGCTCTATCATTTCGAGGACTTTGAAAACTCAGCAGACTTGTACCTTGCGACGTACAGGCCCCCCGTCATAATATTCAATAATGAGGTTCCTAAAATCAAGAATGTATCCTTAATTGGCGTCAACCTCCCTTGGGATCAGTCACCTTACCTCGAAAGTCTCCGTTCCCTTGAACTCGCCCTGCACGCTGACAATATTCGTCCTCCATACGTAGACTGGGAGCACATGCTTCGTTCCCCCGATCTCGAGCGCCTGTCGCTTCATTACAGTGGTCCAAGGTCGAGCGCAGGTGATGCTAAAACTGCCTGGCCTACTTCTCTCACCTGGCCAGTTGCCAACCGCAAAGGTCCCGTGGTATTGGAGAGGTTAACAGAACTGGGGCTGATGGATCTGGAGCCGGAATATTTGGGAAAGGTGATGCAGGGAGTAGTCATGACAGATGTCACCAAGCTCTCCCTGAACCTTTCAGAGCAGGATTACTCACCTTTTCTGGGCTCTCTAACCCGACGGGAAGGAAGCAAGAGCTCCCGAACGGGACCCCCAGTTCATTACGCTTTGCCGAACATCCATTTGCTGACCGACCTGACCGTCACTGCGTTAGAATGTTCGGTTTCTAGTTTCCGCGCGCTTCTACGCATACTCGTTAATCTACGTTTCTTAGACGTGGATTTCGCTGGTTTATGTGGTGGAGAGGGATGGAAAGTCTTCGTTGAAGATGATGATCCTGAATATGAGCACGATGAAGAAAAGGGTGGAAGTGAAGCGACACGGTCGTCACGACGACCAACCCCAGAGCAGCAAGACTTAATTGTGGATAAGAAAAACGATCTCGAGTGGGACCTTCCTCAAGGACCTCTACCTCGTCCACTTTCCATGTATGCCGGGATGAAGGCTACGGGGTCGTCTTTGGTTGCCAGCACCTCGGCAGCGGAGGGTCGTTCGGCGATCATGCCAAGTCTCTTACCCAACCTCGACACTTTTCGGGCACTCAGTCTGGACGGATCGACACTGCGTAACGTTATCGCTTCGAGGGGAACAATGGCGGGGAAGGTCAACTGGATAATACGTATCGGCATCCGATACCGGGATATTGCAACTTCCACAGATGACAGCATCTTGGATGGCATCATTCGGACTGGCGAGTGTCCGCTTGAGGAAATCGGAATTCAAGTTCCCGTCCACGTGGACTGGGTCCAGGACGATGAGGAGGAGGAAGAAGAGGAGGAAGAGGAAGATGGTGGTGATGACCTAGAGTAACAAACCATCTGGTAAGGATTATCTATTCCCAACGCTGGATTGATCTAATTGATCGTCATCGTAGGGCGTCCGCAGATTGCGTGCCAGCGGTTTTGACAACCCTTCAAATACAACGCAATTCATTCTGACATATATGCCCTGCTCATTCATTTCTTTCTTAGGCTAGCATATTTCTTCTGTGTATACCTTTTCTTTCCGGAAATTAGGACGCTGCTTTCCCATTTCCACAAAATATCCGGTTGATTACCTTCTAGTCCACTTCTGGAAGTTCGTGTATATTGTATCTTTAGGCTTCGTTTCAATGTATAAAAGTTCATCCTGAAGTGCTGAACTCTGCTTGTGCAACTGGAGCAGGCTGGAGGAGAATATGGCGCTGTTTCAAGAATCCGTATAAACAATGATACACAAGGCTTCGTCGCTCTGCTTACATCAGCCTCCAAAGCCTTTCCTGTCCTCCACCAAGTACAGCCAGGATGAGTTATCCTCCCCCTCCCCCGGGCTTCATGCCTCCACCAGGGATGAATCCTGCGACTCAAGCTTCTGGATCGAGGATGCCTCCAGAAGGTACAGTTTTTGCGCTGTGGGCTTGTCTCTATTTTGTTGACATTTTTTCAACAGTCATCGCACAAAAGTCCATGAAGTGGAAACAAATGCAGAGGAAGAGATATGGTGAAAAGCGGCGGGGTGGATATGTGGATATGGGCAAAGTGGTCTGCCTATTCTGTTTTTTCTCGCTGAGAAATCGCGTCGTTCACACTTGCTTTTCCAGGATCTGCCCCCAGAACACGTCCGTAAAATTATTAAGGACCACGGTGATATGAGCAATCGCAAGTTCCGAAACGACAAGCGTGTTCATCTTGGTGCTCTCAAGTATGTGCCTCACGCAGTCATGAAGCTGCTGGAGAACATTCCATATCCATGGGAGCAAGTCCGTGAAGTTCCAGTGCTATACCACATCACTGGAGCGATTACATTTGTCAACGAAATCCCTCGAGTTATCGAGCCAATCTATCACGCCCAATGGAGCACTATGTGGCTGGCGATGCGAAGAGAGAAGCGGGACCGACGACACTTCAAGCGGATGCGTTTCCCTCCATTTGACGATGAGGAACCTCCTCTGGATTATGGTGATAACGTTCTGGATGTGGAACCACTCGAGGCCATACAACTTGAGCTTGACTCAGAAGAAGATTCTGCCATCATCGACTGGTTTTACGATGCTAAACCCCTCGTCGACACACCCGCTGTTAACGGCTCTTCTTATAAATACTGGTCATTGACGCTACCCGTAATGGCAAACTTGTATCGGCTGGGTCGAACCCTTCTCTCAGACCAGCCCGACCAGAACTCCAACTACCTCTTCGACAAAAAGTCTTTCTTCTCTGCAAAGGCTTTGAACATGGCTATTCCAGGAGGTCCCAAGTTTGAGCCGCTGTATCGTGATATGGACTCATTTGATGAGGATTGGAACGAGTTCAATGACATTAACAAGGTCATTATCCGGCAGCCAATCAGGACGGAGTACAAGGTCGCCTTCCCTCATCTATACAACTCCCTTCCACGCTCGGTACACATTTCACCATACCATGCCGCCAAAAATGTCTACATTCGCACTGATGACCCCGACCTCCCTGCTTTCTACTTTGACCCTCTCATCAACCCTATCTCCCTCCGTGGTCATACCGCCAACAATGCGCCTTTAGTGTCGCATGAAGACAGCATCTTTGGACCCAATGGTGCGGACGATGACGCCTTTATCCTTCCCGACGAGGTGGAGCCCTTCCTCGAGGAGAAAGATATCGAGAACGATATAACGGCCGACGGTATCGCTTTGTGGTGGGCACCTGAACCATACAACCGTCGCTCTGGACGCATGCGCCGTGCTCAAGACATTCCTTTAGTAAAGAATTGGTACCTTGAGCATTGTCCACCTAATCAGCCGGTCAAAGTTCGGGTGTCATACCAGAAGCTCCTGAAGTGTTTTGTCTTGAATGAACTCCATACAAGACCTGAGAAAGCGATGATGAAGAAGAATCTTTTCCGCCAGTTGAAAGCAACAAAGTTTTTCCAGACGACAAAATTGGATTGGGTTGAAGCTGGACTGCAAGTCTGTCGGCAGGGCTATAACATGCTCAACCTCCTGATTCATCGCAAGGTAAGCATTAGTCTTCTCCCTGCAACCATCCAACTAACGTTGCTGGCGTACAGAACCTCAACTACCTTCATTTGGATTACAACATGAACTTGAAGCCCGTCAAGTATGTTGCCTTGTTCAATATAGAGACCTGAGCTGACAATCACTTCCAGAACACTAACCACGAAAGAACGTAAAAAATCTCGCTTCGGAAATGCTTTCCATCTGTGTCGAGAGATTCTTCGTTTGACCAAGTTGGTTGTTGACGCACACGTTCAATTTCGGCTGGGAAATGTGGATGCCTTCCAGCTTGCTGATGCGCTACAGTATATCTTTGCGCACATTGGGGCTCTCACCGGCATGTATCGATACAAATACAAGGTCTGTTAGCGCCTCTCCCTCAGATTACACATGTCCTCATGGTTATCTCAGCTTATGAGACAAGTTCGTATGACCAAGGATTTGAAGCATTTGATCTACTATCGTTTCAATACCGGACCCGTAGGGAAAGGTCCGGGATGTGGTTTCTGGGCTCCTGGTTGGCGTGTTTGGCTTTTCTTCATGCGTGGCATTGTACCGCTCTTGGAACGATGGTGGGCACCCAGTCTTGTCATAATATGCATTATCTCATCCATTCACAGGCTTGGTAACCTTCTCGCACGTCAATTTGAAGGACGTAACAGCAAGGGAATCGCCAAAACTGTAACGAAGCAGCGTGTCGAGTCGCACTATGATTTAGAATTGCGGGCAGCCGTTATGCATGATATTCTCGACATGATGCCTGAATCAATCAAGCAGAACAAGTCAAAGACCATCTTACAACACTTGTCGGAAGCTTGGAGATGTTGGAAGGCGAACAGTGCGTGATTTTATTCTTAGCGGCGTGAGACGACTGGACTAAGTTGTTTTTTTTTCCCAGTCCCCTGGAAAGTTCCTGGCATGCCTACGGCAATCGAAAACATCATCTTGCGGTATATCAAGAGTAAGGCTGATTGGTGGTGCTCGTAGGTCTATCTACTGAAGTAGCCTTTTTGATCGTTCTAACGCCTTCTTCAGTGTTGCCCACTATAATCGTGAGCGTATCAGACGGGGTGCTACTGTCGACAAGGCTGTGGTAAAGAAGAACCTCGGTCGCTTAACTCGTATGTTTATAACCTTTCGTCTTCTTCATTTTCTGAGCACGACACAGGTCTCTACCTCAAGGCGGAGCAGGAACGTCAGCATGGGTATCTCAAAGATGGCCCTTACATCACGGCCGAAGAAGCCGTAGCCATTTATACGGCCACTGTTCATTGGCTGGAGAGCCGGAAATTTGCACCCATTCCCTTCCCGTAAGCTCTCCTGATTTATCATACTCTCTGGCGCATTGACGAAACCATTCTGTAGTCCGCTGTCGTACAAGCACGACACCAAACTACTTGTTCTAGCGCTTGAGAAGCTCAAGGAGGCATATTCGGTAAAGGGTGGGATCTTTGGCTCTTGTGCCCTATTCGATTCTGATGTTATTTATCAAGGACGACTCAATCAGTCTCAGCGTGAAGAACTCGCGTTGATCGAACAAGCATATGATAATCCTCATGAATGTATGCGTCACTCTCAATCGGCTCAATGTTATCAGAAGATACTTATGTTTGCCGCGATCTAGGTCTGTCACGGATCAAGCGTCTACTCCTCACCCAACGGGCGTTCAAGGAGTCTGGCATCGAGTTCTTCGACACCTACGACAAGCTTATCCCCTGCTATGACATTGAACCTGTTGAGAAGATTACTGATGCTGTGAGGCTGTTCGTCGATTACACTACGATTTGTTGCTAACTACTTTCTTCGACAGTATCTCGACCAATTCCTCTTCTTTGAGTGAGTATTTTCTAACTCAGGCCGCCTGAGTCATTTGTTCATACATCTCTTTCAGGGCGGACAAGCGTGGCCTGTTCCCTGCGTGGATCAAACCCGCTGACACCGAGCCTCCCCCACTGCTTGTTTACAAGGTATCCGCAAACTGCTTTGTTTGTTGATGCTAAGAAGCTGACTTGTACTGAAGTGGTGTCAAGGCATAAATAATCTGACTGATATTTGGGGAACAAGCGAAGGAGAATGCAATGTTCTAATGGAGACTGTCCTGTCTAAGGTGTATGAGAAGATAGACCTGACATTGCTCAATCGTCTCCTCCGTTTGATTCTAGATCATAATCTTGCTGATTATATAACGGCTAAGAACAACACTGGTGAGCTCAGTCATTTTTTGAAAATAAAAGCCCATTAATATCCATCTCCTAGTGTTGACGTACAAGGGTAAGCAACAGATTTCGCAAGGCTGTTTCTGCGACTGACTCGCTTGCCACAGATATGGCGCACACCAACGCTTTTGGTCTTATACGGGGACTGCAATTTTCCGCCTTCGTTTTTCAGTACTATGGTCTAATCTTGGACTTGTTAATCCTAGGTCTTCAACGGGCTAGCGAAATGGCCGGACCTCCTCAAATGCCGAACAACTTCCTGCAATATCGGGACTCTACTACGGAAACCCGGCATCCCATCCGACTATACTCCCGTTACGTCGACAGGCTTCACATTCTATTCCGGTTCACCGCGGACGAGTCCCGAGATCTTATTCAAAGGTATCTTTCGGCCAATCCGGATCCGACTAACAACAATGTCATCGGGTACAACAACAAGAGATGCTGGCCAAGAGACTGCAGGATGAGGCTAATCAAACACGATGTTAATTTGGGTCGTGCAGTCTTCTGGAACGTCAAGCAGTCTCTTCCTAGGTCCTTGACAACGATAGAATGGGAGGATACATTCGTCAGCGTGTACTCGCAGAACAATCCGCAGCTATTGTTTTCGATGTGCGGCTTTGAAATCCGCATCTTGCCGAAGATCAGGACCATGAGTGGGGAGCAATTCTCATTGAAGGACGCCGTCTGGAACTTGACGAATGAGCAAACGAAGGAGCGTACCGCTCAGGCATTCCTCAGGGTATCCGATGAAGGTTGGTTTTAATAGAGTTACTACAGTTGTACAAAACTAATTGCCTTTTCCAACAGGTGTTCAACAGTTCAACAACAGGATCCGACAGGTGCTCATGAGCTCTGGTTCTACCACGTTCTCCAAGATCGTGAACAAATGGAACACAGCTCTCATCGGTCTTATGACCTACTACCGCGAAGCTGTTATCCATACCAATGAACTACTGGATTCCCTTGTCAAGGCAGAAAACAAGATTCAGACTCGAGTCAAGATTGGTCTTAACAGTAAGATGCCTTCCCGTTTCCCTCCAGTCGTCTTCTATACACCAAAGGTATGTAACAGTGTATCATGCTCGTGTAAAACAGTGCCTCATTGGTTTCACAGGAGCTGGGTGGTTTGGGAATGTTATCTATGGGACACGTACTTATACCACAGAGCGATCTTCGCTGGTCTAAGCAAACGGATGTTGCAGGTGAAGTCTCTTTGGTTGCTGCATCAATCTGTCATATTGACATCGCTTGCCGTAGTTACTCATTTCCGCGCTGGTATGAGCCACGAGGAAGACCAGTTGATACCCAATTTGTATCGTTACCTCCAACCTTGGGAAGCCGAGTTTCTCGATTCGGCACGGGTTTGGTCTGAATATTCCATGAAGCGGAAGGAGGCCAATGCTCAGAACAGACGTTTGACACTAGAGGACCTGGAGGATAGTTGGGATCGTGGCATTCCTCGCATCAACACTCTGTTCCAGAAGGATCGTCACACGTGAGTTATTGTTTGCTTTCATAACATTCTTGATCTCACAATATGGCTAGGCTTGCCTATGATCGCGGTTGGCGTGTAAGGACTGATTGGAAGCAGTACCAGCTTCTCAAACAGTAAGCCCACTATATCTCACTTTCGCAGAGAACTCACAGCACTGCAACTAGTAATCCTTTCTGGTGGACTTCGCAGCGGCACGACGGTAAACTTTGGCAACTCAATAATTATCGTGTGGACGTTATTGCGGCCTTGGGTGGTGTTGAAGGCATCTTAGAACACACGCTATTTAAGGGCACTTACTTCCCCACTTGGGAAGGTAAACATATCTATTATCGGCTTTTTTCGCCTGCTTACATCGTTGCTAGGCCTGTTCTGGGAAAAGGCTTCTGGATTCGAGGAGTCGATGAGGTACAAGAAACTCACCAATGCCCAGCGTTCAGGTCTTAATCAGATACCTAATCGACGATTCACTCTTTGGTGGAGTCCGACAATCAACCGTGCCAACGTGTATGTTGGTTTCCAGGTGCAACTTGATCTTACAGGCATCTTCATGCAAGTCCATGTTTCCCTGTGGATGCTCTCATTCATGGCTTAACGTTTTTGTAGGCACGGAAAGATTCCAACGCTCAAAATCAGTTTGATCCAGATCTTCCGAGCCCATCTATGGCAAAAGAGTACGTCGGTGGTCAGGCTTCAGACTGAACTCAACTAATAATGATTTTGACCAGTCCATGAGAGTGTCGTCATGGATTTGGTACGTGATATCTCCTATGACAATGGCACGGGCACTCAAATATCTACATACCTAGTGTCAAGTATTCGATCAGGAGCTGGAGCCCTTGCAAATCGAGACTGTCCAGAAAGAGACGATTCATCCTCGTAAGAGCTACAAGATGAACAGCTCTTGCGCAGATATTTTGCTCTTTTCAGCTTACAAGGTAATTACTAACCCTACCAGTGCCTTCACCTGACTAAATGTCGATGTTTTAGTGGAACATCTCCCGACCATCCCTTGTGACGGACGTTAGTGTTTCCCGCACCCTATTCGTGATCCTTCATGCTAACGCAGATTTTCCGCAAATAGGTCAAGGATGTACTAGATGGCACTACCAGCAACAAATATTGGATTGACGTCCAGTTAAGATGGGGTGATTTCGATACACACGACATTGAGCGTTATACTCGTGCCAAATTCCTGGACTACGTGGGCTGCCTCTATCTCTGTCATCCCTCATACTGATGTACTTTGAAGGTTTCGGATTCCATGAGTATCTACCCGTCGCCAACAGGAGTGATGATCGGCATGGACCTGGCCTACAACCTGTGGTCGGCGTATGGCAACTGGTTCCCTGGCATGAAGCCTCTTATCCAGCAAGCAATGGCCAAAATCATGAAAGCCAATCCAGCCTGCCATGTGCTGCGAGAACGTATACGTAAAGGTTTACAACTATATTCGTCCGAGCCAACAGAGCCGTACTTGAACAGTCAGGTCAGTAACATCTCATTGGCAGTTCCATGCCTATGCTGAAGGTTTTCTAGAATTATTCGGAGTTGTTCTCCAACCAGATCATCTGGTTCGTGGACGACACGAACGTCTACCGTGTTACCATGTAAGCAGCTCCACTCAGTGTCTGTCGATGCCTTTTCTCACTTGTTACTAGACATAAGACGTTCGAAGGAAACTTGACTACTAAGCCCATTAGTGAGTTGTGTTTTATCGTGTTCTGTGTGGTGTCACTGACTATCCAACAGACGGTGCTATCTTCATCTTCAACCCTAGATCTGGTCAATTGTTCTTGAAGATCATTCACACTAGTGTTTGGGCTGGTCAGAAACGTCTTGGTCAGCTGGCGAAATGGAAAACCGCTGAGGAGGTGGCTGCTCTCGTTCGCTCCTTGCCTGTCGAAGAACAGCCCAAGCAGGTTATCGTCACTCGTAAGGGCATGCTGGGTATGATTCTATATCGTCTTTGTTTTTATTTCATCAATTCACGCCCTTGTAGATCCTCTTGAGGTTCATCTGTTAGATTTCCCTAACATCGTTATTAAGGGTAGTGAACTGCAGTTGCCCTTCCAAGCGTGCATGAAGATGGAGAAATTCGGTGATCTTATTCTAGTACGTCGGTTCATAATGGCTCCCATGGTCATTCTGACGGTGTTCTTGCAGAGAGCTACGCAACCGCAGATGGTCCTCTTCAGTCTATATGGTGCGTACATCTGACTTTTCCAAATTCTCCAAAAATGCTCATGGTTCATATCTAGATGACTGGTTGAAGTCGATCTCGAGTTACACCGCCTTCTCCAGGCTGATCCTTCTGTTGCGTGGTTTGCACGTCAACAATGAGAAGGCCAAGATTATCCTGCACCCTGACAAAACAACGATAACTGAGCCTCACTTCGTCTGGCCAACACTCAGTGATGAAGAATGGATCAAGGTTGAAGTTGCAATGAAGGAATTGATCTTGGCGGTATGCTTCTCCCTTTTTGATATATATTGGTCCCTTATATGGTTTCTCAGGACTTTGGGAAAAGAAACAGCGTCAATATCGCATCCTTAACAGTTAGTGAAGTCCGGGATATTATCTTAGGTCAAGAGATCGCAGCGCCATCGGTCCAACGCCAACAAATGGCGGAGTTGGAGAAGAGTTCTGAAGCGCAGAGCCAGGTTACGGCGGTACAAACGTAACTTTCTTTCAAGGCTTTTGCAGTATCCATAAGTTGATTATGGAATCCAGACAAACCACGAACGTACACGGTGATACGATTCAAACGGTGACAAGTAAGTTGGTTAATGGGGCTTTCCTCGGCTAGTCTAATCAGTATCTTCATAGCGACCAATTACGAGCAGCAAGTGTTTAGCAGCAAGTCCGACTGGCGTGTTCGAGCTATATCGTCAACACATCTTTCGCTTCGTCTCCAGCACATATACGTGTCCAACGACGACGTCAAGGACGATGCGGCCTCATACACTTACGTCTTACCAAAGAACATCCTTCGTGCATTTATTACTGCCGCGGATCTGCGTACTCAAGTGGCTGCATATCTATACGGTGTCTCTCCTCCTGACAACAAGCAGGTGAAGGAGATCAAGGTACGAAGGTTGCTTCTAGCCATTCAGCAGCGTTATTGAAAACTTCGACAGGCAGTCGTGTGGGTTCCTCAACGCGGAAGCAATAACAGTATCGAGTTGCCGTCTCGGATGCCGAAAGATGATTTCCTGCTGAAAGATGTTGAGTTCCTGGGATGGATCAAGACACAGGCTTTGGAAATCAACCACATGTCCCCCACAGATATCACGACGCAAGCCAAATTAATGGCGGACCATCCTGAACTCGGATCGTCTTGCATTTGTATCACCGCTTCCTTCACTCCTGGATCTGTTTCATTGTCAGGACATTCCCTCACACCCAGTGGATTTGAATGGGGCAGAAAGAATGCGGACAATTCTTCAAATCCTCCCGTAAGATGTCGTTTCTGTGTTTTAGGCAATTTTTATAGTTAACGTTCCTGCTCACAGGGCTTCAATCCTAACATGTCAGAGCGGGTTCAGTTGCTTTTATCTGATCGTGTCCTAGGCATGACATTAGTTCCGGAGGGCAGAGTGTGGAATTATGGCATTGGTCTTACCCAGCTTTGGTCGCCCAACCTCCCCTATGCTATGACGTTAGATACTCCTCTGTTGTTCTGGGCTGAGGAGCACCGGCCGGCGGCATTCTTGACAGTAAGCACTTCCACGTTGACCTATTCTCAAGTCCTGATTTTTCATCTTTCAGTTCGCTAATCTCGAGCAAGGAGAGGACAGCGCTGATGTTGAGAATAGCTTTGCTTGATTTTGTTGTGAAATTCATTAGCTACGTAGTACTACTTATTGGCACATCTATATTTTTATGTAATTGTATTGCACAAACTGTATATCTAAAACGTTACAACCGATCCGTGAGTATAAGCAAGTGTGGTACATGCGATAAGAAAGCGATAAGACAGCAAATAAGGAGAAATCCTCCTGGGAAGAAACTGACCGTGTATTCTACATGGTTAGAATGCCCAATGAGACAACCGAACCACAGCGTGAATGGGGTAGAGGAATGTTCTCCGGTAAGATGGTTACACTGCGTTCTTGAGGAACAGCTACAGGTTCCTTTTCCGGGACTGCTACTTGCTTCGATATACGGCGAGGAGGGGGTGACAAAGATCTCAGTTGCGGCTCGTCATCGATAATGATGGGAACATGAACCGTTGGCGTAGGCATCTTGGGAACGGGCATCGAGGACGTGATAGGCGTGTATAGTTGCAGATAGCTGTGGTCGTTCTGCATATAAGTGATTTTCTCGTTGATAGGTGTTGATGGTGACGACGTGGATATATATGACAAGGGCGTATGCGGTGGAGAGATGGTAGAATGACGTGATCGTGGCGATGGGGTATGGAATCCGTTACTGATATGTAGAGGCGAAGGCGCACTCAGAATGCGAAGACGTTGCTTAAATGAAGTGGCACGTGAAGCCGGAGGAGCAGAAGCAGGCAATTCATTCAAAGGTGGCTCGGGAAGTGGACGAACCGGTGGAGGAAGGGGGGCGCTCGCAGGATTAGGTGAAGATGGAATAGTATACAAATCGCTTTTCATGGACACGCCAGCGCTAGCTCGACGTGACCGACGTTCTGTCTCGTCCGGACGAGGTGGGAGCTGACCCACAGGAGGAGGTTTTGGGGCCATCAATGACAGCCTGAATCCGCGACTGGTCGAGTCACGTTGGTGTCTCTGATCCGGGGCGGGAGGAAGAGCAGTAGTAGGCGCCGGTCGTGGAGGTGGCATAGAGGCACGGTGAGATGATGCAGGTCGTGTATGAGATACTGATGCACTGTTATAAGAATATGACGTGCTGGTAGTATTGACGCTCAATGCAGAGCACCCAGATGCGCGCTTTGAAAAAGTAGGGAGGGTAGATACAAGGCTCTTGCCGCTCGTCGCAGAATACGAGTTCCGGCTGGTCGGTCTGTCCGATCTGTCAACTACACCAGCTGCATATGGGTGTGGTCGCGAAGGCGACTGACTCGAAGGTATAGCGGGTGGCGGCCCACTTGGAGGCGTCAGACGTTTTGGTAGCTGTCGTGACCATCGCTTGACGCTCGAGCTCCTCTTCGTACTCGTACTTGACGAATGTTCCCCAGATGCGAGCGTGGAGACAGACAAAATAGACGGCTCTCGGGCTTTTTGCTCGGGTGTTCCAAACAGATGACCGTTGGCAAGCGGGCTGGGAAGGGGTTCGGTACCCGAACGGTCATGGGAAATGAGAGCGCCGGGCTCATTCTTACCATTAAACTGACTGAAGGACCCCATGTCTAACGACGGGGCACCCGAGGTAGTCCATCGCTTGCGTGGGGGTGGTTGTAAAGGAACAGCACCCATTGAAAGCGCACGAGTAGCCCTATCTTTATTCACTATGGATGTGGGCGGAATCCACGAGTTTGTTAGTGTATCGGTGTCCACGATCTTTCGCTCCAGATCCTGAGGTAATATAATCGGTGTTCCGAGAGTTGTAGATGTTGTTGGATACTGAGAAGACATGCTGAGAAGATTACTTCCCATGGAGGCAAATGAATCTTCCGTGGGATTATTACCATCCCTCTCAGAGTCGATGGAAGTCGAGCGTGATCCGGAGCGCGGTCGTGTCGTACTGAACAGACCCTTGAGAGTTGACACGGCACCGGCAGGAGCAGGTTTTGCTGCAGGCGTCTGTGAGCGTGTAGACTGAGATGAGGATGCTGAAGAGTACGTTTGGTCTACTCGTCCTAGGGACAGGCCAGAACGGTGGAACTCCTGCACATTAAGTTTGTTCTGTGTAGATGAATTGACGATGCCCTGGGCGCGCATTGAGAGCATCACATCCATGTCACCTTTAGGTTCTACAATTCCGTAAGTACTGCCTGGAGACCCTAAGCCTGCCCGTACAGCCCTGTAAGTCCCATCAGTTCTAAGTTTTGCATTGCATAGCTGATCAACACGCACCGCTGACCGAATATCAACTGCTTGATATTCGTAATCCATCTTTGAGACTCGGCTTGATTGACAATTTGCAGAAACCACATTGTTCGACCGCCCTCTTCAGGGTTTAGGTCCTTCTTCAACGCACCGACGTCAACGCCGCCAACTTTGATGACATGTTTCCGTCCACCGACTTCTTCTTCCGCCATAAAGACGACACTATCTTCATTGATTTCGAGCCGCTCCAGCTCCTTGTCCTCGCCATTTGATGTTTTGAAGAGATGCAGATATGATACAGTGGGGCTTGAATTGGTTGTTACATGCGTCGCGGGAGAAGACAGTACTAGATAGCGGCTCCTCCATTGCTTAGACAGGGCGAATATTCGAAGAGAAGGAGGTGCATAATACTTCGGCAGGGAGGCCGAGGTCTGTACGAATTGGGACAGGGCGGCAGGAGAAGAAGGAAATGGCGGAATGGGTGTAGGAGCAATGGAATTTGAGCGACTATGGGTGAGCATGGATGCAGCTTGAGTGCGAGAAAGAAACGGTGCAGAAACGGGTAAAGAGAACACAGACTGCTGTGGAGATCTGGGCACTGCGGCACTTTCCGCAGTCTGCACTTCCGGCTGTATAAGGTATTCTTGACGGTCCTCTGGCTCTTCTTCCTCCAAGGGCGGTGGTGGTGGATCAGGCTGTAATAGAGACGAAGTCAGTCCTATTGCTTGAGCTGCGGCATCCCTGAGCTGCTGACGCTCCTCGAGCTCAGCGTCTGGGCGCGGGGCACTGATTTCTATGACTCCGGGAAGTATGATGGGCATAGGAGATTGGCGAATGGACTTTCGGCGACGTCCAAATTTGAAGCCCAAGGCGTCCGATGCAACGACGAGTAAGCTGCCTCTGGAGCGTCGCGAAGGCGAAGTAGGAGGAGAACGTGGTGACCCAGGCAATTCAGAGGAGAATGACAGTGGCGCCTGGTTACGAAAGTCTGGCATCTTGGCCAACTTGGGGTCGATATCTGGATATGAGCTTAGCAAAATTCATAGGATACGGCTGTTACTCACTGCGCATTGAAGAAATATCGTCCAGTGAATCACTCAGGGCTTTCTCCTTCCCCTTTCCTTTTGATTTTGGCAAGAGAAAGCCGCTGCCCCGTCCTTCGTAGGCATCAAGTTCCGGCGACATTGGCCGCAATGGCTGCAATGGCGAGGCGAGGTGGGGGTCGGAGAAAGAAGCCACTGACGTCGGCGACGACGCCTTGAAGTACGGCGACTTCTGGGAAAACCCAAGTAAGTACTGGATGTCACGGCGGCCTTGCTGGGCAGGCACGAACCTTGAGGGTTGTCGAGTCGTCGATCCAGACGTGGTCAAGGATCGTTGCAGTCGACATGGAGGAAGGCGATAGAAAAGCGGACAGGGGGGGGGAGGGACGAGAAGCTCGGTGGAGGCAAATACGGGTAACGGCGGTATTTGAAAAAGCAAGTGGCCGCAAATAGCGATTCTAATAATTTACCTACTACGGCCATTTCTTGGTGATTCATCATCATTCATGTAGTATACTCACAACGGACGTGGACGTCTACATTTCAATCAATTCGGGGGCCACGACTCTCGCACTTGCCTTGTATCGAATTATCGAATTGGATTGCTCGGCTTCATAGATTTCAGATTGTCATGCAGAAAAAGGGGAGCCGACTGAAGAGTTTTCAAGATCCGGTTCTGGATCTAACTGATTCTCCTGGGCCGATGATGGAACAGGCTCAGGTCAGGCCCCCCATGTGCAGGGAAACATGATGTTACATTTCAGATGCCTTCAGAGTGTTGGTGGAATCAGATTGCCAGAGTCACCATCATGATCTTAGGGACGTGCTTCGGACTGAAAGGTGGCGGCTTCATGTCGAACGTACTGTCGCTTTTTCAAAGGGTCGTGCCTGAAGAAAATCTTGACGAACAGACGTCAAACTTCGTAGAGAAAAACTGGTACTTCGCTCATTATTTATTCTTGTCAAAATTCTGAAAGGTTTTGATACCACCTGATCAGTAGCTTACTATACGTATCTAACCCAATGGAAGGAGAATAGTCGCCCAGACCGAACCCGAAAAGACCACTGGGTACAGCGACTCTAATATCCGGACCCAAGATTAAGCAGTAACATATGACATCGCAGAAATGGACAAGTCCAATCGCGATGCAATTCTCCGCGACTTTTGACCAGCGGCCCTCTGCAAAATTTTCTGGTTTCGCCGTGCACTGCGCCTCTCATTCAATTGCGTCCGGGATATTTCACCAAGCGACGCGAATTTTACTTCCGTGAATTTCACCGTCCTGCGAACACGGGGCACAACGACATTGCTTCACACACGTTTGTTGCCCGTCGGAATAGCTCGTTCAGCCCAAGTCCGCCTTTCCCCCATAAAACCTTCCGAGGTTGGACTTCTTGGTGGAGTTGTGGCAACTTAAACTTACATTGGCATTAGTATTGACCATCAAGATGCGTAGGAACCCATGCTAGCTCCTTTGGAAACGTATAGAAAATCCATAAAGTGTAACTTTGTCGAAGAAAGATGTTGGAAGCCCTGAGGCGTCTACACGAGCATAGAAATCTACATGCAGGATATTTCAAGGATCGGAGACAGACCGGGTAAGCAACAAGCTGTCCTTATTAGGTTGTATAGACTCCGATTTGTGATAAATAGTGGTCTAAGCTGATGTTGACACAAATCATTTGCTTGCGAAAGCGGAGAACAGCTCACATAGCGTTTTTCGGGCTTACTGCGATATGTTATCGAGCATCAAGGCCGACGTATTCGCGATTGAACAACAAGGTCTACATCTTTAGATGGGCAATTAGAGAAGAGAAATGCGGATAAAACAACACTTACCTATTACAACAGTATATCCACGCCCGAACGATCGTGTACGCAAGACATCGACGCACGAACAGCAAGAAGACCGGCAGCACAGCTGTGCGGCTCAGAAAAACAATAATATACATCCTCACCAATCGACCAACAGCAAGATGAACTACTTGCCCGCTACACCACAGGACGATTCCGCTTGAACGTGCCAAAGGGACCCACAGATGATCCAGGGGAAATACCGACCGGACGCGACTTTCCCGGTTCGAAAAGCGTCTTCGAATCGTACCCCTCCATCCTCGCCTGCAATGGCAAGAGCCCCATCATCCTCTTCAACTCCTCATTCTCCTTCTCCAAACGCGCAAGTTCGATCTCCCTCTCCAAGGCATGCGCCGATGCCGATGCCACTGCCTGATCCTTCGAGGGATGTTCCACATCTTCGCCCTCAAGAGACCGGAGAACCTGGCGCATTATCGTGGAAAGACGCGTGATGGCTTCTGATGTGGCGGTACTGGTTGATAGGTCCCTGGCGGCGTTGTCTTCTTCGAGAGCTAGAAGCCTTGTCTCGTATTCACGTATCAGAGACAGCTCGCGTTCTTGGACGTCTTTCTTCAGGTGCGAGGTCCATTAGACGGTCCAAGACTACATAGGAAAACATACAGCACGATTACGAAAGTTGCTCATCACTGTCTCCAACGTTTGCTCATACTCCTTTATGAGAGTATTCAGTTGCTTGTTGTCGTACTGCAGACTTTGGTTTTCAGCGCTCATCACAGTGTTCATTCGTTCCAGCTCGGTGTCATATTCGTCTATAATGGGGAATGAGTGGTAGAGTAATGGAAGAAATGAACTGCCCACCTTGGCTCTTATCAAGGTTGAACCTGCGACCTTCCAATTACTCTTTCACGCAGAGACGGGTGGCTCTCACCTACGCAGCACAAATCCTGATTGTGTGTGAACGGCCTGGCTCTGTAATAACCAAGTCAGATCTTGCCACTTCCAGAAAAACCAGCCAACGAACCTTGACGTTCCCTGCCTGTGCATACAACGACACCGAAAGACTCCTATTTTGGTTAAGCTGCTCGCTCAGTTCAGTGATAATCTGCCATAGTTGCATGAGGTCTTGGTCGTTATTGTCCAGTATTGTCATGATGGGCTGTCCAGCAGGCGAGAGTCAAATTGAAAGAGCGAGTCGGGCAGTGCACCGGATTCGACCAGGATGGAATATGCATCACGTGAAATCTGATATTTTCCGCGGATGTTCCTCGATCGCTGCCATTACCAAGAATAAAAATGCATTCAGTTTATCACGAAAATATTAGCAGGCCTGTCCACTATTAGAGCAACCCAGCAACCGCATCCACACTTCTGCAACTCCCTCTTCCTCACACCCAACCTGCATGCCATTGTCCCTCAGAATAAAATACTCCCGACCAGGCGTTTGCACTACCGCCAAAGCAGGATGAAACGGCTCACCCTTAGAAGTCTTGAGATGGACGCTTTCCACATGATGGTGTCTGAGATCATGTTCAGGGAACGCACCATAAAATACAATCATGCTTACGGGGGCAGGAAAAGATTCACGCGCTGATTCTTCAGTTTTGCGCTCAACGAGGTCGCCGAGGTTGACGACAGACCCGAAAAGTCCTGGGCTATCTCCGTCGAGGACTTCCACCGACCACTGACACTGTCGAACACAATTAGAGAATCACAACTAGGTGACACAGACCACACGAGCCTGTTACCCACGACACAGGCGAGGATGTACCTCCCCGCAATGACCTCTAGCACAGCACCAATCTTGCCTTCACGTCGCATCCTCTTCAACCAATGTCGACTAATTCCTCGCTCGTACTCCTCGTGGTTAGTCCAACAAATATGCTCCATCATCGTCGGGGGAGACGTCTCAGGCACCGAAGACGGTAGAATCCTACGTTCTATATAAGCTGACCAGTCCGCGCGAACTGGGAGCGAGGCAAGCTGGCTCTTCTCAACTGCGGGGAGATAACCAACGACTTCGCACGTCGCTTCCAGGACATATAAGGACTCTTTGGCATTGCGATGTTGCATGGTGATGCACCAGATCTCGCCTTCGAGAACTGCTTGCGCATCGACCACCGTTCCAGACATCCATTTATGAGCATCCTGGCTGTCATCGCCTACAGAAACACTGAAGAAAAGCCGCGTCAACAGGAAGCTTCGGTAGTGTTATCAACAAATACTCGTCAACAGAACAACAGAAGAGTGCACCGAACAGCGATCACAGCTTGATGTTCATGGTCAGGGCTGGCCCATAGTTGGGATGCTATAATCATTTTATTACGCTTGAAAATATCAGGAAGAAACGATGCTTGATACATCTCTCGTCGTTGAGCCAATTCTTGGTTTCGCTGTCGTAGGTACGGCCACATGTTAGTCATATTCTGAGGATAAGATTGAAGTAGGAGCGCAAATCGGCGTCCGGGGAATTCTCGTAAGATTTTCTGGCTTGCAGAAAGATAAACTACATGCCAAAGCATCAGATTAGCCGCCGTTGATGTACCCGAAATCATACCAGCATATCTGAACATTCGTGAGACTAAAACACACTGCTTAAGATCTCCTTCGTAAACTTGACACAGGATGATGGCGATGCGAGTTACAAGCCTGCGCTGAGCCATGGAAGGTGGCAAAGTGATGTTGTTCAGTGAGATGGGTGGAAAATCAGGAAAATCGAGGTAGGAAGACGAAAGCACAGCTGAAGTAGTTGCAAGGTTTTTTGATTGCATCGCCGGAGCAAGAGACACAGTGATAGGCTTCTTGACGATGAGAGGAGTGAAACGCTTCCCAGTGCCCGTCATAGTTACAATTTTTCGACTAGATTCTGAATGTGATACAGGTTTTCGAACAGTCCCCTTCGAAAGTGCTGAAGATGAGGTTATCATCGGTCCTTTAGAAGGAAACAAGAAGGGTATTGGTTTGGGAGCGGGCTTCGGCTTCTTATTCTTTTGTACAACGTCTTTCGGAGCAGGTCGTTTCTTGGCCGAGGATCCAGCAGAAGCTGCAGAAGAAGTGGCGATAGAGTCAGAATGAGGATGAGAAACGTTTGCATCGTGAGAGAACAAAGAGGAAGATGTTGCTGCTGGTGCTTTAAGAGGATGGGAGAAAACGGTTGGTTCGCCTACGACTTTAGGCACGGTATGCACCACTTGAGACTTTTTGATCTGCACATTAGATATTTTAGGTGCTGGTAGGTTTCCGAACGGATTAGAAGACGGAAATGGAGGAGCAGCTTTGAGTAAATTGGACTGAGAAGCGGAACTAAGGAGTCGTCGAGGGAGGTCGGCCTTGAGAGACTGCTTTTGAGACGTCTGAGAAGGAGGAGCAAAAGGCTGAGAGTCACTAACGGTACTTGTTAAAAATGAAGGGTTTAGAGACGAAGGCAGTGAGGATGGAAATGGCTGAGATGGCTGGGTCAAAATGGATGGACCTGAGAGCAAGGAGACATCTCGAGATAATGCTGAAGGAGCTTTTAGCTGCCTGGATTGCGGTGCATCCTGGGCAGCGACTGCGGGAGCAGGAACAGCTGTGGAGGCGTCAGGCGTCGACACAGCATCAGAGTTAACTTGTCCAGATTGTTTCCTCTGATGTTCAAGAATCTTTTGTATCAGAAGTGCTTTGGTTAGCTTGGAGAAGCATGTGATGTGTCGCCCTTTGCATATGGTCTTCAGTTGAGCGACCAAGAGTTTCTTGAGGGCATCTTCTGTGAAAATGACTTCCATAGCATGTACAACTGGCAGAAAAAGATAAATAGAGAAGAAAAGGCAACCAGAATGACTTACAGGCACTCCAGTAGCAAGCAGGGAAAGCTTGACGCGTTCCGTATGCGGCGCGTCGTGGTTGTTTACCAGGAAGAGATTCAAACTCCGAATCAAACGAAGAGCGGAACACCGGCCCGGACATTTCGATAGTCAGTAACAGCTCACCGCCTTGGTTGGACATTGGATTGCTGACCTACGGCCTCCTACGGTGCAGACATTACGATGCCCTTGGTCTTGGAAACCTCTGCATGCGTGCACTGTAATGGCACACATACTCGCTATGACGCCTATCTCATGACATGTTCGCAATGCAAGGTGTCCTATCATCACAGCAAGTCCGCCACATTTCGTATGTTTACAAAAGTTTCTTAGCTTTGCTCTCTCTAGCATGCCACCAACCGCCTCTCACCCAAGATCGCCTGACAAGCATCCTCAATGCTACATTTTCTGAAGTTCCAGTCGTCGAAAATACCCTACTATCGTGGAAATGCAGTCGCTGCACCAGAGCGAAGACGGTCGCTCCCAGGGTATCAACCAGCCTGGGGAAACGGCCAATGACTGCGGCATACCAGAGACCAGCTAAACGGGTGCCACCTGCAGACGCGTCAGTTGAGGTCATCGCGATATGCAGTGACAGCGAGCCGGAGGATGAGCCATCTGTTATCTCCCGAGAATTCACTCCCGTTCTCCCGAATCTACGGGCCCGACGTTGGTCATCTCCCATCGAAATAATCGATTCACCGTCTCCCCGCTCAGAGTCATCGCATACACGCCCTTTTGCGGATTCAATATCGGCTGTCAGAATCGTCGATGACCGTATGGATATCGACGAGGAGCCGCAAATCGCACCAGTTCCAGATGTCAAGCCCGATATTGCGACTACCTGGTTGAGGGACATCTTCTATAAAGACCTGCCTTTGGAGCAATCGCGAAGAAAAGATGGCCCGGGTCGTAGACCTCGGAAAGTCAGAGTAGTAGTGAAGCGTCAGGGAGCCGTCGATTCCTTTTATCTCTGTACAAAGGATTGGAAGCCAAATAAGCGTTGATGTTGATTGAATACCACTGCAATGATTGAGGGTAGTGGAGCATAACCTTTTGAGCATTAGGAAGCCAGAACTAGACTCGGAAGTCGGTCGCTGCGCCACCCATTTTTGGCAAGTCACGTCTTCCCTTCTACCATGGACTCCAAAGAGCGAATCGACGCCGCTTGCAGCTTCCTCTTACAATCCCCGCCAGGAGAAATCAACGACGTCCTCAACGGTGTTATCTCTTCCACCTATTCAACAGCTCTATACTAATGGCCACAAAGATGTCAGAAATATCATATCCGACGACGACAGCCTTCAAGAAGGCGTCCTCCCTGCACTGCGCGAGTACAACCTTGCGCAATTCATGGCCGTCGACGTCCCTGGAACGGATCATCAAGTGAGCCTCGCGCTGTACGTTAACTGTCGCCCGATGTTGATATCCAATTAGTCCATCGTGAGCGAAGCAGCGAGGGTGCTGCCGTCCGAGGACGGGGCTGAGAGATTTCTGGACCCTCGGTCCCAGACCAGCTTCTTGTTTGATCATCTGAGCCTAGTGCGTTTCTTGCCCGTTAAACAGTGACTCATCCTTAGGTGGTACATACAGGAAGCATCAGACCCGCAGGCGGTAGACCCGAATGAAGACTCGGAACCCTTCCGGTGCGTTGCATACAGCCTAACTAGGACCTCTCTCCTAACCATTCTCCCAGCTCTGCATTGGACAAGGCAACACTGCAGTATCTCTCGGCCCATTTTCACGACGGTGTCTCTTCAGTGTTCTCGAGGACCGAATCTCCGAACCAGTTCGTGATACAAGTCGTCGCGAACAAGTACAATCCCTCTAACTATTGGTGTGGATGCATGCTTATTCCTTGGGCTCTGGATCGTAACCGTCGTACAGGTCAGGACGATGGCGGTCCGAGTACGTTGTTGATCTCAACGAACACAAGGTCGATGGAAAGGTGCTGGTCAACGTACATTATTACGAACAGGGAAACGTTAGTGATGCCTCTATCTTACGCTATGTTGTTTTCACCTGTCTACAGGTGCAACTCGCTACGACGCACACTGTTTCAATAACTCTCCCATCCGCGATTGTCACCTCCTCCCCGGATACTTCCACCACAAAAATCCTGGCCCTCATCGAGTCAGAGGAAGGCAAGTTCCAGTTAATATTGAATGACACGTATCAGGACATGGGCGAAAAGACATTCAAGGGTCTGCGGCGCGCCTTGCCTCTCACCAGGCAAAAGTTGGATTGGGATAAGGCATGCTCTCAATTTTTTCTCATTGCTCAACAGTGCTTACATACTGTTCTCAGGTTCTTGGCTACAAGCTTGGCGCAGAGATATCCTCGAGTAAAGGTGTTTTCGGCAATTCTTAGACCAACAGGTGTACAAAATCCACATGTAATCCTTGACACCGTGCGGTGTTGTAATTCAGGTGCAAACGAGCTAAACGTCCTCCTTGTCGTTTACATGCAGGTTCATTTTTGTACATCCGATGGATCATATATACATGAGTATGCACGAAGGTGCGTTATTATATCAAGTAACATCGTCCGAGACTACGTCGTCTAAATCTATTAGAGTTTCGAAGTGAACTGCGCCTCCGTGACACCAGCACCCATAGCAGAAGTAGAGGAGACACCTCCAGTGACAGTTTTGATCAGGTTGTCGGCGTAATCAGCACCACTCCACTATTTGCTCGTCAGTAATCGTATCTCAAGCTCCGACATCAAAGAAATTTACCTTTTGGTGAGTGAGGACGTCGGTACCAAGTTCCCTCTCCTTGCGTTGCACAAGCTCAACGTAGGCTTTCATACCGGTCTTGGCAAAGTTCTGCGCGAACAGGTCGGATATGTACGCGTTGGAGTGCAAGCCACCGAGCTAGAAACCATACATGAGTCATATGCCAGAACTCTGACCATATAACTTACCGTGATGAATTGCCAGACAAAGCCGAGTTTGCCCAGCTGCCATACGAAGGATTCCATGTCCTTTTCACCCAGACCCGCGGCATCCCAGTTGAATGACGGACTCAAGTTGTACGCCAACCAATGTCCTGGTCGGGCATCGAGAACACCAGCGGAAAACTCTTTTGCTTGCGAGAGAATGGGCTTCTTGGTCTCCATCCACAGAAGATCAGCGTACGGTGCAAACGCGATGGCACGGTTAATGGCGCACTGAGTGCCACCCTGGTATCGGTAGTAACCTTCACGCGTCCTCGGTGAATCCCAATCCCAATAAGGCACGGTCTTCAGGCCGTACTGCTTCTGAGCAATTTCAACTGCTGATGGCCATGACGCATGGGCAACGGTCGAAAGGAATTTGCTGACTGTTGCCGAGCTGGCACCTTGCCTGCTCAAGGCATCACCAAGAGTCTTGGTAAACAATTGGAGGTTGGCGGAGGCTATCCACTGGTCCTCAATTGCTTGAAGCTGGTCGCCGTTCTTGCCTAGGCGCTCGGCTTCCGTCATGACGGTATTTAGAGGACGTAGGGATGGGTTAGTGGAGCCGAGAATGAACGCATGGTCGCGATCATCGATGTTAGAGGTGATGAGGGTGGCCGCTTCGGAGTCAGTTCTAGCGACAGCAAGGTTTTCGACTCCCATAATATCATATTGGAGACGGATGGCGACAAGTCGGTTGATATGTTCGGAAATGGGCACCAAAACCTTACCAGCCATGTGTCCACACTTCTTCGTTCCGGGCGCCTGATCCTCGACATGAATTCCAGCAGCGCCCTTCTCGACGAACATTTTCGTGAGCTTCATAATCGCAGTTAAACCTCCGTGACCGGTGTCGGCATCAGCAACGATGGGGCGGAGGTAATCAACAATGGGAGTTTTAACGAGCTGACCCTCAGTCATGTTGGAGCGAGCTTCATGCTGTTTGCGGTCATGGAAGAGCTGGGCCATGAACAAATGTTCGACCTTGTTGGGCACCGTGTTCGAAGGGTAGTCTGTAGTTATAATTCGTAAGTCATGACGAGTCAGAGTAATCCGGGGCACGCACCTGCAAGATCCGGTCCTGGTTCGTTTGTGCTGGACGCGGTACTCGATGATTGCCAGCCAGAAACATAGACGGTTTCGAGGTATTTGGCCATCTGCGTCACCTGGACAGGGTCAAGACTGCATAAAAGTTAAAAAAATGAAATGTACAAAGATGACGACGAAGCGACTTACGCTCCATAGGTGTGTGACGGCGTCCCCCTCTTGGCATGTTCGCTGAGGAGTTTCCAGAGCTTCTTGCCTTGGACATTAGAAGGGTATTGGATGGGTATCGTGCCGCGCTTGGCGACGACCTGTGCGGCGGTATACGGTCGCGTTACTCGTGCAAAACGAGGGCTCTACACGATGCACTACGTTAGTATAGGGCAAGCAAGTGAAGCGGAGACGAGTACCTTCCACCATTCCTCCACCTTCCTGACCTCCTCGGCGAACGCGGCTCTCTCGCTGGACATTTTATTGGATATTGTTGGTATGGACGAGATGATAGTAGTAGGAGGTCAAGGTGTGTTTAGTGGCTTCCCCACATTTCCAGTCTTATGCCGATACCCCTTTCCGGTACAGACGGAACATGTGATTCCGTCCATCCTGAATAATGGACACCGACTTATTCCGACGGGGCTCCTAAGTTTCACTTTCGGCCGGCAGAAGTTTGCATAGTCTCACCTAGGACCTAGCGCGGAGCCCTTGCTCTCAGTGGAATACAAGTTGTGTACCAGTGAATACGATTTAAAGTATATACAACATCAGATTGCTATTGGATACCAGTTGTGAGCGGGCAAGCGGAGGCAACCCTTAGCAGCTTTCTGCACGGGCGTCCGTGACCCTTCCGACCACCCGCACCCCCGTTTCGCATTTGCTGTGGCGAACCTTCTCTTTATTGATTATCACGGAGTGGCGCTCCTTACCGTCTATCGCCATCATACACCAATCCAGCGAGGCCATATCGAACGACAAAGCCGAAAATACTCCCGGCAACCTTTGAAAAACACGGGGAACATCAATAATCCACCACTATAAAATCGGCTTTGACGTCACCTGAGAGCACATTAGGACTTTTACGAGGCTCTTCTCACTCATCGGACCAAGATGGAGCAGGAAGAAGTTTAGAATCGTCAAATTCGTTGTCTCTAGTATTATCCCAGAGGTGGGATGTATGGTAGTATCGGTCAGCCTGAGTGCGGACATAAATTTTAGTACGACGGTCGTCAGTTCAGACGGTGGACGTAGAAAGACGGCCTTGGACGGATGAAGGAGGTTTGTTTCCGCGTCGAACCTGATCACTTGTTCCATCAAAGACCTACGAAAGACACTGTCCAGACTTACCTAGGGACCCTGTGCCGAGGACACGGCACCAAGCCGAACAATTGAGGGCAAGAGAGCATAAAGTTGAACACCTGCGGAATAAAGAAGAGCAGCAGCGTCTTGGAAAAATGCGCCTGTATGCCCACGACGGCAAAGGCCATTCCCGTGACATAGCACAGCGTATCGCCGGGAAACACTCTTGCAGGGTACCTGAATCCTTAATATTAGTGTGTGTTTTTTTTTTTAATTTTAACTTCAAGGTAAGAAACGACCAACCAGTTGTGATATAAGAAGCCCAGGCAAACAGCCACGAGCGGCATCATGAAATACAGACTGAGCAGGTGTCTTTCTACGAGCACCTTGCTTCCATACGCCATGCCAGCACTCCAGACACCGCCGAATTCAAGGTCGGTTTTATTCCCCAGCAGATGAAGCGGTAAACGGAATCCCATTCGCCAGGGAAGATAGAGAAGGTCGTTCAAGATGACGGATGCCGCAATGATCAATGCTTGACTGACTTCGGACCCATTGATGCCAGCAATGATGTTGATACTATTGGTCGCAAAAGTGGAGAGCAGAGACATGTACATATAATATAGAGGCCCTACAGCACGAGATAAGGAACCAGGTGACACTGAATGGAAAGAACAAAATTACCGAGGTTCACCAGGGTCCCAAATGCCCATCGAAGAGGAAGAGGGACGACGACATGTGTATTACCGCGCGCAGCAAAGTACACGATCAGAAGGGGTATGGAAGCGATTATTGGTACGGGAAGCTTGTGACGCCATCGTATGTCGAAAACATCGTCCAGGAATCCGAGTAGAGTGGCGATGAGGAGGGAGAGAATAGATGAAAGGTAAACCGACAGCTATAACAATGTTGGAAGTTGATTTATGACACCAAATTGGAACCGTACTTGATGTAGAGGGAACTCGGCAACAGATATGCCTTCATGCGCTGTCGCCTTGTGAGAAAGAGAGTCCGAGAATGCGAACGGTGTAAAGAGGAGCAAAACCAGGATGTAAACCGATGCACAAACAAGTCCAAGGCTCTCTGGGCTGCAATGCCTTGAGAACAAAACCAGACCACAGAGAAGGAAGCGTACATTGGTGTGTGGTATACTTTCAGCAAGTCCCTTCCCTTCAAATTGGCCTTGACAAAGGTGGGCCCAAGGGCAGGAACCAGATATAATGTTGCCAAGAGCGCGAATATTGAGAATCCAAAGCAAGTGTACAGGGCCGGAATGGGAGGTACTGGGTCGAGCAATGGCCTGACGACGAACCAGGCTGCAACGGGCAGCAGCGCAAGAAGTAGTATCGAGGGCAGCGGTCGGGGTGCCAGTTCCCCCATGGGCGTTTAGAGTAGCATGACGTCGAGCACCGGCGTGGTCAAGACGTGTCTTGGTCACGCGTTTGGCGATGCCCTCTCCTTCGCCGCCCGAGCACCTCAATACCACAGGATGTCGCATACAGTACTCGGAAGGCAAAGGTCGCGGTGTCTATGGTAGGTGATGCAGTCTATTCCTCCTCCTCGTCCTCATCTTTCTTTTTCAGCTTCTCGGTTCATTGAAAATCGGACGGTTGTTGAAATCAGCCCTGTTCTCTTGTTCTCAAAGGACGAATACGAATCACACGGCAGACACACTGTTCTGGGTCACTACACATTCAAGTGTAAAGATGGCCGGATGGCTCTGGCGCTGGGACTTGGTGCGTTGCTTGTCTTTTTCCTCTAATTCATTGATTAACAGATCTAAGGATAGGTTCCCTGTTCAACCACTCTGATTCACCCAATGTCACCTACGAAATCGACCTTTCAACAGAGTCTATACGATATACTACCGTTCACGATATCGAACCCGGCGAAGAGCTATGCATCTTCTACGGTCATAATTTGTGGTTTCAGCCTTTCAGATCTGACAGCCAAGCGGCCGAGGAACCTGAAGCAAACGAGCCCCTCCCTATGTCTACTGATAGCCAAAAACACGATGATATCGTCGCTGAGGACAACCTTCCCTTCCTCAAAATCAAACCACCGCCAGACGAGGAGGACCTGGCGAGCGTAAGAACCGGTAGGTCATTTTTCCTAGCCTAGTTAGCCACCCTAGTTGACGACTCTGCCCAGTTCAAGCATGGGTAGTGGATATCCCGGACCCAAAACACATAACTACAATGCTAAAGTAACTCCAGTGAACCTTTCCGCAAAATATTTCTCGCTAAATAGACCTTCGGTAGATGGCTCAAGCAAGCAGGCCTCGATACCGACGATCTAGGCCACCTTAAACGCGTCCAAAAGCAGGATGGCAGGACGCGACTCTTGCTGACAGCACTACCTACATGCCCTTCGCCACCGGCAGACTTCAATCTGCCTGAGCCTGTTCTGGTACCAGTACCAACGTCTTCTGCCCTTACGCCTACCTCCCTTGCACTCAAATCAAGTTATTGGCCTACCATATACGCTCCACGTCGGAAAGGCGAAACTGAACCCTGGTCACAAGATAAAGTGGCATGGGCACGAGAAGCGATGAGCCAGGCCGTCACCACGGCCCTTAGAGCTCAAGCAAACGGAGAAGTTGTTCTTTTTCTGCATTGTAGTCTTTCGATTGACCGTCTTACAGCTGCCCGTTGCCGCCTATGTGCCCGTTCCCTGCGAGATCGACAACGAAGACGCTATTCTGGTAACCGCCACAGCTTCAGATTCACGGACGTCGACGCAACATCCTTTGCGCCACTGTGTGCCCAATCTCGTAAGGGACATAGTGGATCGATATCACGAGGCAAGGAAACGGTCTCCTCCTCCCCCTGATTCCATGAAGAATGGGACGAATTATCTCCTTACTTCTCTCTCACTTTTCATCACGCACGAACCCTGTGTAATGTGTAGCATGGCATTGTTGCACTCCCGTGTCAAAGAGGTGTTTTACCTCATACCGATGGAAAAGACGGGCGGGTGCGGCGGACTGACTTGTTTACCCGCTTTGCCTGGAGTAAATCATAGATTCACTATCTGGAGATGGCGGGACGGGGGTTTCGATGTAGATCGTATCCGAATACACGAGAATAGTGATGCATAACCACTGATCTAAGAAACCATTACAAACTCTGTCACGTTTGAATCTAATGCAAAATAGTAAGTGATAACGTATCGGCACCCAAAGCAGTGTATGGTAAAATAATACACGTATCATAAAAGTTGGTCCTGGAAGTAATGGACACAATATAATGGTATGATGATGATTCCGAGGCGACGGAAAAGAACAAAAATACAGTGTGGATGATGCGAATAGAGATTAGGATGGGATATTACCAGTTAGCCTTGCGTTTGCCTCCTTTGCTGCCGCTGCGGGTCTTGCCTTTAGTCTGTCCTTCCGCCACGGGAGTAGGCGTCGTCTCGACTTCAACGATGTCCACTTCACTATCGGATGACTCGATCATCGTTACGTCGTCCTTCTCCTTCTCCTTCTCCTTACCCTTCCACACACGCCATTCCTTTGACAGCTCCAACAGCTGGCCTCTAAGACCTTCTCTCATGCCACCAATATCCTCAGCCTTCCACACCACCTTGCGATCCTTTTGCATGTTACCGCTCCCCTTAGGCTGAAAAATTGGTTAGCGGCTTGGATACAGCATAAAGAGACAATCTAAACAACACGAACAGCTGCGATGATATTACAGTATCGCGCAGGATCGGACATGAAAGTTTGCGCAAAGTGTATAAGATAGATACCACAGTCACAAAAATTGGGTTGCACGGGTACCTACATCGCTGTTAGCCACTGGTTGAACAACATTCATTCCACTTACTAACGCTTGCTTCCCAATCGGTTTGCTCGAGATTTCGATCCCCTTTTTGTCTATCGCTTCTAGTCGAAGGTAATTCCCTAATACACCGATTACTCTAGGATGTCGAGAACCGAGAGAATCCATGGTAAAGATATAAGTCCTAGAAAAAACGTGAGTACAACACGAATAAATCACCATTAGACGTACGAAGGGCGGCCGTCGAATATCACCACTTCATCATCATCAGGGAATTCCACCTGTGTGTCAGCATCGTCCCCGGCCTTACGCTTTCGTGAAGAATAGACCTTCAGTTTTCCTTTCTGGGGACTCTGTGGATCCCCAGCAGTGATAACTGGGTCTGCCTGTGGTTCCGCCTTCCGTTTGCCTTTTCTGTCCGTCGACGCGTAGAACCATGATGGTGATATCGCTCCAGGACAGGACACAGACTCTTCAGCATGGGCAGAGGCAGACTCAAAATTCTCGTCGTCGTCAAATAAGGAATGGGCAGTGTCAATCTCGATCATATCACCTGTCGTCTCTCCTTCAAACCGGGGTGACAAGGTTTGAGACTCACTCCCAGAGGCGGTCGCTTGTGCTTCGTCGGATCGGATACCTTCATCATCGGACACCATATCACTGAGATATCCCTGTGGACGGTCGTCAGCCGTGGGTGAAAGGGATGCACGCCGAAAGTCTGCAGGTATTTCGGGATCAACATCCATTCTTGCGTCATCATTTGGCGATTTATGCATGTCCAGATCATGTACTTCAGCGGTCGACCCTTCTAAGGGTTCTTCCTCAATTCTGCATGATTGAGACAAACGCAGGAGTTCTTCCACATCCTGTGTCTCTTGCGCTTCGCTTGATAGAATGTTGGCAGAGACAGAACTGTCGTCAAGGGCCATGGCTCCACGAGAGAACTCTCGTAGTGGGTCTGCTGAGGGAGATGCTGAAGTTACATTTGATTGGCGTGTTCGACCGCGCGTTGCTGGGGATTTTGTTTCAAGAGGAGGTAAAAGAATATGTTCGGGTTGGTAAATGATCGCAAGGTACCAATGAAAGCTGCAAAGCAAGTCGTGTCACTAGCCATAACTAAGAAAATCAACGTACTTCTCGTTAATGGGCACGATGATGTACTTCTTCGCGAAGATATCAGTCTTGGAAGTCCAGCGACGCACGGCGTTATACCCCTCATCACTGCTAGAAGTGACAGTCAGTCATAAATCACGAGCAGCAGACAGAAGCCTACTTCTTCACGCTTAACTTCTTGTAGAAGAAAGAACTAAATACATAGATGTCATTGGCGAGTCCTGGATTTTCTCTCTCCAGTCTCGAGTGCCACATCCTGAGGATAAGATGAGAAATGAAAGATGGAGAGAAGATATTCATACTTCAGTCCAAGCTCTATCAGGTTATCGTTGAGGTACTCGCCCGGTCTCAATCGATTGAGATCACTTTTGCTAAGATTAACCCCCCCAGTTGTCCCCCATGGATACACCAGGACCCTTGACACGATTAGTCGCACTGTATTAAGCAAATGAAGAGAAAATACACACAGCTCATCGGGCTCCTCTTCCGGAGGTTTGGGTGGTGCGTCGGAGTGACGAGTCGAACGGCGTGGCGCAGATATCCTGGTCCGATCGTATGGATGAGTGAACGTCAAAAATACAGTGAACTCACGATTCTTGGGTTGGCTCATAGGCTACTACACTGCTAGACTTGGCCTTTCCATTCGCGTGAAGTTGGCGTGAATTCTTTTGACCTGGCTCTGACCTGTAGATGATATTAAACCAATAGTCCTGTAAGAAAGGATACAAACGAACTGATGTGACGTTGATGCTGAAGAAACTGACTCTATCGATGGAGGTGACCAGCTACCTCGTGCCACAGCGTCGACGTCGACTGGATCCGTCTCAGGTACGGAGGCGGCGTCCCACAAAACATTCTCCTGCCTGGATGTACAGGTTTCAATAAGTCCCTATTAAAGGAAGTGCACTAGATCGCACCGAACAATAGCACTGTCTTTGATGTTCGCCCGAAACCACGCCAACGTGGCATCAAACACGGACCCATACCACTTAGGATGCCTCTTGTCGAACCTTACGCAGATTTGGCCCTTTTGGCCTTCATCGCCTGCGTGGCTGGGTAAGAACAAGCCAGAAGCGAAAGATGAAGACAAACCGGGGACAAACAATGCATTTTTCTCGACCCGCACGCCTTCATCATGCGTTGATTGCAGGGTAAAAACGGGATGCTCTTTCGTCTTCTCCATACCCTGTCAATTGTCAGAATCAGTTACACAGAATTGAAGAAAACCGACCTGAAATTGATTAACGTCACGGTCAATTTTAAAAGATCTTGACTGTGACGACAGGCTCCCGTTTCTCAGCTCGAAGGTTCCCTTCTTCTTGCTGCAGTGAATAGAGCAATTATTTTCTACATGCTCCACACCAAGCATGTAGTCCTTTAGAGGCAACGTCCACTCCCCCACGTTAATCTTGTCCGAACGGATAGGATTGAACGGGGCGTCCGATGCCCTTTGAGGTAGAACTCGTCGTCCTTGAACTTTATTATCCTGCAGAAATTAGATGAACATAGAAACCAATGGACGTTGAGAAGGAACCAGCCTTCGATTTCATCTTCTCCTTCGCCCGCAGATCGATATGAGGGACGTCAACCGAGGACTGAACACGGTCAGTCCTCTTCTCAATCTGATTTACCATTTCTTTCACCATTCCTGGCTTTTTAGGCGCAGGCATAGGACAATCAAATGATTCGATAGGACTCGTAGATCGGCCATGTTTGTTCTTCAGGAATTCTATTCCGGAATTTGGCAGGGGCCTATCTTCATCGAAGGCATGCCTTTCTGGCTGTTTTACATTCGGCATCCTTGGTAGAGAATTCAACTCGCCACTAGACTGAGCTATTCGTTGATCAATGTGCTTGGTGCCTGGTATCCGCGGTATAAAATCAATCTCGTCGCTGGAAGGCTGAGCTATTCGTTGACCGGTGTCTTCCAAACCATCGAGATCCAATATGATGACATCAGAGTCGTCCCCTCGAGCTAGGGGAGGCATATTTGACCTTGAATTACCTTGACAGACTAGACTTAGTATTAATATAGTAAAGGTTAATGGAGAACATACGAGGCTTGGGGTCATTGATCTTCCGTCGTTTCAATGGTCGATGGCTGCTGTTGCTATTCGACGTTATTTCTGTCCTTGCGGCAGATCGGAGCTGTTGCTTGCGGCTGTCATGAAGATTATCCTGAAACCGACTGCCCGAAAAAGGATTGCACAAGCCATGCTTGAAGTCATTGTCAAAAGGTGGTCAGCAGAGAGAAACATAAGAACGTACAGAAGGAGTTGGAACAGAAATGGGCGTTGGTTTGTTCTGCCATACTTTACTGCAAAGGTACCTTGAGAAAATACAGCCGCAAGATACACAGTGAGACACACTTTGGGCCCGATATCGACGCGTCTCTGTGATTAGGAGCCGAAGGCCCGATGCCATGCAGTTCTTCCAGTTTCTTTCTTGCAACACTCGCCATTGGTGCCAGCAGGGAGAGAGATCGCGGGAGTGCATGCACGCCGCTAATGGTGGCTGAGTTCAGAGTGAAGCTGTCATCCTTCCCAAATAGGTAATGCGCAATTATTGGGCGCCAAATTATTTAATTTCGACAGTAATATTACACATGAATATTTGAATCCTGCTACTTAAATCTTCTTGAAGAGCCGGTAAAAATCAGCTACGAGATACAAACTCCCGGCCAAAACAATCAAACCATTGCCACTCAACTCGTTTGCCCATTTCAGCGCATCAAGTAAGCCGCGGTCTCCTTCGCATATCACCACATCTGGAGAAAGACTCCGTACAGTCTCTTTCATCACCAAGGAGTCTTCCATCTTTACCCAAGGCATGCCTTCTGGTGGTGAAAATGATACAACAGCCACCCGAAAGCGAAGGGGACCGGCAATGCTGAACAAAGGAGCCAGAGTTTCTCGAGGTCTTTTGGGGGGAGAATGAGAAAGGGCCAGTATGTAAGTGATGGCGATGCATTGCTCCGTGGACTTCAACGAAGAGACGAGATATGTCAAGTACCTAGCTAGAGATTCGGAAGACGCAGGATTATGCGCCCCATCTACCAGTACTGGTAGCTCTTGCCCATCAAGATTGACAGAATGGAAAGAAAGTCTCCCCGGCCATTTTGTCTGTTTGATACCTTCAGCGATGGTTGCTGGGGTAAGACGATCTGGAGGAATTAGATGCTGAGAGATGAGAGTATCCACAACTCCCAGGGCCAACCCTAGATTTTGGAGTTGGTGGTCACCGTGAAGAGGTAGGCGAGCAAGAATATCTTGCGAGAGGGCAGGAATATAAGCCCGCACAGGTAAGGGAGGAGGCGAATGCCATGCTGGCGAAATTGAAAAGGAAGGTGGTTCTGGTCCATCTGCAGACGCATTCCATGGACGAACAGATACTGGGAGGGCACCGAAGACAATCCCATCGACAGAAGCTACCACCTCCCTGGCTACCCTTTCAACTTCATCGTGTGCCTGATATCCCAAAACAAAAGGCTTGCCCTTCCTGGCAATAGCCGCTTTCTCATTGGCGATAGCAGCAATGGTAGTTCCCAGAAAAGCCTGATGATCCAAATCAACAGCAGCCAAGGCCGATAGAAGTATAGACTCGTCAGGGATGATATTGGTAGCATCCAGACGGCCTCCCATTCCCACTTCTAGGACCACAAAGTCGACTCTCGCCTGCTCAAAAATGATGAGCGCCGTTAAGGTGAGCTTTTCAAAGCTGCTGATGGGCAAATCATACTCCTTGGAGGTGGCTTCCACCAGTGTACTGGCGGCCGAATATACCTCTGGGGTAATTTTCCTGCCACCGATGACGATAGAATCATGCACAGAGACTAGATGGGGGCTATTGAAACGGCCGACGGATGACGGAGGATCAGAAGCGCTCAAAATCGAGGAAACGAATGCTGCCACGCTACCCTTTCCATTCGTTCCTGCAACATGAATTGTGGGTCGAGTGTAAGGCGGCAAATGATGAGAAAGATTTCTTATCCGGTCGAGAGTCAAGTCGATAGACATGGAGGTCCTATCAGAAAATCTTTCTGGATCGGCAGTCGGACCGACATCCGGCATACGCGACTTCGATGAAATCAGCCATTACCATCCTCCGTTTGGCGTCGAATTTCTTAAGCATTATTGGTGGAGTACATCAGATAGAGGACTCAGGAGAAGATATAATCATTGAATTCGGTTAATCATAGCTAGCTAGTAGCTACGGAAAGGCGAAAAAAACACACGGGTTGCCAATTATGATTTCACAACATCACTTATGCGAGCCCGGTGGAGAAAAGTCTTCCATAAAACCGGGTACGCGAAAGGAGTAATGCGGTGGTGGTCGCACATAGTAGGATGGCTCCAATCTAATGGTACCGTCAGAGCCGTGAAACAGCGTGGAATCCAACGCCTCAAGCTTCAAGGTTGAGGCATTCGGAGACAATAGACTTGACTGTTAACAAGTAACCGGCTGTCCGTATATAAAATGCCCAGTATAACATTCGTAACCCCTCGCAAGTAAAGTCCTTAAACTTGAAAAGCAAATTCATCATAATGGGGGGAGGACTGCATGTACGCGTGGGAAAGAGATGAGGTTGTTGTTCCAGACGTATCAACTTGCAATGCAACAATCAACGGAAAGTACTGTGCCATGGTGTTGGGTAGCAACAAGACTTGATAGAATCGAGTCAAAGGTGGAGAAATACTTTAACCTACGACGTCGATGTCTTGAATTCTGGCAGGGACAACAATTTGACGACCAGGCTTCGACTGATCCCCATCAACATTAAAATGGCATTCATCCTTCGCCTCGCGATTCGGATCCCAAAAATACTTTAATGGTCTGAACACCCCAATCAATTTTACTGCCTGAATCCAACCTCTGAAAATCCAAACGAGTGTATGTATAATGCCAAAGTGTCCGAAAGCTTAACTTTACTAAGTATAATCAAACATGGGAAATAAATATGTAGGTCCTTTAACCTGTGGTGTGTCGAATACAGCGGAGGCGTCATGAAGCCTAGCATCGTGTGGGTTGGATCGTGAATAGCTATGTGGTATAACAAATCATTATGCAAAGTTCGTCTTGTGCTTCAGCCAAAACGTCGCGTGTAGATATAGTGCTCGGAGTAGAATGATAATGTGGCGTTGACGACGAAAGGGCATCGGATTTTAACAACCGTCGTACAGAGAATTTCGAGGGAAGTCATATCCAGCATCTGTCCATGTTGTGTAATTGGGGTTTGTATATGCATCAATATGGCTGGAATAGAATAAGAGAAGAGCTCTAGAGCTTTGACGGAATACATACTTGTTAATGTAATCTTGCGTAGGCCGCGTTGAAGGATTGCATGTCACAGCATTCTTCGTCCCTGAACGTTGATATACCCGTATATAGTCGATATACATTTTGCCTGGAAAGACCAAGTGCTTGTAGTCAGCTGCCTGGAAGTTTGGTGACATTCCCAGGTTAAGAATCAAGTACTTGGAGACTGCGTCAGATTTCGCTGGCGGTGAGGAGGTACGGTGCGCTTACCATTGGTTCCTCGGGTATGAGGCGCTGACTGACTTCCACTGTCGTATCGGGCCCGATGGTAGCAGCCGTGATCTGCCATGACTCTACGCCTCCACTATACCATTGTATATAGCCATCATCCCGGTTGTCAGGATCTGACCACCACTCATACCCATATGTTCCGTATGCCACGTCATTGTAGTGTGTAGGGTCAATGAGGGTCAACGCAGAGATGGCTTGCTGGTACGTTCCACCTTTGTACGGGTTGAAAGAGGTGATCGTATCATTAGTGACGGTAGTAGCTGGTGTGGTGTTAACGAAGCTATACTGGTAGTTGAAGGGTGCGATCTGGAAACTCTGCGACACTTCTCCTTGCCATATGTCGACGTCAATTTGATGTTCGAGGATATCGATTTCGGGAACCCCGCGGCCCACATCTACGCTTGGACCGGGATGGTCCCCTCCACTGCATGTACAAGCAGACACTCGCTGGCCGGGTAGGTAGCTAAGAGCTCCCCCATAATTAGAACCCGTGAGGGCCGCGGCGGGTTCGCCATCTGCAGTTGTTTGATTCGGGAAGGTTCCAAGGTCGCATGTATCGTAGCTGTAAGGCCACATACCATCTGTCGTGGCGCCATAGCCTGCTCGTCCCTAGTATACATTATTAACATGAGTCATAAAATGGTAAAGAAACGTACCAAGTTGCCCATGGTCCATGCACCAGGCCAGAAACCAGGGACTGTTGAGCTTCCAGGTATGCTGACGGAAACCTCGACGTAACCCGTCATGAAGCAAAACTTGTTCCACGATGTAATCATGCCTGAAATAAGGTAGGTAATTTGTTCGGATCCTCAGGCGCACACCTGTGACTCACCACTTTTGAAGTTGAGATCGTGAACATCCTCCTCGCTGAGTGTCAATACAAGCTTCCCGTTTTCGGTAATGGCGCCCTAAATAGATCACTATCAGTGTTCACAAATTTAGGCACCTGAGGTGACCTACACTGGGGTCATACCACTCAAGGTCTCCCGTAGGCCAGTAATGCAAGTCAGCTGCTTCCCAGTAGGGATCATCACCGGGGTAAAAGGTCCGTCCATCCGTATTAAACTCATCACTGAAGACAAGATTGTACTTCTTGCCATCTTGACCTGTGCGCGTATACGCATCTGAAGGCGTATCGCTGTCAATGAGAGAAGGGAGGCCGGGGAGGTCGGGGACCTGGCCAGAACCATTGATACCACCGAGATTGAACCCTGAGGTCGTGACAGTTTCTTTGGTGTAAAAAACGATGACGGGGTATCCAGCAAAAAGTGTGATGAGTCCAACCACAAGGATGAAGAGGGCACCAGCGTTTAACCAGCCTCTCGCAGAGAATAAGGTAAATGAGCGGTCCATTTGAGCGTCCCGGACAGGGTCTGGGTTGTGGAGGGCATCGTCGAGATCAGGATCCTTATCCCAGAGATAATGAGGGACTGTCGATGTGTTTGAAGGAAACACCTTTTCGCCATTGCCTCCCGCGACTGATGAGACTTCCGAAGGCGCTGCACTAAATCGTGAGCCGTTGTACAGGCCAGTATCGCGGTTCAAAGGATTGTACTACAAAACATGAGCGGCGAAAAGAAGAAAAGACTGAGTACACACTGAATAAGGTCCGTATCCTGCGCCGATGGCGCCGCTGGCAACGCCTTGTGCAATGGAGCCCCTGCCTTGCTGTATGGTGGAGGTCGATGCAGGAGGTCGTAGTCCTGGTGAAGCAGGTGAGACGACAGGCATGCCTGTGCGAGGGCTCTGAGGAACGGCAGCGTATTCTTGAGGGCTTGTCTGGGGTGCTCGCCGGCCAGAATTCTGTGCCATGGCAGTGGGTGACAGAAATAAGTGCTCATTTTTCCCACAGTGCTACCTTCACAGCCACTGCCGGTGACCCGTGATGCAATACTACTTTTCCCGCCCTACGAGCAGGCACCGGAACGACGCCTCTGACCATCCTCCAGTCCAACAGCGTCTTTGGTCATCTCGGATTCGTGTATGCAATCGCATTCACCTGAACCGGTATACCTTTCAAGGCAAACTCTGTAGCCAACTTCATCCTAGGTTAAATGCAAAGTGGCGGATTTGATGGTGTTGTATGCAAACTGTCCTGAGCACAAGGCACTGACATGTTGCTGACCCAGTACTTATACTCGTTTTATTTATGACACTTGACGTGTATCCAGCTTGATCCTTCGTCTGGTTCTCCAGCGATCCAAGGAAGGCCATCATCACCACAGAGTAGATTGAATACACGAAAACGTCCAGCCCACCCTTCTGATTTGGTGAACAACGCTTGGCCCAATGTTTCCGCGTCCTTGTGCTGCGACGAGGTCAGAATGCTAAACTACAGAGACATGAGGTGATAAGACGATCTGGACATGATGCCAGTGCGAGGGCCGCATAATGAACTTGCCTGTGGAAGGTGGCATCGACATTGCATCAAAAGACCGATGATAGCGCGAGCATTCTATGCTTTACTTATCTGACAGATCTTTTACTTATCAGCAGTTATGTTATTTCATTAACACGGAGCTCTCTCCTCGATCAATGACCGATCAGACCGTTCATTATGCATCAAGTACTAGTGTCCGCTGGGAATTGTTGTCATTAGAGTTTAGTGTTCATGCATCATGGTCCGTTCAATACATAAAAATCTTATATCTGATATTCGAGGGTCAGCAGCGCGGCGGCAATGTATTGGAATGAAGACTCACAAATTAAAAATATATAGGGTTGCGCCAACCATTATCGCAGTAGATTTCTTGCAGACTCGTTGGTACAGTGTACAACCGACGAAAAAGAGGAAGGGTAGTATAAGGTTTCTGTCGATAGTTTGCGTCACATAGATGGAGGTATCTGAGATTCGGCGTGTGAAATTTAGCCGCCAAGTACGAGAGTTCCAGCGGAATATCTCCGCCTTCAACCCGTAGGTGCAAAAAAGCTAGAGAGAGCAGAGAGATCCGACGGCCAGGGGAAGGATTATACAATTCCGGCTGGACGAAACGGTGCGCTTTCTTGGGAAATAGAATATGCAACTCCACCAGTCGACATGAAACTCGCAAGATCGAAGTGATTTCCTTGACAGCTTGAGGCCCCGACGTGAAGCCATGGTGTGTGTAATGTAAGGATATGAGGTTCTGAAACAATGAAGGAAGCCATGTCAGCCGAATACCATGGACTGTCGCTCGACGAAGGCGAGGTGCAACGCCAGAAAAGAGAGTAAACTCTTTGGTATCGTCATTCATGGGATACACAAGTGTCAGCTCTTCCAATGACGTCGCCTGTACCCCGCTGGCAGAGCAGCACTCTGACAAGGCAGCATTCCACAAGAAGGGGGAATAATGGTCAAAAAAAACCTCCAGAGTCCGCCATCGATGGACAAACGGCAAAATCAGGTACATCCTCCATTGTACCGAGTCGGAATCCAAGAACATGGATCCTGTTACAGGGACCAGACGCAATCTGACGTCGAGTGAACAGGCTCTCGCTCTCCTCATTCGTTCACGCCACATCGCTTCGCGAAAGTCGATGTCGATACACCTCCACATGCGGGGTGTGCGCAGCGCGATTAACCGCCATGCAGAGCACACATGCGATACTACCACGGGTAACATGGTGTCGGACCGGGAGCCCAAGGTGAAGATGCGGGCTAGAATCTCTGCCGGAAGATGGTATATAGGATGGTCGACGGCAAATGGCGAAGCTGGAGACAATCGACGCCTTGCCCGGATGCGGGATGATCTGCCAGGTAAACTGTTCCTCAGATATCCTGGAGCATATAGATACCGAACAACTCACGAGGATGAGAGAATTGATTTTACCGAGTCAAATATTGATACAGAGTTCCGTTCCTTTGCTCGCGTCCTAAATATCGGTAGGCCCATGACTAGATTGGTGGGAGAAGTCAAGCCAGACGCTACGTTATATGTGGCTCGGATATATGAAACAGATATAATAACGTTCCTCGGCGAAGATCCATTGCGGCAACAAAGAGAGAACCATGGTTTCGGTTGGCCTGGACAAAAGAGCATGGTCCCCGGAATGTCGAAATGCTGGCCTATACAATTCTGGAAAGCAGGGCTGAACAGGGGCCTCGCATGGCCTCGCATAAGGGAATTAGGAGATAAAGCGACAGCGAGAACAAGCTAACAATTAATTAGTGACAGTATTGCGCCGTACTAGCAATGGCGTCACTGGTCAGGCGTATGGTCAGGGTCGGCTGCACGAACAAGGATATTTTGTTCCAGATTCTGCGAGAGAAGCCCTTGGCTCAAATAGAAGACCTTTCAACAAACGGAGGGGAGGATGGGCAAAATTCTGCAAAAATGGGATCTATGTGGTACTACTACTGTACCGCAATAGTAGCAGATAAAGAGGAGCCACGTGCTCGTGTCTCTCCTAACGTCCGTCTATCATGGACGATGCTCAGACTCTGGACGTGCTCGCCAACGTTCTCAACGATATATCTGAAAAGCCTTATAATTTCTCTCTTCATGTTCAGCATATCAATCTCGCTCGCTCGCTGCAAGGCATGGAATCCGAAGTCCAGTCAGCAATCGAGATGATGTCCAATTACTACTCAGTCGGAGGCGACCTCTGGTTGGAACTTATCGAATCCAAGAAGGCGTCTTTGGATTTGGATACCGTCGATGGTGTAGCAGAGCTCTTGGTGGTGTACGAACGTGCAGAATACGACTATACATGTGCGCGATGTTCAACTTCGCCGGTTCTTTGTGATTCACGTTTTGCAGCTATTCCTCTTCTGAAAAGTCACATAGAATTCGTCTTGGAACGATACGCACGGTACTATGGCAGCGAAGCTACAGAGCCAAAGCCTGATGCATTTGGCGAACTCTTCTCGGAAGACTGGACCCGCACGACACTGTCCGGCATCGTAAAGAAGGGTCAGGGTCATGTAACACAGGTGCGCACTATGATAGGCTGAGTGTCTGTATGCTCCGTTCATGCAGATACCAGAGCCATGTGTTATGGGATATGCAACGGGACTGGGAGCTTGAAGTGCTGGAGTCTACTTCAGGTTCAGATAGGTAATTGAACAAGCTTGATTCTCACTTGGTAGCTGAACCGTATGTACTAGAATTGAAGCTGCTGAACGAGTGCAACGCTTCCTCCTTGAACGCCTCCGGCAACCTCACTCAAGCACGTCAATGCCGCCATTTTCCCTCTGTGTATATATCTAACATACGTTGGTAGACTCTGACGACACCTTTCAAATATACTCCTCGTTCACCACGAACCACAAGCCACCGCAGGAGTACGAACCGCTCCTTGTTGCTGCTACCAAAATCCGCTCACAAGCTGTTAAAACCTTTCAACGACGAGAAGCCATGGAAGCTGCATTGGTATGTCTTCGAAAGGATCTTTAGCCAACATTGAAGCCAACATGCTACAGGTCCAATCCAATTTCTCTCTGGAGAGCTATGCAAGCTATATTGCCTATGAAAACAGAGCTAGATATCCAGAGCTGCTAGTAATGAGTGGCCTTTATGAGCGGGCCATCGCAGAGGCTGCAAAGCGGAAGTTTGCTGGTGAGGCGGGTGCCGACGACGCTTTGAGATCATTTTGGGTTGGTTATTGTGACGCAGTGGTATGCAAGTCACCTTTGTACTTCCTTTATTCTTTAATCTTTCACTAGAGAACACTCGGCGACGAGTCTGGAGAACTACAGGTTTTGCGAAGAGCCATCAGAAGCGCACCAGCCTCTGGGGACGTGTGGGCTCGAAATATCCGGTACTTGGTTGGTAATAGCATTCAATCACAGTGCTGTAACTTACGCAGCTCCTGACAGGAACGTATATCTGACCCAACAGACAGTTCAAGTACAGCGGATTCCATATCTAGTGTGTTTTTATCGTCAAAAAGTCTTTCTACAGTGTGCTAAAAATAGTGCTAGAGATCTACAATTCGGCGCTAGGCACGGATCTGCTCCAGTCTGAGGTCGAACAAATCATCCCGGTCGTGTTGGCGCGCGCAGGTTTTGAAAAACGATGGTTCGAAGCTGGATATGGCGGTTAGTAACAATTCATTCGTCTTAGGTCAGGTCTTTGATACTCTGCAGATGAGAAAACATTTGCCACGCTAATAGCGATATTGGAGAGTGGAATTGATATAGTGCGGAAAGGTAAAACAAACCACACAACGGTTTCCTCCTATTTTCTGATTAACTTTTCAGCGAACAGCAACGGCGACCAGTGGTTGCGGCTTGAAAAATATCTGTCCGAGATTGTATGCGTTTATCCATTTTCTGAGTCTTCGCTGAACAGCCATTCTTCTCTGTAGTATCGTGTCGCGGGATTGGTGGATGGCCTGATAAAGCTGTGGCAAGCGACTGCGAAACACTACAAAAGCAGTTACATGGCATGCACATTGTACACTGATGCACTCATGTGGGTATATTTCGATTGCTATCTGATAGTGACAATAACATGCATGTCAACAGAAAAAACGACCGCGCGGATGATGCCCGCAAAGTGTTTCAGGAGATGCACAGGAAACACTTTGACTGGCCGGAAGCCATATGGGACGCTTGGGTAACGTTTGAACATTTTCACGGAACGGTGGAAGAGATCAATGCCGCAATGGATAACATTGAAAAAATCCGACTTCAGGTAAACGCCCGACGGGCCAAAGTCAGTAATCGTTCTTGTTATATGTCTGTATGTGGCGCTGACCGGTGCGAAAGGAAGCTGAAAAGGCTTCGCGGCAATATGCACAGATGGCTGCAGATCAGTTTGTGAATGAAGTTGCGGCCATGCAGCCGCATGAGACTAGTGAGAACGCTATGAAGGTCGACTCTGTGCCGCCAGCCATGGTCGAGAGGGGTGCCAAGAGACGATCAGAAGACGATGATGGAGGTACAGCACTCAAGAAAGCCAAGACAGGTAGTGTTACCGTTTACGAGTTGAAACACTGAAAGAGCTGATAATCACTGTAAGAGCAACACACAGCTCCATTGAAAAGGTACGCACTAATGGATACTGACAGCCATGTCGCTGATAGGCTTCTAGGGACAGGGAAAATTGCACCGTTTTCGTTGCGGATCTTCCTCCAAATGTAAAGGAGGAGGATTTGCGTGCGCTTTTCCAAGACGTGCTTTCACTTTTTCTCAACTTCGACAAAGCATCACTGACTGAATGTTCAGTGTGGGACTATCAAAGCCATCAAAATTTCATCAATGCCAGAGGGACATGTTGCTACTGTCGAGTTTGCAGAAAGGGTAAGTGATACAGACCCTGCGGCTGGGCATGTCTGAATTTGATCCAGGACTGCATAGCGGCAGCGTTGACGAAAGACAAGAAGCGAATCCACGAGCAAGAAATTGCTGTGCACCTTGCATGGCAGTCCACCCTGTACATCACCAACTTCCCCGAAAGTGCGGACGATGCGTACATTCGAAAACTTTTTGGCGAGGTGAGTAGGCGGCTTAAAGGTGACCGCAGGATTAATACCGTGCAGTTCGGGGTCATGTTCGATGTTCGCTGGCCGAGTAAAAAGTTCAAAAGTACCCGACGCTTCTGTTACGTTCAATATACCTCACCGGTAGTTTCCCGTCGTTCCGTATCCGTTCCCGATGCACTAATGCCCTTCTTAGGCCGCCGCCGAGGCCGCCCTTTCGCTCCACGGAAAAGAGCTTGAACCACATCAGTCGCTCAGTGTCCTGATTTCAAATCCTGAAAGGAAGAAAGACAGGACGGACCATGACGCCGATAACAAGGAGATATATGTCGCGGGGCTGAACAAGATGACGTCTTCCGATGATCTTCGCAAACTCTTTGAACAGGCAAGTCTTGGCTATTTTGGTCGAAGATTCATCAATCTGAGTTTCTATTAAAGCATGGTAAGGTGAAGGGTATTCGAATGGCCACCGACCAAAATGGACATTGTAAAGGCTATGCTTTCGTTGAATACAAAGATGCTGTAAGTTCATCACGCAGATTGATCTTTGGAGTAGCCTTGACGCTGTTACAGGAACACGCAACCGCGGCTTTGCAATCGAACAACTTCGAACTGAAAAAGCGGCACATCGCGGTAACAATGTCTGACCCCCGGGCCAAGGCTCGTCAACGGTAAATCTTTAATGATAAGGGTTGTTTTAGAGCCGTTTAAAATAGCTAACAATCTCGTACAGAAACAAACCCGACGCGGACACGGAGTCGGGTTTAGGCAGGCGCGCTGACGTGCGAAGCCGGTCCGTACGCATCCACAACCTTCCGCAGAATACGGAAACCCAAGAAGGGCTACTACAACAAACAATTGAAAAGATCGTTCCGGTAGTTCGCGTCGAAGTCCTTGGTGACACGCGGGAGGCTGTTGTCGAGCTCGCCACTGCTGCGGTGCCTCATCTCGTTTTCTACGCCACCCACTGATTCTGATGGTCCCTTTTTGCAAAACAGGATGCAGGAAAACTTCTCTTGAGACCCGAACCACTAGAATTCGGTGGAAATGTGTTGAAGATTACTGAAGAAGCAATAGGTAGTAAGTCTTCGGCGCGCAACGCCGCTTCTACACCCGGTGGGATGTTTGTACCTCGGACGGCGACTTCGAGACCTAGAGCGGGTCTAGGGCATGCTAAAAAGCAGCCGACCAAGGTGGCGTCGAGCACTAGCACTACTATAAAGCCATCGGCTGCATCCGCCACAGGCAAAGGACAAGATGATTTTAGGTCAATGCTGGGAAACTAACAGTCTAAGAGAATAAACTCAAACCTTCGATTGATCCTGATATTCACTATATCTCATTGTCCTGGAAGAAGAAAGTATCTCGCTCCTTCGGGTGCACGACTATACTATTCCACTGAAGTATTCGAAGGAGGGGAGTCTCACAAACGAACATGTATAATTCTACGGGGTACCGGTTCAAGAGGCCTAATTCCATCACTGTCAGGATAATTCAACCGAGTCGAAGACGACATTAGGGCCAGGGTAATCATCACCCGAGCCACCACTGATGATAGATATGGTGCATCAGGGATGGTAAAATCGTCTGTACGAAAAGCTTGTCATTAGAATGTTCGATGTCAGGTTCTCAAGAAGTGCTCGCACAAACTTGATTGAGTCCGCGCCAGGTCCCACGGGTGACACTGCAGAGTATAAATCGGTAATTTTACGTCAGAAACTCTTGCTTTACCCTCTCGAATTGACGGCTGTTGGGGCTATTAGCAGTCGTCAGTGTCATGCATCATAGAGGCCTACATGTTAGGTAAAGCAAACTCACCTGAAGGGGCACTTGAGGTTCAGCTATTTACCGTAATCTGCGGTCTTCTAACTGCGAAGGCTACTGTGGTACATATGTGCAAAGTTCGCTCCCCTGATATGAAAGAAGTTAGCTTCCAATACTAATCAGACGTTGATACACTTCTCACCAATCTCGGATGACGACGCGGTCCACTCAATGGTGGTGGGATTGTTTATCTGTCAATAAGCTCCAATCAGCATCAGACGACGATATCACCACGTCGCATACGTCTTTGACCTGAGCCATTGGGAAATCAGACTTCGAGCTCGAACTGATAAGTGAACATCACTGGAACCCAGTCGCTCATTCTCGAATCCGACCTAGAAAATTCGTGACCTGGGAATGTAGGGTTTGCTGGAGATGATCGGCCATACTCACGGATGCATCCTTTCAATGAGATCGGCGTTCAAGGACTTGGTGAACCATTATATTTCTTCAGACTTCGAGAAGACACACATACACCGGAGGGAGTGCCATCAACGGTACCAAAGTTCCAAATGGTATCGGGGACATCAAGGGAAGACGACAATTCCAAGGTAGCACTTGATCCAGCTTCCACAGTGACACTGGCAGTCCCGGCTGCAAGCTCCCCTTGGTCCAGAGCCGCTGTGTATGTTCCGGGTCTCATGGAATCTCGTGAAAAAGATCCACTAAACGGTGCTATTGATTAGAAGACGATGTGAGGTGACTGCCAATCCACCGAATGCTGGAGTCCAGTATTGTACATCATCGTTCTATAGGTGGCACATCAGGTCATAATTGAAAAACTGTTAATGGATCCGTACACTGAATCCAATAGTCACGTCGACACTAGACAAGGTTTCCGAATACGTGCCAGACACGGTACAACGGTCCGAAGACGCTACGTAGCCCTCAAGACCAAGATCTTCATGAAGCTCATGTCGAAGTTGTCTGAAGGGGCTGATCCACTCATCATTACCAGGGCATATCTTGAAACGACTTTGTGAGCAGCGAATACCTCGAAATGCACGCCAAGCCCTACGGTCCGAAAAATCGGGTACGATAGCTCTCCGTTGGTTTGGAATTCGTGTAGAAATAAACTTCCTGTTGAGTGCTTCCCTGACTGTCGATACCTGAAGGACACTCAGTGACTTTCATTGGGCAAGAGAACAGACCTCGGAAGAATGGATCACCAGACGATGTCACAATGTTGCAATTGAAGAGACGCCAACGCTATCTCCGGTTACATGAACTTGATCCTCAATGAAGCAGACCTGCAGCATCATGACGTGAACCAAATTAAATAAGTTCATTTCAAGCACACGTATGCTGGAATAAAACTTGGATCGGGTCTCCGCCCAACTCAAAGACGTCAGAACCCTCGATGGCCGTACCGCCATTTACTTCAGATTTGGTATTTCCATTCGGAAGTTCGTCCTTTGACAAACGAGCAATGAATCGCAGTTCATCGACAGAAGGCTCTACAGAGGCTTATGTTCCAATATACAGGGAGGGTATTCACACCTGACCGGACAATGTAATAATGTTTCTGTAGGAAAGTCTAGCATGGAATATTGAAGGGCAATTAAGGCGGCCTACGATTGTGTCAGTCTCGATTGTCACTACTGCGATGTCGTTGTCGACAGCTGAAGTGACCGTCGCGGACTCCAGGCCAGAACTAAGCTAGGCGAATTTTGAAGAATCTTGCAATTCCTTTCCGTTGTAGTCAAGGGAGATGATATCCCCGTTTGAAGTGTTGACTGTCAACAGGTGAATTCGGTTCTGAGGAAAATAGGAAGGACCTCTCACTTGTTGTAAGCAAGCCAGAATCGACCAGCATGTTGGAACCCGATGTTGTAACACCAAAGATGCAAAACCGGATGAAATACATCCCAACAGAATGAACGCTAGGAGCTTCATTTCTTCAAAAATGGTATTGGAAAAGTATGGATGTCAGCATTATATATGTGAAGCGGCTGGACACCTCTGAGGGGATAAATAAACGGAAAAAGGTTAGTCGGATTATTTTCGCTAATGTTCAAAAATGTTTCCAGAGAACCCGACCAAGTGATGCGGGGGTTGCTAAACATACTGCTGTGGTGTGTGACCATTGGCTTGGCCCGTGGGCCAAGAACACTTGGAGACATAAGAATGGAATACGGGCGCCCAAGGTACCTAGGAGCAGTCCGCCTGCTGCCGCATTATGCAAAGGATTATCAACAGTGTAGTTTCGAAGACTAGTTGCACGCGATACAACGATCACGATACCGCGTTTGGATGCGTTGCAAGAACCCGATAATTAGGCGGACCAGAGGCTCGTTCCGAACGGTCCGCTGAGCCCTCACTGCATACTTTGTACTCCATCAGTTGTCCTTATTGAATATGAACAATGTAACCCAGAGAAAAATAATTTAATCGACACTGGTGAGACTCGCCCGTGATGCTGTCTCTATATCCTCATCGTGAGAACTCTCATATGGGCTACATTCGTACCCAACTGCAGTGGGCGCTCGGTTAAGACTATTGCCCGAGTTTATCACAGGCGTAGCCGATCTTGAATGGGAGGTGAAAGTTTGAAGAATTGCTCCAGAACCTTTTCTCGTAGATAATTTGAGCTTCGACAATGTAACATCATGATTTTGACGAATCACCATTAATCAAGTTTCCAAAACACGGCCGCGACGCTACATGGCTAGGAGAAGTCGGAACTTGTGTAGATGGCGAAGACAGGGTGGGGGATGAGTGCTCATGGGACATATCAGAAGAAGATTCTGGACCGGATTCCTCCAATATGGTCGGAATCGTTTTAGGAATATGGTCTTGCGAGAATTGAGTCGGGAACAGGTCTTGGCGCCACTGAGCCTGCCGAGGCTCTACCCAGCCCATATGCTGATTGGACATATAAGTCGCATCTGACTGTATATCTGCAGGAACGAACAGACTTTGATCTTCGTAGTCTTCTTGGATTTCAGGAGGTGTTGTTGCCACATGGCCGGAAGAATGCGGTGGTATTCGATGCAGAAGGCCGTAACTAGAGGTATGTTAGTCTCTAAAAATGAAAGCAACACGGCCCGAACCGACCCAAACACACAACCCAGGAGACCATCGCCACCCCAATGACGGTTAGGAACAAGAACGACTTCCCTGAGAGCACTGAACTCACGTCAGATGGAGTCGAAGATTACTAGAACGGTCACGTACTCAAAGTCGTGAGAGTATACATAGACCCGCAGAGGTTTATCAACATGCTGCAGAGAAGGAAAGCATTATTATACTGACCACACAAAGTAGAGGCAAGAGCTTACGGCTTCGACTAAATCATAAAAATCGTTTTCGGCACCAAGAACGCCTCCGGACCAGCCTGTGATATAATCGCCGTACGGGACCAAGCCGGCGCTTTCAGCAGGACTGCCTTCAAGGACATCGAGGACGTGCCAGACGTTGTCAAGGGCGAATTCAGGCTCGCATATTCGCATGCTGAGCCCGAGCAAAGAAGGCTGAATATGGGAGCTCTGAGGCTGGGACTGCTGCTGAGACCATGCACGAGAAGGAACAATAGGGACCACTGCAAGCGCAAAGTGGAAGATTAATTCGAAGATCAGAATATCCAGCGTATAGGAAGTTCACGTGCCTCGCGTTTCCTGGCCTTTGCTGTTCCAAACCAACAAGTTGAGCATCCGGCCCTCATGACTCTCCACTATTTTCTCCAGCTCTGCTACATCGATATTCTGTGCAGACAGCGAGTCACCTTCAAAGCCAACGACAAAGTCAAAGAATGGCTCAATATTCGTATGGGACGCTGGCGAAGACGGGGTGACGCGAAGAACGTGGAGAGCACGAGATGGGGCGTGGCTCTGAGAAGTCGACTGTCCCGCTCCCATGTCGTTGCAGGCTCCCAATCAGAATCCAGCAACGAGACGAGAATAAGGGCGATGAAAAGAAATTGTCCGAAATTAATGTCTACGTCGTGGTAGTATTATTACTGGTAATAGTCTATGTACATAAGCGTGACAGAAATCACATGACGTCACTGTCACATTACTCGAAAATTTCCAGTGCTGGACGTCGACGTTCCCGGTGTACAAGTCGAGATTACTGGCATCGCTGAAGCAGGAATACTGTGCTTTTTCGTGCCTTCCGCGCTTGTTTTGACTGGGATTGCGGCATGCAGTGAGTTGCAGTCCTATTCCTATTCAATGAGTCAACTGGAACACTGTTAGGTGACTTATGTTCCTTTGTCGTCGACAATTGAGCCGTGTCGTCTTTCACAACCTTCTTTCGTGTACGCGCCAAGTGGCGTGTAGAAAATACACAAAAAATGCAGGCAGCCCTGCTGCACAGGCGGTACCTAGCGTGCAATCTTCGTCTCTCACGCGATCTTCATCTTCCCAGTCAGACGAATATCCTACGACTTCCTATCCGATTATATCCCGACAAACGCGTCGAAAACCCAAACACCTCACGCTCGATGGATATTTTCAGATGCGCACTCAGGATCTCCAGGCCATTGCTTTTTTGCCTGTTGATGCCTACCTGGATATCCTCGACGACAGACCACTGTCTCTGAACCAGTACAAGACAATTGTATCGGACGTCCTTCAAATTTACAAGGGCTCAACGGGAGATCAGATGGCCGTTATACGGTCTATCACGCAATCGGGTCATTTTTTCAACCTATCCCCCGAGGACGTACTGGCGTTGGTACAGAGACTTGACCAGTTGTTTGGCGGTCTGGAAAAGGCGGACCGTGGCCTCTTTGAGCGCCTTCTAGGGAAGCTGCATCCCTCCCGTACGGTCGCGCACCTGGAGCTGCTTGATATGCTACACCCCGTCTTGATGTATCACCTTGAAGAACATCCCCTTCCACCCAAGAAGACATCTATACCGTACCGCCCAAGTCAGCTTATCCGCAAATCGGGATTCTACATTCGGGCTCTTTTGATTGCAGACAAACGCGACAAGGTGTTGGAGGTGTTCCAGGCGCTAATGGAGAAGCAATTTGTTCAACCGATTCCAGAGCTTTCTGCATCTCAAGAGTTCGGGGTTATCGTTCTCTTGACCCTGACGAAGGCATGGTTTCATTGGGATTGGCGAAACGTTGGTATGCTGCTCCTGCTCGACGGGGTCCGCCAGCCGAATGCTTTCGAGGCGGCAATTGCACCTACCACGCACCGCCTCATCGCAGACTGTGTTCACCAGTGTGTTCAGAATGCCAGGTACCATGAACTGGGCCAGTGCCTGGAGCTCCTTTTCCAGCTCCGTTTCATCTCGCCCCTTCCCGATAATATCATTCATGCGTTATACATCGCCCTCAAAACGTATGAATTTTTTGACCTAGGTTTGAAGCTGTACGGCTTGGTCAACAAAGACTCAGTCATTGAACATCATTCATATCCGCCTCCACCGAGTAAAGTTCTATTATGGCTACTGCGATCAATTGACAACCAATCGTCGGGGTCCCGACTGGCCCGAATTCTCGCTGGAGCCGTCGTAAACCAAAATGTCGACCTGCCCGTGGAGGATCGCGCTCATTTTATTGCGATACTAGCGAAAAATGGTTTTGGTAATCTCGCAAGGACGTTATGGCTCCGATACTCCACCGGGCCAGACAAGGCATTTGTCACCGGCAACGCGACTTGTATGATTCGCATGGTTTCCATTTTCACACATCTCCGAAAACGGCTTGAAGCCCCAGAAGGCCGTCAATTGACGAGAATTCCAGACCCTGCACTGTCTCGGGAGCGCGACGCTGAATATGCGACTTTCGTTGACCATGTGTTGGCAGAGTGGTCCCTGGTTCATACGCCTTTGACAGCCGCTAGCCACGAGAATTTGACATCGTTCGCACGAGCCAATTTCATAGCTGGACGGCAATCTGATGTGTTCAGCGTCTATGAGATACTTCTCGAACGCAGGGAAATCCCAGATCTTTATGACGTGAATGTCGTGTTGAGAGCACTGGCGGAGCGACATCCTCGCGCTGCAGCGAGGATGATCGAGAGGATGATTGAGAAAGGCTTGCAACCCGATGGAGTGACTTTTGGCACGGTACTTCACCAAGCCCTCGTACACAATGACTTGTCGCTTTTCCAGGATCTCCTCCTCCGACTTGGCGAAATGCAGGTGGTGCTGACGGAGAAAGCGCTGGTGTCTTTCGTGCGCGCCAATGCGACGTTCAGCGTCACTGCAGCGCCTGACGTTCAGAGAAAGAAGTTCCTTGGCATTTTGTCGGTCGTCACGGCCATGAAACATACGGGGATCACGTCGTCGCCGCATCTAGGCAAGTTTCTCGTGTATGCGGCGTTGAAAGCGGGATTGGCGGTATTTGCCTACAGATTCTGGAAAGTGCTGTTATCGGGGTCGGCTCAATGGGACGACGACGAACAAGGCCAGCTACGAAGTACGTTGATCTCTAACATTCGATCTCGCTGGCGCAAAGGTGCCCTGGCGGAAGGGCGGGCTAGACTCATGCTGAGGCATCTCGCGGGTAGGAATTGTAATAGGACATAATAGAAAAATTTGAGTAACCAAGAAACGGGGGGGGGAAAAGGTTACGATGGACAAAATGGAGCACGTGGAAGTAGGCACGAGCCGCAACTCGGATCGGAGGCAATGAAAGTGGTGGTGATGTGAGTGATGTTGAGCAAGCCTGAGGAAACCAAAAGAGTGCATCGCGAAACTTCAATCTGGCCGGTTGCGAAAGATTAACCGGAGATAGGCCGGGGCAGTGACCGCGGTCTATTGTGAGAACGGAGGCAACAACTCGTGATACAATATTTGTTGAATGATATTCTGGAAACCATATGTGTAAAAGTGCTCAATCCGGACGGGGGACGCTGATTTTTAGGTTTCCATTGCCTTTACGAGCCTGATCCCAGTTTGATATATAACATTGAAAGAAGAAGAGGAAAAAAAGCCCGAGTAGCAAACAAAGTGCTACACGCATGCTTCAAAACGGCCACTGCACATACCTTCCCATTTCCTCTCAAGGCCCCATCTGTCCTCTCTGCGCGCTGTGTCTTCCTGCCGCTCATGCCTGTCGCCCGTCCAAAGAAGGAGTCGAGCTCGGCCACCCCGCCTTCCGACGACGGCCTCCTCAAGGATCCACACGCCGAAATCAGCAAAAGCAAGAGAAAGTATGTCTAATTTCTCTCTGTTTCACCGACCTTTCTCCGCGCCCCACCCCCGCATTTCTTCCTATTCCCCCCTTGCTTTGCCCTCCTTGCTCCTACACGTCCTGTTCATGTTGTGGCTCTCTTCTTTTTTTTCCTGTCTCATCTTCGTTGCTGACGTCTTCTTCTTTGTTGTTTAGGCGGCAGTCTCAGAGTACGTATTCTGTAATCCCTATTTGATTTGCCCTTTATTGATGCGATATCGAAGGCTGTGATGCTTGCAGAGCGCGCAAGGTTCGATGCGCTAGAGAGAACCCCGACGATCAGAAGCAATCATGCAAACATTGCATATCGCTCGGAATTCCCTGTACTTACGAATACCAGCCTAAAAAGAGAGGTCCCCCAAATCTGTGGGTGTCGTCATTCCTCGCTGTTCGGCTCTGCCATACTTAGCAGTATCTCTACAGATATCTTCGCAGGCTACATGAAGCCCAAGCAGCGGCCGCGGCGGCTGACAACCAGGTCGATGCAGATGGCTCCGCATCACCGTCATCGACGGCCATGACTAGCCCCCAGTCACTCCTGTCCCCGTCGTTTGGTCCAAAGAGTCCCTCTTCGTTTATGGATTCCCCGATACCAGCACTACCCACCGTTCCTTCTATCCCTATACCCCCTTCACGCTATCCCATCGCGGCAGATACCTATCATTCCCACTATTCCAGCTCAGTGTCATCGTCCTACCCTGGTTCCCTCTCTGACACATCTAATACCCAGGACGAACCCAAGGGGTACTCTCCTCAACCCGATTCTTTCAATACTTATCCTTTATATAATTGGTCCTACAAACAGCACCAGGTCCTTCCGGTGCAGCCACCAGCCCAAATACCCCCTCTCTCGTTTTATTACCGACCGCATAGATTGGAGGAAATTGCTCCAAGAGATACAATATCTCTCATTATAGCACTCTTCTTCGATTTCGTGTATCCACTCACTCCTTGCGTTCACAAACCGTCCTTCATGGCTGACCTCCATGCCCGCCGGGAGGAGCGGGATCCGCTCTTTTTCGCCCTTGTTATGTCCACTGTGGCTTCAACGCTCGTTCAGGTTCCCCGTTCCTATGTCCCAATGGATCGTCCGGTTGTTCGGAAGCTCGCTCAGGTACGTACACATTACTGTTGGTCCTGGTTGCTCTCCAACTAAAAGGCAATCAGACCTGTCACGAAGCTAGCCGGCAAGTTTCTATAGCATCCTACGATCCACCAACTTCTATGCATGTTATTATTCGATATTTGTTCGTGCCTTTCATCCTTTTTTTTTTTTTACATGATTTGGGTATTCAGATCTTTTCTTTAGCGATTGTGTGTATCACTTCTGTGAGGGTCATGACGCCACGCAGCATGCAGCATTTGGTGAAGCTGCGCATATCGCCGTTACTTTGCGTATGCATGAAGAAGCTTCGTATGAAGGCCTCGACCCAATCGAGAGCGAGATCAGACGGAGAACTTTTTGGCTGCTTTTTGGAGGTGAGCGCGTTGCTTTGTCAGGTGTGAGAGCATTAGATAAATTTGTAATTTTTTAGCCGACAAGTCAATGTCAGTCCTCCTTGGACGGCCCATCTGTCTTCGTGACGAAGATTGCACCGTTCATTTCCCTAAGGAACTAGATGACGAATAGTAAGTTTTTGAGTATGTTAAAATGATCCACTCAACTTCCTCGGTTGTTTTATTTTGTAGTATCACCCCCAGCGCTTACCTTCCTCAACCACATGGCAAGACTGCCATTGTCTCGGGTCTTAACTATACCTCCCGCATTTTCGCACTTCTCGGGGAGATCTTGGTCCGTATCCGAGTCGACAAGCGCTCTCCACCCCAAGGGCAGTTTGCTACCGCCAGGCTCGAAGAGGTTCAGTCACTTCACGGCCGTATCCTTGCGGCGTTAAGCCACGCGCCTGAACCCTTGCGACTGAAGCAAACACATGCCCCTTCCCACATCCCTCCAGAATACGGAGGTGCGGTTTTCCGACAAGCGACCTTTGCCGAGGTGAAAGATTTCTTTGACAATCCTCATGCTTCGCGAGCGAATGCATTGAACCCATTCTTGGTCATGCAAGCGAACTTGTATGTAACTCAGGTAAGAGTTAACTCTGTTCGCGTCGTATGCAATACTGACTCTTTTCCCAAGCAACTGGTCCGATTTGTGATTGAACAATACCGTGATGAGCTGGTCGTCTCGTTGCAAGGAAATATTGATGATCACCAAGTCGCCGAGGACCGAGAGGCTGTTGCTAGTGTACTGCTGAGCATACTTCACAGGCAAGGGTTGTTCAATTGAAAACGCGTCTTGTTACTTGACGTTACATGTACAGCATCCCGATTCAATCTATCGCCACCAATGGACCTAGTTTGGTAAGTGAGATTTCATGGATCTCTCTGGGTTTGCAAACCTTTGAATTGTTTTCTCAAGGTCCATAAGGTGCGCTTTGTCGCATCTACGCTGCTGGATGCAGTGAGAAAAGCTGAAATAGCGCCGGCGTCTGCCGCCCGCGCCCACGCATATCTTTGTTAGTTATTGGTCATCCATTATTTATGTTTTCAAAGATGTGTTGACCCTGGGTATCTAGGGGATTTCCTTAGCATCTTATCTGAGATCGAGAGGAACTACTTGTGAGTCTAAAACGACATGCTCGTTGCGATGCGGGTTAACTAACAGGTACCTTGTAGACTTGACGACGACCGGGATGGCACGTCCAGTGGCGACGGAATGGCCATGATGAGCTAAAGGAACTCTGGCAGCCTTTCAGCAAAAACAATAATCGTAACTGTATCTATCGTTTCGGCTTTCCCATTGTGGTATACCCGCGCCCTTCGTATATTGCTCTAGCTGCATAACAGCGCTTACTGTGTATTGTTAATTAACTCATCCTGTCGCATTGTTATCGAATAGTACTCATCATCTACTTGTGTGTAGCCCAGCTGACCTTACTACCCTTTAGTCGACAAAATAAAAAGTTGGCTTGGTTACTATGTCTGCTGCGCATTTTTGAATATAGATGGGACCGTTTGGTTTTAGAAAGCAACTCGAATTCAAGGGGTGATCGTTGGTGATCATCATCAATCGCAATTTGCCTTCGGGTTCCCGAGGCCGAAGAGACCGGTGCCTGACTGAAAAAGGGAATTTCTGTGACCCGGACTGTGATTTTTGTGACGAGCGTCTTCCGCACCGCTCAGCATCTAGCATTCCGAGGAGCACTGCTATAATTTCCTTTTTTTTTTCCACAGATTTTTCAACTAAAATACAAGAATTTGATCAATGTCGACTACGGAATTCACAGAAGAAGAACAGAGTCGCTACGACCGACAAATCCGTCTGTGGGGAATCGAAGCCCAACAAAGGTGCATTTCTACGATTTTGTTTCCCCGTGGGGTCCTTCAGAGAGCTTCTTTTGAATTGAGAATTGCAGTCGGACTTTCTGAGACTGATTGACGTGATAGGATGCGTAATGCAGCGATTCTCGTTGTACGATTGCAAGGCACTGCAACAGAAGTTATCAAAAACATCGTCTTAGCCGGCGTAGGCAGGCTCGTCATGGTAGATGACGCAGACGTTACTGAGGAGGACCTTGGGGCCGGTTTCTTTTTCCGAGACGAAGATGTCGGTCAGAAGGTAAGCTTCGCAATTTCGCGTCTTTCGACGGAAATTTGATGGCTATTCTTCGGGCACCGTGTAATGTAGAGAGTAATTGCTGCAAAGTCAAGAGTTGAGAGTCTCAATCCCCTCGTGACGGTGGAGGCAATCACAACTATGACCTTGCTTGATGAGGCAGAACTTGAACAAACGCTCGGATCCGTACATTTGGTGTGTGTGACAGATTGGGATCGAGATGGTCTTGTGAGCTCTTCACTTTGACACTCTGAATGTTTACTATCCTAACACCACCTCTACAAGATCCGTCTAAACAACGTGTGTCGGCGACTCCGTATCCCATTCTATTGCGGAGGTACCTATGGTGTTGTAGGCTACATATTCTGCGACCTGCTCAATCACGAGTACATTGCTCCGTGAGTCCAGTCTCTCCTGGCTTGATCTCTCTACCGGTAAGTTTATCCATCTCGCCGGCACATTTACAGCGACCGCTCTGCTCCCAACACTGCCCAGAAAAACATTAAAGTTACAGCCGCGTACTCCCCTCTTCGAGATGCTCTACGTCACAAGTGGTCCGCGTTGACAAAAAGGCAAACTAAAGAACTGAATCCTTCGGTCCTTTTCATGATTCTTGGTGGGTTTAATTGGTCGTGACATCATGCAATATTCATGGAAAATACTCGGCTCTAGCGCTTTGGGAGTTCCAGTCGATACACAATGGAGTCCTTCCCGATAGTGTCGCTCAGGTGGAAGAATTAGAAACTATAACGAACGCAATGATAGCTGCGGCGGACGTGAACAAGCAAGTTTTAACAACAATTCCTAGAGACTTGGCCGAGCAAGTTGCTTTTGCTTTCCTCTTCATTTATCTTCCTCTGAAACCGCGTTCAGGTCAGTCTCAACGACTGCAGGTCATGAGTTCTCTCCAGTTTGCGCGATAGTTGGCGGTATGTTAGCACAGGACATCCTGAAATCTCTTACTGCCCGAGAACCCCCAATCGCCAACTTCCTAACTTTCGATGGTAACACAGGAGGCGCTACCGTGGCTAGGATGAATATGGCATGATTGTTGGTAGCTTGACTAGTTCAGATCTACCATGTTTCTTCGTTAGGCGTCTCTTTCTCATCTGCAGCACAGGTAGTTTCGCCGACGTTGGATGTTCTATATCTCCGATAAATATCAACGAGGTCATCAAACCTGCAGTATTAATTGTCCACATCGCTGGTTCCGAGGTAGCACTTCATCGCCCACGTTATTCTCAGATGGTCTATGTACCTGAACGATATATGGAGGATTTCAACGCCTAAGTACAAACCATATCTGATTTCAGATGCATCATGCATCATGCAAGTGCCTCAGCTGACCGTTTTCCATGCACGAGTGGATCGAAAGATCATACTAGACGATCATGACAGTTTGCTGACCGGCAAGGCATGTTCTTTATAGGCGTCACTCTGCCGGCCTACCCATCAGGCTCACTGACTACATCGCATTTTAGCTCTTGATTTTTGCGATTGTGGCTCAGTAGATGAAGGAACTGTCTTCATACAGGTCATGCATGCATTGGGACGGTCTTTCTTCGTTCCGGAACTTTTCACAAACGAGCCACGAGACAACGTGATATGCCGTTCGCTGCTTCTGATGTGAAACCAACCCCGTCTTCTTTTGCAAAGTTGCACCTCCAACAACAGACGTGCTCATGACTTACTTTGATTGTATTGTTGTTGGCTCAGGCCATGCGGGGAGTTGTGCCGCACTTTCATCGCTACAGGCAGGGTGTCAGAGAGGTCAGGCCGATCTGATGTTTTGGATAAACATCTCATTTTGCTTGATAGTTTTAATTGTCGATAAGTGTCCCCCAGCTTGGGTTGGGGGAAATGGTTACTTTACTGCTGGGGCCCATAGGACTGTGCATGGTGGACTGCAAGACTTGGCGCCTATCGTAAATAATCTAACTTCAGAGATGGTCGATCGGATCGACATGGAACCGTACAGTCGTCACCAATTCTTTGAGGACATCATGCGGCTCGGGAACGGCAAAGCAGACCCTGTGCTAGTTAGTGCAGTGGTTGACAATTCACGGGACGCGATACAATGGCTCGCTCAATCTGTCAAAGTCCCTTTTGTGTTCTCTTTTCATCGCCAAGCATATGAAGTTGATGGACGCCAAAAATTCTGGGGAGGAATGGTCCTTAGTGTCAAGTCCGGGGGGAAAGGTCTCATAGCGGCACATCAAGACGCTCTACGCAAGGCAGGTGTTGAGCTTTGGTTTGATGCCCCTTGCATGGAACTTCTAAGGGAAGGAAATGCGATCGCGGGAATTGTCGTTCGGAGGAACGAAGTTGATATCACTCTGAAGACGTCTGCAGTCATCCTCGCTGCTGGCGGCTTTGAGGCGAACTCTGAGCTAAGAACCAGGCACTTGGGACCCGAGTGGGAAGGGGCCAAGGTCTGTCGTATGGCCCGTTCACGGATTTACGGTTATAACGACGTTTATGGCTAACCAGGTTCGGGGAACACCATTTAACACGGGCGATGGATTTCAGCTCGCCCGGGCCGTAGGTGGTAAGATCACAGGTGACTGGGCGGGGTGCCACAATACTGCCTGGGATGCAGATGCTCCAAGTGATGCTGGGACACGGGACGTAACTAACCAGTACACAAAATCCGGTTACCCACTGGGAGTTATGGTAAACTCCGACGGGGTACGGTTTGCTGACGAAGGCGAGGACTTCCGAAATTACACTTATGCGAAGTTTGGGCGGGCGATATTATCACAGCCCGGGGGAATCGCTTTCCAGATCTGGGACGCAAAAGTCATTGGGTCATTAAGAAAGGAAGAATATGGCGACGGGATTGTTGACAAGACGATGGCGAATAGCATTGAAGACCTGGCGCGTGAGCTCTCTGCCAAGGGGTTGAAAAATCCGGATGCACTTATTCGAACACTGAGTGGTTTCAATGCGGCAGTTGAACGGCACCAGAGAGACTTTCCCAACCAACAGTGGGATCCCACAGTCAAAGACGGACTGTCCACTCAGTCGAGTAGCTGCCTGCTTGACATACCCAAGTCAAACTGGGCTTTACCGATTAATCAGTCTCCTTTGTAAGCTGATTTTGATTTTGAGTACTAGTTCTCATTCATCAATTTCTTATGGCAGTATGGCGGTCAAAGTTTGCTGTGGAATCACCTTCACATTTGGAGGTTTAGCCATCGATCCCGAAACTGCTGGAGTTATTTCTGAAGAGACTGGACGGTCCATTCCGGGTCTCTTTTGCACTGGAGAAATGGTTGGAGGTCTTTTTTACAATAATTATCCTGGTGGTAGTGGCTTGACTGCGGGTGCGGTATTCGGGCGCAAAGCTGGTGCTAGTGCTGCAAAGCTGCGTCTTCAACAGTAGACTACGTAGAAGCTCGATTGATATGACGTCATCGATACTTTGGCTCCTTTTTTTTTTTTACTCTGAACACGGTCCCACCGCCCTTCCTTGGCTTGTTCCATTACCATCACTACCGTCTATTTCGTCCTTTCAGCGTGTCGGTTTATTTCACTATTTATCCCCTTTGTCGACTATTTTATCTGCACGCTTTGGTAGGTGTCAAGGTGTCGGTGGCTTGTCATGTCGCGTATTACGGAGGCTGTTGGACAGACCATTGAAAATGACCAGCGACATGGGGCTCCTCCTGAAGAAGGGGACAATTCGCGAATTGCCCTTTCGAGTCCTTCACGCGCAACGCCCAGAGTATCGAGCCAAGAACAACGTGTTACTCATTTCCGGACGCCACCTACTACTCCGTCCATGAGGACTGGTCCGCCACGGTCATTGTCGTACAGTTATTCGACTCCAAACTCTCCCGCTACTTCTAGGAATAACTCCAAGCACGAAAACGGCGACCCAAAACCAGATTCTGCCGTAGAACAAGGAGACTTCCCTTTCGTGTCTCCCAGCACTGACTTTCGCGACGCGTTGGAGTTTAGGAGTGCTTCGACTGATAAGAAAGGGAAGAGGAGGGAGAGTAAACTTCTTGACGAGAGTTGGAATCCTCTCAAATGGTTTCACGAGTCTCCGAAGGAAGAGAAGGCTGGCTTTGATTTCGATGGCGTCAGTGCAGATGGTCACCCTAGAGAACCAGTGACCGACGGTGAAGAAAGCACCAAACTCCCACCTTCTGGTCTACGGCGCATATCATCAGGACCACCTGCTCCTCCAGAACGAAAGACTACGGGAGCAAGATGGGGACGGTTACGCTCATTAATTCCAAACGTCATTACTCAGGTCTCCCATAGCCCCGTAACACCAGGACCATCAGCCGTCACGTCTAATGCTGTGAATATTACCGACGAACTTATCGCCGGAGGCCTTTCGACTCTCATGTTACGCTTATGGTTCGAGCGTGACGAAAATGACTTGCGACGTGTTCCCGTACTCTTCCACCGACTTCGCATCCGTGTCAGCGATAGCTTGCATCCTTTACACAGTCATAAATCTGTGTTCAGGATCGAATGTGAATATGCAAACGGTGCTGCGCGCTGGGTAGTTTACCGACAACTTCGTGACTTCATCTCTCTTCATTATCACTACAGTTTATCCAATGCCCTACAACGCAATGTTGAAAAGATCCCTGAATTCCCTAAGACCAGTACGTTGATATCCGTCTCTTCACAAATGCAGACACTAATCGACAGGCAGGTTTACCTTATTTTAAATTTTTACAGAAGGAAGGCCGAGAGAAAGGCAATCAAGTTGGGCATGCCGACTTTGCTCGTTTACAACGCGAAGCCTTGGAAAATTATCTTTTAGATCTTATCCGTGCTGTTGTACGTCCTTTGTGAACTTTGTGACGTTATTTTGACTTCTTCCCAGATGTTTCACCCCGCAGCTAACCGCTTGGCTAGTTTTCTTGAGATCAGTGCACTTTCCATGTACCTTTCCCCATCTGGAGGTGCCCAGTATAAAGCTGGCTATTTACGGATAGAAGCTGAAGAAGGAGAGTTTGGGCGCAAAGGTTCAAGCTGGAGGGCCAAGCGAGAATCAAGGTGGTGTGCCGTCCGAGAAAGCTACTTGGTAGCACTTGTTGAGCCGGGAGAGGTGCGCATTTTGCAAGCTTCATATATTGGTCCTAATGTACATGTAGTTAACCGTTTGGGACGCCTTTCTGCTGGATTCCGATTTTAAGATCGAGCGTCCTAAGCGGTATTATCGACAAGGACTGAGTCTTCTTCATTCCGACACCACACACAACGAGGACCAGTCACATATAAAAGCGAAGGAACGCAAATCGGAAGCAAGTGCAGAAACAGAGCATAGGTCTCTGATGGGATCTATTAAGGGACGATTTTCACGAGCTCTTCGTCTCAATCACAGTACACATTTCCACTCCGACCATGGTGAAGAGGCTCAAGATGGCTCCTCTTCATCTTCATCTTCTGTGGCATCGCATGCCCCGACTCCCCTGCTTGATCCGTCTACCAACACCAATCCTCTTTCCGGTGGTGTCGACAACCAAGACATAGTTGACGGCGAGCCTTGGAAAGCCGAGAAGAAGAAGAAAAAAAAGATTCAAACTGACGTTTCGAAACACACTTTCTATATATCAAACTCGCAAATGCGGCTGAGGTTGTATGCTCGGAATGAGGTTCGTTCAGTCATTGCTTGCTACAAGCAGATGTTAATGGTTTCTCTACGTAAAGAGACAGATGTTGCAGTGGATAACAGCTTTCGAGCGGGTCGCTGCTGCCTCACATCATACGGGGACCAACAGGTTTAATAGTTTTGCTCCGATACGGCTCAATGTTGCAGCTCAATGGCTCGTTGATGGTGTGAGTCACTAATGTCTTCCTTGTATGGCGTCAACATTAATTCAATATTACAAGCGTGACTATTTTTGGAATCTATCCCGCGCAATCTTGCTTGCAAGGGAATCAATTTACATTCACGATTGGTGGTTGTCCCCAGGTAGGTAAGGCACGACGCGGCAGTGTTATATGTGACATCGTTCTAGAGCTTCAGCTTCGCCGGCCCAATAAAGAGCGTTATCGACTAGATCGATTGTTGGAGAGAAAGGCCAAGGAAGGCGTCAAGATCTGTATCATCGTCTAGTGCGCTTGAGGTTTCCATTCAAGGGGCTCAGAATACTGATCAAATGTAAACAGCAAAGAGGTGTCGAGTCGTACAACGCCGACAGACAGCAAGTGAGATTCATTCCCTGCTCTCTGTTATCGTTCTAATCAGAACGGACTAGTTATACAAAGCAGCGTCTGGCGTCCCTACATCCTAACATCATGATTCAACGGTCTCCGTCGCATTTCCAGACAGGTACTTTCTATTGGGCGCATGTAGGTTCCAAGGATCCTCCCTCGTTCTTTTTGTTTGACGCTTCTGGTGACAGCATGAAAAGCTTTTCGTCATAGATCAAGCCATCGCTTTCATGGGGGGACTTGATGCTTGCTTTGGAAGGTAGGATTGTCATATCGGGTCTAAAAACTCTGTTGATATGCGAGGCTCAGATGGGATACTCCGCAGCACGCACTTACCGACGATGCTGATGACGAGTTATCTCAAGTATGGACTGGTAAGCGAGAATTCCTATTTGTTTGAGATTTTTAAAAATTGCTTGGCGCCCCGTCAGGCAAAGATTATAGCAACGCTCGGATTTCGGACTTCCATACGCTCAACAAGCCTGAAGAGGATATGCATGATCGTACGAAGATACCTCGCATGCCCTGGTGAGTTGACTTCTATGTCATTTTGCAGGCACTGATGCATTTACAGGCATGATGTTGGTATGCAGGTAGTTGGGCAACCCGCTCGTGATCTGGCTCGGCATTTCGTTCAAAGGTGTGTTGTCGTCCGATATACGTCCACTCGGTATTGATGTTCCTGTCTTTAGGTGGAATTATCTTTTGAGAATCAAGGTATGCTTCCAAAACTTCGACTGGTACATGAACTATAGAGGTTATTTTAGAATCATTCTCGAGCCATGCCCTTCCTTTTGCCACCTCCGGAATTCAGACCCGGCGAACTGACGCAGATGGGTTTAACTGGTACGTGTGAAATGCAAATCTGTCGTTCAGCGGGACCCTGGTCTTTAGGGACCGCGAGTCGCATCGAACATTCCATTCAAAACGCATATCTCAAGGGTTTGTCCATACTGTCGAAAATGTTAGTACTACTAACCTTTTTCAAATAGCGATTCAAATGTCAGAGCATTTCGTGTATATCGAGAATCAGTTCTTCATCACTTCGTAGGTTGTTTTATGTGCCTTCTATCCTTAATTGATTTATGATGCCAGTACCACTGTCAACGACGTCAGGATTGATAACAAGATCGGCGACGCCTTGGTTCACAGGATCATCAAAGCTGATCGCGATGGAACCCCCTGGAAGTGCTGTGTGGTCATCCCCCTACTCCCAGGCTTTGCGTTCCCTTTAGACCATAGTGATGGCAGTTCTGTTAGACATGATGGGTATCTTTATTTTATCCTTTCTGACATCTGACCTCAGATCCGCATCATCCTCGAATGTCAAAATCGTACCATATCCAGAGGCTCCAATTCAATATTCGGAAGGCTCAGGAAGGAAGGCATCGACGTGAGTGTTTTTGTCTTCATTACTCTTTTCCATTACATATTTACTCGCAGCCGGATGATTATATTACTGTATTCTCCCTTCGTAATTGGGGTAAGCTCAGAGACGTGTTGACGACCGAGCAGGTCAGAAGAGTCCTATTTGAACGTCATTTTACTCATTGCGCTTAGGTTTACATCCATGGGAAGGTTTGCATTGTAGACGACCGGCTTGCCATCATTGGAAGCGCAAACATCAACGAACGATCTCAGAGGGGGGATAGGGACTCTGAAATTGCGGCCGTAATTCGAGATACAGATATGATCGATTGGTCAGTGGTAAAATTCCCGTCATCCCAACAAATCTGACATTGCTTTAGTACCATGGCCGGGAAACCATTCAAAGTGGGACGTTTTGCTCACACTTTACGAGTCCGGCTGATGAGGGAACACATCGGCGTTGATGTCGATGCTTTGTATGAAGAAGACTTAATGGCTTCTGATACCGTAAAACCCGAGCATGAACAAGTAGCTTTGAATCCTGGTAGCGAACAGCGCCACCGACGGGAGAATGGTGCTGCTGAGCCGGCGACGGCTGGTAGCTCTTCACATGCAACTACAGACGGCGTTGATCGAGGTATCTTCGACTCTTTGTCGTAATTATGAGGAACTTATTTTCTGTAGAGCTAAACGGTCCATCAGAAGCAACTATCGACACTACAAGACAGGTCTCATCGGAGACTGACGATGACATGGACACGGCGTTTCCGAAAAACACCCGCACTGGAGAGAATGTGCCGAGTACCACGCTGGAAGAGAAAGTCGTTCAAGATCATCTCAACGGAGGAAGGCCACTCGCAAATGGACATGCCCAGAATGACAAGGCTCAGGACATAAAGCGGACGTCTCACGACAATTCGTCTCCAAACGGTGCTTCACATCTCCCATCGAACGGGAACCTTTATGGGACATCTGTCGATGCCTATAGATCCCCCGAAATAGATGATCAGTTCCCGCATGTTCGTTCGGGACCAGAGAGTGGGGAGGATGAAGAATGTACGGTTCCAAGAGCACGTTCAACGCTCCGTAAAAATCTGGGGAGTAAGTTGGGCCACAATAACAAGTGGACTGTCCCAACACCGCGACCTCATGTCGATCCGAACGGTTTTGAGGATCCTATATCGGACGCATTCTGGAAGGATGTGTGGGTCGCATGTGCTGTCCATAATGTGTGTCTCATACCCTCTTTGTGACGGTTTACTGAGTTATTATTCCCATTAGACGGAGATATATCGGAAAGTCTTCCATGCTGTTCCGGATGACGTTGTCACAACTTGGAAGCAGTACAAGGAGTTCGTATCACATCACGAGCGCCTGAATAAACCAGTAAGAATAATCCTCTCTCCGGGAAGTTAATTAAACATATTAATGGCTATATCTAGGCGTTCGATTCGACTTCGCTTGACGCAGTCGGAAGAGTGCCGTCTGAAACTGGAGACGATACCGTTCTCACTAGTGAAATTCCAGCTTCTACCGAACATGTAACGGAGCAATCCGATGGGCATGTATATCTGAATGAGGAGCCCGATCTGAGCAGCTCTCCTGGCGTAGCGGACAAGGAGCCTACCCGTGTTCGCTCACGGTCTACGCGAAGCACGGAACCTTTTACGAAGGCTGAGCGAGACGAGATGGAAAAATTGCTGGGCGAGTTGTGTGGACATTTGGGTAAGCCTATCGTTCTGGCTACAGATGTGATACTGAACACTTTCGGCAGTGATATATCCCAACCGCTTTTTGGAGGGTGAGGACGTTGCAAACAATTTCTTATTCAATGCCGATCGGTGCGTGTAACTCTGCTATAGCATTGTCCCTCTAGAAGTCCCTTTGACCTGTTGTTCAGGCTCTTGCCCCTACCTATTTATGACTAATCATTCTTATGTTGGAGGGTCCCTGAGGTCTCTTTAAATTTTACGCGATACCAGAGGTTGTTCCATAAATAATTTGCATTTTACCCCCTTTCAGAATTAAGGAAGTGTCTTCACATGACGAAAAAGGCAATCACCGCTTCGAAGGAGGCCAGGCCCTCGAGGGATTTTGGAACGATCTGGCCACCGCCATGGCGGTGGCAATCTGTTTCTTCGCCTATTCCCGGGTTTAGAAAGTTCAATGATACGTCAAGCATTAGCTTACCCTCTCACCTGGACCATTCCTTGACCAAAAGTTTTCGATACGGCGCTTTGGGCGGTAAAAATGGGCATATGATGGACGGAAGTTGCATGTAAAAATAAAAATAATATGGGCTATGAATATATGAATATTGACAGGATGCTTGAAGGGGATTCAGGGTGGGCAACGTTGACCGACCTGATTAGTAAGCGGGAAGGGCCGCAGTGTATTCGCAATGCTGTTTTTCCATTCTTTACTCCCAGCCTCGTTCCTTTCTTCCCGCGCCCATTCACTATGCTCCATTCATTGGCACGCGCCCTGTCGCTCTTTCTTTTTCTTCCTCTCGTTTTTGCTGCCTCTGCTGATGACTGGAAGTCGCGGTCCATTTATCAAGTAAGCCCAAGCCCACCTGCCCCGTGCTCGTCGTTGGTGACCATGATTGCCTTAGATAATTACCGACCGTTTCGCTCTCTCGAACGACTCTTCACCGACATGCAACACCGAAGACCGCCTCTATTGTGGTGGATCCTGGGTTGGGATTGTTGACCATCTGGACTACATCCAGTACATGGGTTTTGATGCTATTTGGATTTCGCCTATTGTTAAAAACATCGAGGCGGATACGGCGTACGGGTATGCTTACCATGGGTAAGAACTATCTTTTTGCTCCCAAGTGCAGACTCTAATTCGGCTTCCAATAGCTACTGGACACAAGACATCAACGCTCTCAATTCGCACTACGGTTCTGAGGATGACCTGAAAAGCCTCGCGACTGCGCTGCATGCACGAGGCATGTATCTCATGGTCGACATTGTGGTCAACCAGTGAGTCGCGTCTATCACGTCGAGACTGTTCAGGAGCCAACTCGTTATCAGTTTCGTACAGAATCCTTCGAGCAATTCCTCCACTCTCCCTCAAACGTTCGATTACTCCGCCTTGACACCATTCTCAGCCGAGACAGATTTCCATACGCAGTGTTTCATTAGTGACTACACGAATCAGACCAACGTTGAGCAGTGCTGGCTGGGAGACTCAAAGTGCGCGCGCGATTCTTTTCAGTGTCAACTTACCAATTTCCATTCTCTCAGCCTCCCACTTATGGATATCGACACAGAGAACAACACGATTGTCGAGGAATGGAACTCATGGGTTACTAGTTTCGTCGAAACCTACGATATTGATGGTCTCCGGATCGACACTGTCAAACATATCCGCAAAGACTTTTGGCCTGACTTTGCTTCCGCGGCGGGAGTCTTCACTCTCGGAGAAGTACGTTACAAACTCTCTGAACCATGTCCTTCTGCTGAAACTCCCCCAGGTATTGAGTGACAATATCACTTACGCCAGTGACTATACTCGTAAGTTTATCTAAGATCTTATTGAACCACACTTTCACACCGTTTCCAGAGGTTTTGGACAGCGTCCTAGACTACCCAACCTGGTACCCCCTAACCGAAGCTTTCAATACCACCTCCGGCAATCTCTCGGCTATTGAAAGCGCCGTCACGCAAGCGCAGTCATCATACAAGAACGGCCTATTTGGCACTGGCTCTTTCTTGGAGAATCACGACCAGCCTCGATTCCAGTCGCACACTACCGACACGGGCTTAGTCAAAAACGCCATCAGTTTCCCGTTCATTCATGATGGTATTCCCATTCTCTATCAGGGCCAGGAGCAAGGCTATACAGGTGCTTCCGACCCTTACAACCGCGAAGCGTGGGTACCAATAATCCTCGGTATGGATGGAGGTGACCAGGCTAATTGATTTTGTTTAGTCTCTGGTTCAGCGGATACGAAGAAGACAAGGACCTCGTCACACACATCAAAGCCGTCAATACTGCTCGGCAGTTGGCCGCCAACGCCAGTTCTAGTTTTTTGACCACCAAGGTAGCGCGCTTCTCTCCGCATCCTTCAATCTCTAATCCCCCTTCTAGATGTCCTTTGTCTCTCAAAGCGACGAAGGCGCTATTGCCATCTCCAAGCCTCCCATCCTTGCCCTCTTGACGAATGTCGGTTCCTCTGGTTCCGCGTCCTGGAGCGTTTCGGGTGTCTACGATAAGGGGGAGACCGTGGTGGATGTGCTGACCTGTAAAACATATACCGTTGACTCCAGCAGTGGCACATTGAGCGCTTCTGCTGAAAGTGGTGCACCGCGGGTGAGTGTGCTTCCCGCACTATCGTATGCGGAAAATGACTGGTGAGATGGCAGATCATTCTCCCGACGTCAGCCCTGACGACCGATGGTACTCTTTGTACGAGTGTCGCTAGTAAAAGCGGAGCAATGTCAGTAAACAGCGTCAGTCGAGGCGCACTAGGTATCTCGTTGGTTGCTGGTTTGATCTTGACATTCTTATAAAAGACATTATTTACTTATACATTTCCCTGGTTCTTGGGACACTGCTTGGACTAGTGGACTGTTTGATATAATAACCTTATACTGTAGACTTAAACGTTTGTACGAAAGCTTCATTCATATTAGTCATACCCGGTCTTCCCGGGAACTACTCCAGCTGCAGCCCCGCCTTTGCCGAAGAACTTCCTCAAATCATCTGCTAGTTCAGATGGCTTCTCATGTGCTGCGAAATGACCTCCATGGGAGTGTTCGGATGTGAACTTGAGGTTACCAATGGCTTGGGTCCATCTACGAGGAACCAGTCAATGCAAGGACGGTATAAACAAGATGAGCTGGACTAACGTCTCCGGTGTCCGTCGAATTTCTTTGGCGAAATAGGAAGCGCCCATGGGGATTGTGGATGGCTTGATCTTCGGAGTGGATAGCTTCGACACAGTGAGCAAAGAACCTGGTTGCTTTGACTTGGGTGCGACGGTGGAATCTTCCTGTCTTGTCTCGTAATAAATTCGCAGAGAGGCCGTAGGGCCTGCACGAGAAAACAGGTATATAGAAACCCAGGTTAATACTGTGGGTGTAGTTGAGTGACTGCGGGATGCTTCAAAGGGACAGAGGAACCTTCATCGTCTCCCCATGGGTATTCGTCTGTCCAGTTGATTAATTTCTCGTAAATCCAAGCAAGAAGCTTATGGGATTGATTAGCAGCGATATAGCAACTATATAAGGGAGGGGCCACTCACACCAACGGGGGAATCGGCCAGAGAGTAACCGATAGTCTGGGGCTGGGTCGCTTGCTCGTGGAAGTATCCGCGACCTGTAGCATCAAATAGCTTGGAGCGCTGCATGCCCGCTTTCTCGGCAGCGTCCAAGGGCAAAAGATGGTCCTTGAGCCAGAGTAAGGGTCGTGATATTGGGGGTTTAGCTCCACTAATCGATGCCAGTGGTCAGATTAAGATTGTAGAATAGAAAAGAGTCAATACATACAGCGGAAAGTTGGTATGCCATGCCTTTGCATGGCTTCCGCCATATTTGGCAGCTACGGTACGAGTGATCTGGTTACTACAGGTTTAGTGTTAACGTCGGTATGTCAAAGTCCACCACTAACGCGTGCTCCCCAGTCGCCCCCCTGAGTGACTGCATGATTTCATAAAAGGTGTGCTTTCAAGTACGGAAGAGAAGAGTACCATAAGCATTGTAGCCGAGAGCGAGCATGAGCTTATGTCCGACCTGAAAGCGGGATGGGAATGTTCTTAAAAGTCGTTTAGACCTCCAAGCCTACCTCTGCATATTGCGCACTTGCAAATCCTTGCTTGGTGGGTGCCTGCGAGAACCCATATCCAGGCAGACTGAGGGCGACGACATGAAAGCTCAGGTACTCGAGGGAGGGTTTCGTCAAAAGCGGAAGGAGTTTCTGCACTTCAATAAAACTGCCAGGCCCTATGGGAAGTTTGTAACCAGATAATATAAATTTGACAAGGTACAGAGCTCACAGCCGTGAATGAACAGCAACGGGATAGCATTCTCAACTTTACTGGTCTGATGCACAAAGTGGACATTGAGCGTCCCAAATCCGTCAACAGAGATGTTGAGTGTGAACTGGGGCAAGTCGGAATTTAAAGCGGTTTCGTTTTTTCGCCAGTCGTAGCCCTCTTTCCACCGAGCAACGAGGCGACGGATATCTGCTAGTGGCGCGCCGTACTTTAAGCCAGCATCGTCGAGCTCGTCGGGGAAACTGACCAAGTTGAGTTTCTGATGGAGAAGGCGGATTTTCTCGTCCGGGACCGCGATCTTGAAGGGAACTGGGTCTGGGAGAGACATGGTGGTACGAGAGAAAGAAGGAACAGCAGTCCTAAGGTACCTCGGAGCTCGGCCCGGACTCTTTCTTCCCAACCACCATGCTGTCGAAAATTCTCGATTTCGCGTCCTTAGAAAGCTCTTCTAAGTAAGCATCGTTTCCCTTAGCACGCTATTCTTTCATTAATTCTTCAACAGACATCGCCAACTGCCTTCTCCTCCCGGTTTCTCCAAATCGCTGGCCACGGTGCGTCAGCGTGCCCTCAGTTAAGCTTATCCTGACATCCTTACAGTCCAAAGGGCCGGCCAAGTCATCCACCACCTCGACAGCTGCTTACGATAAGCTAAAAGAACGTCGAGCATGGGATATGGCCATCGCTCCCGCCAAGTCACTACCAATGCAAGCTTTCATGCTCTACATGTCCGGCGGCGGGGTACAGATATTCAGCATGGGCATCGTTGCGATGCTCTTGTGGACACCATTCAAGAACATTGCTGGTATTAATGAAGGTGCGTCTGTCGTGGCTATGCTGGCATGTTATTGATTTCCTTCAGCCTTTGTGCAATTCGCGCCGTCAAAGGCCCAACCAAAATCGCTCACGACCCTGCCTCTGCAAAAGATCGTATACGTGTTATGCAATATGTTGACGCTTGCAGTGGGTCTGTGGAAATGTCGTTCAATGGGGTTGCTGCCTACTGGGACGGGAGACTGGCTTGCTTTCGAGACGAGAGGTCTGGTGAGATCTTTACCTCTGTTACCGTGAGCATCTACCCTAACACCTTGCTAGGCTCCCGAATTATCATTATTCTAAGTTGGAGGGGATATTTCGCTATTGCCATTTGTTGAGGCCAGTGTGATACTATCCCGGTTTCTTACTGCCAAGATCCTTCATCGCTTTCTCCACCTCAAGCCTCTCCATAACAGCCCGGGTAAGACTCGACTTGCTTCTAGCCCCACCTGCAGCCTGTGGCGTGGTAGAAGTTCCTGAAGCTAAAGGTTGTTCATGAATCCGCAAGTGATGTGGTACGATAATTGGCGTTGAAGGCGGTGGTGGTGGCCACTAAACGGGACACTTAGAGACACAATTAGGCGACTGAAAGAAAATACTTGCGTTTCGTCTCGGCTGATTGAAATGAAGTGCAGCCCACGGCGGGTATTCCTTCTCCAGCCGGATGATGTGCTCCTCAAGAAATCTTATTCTTGTCAGTAGGCTCGCTGGAGAAGAAGGTACTGCCAGAAATCTCGAGGCGTGGTCAGGAAATGAAAATGACATACATACCGTAATGCACCGCTAGATGAGCCTCGATGTCTGCGATTCGCTCGAAGACGGCCGGATTTGTTAGGCTTTCATCGGCCCTGTCTACCTTTTGTTTTCCCTTTTCATCCAGGACTGACCCTTTTTCCTTCTTCGTTGTTCGACGCAGTGGCCCGTCTTCATTTTTAGCAATGTCGTATTTCATTTGCGTGTCACGGTCCAACGTCTTAGCGTCCGTTCTTGCGCAGGACGTTTCGGATGTGGGACGAAGGAACTCTGCTCGATTAGACGCGTCGTTTCGCGCACGGTTCCGGCCCAGGTACTGTGAGATAGATTTCGTGACGGTACTTGGAGGGGGTAGATTGGTATATGCTGTTTTGCGCTCGGTCAATGTATCTGGTTCTGGTTCGGACAAATGCTGTGTGGACATCAACACTTGAAACGAGTAGCCTAGTAAAGAATTATACCTTGATATTTTCAATAAGCCTTTCTAGAGCACCTGGCGCGGTTTCTCGCTCCCATGTGGGGTTCAGGACGAGCATATCGAGTTTGAAGCCGCGAAGAGCCTGGAAGAGACCCATGTCTTGGAGGAAGATTTTGAGGGCCACATCCCAGTGAAAGTTGCAAGATGATTCCCTTGTTTGTGTGTTAGCAGAATGAGAGAGGCCATTGTCAAGATGGGAGTGCGACGAGCTGCTGGAGCTTGCAATTGGATTCTCTTCCATGGACGCGAATGTCAAGGATCAGTGGCTGTGCCATAAGGCGCTCATAAATGTTATTTATACAATGAACTAGAATTTTGGATTGTTGTGGCGTTGGATTTCATCTTGCTCTTGCTCAATGTGGCCTACTCCTTGGAAATAAAGTGGTAGGTAATAGGTGCCATTGGTAAAGAGTTACCTTTCTTTCCTTGAAAACTAGGCTGTGCAGGAAAATATTAGCGAATACATGAGGGCTGGCCTTTCACTATGCTCGGCCCGGGCCGCCCGATATCCTTCCCCACTTTACCACCATGGCCAAGAAGTTAAAAGTCGAGGTAGCCAACCCCAACAACGTCCCTAACAAGGACATTATCCAGCGCCTCAATTTTCTGTATCAAGCTAGTGTCTATCTCAACGGCGTCACGTCGCAGGCACCTCCACGAAGGAAAAAGCAAAAGAGAGTCACTACGTGCGATCTGTCCCGTAACTACGTGTCTTCCATGAAGACCGTAGGCCAAAAGACGACCGTGAAAATGTGCGTTCTCCTTGGATATGCTATGTCCTGGGTCTAATGGGGCTGGAAGGGATCCATCCGTCAAGCGAACGATCTGCAAAGGATGCGATACTATTCTGGTTCCAGGATCTACAGTTACGATACGAGTGAATAGTACGCATATATCCATCGTCTCCCCGCTGCTTCGCTAACTGAAGTTCAGAATCACCATCGCACGGACATCTCATGGTGTACACTTGCACGCATTGCAGAACTTCGCGTCGAATACCTGCGCCACCTGTGGATCGGTCGTCAGACACAGAGGTTGTAGATTCCTCTACCACAGCGGATGTGGACGTGGACACTGCCGGCCATCCTGTGTCACTTGGAAAGAAGGGCCCAAAGTCTCGCATTCCTCCGCTGTTTGCTAGGAAGGCAGGCCATGTCATTTTTTGCGGGCAAGAGAAGGTTCTGGTTGACGAGACGTCACTGGGGAATGGAGTGTTCATTGTCTAGGTACGATTTCACTTGCTAACGAGATCTTTATGGTTCAGAGCAGTTCTGCCTGACTATATGCGCGTTGAGTGTATTTGTATTAAATTTATGTATTACTCAACTTTACGTACCTGTCATCGTATCATCCACCATTAAGCGCCCTATACTAACACCACGATGAAGGTTGTCATTGTTGGCGGTGGTATTGGCGGTCTCGCTGCCTACCACGCCCTGCACACATACCTACCCTCTAATGTCTCCATCAAAGTCTACGAGTTGTACCAGACCCCGAACACAGCAACATCCGGTATCGGTGGTGGTATTGGCATCGTCCCTAACGGTCTTCGCGCTCTCAATGCCATCTCACCTGCCTCCGTGCTTTATCTGTGGGCGCACGGTAACGTATGTCCCTATTTCGTTGTTCGAAATCAAAACGGAACTACTCTAGGTCGGCTTGGAGGTCTGCATGATAGGATTCTGCTCCCTAGGGCATCAGTGCATGAGAGTTTGCTGTTGGGCATGGCGAACGGCGTTACAGAATGGGGGCGAAAGGTGGTGGAGGTGAAAGAGACAGCGGACGCTGCGCAAGTCGTCTTTGAAGACGGCACGGTAGAGACATGCGACCTTATCATCGGCGCCGATGGTGTCAAGAGTATATGCAGACAGGCGCTCTTTGGCAAAGATGCCTATCAAGCGCAGTACGAGTACGTCTCTTCTTTAATTTCCTGCCATTTCCTCAACATATATTCAGCGGCTTAACTGGTGTCGGCGGCTTTGCTCCCTTTTCCTCACTCACGCCCGCCCTCCAAAACGGCATAAAGGCCGACCAGGCCGCCATGACGTTCAGCCGTAACGGTTTCTTTGGCTATGCTCTTTCCCTGCCTTTAAGCACCCCCGTCAGCGAACAACAAGTGATGTTCTGGTCTACGTACGCGACCGATACACCGCCGTCTCGTGATCTGCCTTCAGAAGAGATACGTGCCATCCTTATGGAAAAACACGATTCGTGGAAGTCTCCTTTCGCCGGTGCATTCCGTCAGATTATAGATGCTGCATACCGACCCACTATCACCGATTCACGCTTCACCAAATGGCTCGTCTTACCTCGCTATGAAATTTCGCCCTTACCATATTGGTCGTCCCTCCATGGCACGGTGCTGGGTCCAGCAAAGGGTGCTGCAAGGATCATCCTTGTGGGTGACGCCGCTCATGCGGCCGCACCTGATTCTGGGCAGGGCGCGTCAATGGCATTTGAAGATGCACAAATGCTTGGTCTGCTACTCCGTCATTACCTGCCCGACTCAGATCCACTTCCGAAAGTGGCCAAAGCGTATGAGGATATGAGGATTCCCCGTGTCGGAAGAATCCTCAGGATAGGAAGACGCCAGGCAGAGGGAAAGCGCGAGATTAGCTGGTTTAAGGCGGCGGTTAGGGATTTAGTGCTTTGGATTATGTGTATGTTCTTCTGTTCCCAATTCATCTTCGAGGTCTAATTTTTTTTTACTGCTGCAGGTCATTTGCCACTTCGTGTTATGCTATGGCTAAATCCAACTCATTTGTATGATGTTGAAAAGGAGGTTGCAAAATACCTCGCCGCTGTGGCACGATGAATGCCACGGGTGGTTGGATGGAATGCTGTAACATTATTCTGTACGATAATATATCCAATCCTTCACAAGATTCAAACTGATCGACATTAATTGACTCCACCATAAAACCATGCTTCGTTCTTTGATACGAGCAAGAATGCCATCATTGTTGACAAAGTCTCCCGCCTGCCATTCTTTATATACCTATCTGCCTTCGAATGTCTCTGCGAACTCTATCCGATTCCGAAAACAGCAACGTCTGTCGTCGGTATCTTTCCTAATGGTTACCGTACGCATGAAAGCCTACTGGTGGGCATCCCTGATGGCGTGGTAGAATTGGGGCGGAAAGTAGTAGAGGTGAGAGGGACAGCGGATGCTGCCGAGGTCATCTTTGAAGCGTACCACGTTTTTGTTAAATCTGTCTTTCAACACATTTTGATACAGTGGCACTATTGCCATCTGCAGTTTTGCTCCTTTTGCGTCATTCACGCCCGCTCTCGGGGGCGGCATAAAGGCCGACCAGGCGGGTATGGCTCTCGGCCGCAATGGGATCTTCGCCTACGCTCGCTCTTTCTCGACCAACCACCAGAGACCCGCGATTCATGGAAATGGCTTGTTTTGCCTCGTTACGAAATTCCTCCCTTGCCGTCACATTGATCGCCCTTCCATGGTACTGCCAGGACCATCATAGGATACTTATTTCTCATCGCTCATACTGGACATGAATGGCACGGAAAAATCTATTTTTATAAGGGTCTTTGCGATGTAATTTCACGCACACTCTGCTTTTATTCGCCTGCACTTTTTTTGACTTGTAAAGATTCTACTGAGTGATTTCCTAGTCACGTCAAATAGACACGGGGAATCCGTATTTTTTGCAAAGCTTTTGCGGCTGGTCTGTAGTCTGAGTCGGGCTGTCTAATTGACAAGTTTCCGGAAAGGATAAAGTCCCTCCAGAGTACTGGTAATCGCCATGAACAGAAATACAAGACGGCGTCACATTCCCATGCTTTCCTCTTCCAAAGGGCGGATACAATCGGCGGCATAGAACTGTCGACAGTCTCGGGAATAGGGCGAGACCATATGACAGAGGACTGAAACGCGGACCGCAAAGTCGCCGCTTTACTGAATCTACAAGAACATAGCGTTAACACCTGACCTCGACATTATTGAACCATAACACCGTACCTCTGAGCGTGCAATTTATGCAATTAGAAAACGGGGCGGTGTTTCCGACTATGGCGAGTTCGCTTTGTTCTCACTGCAGGATTCTCCCCTAGCAGTTCGATATCGATATACCGGTTGCTCTCGTTGCGCCGGCTGGGTGGTAGCGGTGCATTCGCGGCGTATGGGTGATACACCAACGCGGAAGAAGGTACTGGTGGTTTGGTTTTCCGGATGGGTTGCAAGACTTGGGCTACCATAAAGCAGGGCGTGTGGGTGAGAGACGGAGCTTTTGAATGAATGAGTTTCGTGGTGCTCGAAGGAAAAGGCTGTGTAAACGCCAAGATATCAGACGCGGTCCAAAAATACACAGAAGGACGTACCATAGTTGGTTTATTGGATTCTCCGTGTAACCAATCAATATCTACCGCGATAGCCTCTGCCCGTTTGCGTCTTTGGCTATCTTGCGGCTCAGAGTCTTCACGTTGTCGCGGAGGATTTCTGGTATTGTTCAAGTATATTCAGGGATAAACGAAGCCGGAGCTCACATGAACGTTTGGGTGCCGTGCTCAGGGTATAGCTTGACGTGTTGCGGCTGGGTGGACGTCGACCACAATCTGAATACTTTACAGAAATGGGTATAATAAAATATGCATTCAGGCCAGACGCACGCAGCTGTTCATTATCGTTCCCTGTCTCTTTGACCAAGTTGGAAGTTTTTCTTCGTTTCCTACTTGTAGTTTCGACGTCTAACGTTTTCCGTATCTTTTCATCCAGAGACGTGACAAGGTTTCCATGGGTGTCATCAAAATCTTCGAGATCTGATTCTGAGAACAGGTCTTTGCGCGTGATGTTTTTCAGTTCTGATACTAGAAAGTGTGGATTCGAAAAGCGAGGAATTGACAACGCCATGACAGTCTTGGGAAAGAGAAATGAATCGTGGGAACTATGGTCCAAACTAGGCAGAGTCTGAAATCGGCCAACTGTGAACACGTAATACAACAAGCTGGGTAGATCGGGACAAATTATTCGGGTGATATTATTCATAGGGTATCATGTCGTGTATGTATCTAGTAAAGGGAATAATCTGAGGTAGCCGTGAGTCAACCATAATACCATAACACAAGACAAAGAAACTTACCATGCGTAAATTCGTGAGTTTTGGAGGCTTTGCGTCGTACGACTCAGATCCGACAGATATGGTGAACTCCGTCGTGATGACTAGGATAACTGGGTGAGCCGCAGAATACCAGTATACCCCAGAATTACTAGTACCCACCGGTTCAGAAAAGGAGTCAATCGATGTTACAGGACTAAAATCCCTCATTGCAATCGCAACGGTATCTTTTGATTGATGGGCATCCTCATGGTCAGACTCGACGCGACGCTCGACCAAGGGTGTGTTCAGCAGGACGGAGACTACCCTGGAGACAGATGCAAAACGGGACGAGCGTGAGGAAGACATGAGAGTTGTACAAATCCGGGGTGTGCAAGTGGAACTACTTAAATGAGTCCTCGATCATGATGTCAGACGATCGATCCGTCGGCCCGGAGTAATCTATGTCCGGAGTCAGCGGCCGTTACTACTACTCGGTGTCTCCCCATTACACAATGTTTAGCCATCGGAAAACGGCAATCGTAACCGGCGCATCGTCAGGTATCGGGCAACATTCCGCAATTGCGCTGTCCAACGCTGGCTGGAACGTCGTCCTGACGGCCAGGCGCGAGGAGGCTCTCCGAGAATCAGTCAAATTGTGTGCGCATCCCGAGAATACTCTTGTCATTGCGGGGGACGTTACAAGTGAAGACTTTGTCAAGGAACTCTTCGCCAAAGCCGTGGAGAACTTTGGTGAGTCATATTCCGAATCGGATTCATCGTTGATCGACGTCGATGCATTAGGTAGATTGGATCTTCTCTTCAATGTTAGTTTCATGCAAAGTATCCCTGGGAAGGCTCAATATTCCAGTATAGAATGCTGGCACAAATGCCCCCCAAGTTCCAATTGAAGAATTGTCCCTAGACACATTCCAGCGGGTGATAAATGTCAACCTAATCGGCCCATTCCTTTGTACTCGCGAAGCATTCAAGGTCTTCAAGAACCAGGCCCCTCCCGGCGGCAAGTCAATTAATATTTCATTAAACCCGTCTCTCACTTTTTTTTCTAGGCCGCATCATCAATAACGGTTCCCTCTCAGCCCATGTACCTAGGCCCTTCTCCTGCCCGTATACGGCCTCGAAGCATGCCATTAGCGGACTCACAAAGTCCACCTCTCTAGACGGTCGGCCCTTCAATATCTCGTGCACCCAAATTGATATTGGTATGAGTCTTAGTACGCTGCTCGCTACCGTTGGGTTAAAAGCATTTGCAGGAAATGCTCAAACAGATATGGCCGCAAGACTTTCAAAGGGAACTCTTCAGCCCGACGGTAGAGTAATACCAGAAGCCATGATGGATGTCCAACATGTCGCCGATGCTATCATTCACATCGCTGGCCTACCTAACGATGTTACTGTCCTCGAGATGAATATCATGTGAGCCTGCCCCGCGACTTACCACATTGCAATCTACTAAACGACAGTAAGGCCAACACACGCGCCATTCATCGGGCGAGGATAATAAGGAGACATTTCCAGTTGCTATACATTGTTATATAGACGTCGACACTACTTGGCGTATATTGTAGTTCTATGCAGAAAGGGAGCAACGCGTGACAAATGTAAATATGCTAGAAATACAGGTCGATCTTGCGTGAATATGGCCTAACCCATCCAAAGAGAATAATATAAAAGAAATGCGTACTGTTACGAAAGTACTTCAAGTCAGACGCTTTGATCGCGAATCCTGACTGCTGAATGCAGGATTATCGAATGGGAGACGTTCTCGGAGCCAACCGCCACTCTCCCAATTACAACCAGGTCTATACATGTCCAGCTGACGCTGGGCTATGTCAGTCATCCCAGTAAGAATTGCGTCCATCCTTCTGAAGACAATAGGTTTCAGGATCCATCCGTCCATCCGTCCCACATTTTGACAGCTTATCCCGCTGCTGTTCAAAGAGGGACGCAGATACGGCAACACGCAATCAAAGTCACGATCAGACTTGACTCTATCGAGACCTTCGTCAGTGACAATGACAAGACGTCGTGCTCCCATAATCAGTACTCACAAAGCACATTTCTGTGAAGGGCCTGGCTCTGCAGAGATCCTTGGAGGATCGTGACTGCCGTGCGCAGATTGTAGATTGGCACCGGGCGTGTTTACTGTTCGACATAGAATTAATACGATACGAACACGTTCTCCTACTTATTTGATTTTCTTTCCTCGTTCGGTACGGCGCACCATCCCGCACATCTCAGCTCTTAACCACAATGCTGAGATTAACGTTACGACGTTCTATCCTAGCGTCCGTCTTCTTCCGAATCCGTTTTCCGTTCACCACGTCCGTGCACCTACCTTGTCAACTCCAAAATTTACATCATATTCGTCCATTTTGATTGCTTGAACAGGAACTTGGGACCCAACGACTTCGAAGGTTCCTTCACCCCGTTTCCTTGAGAACGGACTATTTGCGTAGCCATCGATATTTCACTGGTCCTCCAGTGAAGGGGATACCTGTGACGAAGGTTTGGATCACATGCGATTCGATGATATGGGTTCAACCAGCGAGTCGATCTCGTTGCCAGACTTAATGCTGGGAGGGGGGGAACGAATACGAATCGGAAGAAGATGCTGGAGAAGAACTCGACATGAGATCCTCTCCTTCTGTGGGAAGAGAAAGCGGGATGAGGATGAAGAAACGGCTGCCTTGTTCGACCCGAGAATCTACACGAAGCTGTCCGCCCAGCTGTTCAACGATACGGGCGACTACTGCCCAGACCCAGCCCTATAATGCATATTGAGCCATCAAACAAATCCAAGAAATCGTCATTTTTTACCGACGCCAGCATCTGTGCTAGTCTTGGGTTCATATGACTCCACTTGTTCGAATCCGAAATATGCTTTCAAGCCGTTCTTGCTGTATGCCACTCCTGTATCGGCTACCACAATCTTCACTGCCGTCTGTTGGGAGTTGCGCAGGCCGACAGGTTCTTGCAGAGGTACACAGCATACTGTGATGGACCCTTCTGTTGGGTATTTAATTGCCGCACCAAAATGAGAGAAGCGTGTGAAGATTGGAATACAAGCGTTTGCCGTGAGGTTCTGGACCACAGCTTGAATCTTCCTAGCGTTACCGACAACTTCTTTGGGACTTTCAGATGTCTAGAATGAGATCGATAGATTGTCGTTGGGCTTCGCTTCGATACCAACTGATCGCCTCCTCGACGACTGCAGGTAAATCGAAGGGCTCGTTGAAAGATGTCTCGTAGCCGCTTTCCAGTCTCGTGAGATCCTATGCACAAATACTATTATCAAGAAAACCAGACACTAGTCCGAACCAACAAGTCATTGATGGTGAAGAGTAAGTTCTAATCTAGACAACGAAATCAGAAACGACCCCTGGTTAATGAGCAAAAAACCATGCCTTCGACGCAGAGTGTGACTCTCAAATTATAGCGCGTTTCTCCGTCCAGTGGTCAATGCCATTTCGAGATAGCTGGTCAAGAGTAAGTCAAGTGTCACAGAAGAAAGGAGGAGGAACCCACTTGATAACATGATATAGAGGAGTTCGCACTACATCATGTTTCATATGCACGTTCATCCCTGAATGTCACACACTTCCTTCGTGTAAAGCATTCGACAACAGCAAGTTTGTCACCCTAGTGGTCTGCAACGCGCTCTCCTTCTGCCTCCACACCTCGATGAACTAGAACGTATGAATGTCAGCTCAACTCTAATAGAAATGAGTTTGAAGCAAACTTTCAAGGCTAGCACACCCGCGGTCTCTAGCTGTTCATCCGTCCATGCTCTACATCTTCCAGCGACAGTCTCTGACCAAATCTTGAAAGATTTTCTTGGATCTAACATTGCGTTTGATCCGTCTCCTTTGAACGGTTTCCCAGCCCAATGAACATCGCGCGGTTGTCCTTTTCGTAGGATCGCAATGAAATCCTTGCCTCCACTCGACAGAGGAACGTACAAGAGACCCGCGACTACATCGAGACCTGAGTTGATTGATTAAACTTCGACGCAGTCATGTCAAGAGCACTTACCGATAGACATTTTAAGGTCAGGATGGTCAGTAGTTACCGCTGGTGATACTTGAATGGTTCTGCTAGATACAGGTGAGGAGTAAGTCATGCTGAACAGAGGTTTGATTTACCCGAAATGCTTCAGTCTGAGATACTCCGCCAAGGTCAAGGTCAAGATTTCTTGTCCGTGTTCAGTGGGGCCTAGGATCTTCGCACCGTCACCGATGACCAAGATGCCAAAGTCAGCATCAAGCAAACTGAGCAAACCGTCGAAGTCCGATATGATGTAACCCGTCTAGAGCTCTGATCAGCAGTTCATATTGGTGAAGACATGAAAAATGTTACGGGATGGTTCTCTAAAGTCATTGTGTTTATCTGAGAGAGAGGTTAAAAGAGTAAGATAAGCACCTCTTCATGGGTGATGAAGAACACACAAGTTTCCGAGTATGCAATCGTTGAGCATAGCTTAGGCGTTCGATGTTTCTAGATATGGACTGGCTGAGAAGCTTGAGCATCCCTCGAGTGGGAAGTGATACACGCATTCCACGTGTGCCGCATGAATGACATGTCACTAAACCCCACATAGCACCGAACGCCATGATAGACTACAAGAGAGAGTCAAATTCAATGGCCGTTTCTCCAAACCACAGACGTACAATAGACATCGAAGCACAAGCACCCATATTCCCGAAGTCTGTGAAACTGATTGGTATTCCAAGTTATACCGTGTCATTTGCACAGACATGCATTTAACATGAATAGGACTCATTGTGCGCAAGTGGCAATGCGTCATATCAAGAGGCTGCTCGAGATCTTCTTTGGATCGTACTACAATCCGAGCTGTCGCTCGGCCCCGACCGTAAAGGATTCGAACTTTATAAGTAGACAGCAAGAGTGTTCGCCAGTGACGGTATAACGATGTTTCCAAGACGGCCTACTTGTTGTATATAGCTGCCTAGCCTATATAACATGATGAATCCAAGCTCTAGCAAAAAAAAACCAGATGTACTTAGTTGTGCTGGTACTTTGATGATGGCAACAACCACCTTCAAAAAGGTGTCTAAATCTGATGGATCACCAAGCTGCTCGTTAATCTGGGCCATAATCGCCAAAACATCCATCATATCGCTACTTGGATGTCAGTCCTGAAGGAGATGCCCGTGTTAAGCGGCGCTGGCGAGCCAGAGCAGGAAGCGGCCTGGATCGTGGGGTTGTACTTTCCTCAATATCCGCAGCATTTGGGATCCAGGTGTGATCACCTTCAAGACCTGAAAGCGAAGACGATGTAGCCAACGCATTAAGGGAATTGGTGTCTTCAGCAGATGGACTAGGAGAGGACAGTTGGAAGGAAGTCCGTGGTCCGGGTGTTCGGTCACTTAGATCGCTGCCTGACAACGAGGAGCTAGTCCTATCGTGTGTGCCCAGTAATATTTTGCCTAAACGGTAGTTGGAAGCCTCGTCTGCACTTGTGTGGTCAGAGCCCCTACCACTACCAGAGACATTGCTAACTGGAGAGGCTGGATTCGCGACCTCGGAAAGACGACAGGTGGATACAGGGGATTTAAGATATCCACCTCCAACTCAAATTCCATGCATTGCACGCCAACATGTCAGGCGCTGACCAGCTTGATATGCGAAAAATGTGCGGAGGTTCGTGCCCGTCGTCCCACTCTTGAGTCCGGCTCTAACAGGAATTGAACGTTATTCTAGAGTAAACCGGCTTGTGACTCCGGTAGAACAACCGAGGGAGAAGAGATATTGTGGAGACAGACCCAGCAGTTCTGTACAGTTCTAACAATTCCACCCTTAGCTTCGGAGATTGATCAAGTGAGAAACTGACTACTTCAGACACTAAGACGTCATCTTGTTCATCCACAACGATTACACCAAAGCCTTGCACAGCACCGGGAGTACGAATAGGCTGTAAATTGTTCAGTTTTCGAGGAAATGAGAATGTAGAATGGACGTGCTTCGTCTTCACAGCGTGTCAACTTTCCTTCTCTTCCAAGTACAACGTGATGACCGTGTTCATCTTGCGTGGCTTGCAGGCGAACTGTGACAAGAGGCTCTTCCGAGGACAAAGACACATGCGAGCCAGCGGTATCTTTCGGCGAGGAGTTCTGGACATCGTTATCCCTTTCCGCTAACAAATTTGAGTTATTAGGACCCTCCGACGTATCTTGGGTGCGACCAGGGGATCTTATAACCTCACCGCTGAAAGAATGTAGAGAGCCTGATGTACTGGAGTTGGAGGACGAGGAAATTGGTCCCAGGTGGACCAGACCAAGTTTTGAAAGGTCGAATGGAATAGGGGCAGCCTTGCGTACTGAGGAAGTGGTTGTAGACGCAAAAGCATCTTAAGCAACGGAGGGAGAGCGACTCCGCGTATTGAACTTGGCGAGATAAGGTGGGCGAGGATGATGGTGACGAAGGCTTAGTACCAACTGACGAAGAACGGGAAGGATAACGTGGAAATAAATTTGTAGGAGAAAGTAGTGCGCTTTCTGTTGGAAATGCCGAAAGCTTGAAGTGTCAGAGATTGACTGGAGTCCCTTCGCAGAACGCCGTCTAGGCGAGTGGGATGGAGAAGCAAATGCTATGCTCTGAGAACGACGAGGGACCGCATTTGAAGGGAACGATATTTCGTTGGGATCGTAAGCTGGCGTATCGGGATTAGTTGTAATACCATCTGCGACATAGGAGAGTAAATACAGAGTTAAGTAGATCCAAGAAAATAACGTACGGGCTCTTTCAACTTCCTCTCAATCCACTCGGAAAGTTCTAGAGATCTTCGGGCGCCTACACTCCTAACGGTGGTCCGAGAGACACCAGGGAGATCTTGAGCCGGTTGTATACCGGTCGGAAGATTTGACAGGATAAATGAAGGACTTTGAAGGAAAATTTTGCGGTTTCAAAGGATCCGTTGAGTGGCTGCTATCCTATCGTCGCCGGACATGGATGGACGGCAACAACGAGGTTTGTTTAGTACTAAGTTGGAGATGAATTGACGAATTTTCCCTTTTCGGAATCGACGACGTAGTTCTAAGTCTTGAAACTATCAAATCAAAACGAGGCGTCGACGGTTGAACGTCCTTGATCATTCCGTCCCTGTAGTTCGAATTATACCTTAAATAAGCACAGGCACTCCTGGGCTCTCTGATATCTTGATAACGAATCGCCTGCCCAGATCTTGAGTACCTAAGTTTCATGTTTTCAAAATGGAATGATAAACAGCTTTTATGGATTGCGCACATTAATTACACGTCCACCCCGAAAGCGCGAAGCGACCCGTAAACGAGGATCAATTTGAACATCGGACTTGGGCTCAGAAAATGACAAAGACTTGTGAAACATTCAAACAGGATCGCACCATGATTGCACAACAGTACTACAGATTTTGTTCTATTCTTACCATTCAGAATGTACCCGACCCTCTGAACCAAGCATTCACAGGTTTCCCCTTTGGGCCCGTCAAAGATCTTGAAGAAAACTTCGAGCCACCAGTGCCGCTGCCACTGCGGCGCCGGTCCGGTGTCCATTCTTGCAACCAAGTATGCATGGTCCCCAGAGCTTGATTCTGGACAGCGGCAACAGTAGGGTCGACCACACCGTTTGGGGTCAAAAGATCAGAGCAATGGAATCCGTCTCCCAGCGCAATGGGCTGCGAGGCAGTGCTGGGAACGTTGACCGTCTGAGCAGATACTGTCGCGTCTCTCCAAGGGTCTCCTGATCAACAGTGTCAGTAATGGGTTTTAGCGAAAGAATATACCGCGCACGTATACCGTTAGCGAAAAAGAGCCTATTAGTCCTCACGTTCCAGCCTTCGTATGCTTCGTTGGTCTTTGCCACGTCGATGGTCGTAGGCGATGTGGGAAAAGCTTCCGGGAACATGTACGAGCACTGTCGCTATTTTTGGAACGTCAAGACTAGTTCGATAATTTGCGGCGAAGAAACGTACGAGATCATAAGGCGGCTGCACTAGACGCGTAACAATGGCTGGGACCCCTAGTGGCGGTCCTTCCTATAGAAAAATGAGATTGTATCCCTGAAGCCATGATTAACCATACTTGGAGGAAGCCAACTTGATTGCATCTGTACAGAATATGAGATTGCGAGCCCATAGCAAGACAATTCACATACACTATCCAAAACCATGATCGTTCTGCGTTGTCGATGCTGGTGTTCGTGTAGTAGGCTTGAGTTGCATTGTAACTGCCAAGACAAGTTCTAAAATTACAGTCAGTGATCGATAAAATGAGTATCAAGCATATAGCCTACTCTGCATCCAGATCCCCGCAAACTGGAATACAATCACGCCAGCGCAGCGGTAGGTCATCATGGTTCACTTACGTTCAAATATGTACGTATTCTTGAAGTACGAACTCCAAGCTGTCAGAGCATGGTCCAAACCCCAACCCTCGGCGGACGCGGAAACGTCATTTTTGACTTCCAGCGCATCACAAAACTCGAAAAATTGCTGACCCGGACCAGAGTCCGGCTGTAAAGACTGCCAGTCCCACAAGTTGTTACGAACTGGGGCGGAATTGAGCTGATACCAACATGAGATAAAGACTAAACAAACGAGCGCCAGCAACATCGTCAAGATGGGTCATATCTCCCATCCCAAAGGAGTTCTTGATTTGTTGAATCGCTGATTGATTGCCGGAAGGAAAGACCTGGTCGATGTGAGCAATCACAGCAGCAACATCGGCCGAACAGTTGGCTGGCATGTTTTGACGTATCGGTTCAAAGTATCGCCAATAGTCGCTGGAAGAAATCAGCTAGAAGCTCGGGGTCGACAACAAAAAAGCATACAGGATCGCTTCTACTACCCCGGATGAAGAGTATCCTGCCCAGAAAACGCCTGGTTGGCTGCAGAAAATTAATATACGGGCATCAACGGCCTCGCGTGACCTACTTGACAATCGTCCAACTAGTCAATGCACCTGAGCCGAAGTCAGTCAGTAGGTGTAGTTAAACTAGGCGGGATGGATTACCAGAATAGCTCCCGCCAATGAGAATCCAAGGAGCCTTGTCTGGACCGAGTGCTCCGCCGTTGGGCATAGGTAAGTCGACATTCTCGGCGAAATAAACGAGATCGTCAATAGCTTGCTGCAGCGTATGCAGTCGTAAACTGTCTACAGTAAGGTTTGGATAGGGATTGCTGAGGCCGTAAAATCGGTGTTCCAAAACAATGACTGCTCCGTTCTCTTGCTGTGCTATCAGTCCATTTATGGTCCCATTAGTGAGATAACCAGTGTATGCTGCGAAAGGAGCGGCCATTAGCCCGGTCCGCTGACAAATGAAAAGGCTAATATCACTTACGTTCCGCATTGACTTCTCCCGGAGTCATTAAAATGATTGGACCACCTGGAAGGTCCTCGTTATAGGTATGACTATGAGAGTCTGGGAAACTCACCGGGTTCATAAAATTCGTACGTATGCCAGTAACGTTGTTGAAACGTTCCCAGGGACGGGTTATTATGGTCAATGAGCTGGTCGAAATAATAGGTCGTGTTGTACGGCGGTAGCACGGTACCGTTACGACTTAGAACCGGGGCATCGAGATTCTCGATAGTAACAACCGGGATACTCGGCCTTTGGATCATATTTCCATGAGAACGACCGTCACGTAACGCGCCATTCACGTATAACAGTGGGTAGAAGGCGAGAAGGACTGCCCAGATGATTGGGGGAAGCATTGTGGACGATGTACGATTCCAATACGTGCATTTATACGAAAAAATTTCCATGAACATGTTATTTATAATTGCGATGCACCTTCTACCACGCATTGACCAATTAATTGATATAAACCACGATGCTGAGGTAGAGATCCTTACCTTGATTGACCAACTGTCAATGAACTGCGCCGTCTGTTACAGATGGCAGTGATGCGCGCTCCTTGTCGCTACCAGAACCAAACGGGAAGCATGTCGTCGGTCTCTAGCGACACTCGAGGTTTAACAAGCATTGTCATAAGAGATAAGGGGCCCGCGAACCTGCGAATGAGAATATCAAACCCGGACCGTCTCCATATGGTGCACATATGATGCCTATCGCGTACGTACAATTTTGTGCGTATGAGAGGATCACAGTTCCTTGCAACAAGAAAGGATACGCATAACCCAATTGACTCTCCGTGTATTTCCCTGTGATAGAGCGATAAAACATGTGGAAGAAGGGACACCTTGCTGGTACAGAATTGAAAAAAAGGACACATGGTCAGTACTGAGAGAATCGCGAAGCTAAAATTACTGGCACAGTACCTGACTTGAGATTCCAATACTGGGATTTTGGTCTACACACTACATGTGTAAGGACACACCCATGACCTCTCCGCTGTCTAAGGACTCTCCAAATTCGCGCTATCAGCGGGAAAGAGAGGATTTTTATCGGAGTGACCTGGCTGATCTTTGATAGGGACGCATGGTAGTACATAGCTGTGAGATTTTTATCTTCATCTAAATGATAGGCGGCGCTAGGCAGTTTGGACCTTGTTATGTATTGCTGAGTATTGCTTCGATATCAACTAGCCAAAGCTGACGCACCTTGAAGCCTATCCTTATGACTTCCACCACGAAGAAAGAGAACAATGGCAAGGGCGGCGGGAGTGGTGACGCTCTTCGACCAGGAATTTACGAAGGGTGGTGCGACTGTCATGTATCTGTGAAGACGATTTTGACATCTGCGAACCAAATCGGACACACCATTATGCCTTTCGAATCCCTCAGCTGTAGACCTTCACATAAATCCACCATTCTACGGTGATTGCGATTTTTTTGAAGTCGATGGCGTGGGAAAATATTACTCTGTATGTCTCCTAGCTACTTTCTCTTCAACAACTTTCGTACCCGCTGCTCAGCACTCAAGTACTCAGTACTCAGTACTCAGTGGTCATGCAACAGTATATATGCTCCGACACTTCTGAATAGGAACCCTGACGCAATGTTCAAATCCGAGTCATAATGCTATATTTATCAGTTATCGCGTCCACTGCTTCGTACCATCACTTCTATACTACTCGTGATGACGGAAATTCCATTCAGGATCTGTATCCCGGACGAAAAACTCGAGATGCTTGGCAAGAAGCTCGAACTCACCTCATTGCCCGACGAACTTGAGGATTCAGGGTGGAAGTATGGCGTGCCACTTGACGACATCAAGCGATTAGTAGCCAGGTGGAAGGATGGCTTCGACTGGAGGGCCCAGGAAGCTATCCTGAACGATGAACTATCCCAGTTCACTCGGGATATCGAGGTAGAAGGACATGGCACGCTGAACATACACTATGTTCATCAGAAGAGCCAAGTCGTCGACGCAATTCCCTTGTTATTCATACACGGATGTACGTGTTCTAGTCCCCAGCATTATGCATGACTAATATCATCTGTAGGGCCAGGAAGCTTCATTGAAGTACGAAAAATACTTCCATTGTTAACGGCGTCATCGCCGGACTATCCTAGCTTCCATGTCGTCGCGCTTAGTCTACCAGGATATGGCTTTTCTCAAGCGACGAGAAAGCAGGGTTTCAAAACAGGACAACATGCCGAGGTGAGCAGGATTTCCTCACGCTGTTGTTGGGTCTAACCATCGACTATAGGTTGCAAATAAGCTAATGATATCTCTTGATTACGATAAATACGGTATTCATCAAACAATCATCTATTGCAGCTTTGTTCACGACCTTTATAGTCACACAAGGTGGGGACTGGGGGGCTATTGTGAGTATACGTTCCATTCCTTCTAACAGAAATGCATACACTCTGCCTCCAGATTACCCGGAAACTCTCCAGTATCTATGGTGGAGCACATAGCCAAGCATGGCACACGAATATGCCAAGGTGCTTAAGCAATGAATCTGGTCATACGGGTTATATTCTAATCTTTCATTTAAGAGTAAGGCCTCCGACCATCTACGAACCTCTGTTGTATCTTCGACACATGCTTACTCCCTATACGGAAACGGAAAAGGCAGGATTGCAACGGACCAAGTGGTTTGAGACCCAGGGAAGAGGATACCACAGCCAACAATCGACTCAGCCTCAGACGATAGGCTATTCACTCGCCGATTCACCCGTTGGGCTTCTCAGCTGGATGTACGAAAAGTTAGTTAACTGGAGTGATTCATACCCTTGGGATGACGATGAAGGCGGGTGATCTGACTTTATGTACCGCCAGTTGATCCTCACGCTCCTGTCACAGTGCTGACCTGGGTATCTGTGTACTGGTTTTCTAGGGAAGGTCCAGCCGCATCTATCAGACTCTACTATGAGTATGTTCAATCTGAAGATCGTGTGCTAACGAAGGAGCCTACTATTCCCCTTGGCCTCTCATATTTCCCTAAGGAGTTGCGCTGTTATCCCCGACTGTGAGTGTAGCTCACTGTCAACGCGAGGAGTCTATTCTCATAGCTAATCTTCACAGCTGGTCTCAGGTTGCAGGCAATCTAATGTTCGAGTCGGAGCATACTAGCGGGGGACACTTTGCTGCCCATGAGAAGCCAAAAGAATTGGTGGATGACTTGAGGAGGATGTTCGGGAAGGATGGTCCGGCGTTTGGCATTGTTCCAGGAAGGACTGGGTACGTAGAACGCACATAGGCCCGCCTCGGCCTACACTCCCAAGGATCTTTGCAAGATACCAGCCTGTGAGCGCCTCAAGTTTAGAATGTGTATATTTGGAAAGAACTCCTGCGTTGTTGAACCAACTCCAGATATCAAGGGTACTTTCCTTCTCCGCAGTGTCTGATGATGCAAGGTCCAGCACCCCTGTAGCTTTGTTTTTTCTGACCCAATGAAGACAGCAACAATGGACGTAGTTCTGCAAATAGTCGGCGATGGATTTCACCGTGATGCCATGCGATGCTAGGACGGCCGCCGGTATAAACGAAGTGCAAGGAAGCTGAAGGAGTGGATCTCCAAATGCAAGATGCAATGATGTTTGTCGTTATCTTGAATTCGTGGCGTCGAAAATGGTTAAACGTTGTGCGCGGAGAATCAACACATTACGGTGGTCGAATGGCTGAAAATCAATGCGAGGGCATCCCTAGAGGCGTTCCTTTAGTCAAATACACACGCCGTCCCCCCCTAAAGACATAATTAGGACGATTCGCAGGCTGGCATTAACATTGTGTCATTTCTGAGGATTCCCATCGAGTTGAGATCCGAGTCGTTGGATTCAGGAGTATCACTGATATCGGCGCGACTACACGCACGGTCTAGGCTAGTTTTGGGGAGTTTGTTCAGGACTTGTGGCTTGAATTACCTGAAAGGTAGGGGCCCGCTCCACGTTTTTCGGTGTAATGGGAATGCCAAGGGACCTGGAAGAAGCATGATGAAGTGATACTTAAATAAATAACATTCCTGTCTTCAGGACTGAGCTCCATTGAACGTACGAGACTCTTCGTTCACTGTCCGAGAGATAGAGGAATGTCCATTATATTTCTCAGTGCACTTGGTAGAAAACATTGTCCTGCTGGTCCGAATTTGGGCTCATCTTTAGCGGGCCGTCGCGGTGTTCTCGGGAAATTTCCACGTGACATCCGGGAACCCGTATCGGGGTTGTCGGGCATACCGTACTCAGTTGCGTCGTTGTTCGCTCAGACAGGGACATATAAACGCGATCACTTCTCTACCATGTCCTCCTCTTGCTATGTTCCTCCTCTTCCTCTTCTGTCTCCTTCTCCTTCACCTTTGCTCCAATTTCCTCCGTCTTCTCGTCCGGCAATGGCTTTCACCTCTTCACCGTCTTCCTGGGCCACCCTCGCAGTCGTTCTTTGCAGGAAATCTCGAGCAAATGCATGACATGGCAAATTCAGATCTTTTGTCGCAATGGGAAGCACAATATGGCCCGAATTACACGTACAGAGGATTCCTTAATGGCAGCAGGTTAATGACTACGGATCCAGTTGCGCTTTCGCATATATTGGGTCATGCATACGACTACCCAAAGCCAGATTTTGTCCGTGATAGCCTAGCTGCGATGGGCGCAGGGAACGAGGGACTCCTTACGTCGGAGGGCGACGTTCACAGGAGACAAGTCCGTAATTTATTGATTTTATTGCTTCCATTACTCACACTCTCTCGCAGCGTAAAATTCTGGTACTTCTCTTTCACACTTATTAGTTGCATTTATTCACGTTCGCGCAGTCGCCTGCATTCTCGCTATCTCATATCAAATCTTTGACTCCAATATTCTGGGACAAAGCTGAACAGGTTGGTCGCTAACTCACGTACTGCACATCATTCTAGATTAATGCAACAATCAGCTTCGCGACATATGGCTCCAATCATCTGGAGACTCTGTCCCGCGCATAGACGCACTCTCTTATTTGGCTCGTGCTACGTTGGATACCATTGGCTTGGCTGGTATGTTTCTCACCGACTAATTGAAATCAGAACATAGATGCATCTTCTTCAGGCTTTGGATACCACTTCAATTCACTCTCATCCTGTGACAACACCAACGAACTGGCTCACGCCTTTAGCGTCATATTCTCTACTGCGCGCAAGTTCAGGTTGATTACTATCTTGCAAGTCTGGTTTCCTATCCTACGACGCTTCGTAAGTCGCGACCTGATATAATATGCTACTAATCCCATAACTGCTCTGAAAGCGTCGTCACAATACAACAATGTCTGCTGCGCAGGCCACCATGCGAAGGATAGGTTTGGCACTGATCCAGGAACGGAGGGAGACAGTTTCTAATGAAAGGAGGGAGAAGAAAACCATGTTGTTAGACGGGGACAAGACGATTCTGGGCCGCGATATTTTGAGTGTTCTAAGTACGTCATGGATTCATCGGGCTTGCCGGCCTCTTACTTATGTGTACTGTACCCTAGTACGCTCCAATTTAAGTGCTTCATCGTCTGAACAAATGTCTCTGTCCGAGATATTATGTCAAATATCTACTTTTATTGCGGCGGGCCATGAAACAACCTCTAGTGCCCTCACATGGTGTCTGTATGCGTTGGTCACCAATCCAAACGTTCAGACGGTCCTCCGGGAGGAGTTGAGAAAATTGGAGGTCTTGGAAGACGACCGAGAACGACTAACGGAAGAAATCATGAAATGCCAGTATCTCGACTGGGTTGTCAGGGAAACTCTGCGGCTTCATTCGCCTGTAACGAACACTATGAGGGTTTGCATGCGGGACGAAGATGAGATTCCTGTTGATTGCAGGTTGGCGAAACTTTATCCGTCTAATCGCATACTTTTCTCATTCTTGTTTCCAGTCCGACTTCCACAGCCCCGGGTGGATACGTTGACAAGTATGGCGTTCGGAGATATACGATCAAAGTTAAGAAGTGGGATATCATCACTATACCAATCCAGGCAATCAACGATAGCGAACGGCTCTGGGGAGAAGATTCCAAGGATTTCAAGTGAGATGAGTTTCTAGATCCGAGTGCATGTGTGGGGATTAACTAGGACTCGTGACCTAGACCAGAAAGATGGGCGGCTCATTCGCTATCGCGGGCCAATTCAATACCAGGACTGTATTCAAACATCATGACATTCCTTAATGGAAATCCCATAGACGGGAATCGCTCGTGTATTGGGTACAAGTTCGCGCTGCTCGAGTGAGTCTTCTTTGTCTATTCAAGTTGGGGCAGAGTGAGCCTTGCTTGATTGGCGGCAACCTCGATTCAGCTCTACGACCGGTTTGTCCCTCACAGAAATCTGATTGATGACTGATTTCAGGATTAAAATTTTCTTGTATGTGCTTCTAAGGGACTTGAAATTCTCAATTGACCCAGCTATGGTTATCGAGAAGAGGGTCAAGTGAGTCGGTGTGTTCCATGAACTTGAGAACGTGTGCTCATCTTATGTTACATAGTGTGGTAACGCGCCCTTTTGTGAACTCTGATCCGCAGTTGGGGAACCAGTTGCCCCTGTATATGCATCGCGTCTGCCGGGATGATGTGAAAAAGGATGTTGCTGTCGCATAAACCGCACAGTAGTACGATGCGCATCGGTCGCTTATCGTCGCCGTACATATTATTTATTTTCCATTCATGAATGGCCGTCTCTGTAATTACATTGAAACTAGACTAGTAGAAGATGGCCAGGTTGCAGAGAACTTGACCTGGGCGTGAATTGAGGAAGGTTGACGGAGTCGACCGAGTTCTGTTCTCTTAGGCTAGGGATGACGCCCAATGCCCCCGGGAAATTAATATTGATAACGTTGACACCCGAGATCATTAATTTTCCTATTGAATCCTTAGCTTCGGGAATTGGATAAAAGCTAATGAATGATCGATCCCAGGACAGAAAAGACGGGTAGGCACTTGAAGTTGGATATTTTCCACGGATGGGGGACCCGTTGATCGTCGAATATAACACGCCATTCTGGGGATATCGGTACTTGCCGTCTTGAATTGATTCTTGACCAAGATCTTGTTTGCGGTGGACAAAGTTGGCCACTTGACGCGTCGGATGGGATGTATTGGATCGGACCGAACAACAACTGATGTCGTGGGCTTCTATCGATTCTTTCCTAAACGCGAACGGAATATTCCATGCTTGTTGTCCTGTACTGACCAGATTTGTGATCCCTTCGCATCGACGAAACCATTTCGTTGGCCCTTGTAGGGTAGATCAAAGGGGATGGCCCGCATTTCCAGGAGCTGATTGTTTATCGTGTTCTCTTTGCTTCTTCTCCCGGGTGCAGTGTTCTTCAGCAGACTAGCGTCGGCCGTTCGTCCCCACCCGTGAGATCCAATGCTCGCAGATTGCAGTTTATGATCATCTCCACCGCCACTGCAAATTTTCGTTATATCGGTCGTGTTTCCTCTCCGGGGGGAGGGGGGGGGAATTCAAACTCAACATTCCTGCAATCAGACGGTTCAAACCTGCAGTATTCCGTTCTGAATAAATTGAAACACTGCCTCTGTGATTCCATCTTGGCTACGATGATTTCGGTATGGCCCTGTATTCTGATGGGGACTGTCCGTGGCCGCATTTCGTACATCTTGGCTGCTCCTTGGGCTGTGGTGAGCGGTTCCTGTAATTTTTGCCACCCCGGTAAGACGAGCCTCGCGCGATACCGGTGAACATCATGATATTGAAATAAGAACCGCCCTACCCCCTCACTGATTCCGAGCCGGTCGTTTCTCTGATCCAGCCTGGAATCACAAGACGACCCGACCCTTTCATTCGACGTAATATGTCATTCTTCATTGATCCTGCCAGAAATTCACCGTAAGCTTTGTCAAAGCGGAAAGTTCGATACTGATCACCCTTATCGTGCATCGATGGGCCGTTTCATATGGCTCGAGAGGTCGGGAGATCGATATTAACTCAACCTAGACCCGGACTCGCCACGGGAAGTTACAGCTACCCAGTGATCATCAGCACCGTCGATGACTTTGTTCGAGTAAGATATGCAAACCGTTTCGTACCAAGATGAAAACGCCACTGACCTCATGCAAGGAGATAAACGAGCTGAACAAAGGTTCCTGCATGCGAATGAGGCAATATATTTATTTACTTAATTTATCTCATTAAGCCTGTTTGGGTCAGCTGAAAGTTTAGTTGTGGGTGAGCGGGGAAGGATGTTTGAATGTCCAGCTCCTTGAGGCGGATGCCAAATATCCCGCCGTAGACAAACACAGCTTGCCGCCGGCTCGAATCATAAAGTCTAATTTCATTTCTTTATTAGGTAGGTGCTTTGTGAGCTGGTTCGTGGCCTCGAACACAGGATGTCGTCGATTCATTCACCCCGGAATCAGCCTAGCCTCCCACAAGATTTTTTTTTTTTGGAAGCTTCGAATCTTGATATGCGGCGACTCTAGTGCTTGCCGCAGGAGACGGACATATATATCTACCGTGAATTCAGAACGTGGAATCGGACGCAAGACTCGAGAGGACAGAACTTCAATATTTCAAGACGCCGTGTTTGTGTTACGGTATTGAACTTGAAGCTTGGTAAGTTGGACGATTGTTGCTTCGCTGGGACTTGAGCGCTTGTTTCACGTTTTATTTTATTTTATTCCTTCTTGATGATATTCCGGCATTGGAACTCACTCACTGGCAGATTCTGTCATTGACCTCTTGACTTTTCTGTGGACTTTTGATGTCGAAAATGAATATCATCAAAATACAGAAAGTTGTCGAGTCAACCGCATCTCCACGATCAACGTAATATGTCAAAGTTTAGCTGATTGTGTCATCTATTTCAGGATCGAGATAATCTTCATGCATACTGGCTATCACTTTGCTATTCAGGTATCGTAGCCTCAAGAACAGCAATTCCTGGTTCAGAAACTCGCCGCTAGCTTCTGTTCTTCGTCCCTTCTGCGCCCATTGCGATGCATCAGTTCATTAAGCACGGATCAGCCCTTCCCTCGAGATCAACTATTTTTCGCAAAGCGCCCAAAGAGGCCACTCACATGCATAGACGCCACCTCCTGTGCAATCAGTAATCAGGCACCGCCGACCGACACGGATGATTCACTGGAATTCGGTCGCGGTACTATTTAATTTCGCCGTCTTTGGCGCCTTAGGAGGCGGCTGGAGTTGCGAATTTGCGAATGGTTATCTCTTTGCTGGAACCATTCAAACCGTCCCCCCTACCGGGCCACTCCAATCCCATCGTCTCGGTAGAAATAGAAAACTGAGCTGGCCCTACTTCTATCTTCCACTGACTTCGTCGATATCATTTCCTGCTCGGTACCGCTAGGAGCCTATGGCTCCGCGGCCGCAGTATTAGTCTTTTGCACGGAAGCTCTGAATTCTTCTCGACTTCTTCTGCTCCAACTGATATACTGAGTTTGAAAATTCATGGTCACACATTAGTGCAGTATTCCGATTATTGCGCCGAGTCCCTTCCATTCGGTCGACACATAAAATTGTAAGCGTTCTAATCCAAGTTCCCTCGTATCATATAGCTGTTTTGACGATCGTCGATCGTCTCCAGATCATGATCGGTGAAGTAAGACAAGAGTTCATATTTTTGAACGGTTGTCCTAAGTATATACATTATACCAGAAGTAAATTTAAACATATAACAATCTAATACGGCGGAGAGAAGTACTTATTACATAACGAAGTTTTTGCGGGTTCGATAGTCGTTCCCCTTCGCAGTCAAAAGTGGATTAAATTGGAATAAGCATAAAATGCCGAAGGGCTATTTATTTCTCCGAGCCAGCAATAAACCGAGATGAGGTGGGAAGACAAGCCTTGCAGTCGCAGAGAGATTAAATAGCCAGAGTAGAGTAATCGTAAAAAATATACTGTATATCATTGACCGCTGTAACCTGATGAACCATTGTACAGATTAGAATAAGACCCCGCATTGCCCTGGTTCCAATACACGGGGTGCATCTGACGTTGATCTTGTCGCGAGGATTGCGCAAAGGGACTGATCGGAGGCAACGACGCTGGGTTCCCATTCGTATACCCTCTACCTCCTCCGGACGTCTGGGGATTACCAAAAGGTACCGGTGGGAACGGCGATACTGGTGAATAAAGGTCAGGAACAGAAGAGCGCCGTGCAGGTGCTAAGATGCGTCGACGAGCCTGAAAGAGGTGTCAAGAATAAACGCCGTAGTCCGAAGTGAGACTGAACACATACGTTGATCATCCAATTAGATACCTGGCTCATGGAGAGCCCCGTTGCGAGACAAAGCCGTTTCTTCTCGGCCTCGTTAGGGTATGGATGGTCGCAATGAGCATGTAACCATGCTTTGAGATAGTCCGTTGTAGTCTTGGGCAGTTTACCGCGTATCTTTCGCTGGTTGAGCTGTGATGTGGGCAAATGGACTTCGGAAGAGGCAAGAAGCTGATCGGGAGATGGAAGGAGTTGACCGGGAGGGGGAAGTATGTATCTTGGGTACGAAAGTGTTGGTACGTCATGTAAGAGGGCAGGAGGGATATCGTGTGTGAGAGAAGGCAATTGACCGGGATGCCCTGATGACCATTGTGATGAGTCTGATTCGGGAAAGGGTCGCTGACTTTGATGAGAGAGCGACATGGTGGGTGCGCAAGGTTTGCTTTCATAGGCGCCTTCGTATATAAGTGGAACATGATGGAGGACCCAGGCACAATATTTTTCGAGCTCGCATAGATCGAATCTCCCTGGACTGCTACTACCCTGATGATTTGACGCAAGAAGCCAAACGTAACGTCGAGTAGACCATCTGAATGAAAATCAAAAACAGGATTGGGGCGTATTCTGTCATGGGAAGGGCGTAAACAATGGGATTTGTATACAGTTCTGATACCAAACAGCGATCGCGTCGCAGTACAGCGCGCCCTGAGGACCGGGGAATGAGAACATGTTACCTTTATGCAATCTCCAACGACGAATAGATCGAAGGCACCTAGTCCCAGTTCAGGTTCTCTGTGTCATCATCTTTCAGACACAATCATATGCCCCACTGAATGTGAAACACAAACGCCCACAGTAGGTCCTTATGACCTCAGAGCATCGAAGATAACGCTACACCAATAAGGTGCAAGGAATGGGCAGCTGAGCACTAGCGCCACCACCATCACGATAAGGCTGTACCTTGGTAACTGATAAAGTACAGGAGCTCAGCGACGCACGGTGCAAGTGCAAGTTGGAACCAGCAAAAGCGAGAGACCGGGGCATGACAGTTAGAAAATAGCAATATGCACCTGGACCCTTTAGTCCGCCATAGACCGGAGTGGGCGTAAGGGCCGTCCATTCACGCCCGTAGGAGTCCCGTTGTGTGTTGAGAGCCGGAACAGCGATTTTATGAGCATCGGAAGCCAGATCGATTGATCCGGTGCATCCGGACCGACGCTGCCTGTATCTCAACTTACTGGGACTCGGACGTACGTTGTGGCTGGGATGCATGTAAGCTGAGAAAGAATAAAACTTACAGCATTCATCAGTAACGAATACGTATTAGATACACGTTCTTGATTTACCCTTCGAGGACGGGAAATCATTGCGGCAGCCAAGCATCGGGATTTCCCTTCAGCAAGTACCGCTCACGCGCACAGTCGCCGTCTGATGAGCCTTTCCTCGTGATAATTCCTTGAAAATTGCAGCGCTCAAGTCTCCCTCTGTCTAAAATCACCCCGCCTTTTAATTTATCCACAACCGACCCTTCATCCGATAGCGATCTAGCTGCATTGTAATTCCTTTTGCTCCAGCTTTTGCAATCCAGGATAAATCAAGGTTACTCCGACCTCCAATATTAATAGTTCCCATCTTGGAAGAACCTGGGGCAGCATTGTGGGTGTTGATCCGCGGTATGTTTTGCATTGAGGAAGTAATACGGCCCCACACCTGGTTGGAGCAAGAAGCATTTTTACATATAGACCTCATCTCCGTTTACTATGTGGTAGCTCCTTCAAAGATAAAGCGCCCGGCCCCAGCAAGGCCACGGTGACGAGAACTCGTCGATCTCGTGCGCCGATCATGCAACACAATTCCTCAAGTCAAAAAGCATGGTCTAGACATTCGGGTTATGTTGGACTGGCTATCCTCAGGGAGAGGATCCAATAGGAAATATATTACAACTAATATAGTACATACGATGCCGGAACCTGGAATCAAGGGGCAGGAACCGCTGCAGGGAGGCGCGCGACCCCACGTATTCGCTCAGAGGCATAATGCAGTCGTATGTTATCGTGGGCGGAAGCTATATAGGGGAGATGATGTCGGGAATCAAGGTACAGGGACCCCTCCCCCCCGCAGGATATCTCTGCGGCCATTCCTTGGCAGACCTCAGTGATAACAGTATGATAGAGTATTGTCATAAACTATCCATGCTGTGCAGTGAAAGCTTGGACTTAGTTGACCATCAGCACCGCCGGACCGAGGTGTATTCCTGACCTCCCTTTTGGATGATTTGTATTCACGACTTTAATCACGAGTCTAGCTTAAAGTTATTACCAACAGCTTAGTCCCTTGCGCAGATGACTGAAATCATTGTTTGCAGATTAATGATTGCGACGTTAACCGAGGAGCTGAGACCAGACTTGATACCTACCTTGATAGGATGGATTAAGGACCTTTAAGCCAGGCATCTCTCAGGGTCAGGGTAAGCCCATGAACACACACGCGCCCATACCATAAAAATCCCGTCCCCTCGTTCGCATCGCACATTCCTTCGAGAAGAGAAGAATGCACGTCATGGGGATCGTCCTAGTCCGTTTCTCCCAGCGAATGCACCAGTAGTCTCGGTACCCGTCTCTAGAGGAGTATGGATGTTTTCTGTGCACGCAATGACCCGAGATAAGTACCGAGTTTCTGGGAGCTATTGCATCCTTGCTAGTAATGAGTAGTGAAGTCTTAGGAAAGCTGCTGATGATTATGGCCAAATCAAGGATCGAATTACGAGGGGAATAAAACAAGCCAAGGACGTAGTTTGGTATGATGTCCTTCCTGGCTGTCTAAACATATAAAACAAATAACAAGGGCGGCAGTACACCGCGTATGCTACCCTGCTCGCGCGGCCGGGGACGAAGGGGGTCTACGCAAACTCGCTCTCGTCTGGGAGGTCCCGACAGGCATTACCCAATCACAGTAGCTTCTTCTCCAATGAGGCTAGGTGAAACAATCCAGAGCGAAGAAGCAGAAGGTCATCCTTGATGAAGGGAAAACCAAGTGTCGGTGCAATGTGGTTTTGGGAAATTATGAACCGGATTCAGTATGTAGAGAGCGTTTCCCCATAAACTAATCTTCGAGCCTAGACAATGGTATCGGTGGCGGTAAATGGGGGCTTGTATCGCCTCGAAGCGGGGGAGAATAGGATCGCTGGTTCCGAGATTGGGGGTGTTCCGGTAAGGAACGGCCGGTGGCGCTCACACTTTTCCTACTCGTTGTACGCAGCGCTGGAGCTCGCAGTACTTAGGACACCCACCATTACCATCGGCATGCAGGACTGCACTCACATCTCGTAAGGAAATCTCAAATTTCACAGTGCTCGATGAGAGCGAACAATCTTATCGGAGCAAGCGTATTCGAAATCAGTAATTTGGCGAAGGAGCTACATACTCAGGACTCACGAGGCCTGGAATGACATTACAAACGGCATTCGAATCCAGTTCCCGGATAGGAGCGTCAGCTTGGAATCGATTATCCACTCCTGCAGGCCGTGCACCCGCACTGAACGAACGAATCAACTCACCATGGAAGATCAATATAACCACAAGTACGTATGCAAAGATTCAACACAAGTTCGCGCGGTTAAGAGCGAAGCCTGCGGACATAATATGTCAGAAAAAAAAGCTCATTAACAAGGGATAATCGCCACAATACATAATTTGCTGGTACGGCAGCCGGACGTTGGAGGGGCGAATCTACCGCAGAACGACTTTGTGGGCGTCGATACGGGGTCATTGGCAAGAAAGTATTATCATATATACACTGTTTCAGTGAGGACGGACTAGGAGGCGGTAGCCGACTCGTGTAAACCCCCCAAAAATTCGGGATTTGCACGACTAGTTTCATCAGTCTCTCCTGCCAATGCGTCAATACAGCGTCCATTAAGAGGGACCCGCCACAATACTCGTCTCTAATTCTGTACGCTGGCCGGGAGCCGGATAAATCCGGCTCAACCTAATGAGGGATATAGAGCAACGACGCTTCTGAGTTCTGAGCCTGCATTCTACGATGAAGCCGCTGATGGAAATCAACATTATCCAACCTAGGCAAGTAGAAAGTAGAGACAATCTTCTTCAATTATAGACACTATACAATACATACAATTCAGGTGGCAGCCGAATTCTTTCAAGGCTCACGGTGCTTCTTCTGCAGGCGGAGCCTGCCAGTGCGTCAATACAGCGATATTAAAACATATATTGGTACGGCTATAGGACGGGATTTTCAGAGGGAAAGAAGGGACGAGGGTGACATGATGGGCTTACAGAATGCCAAGCGCAATGTGCTTGGTACCGTGGAGCTGCAAGAACAAGTCGCGCTTTGTATTCAAAGGCACACCCGGAGCCGCGACGGTGCAAAGAGGAAGCAGAAGACGAAGAACCAGCGGTGAAGAATCGAATGGATATCGGTGCCGCAAAAGACTGGAAAGACGAGGCTCATGATCTGCACCCGGTGTGCGCATCCCTCGCAAGCAGCCCTTGGTTCTCTCCGTGAAACTGGGAAAACCATCCCGTGCGAGAACGAGGATAACGTTATGGGATCAGGAAGATCTGCAGCCGGAATCGGACTTTGAACCGTCGTCGTTCACTAGCCAGCACACAGCGGCAACCTCGAACGCCGCGTCCGGATATTAAAGAAACCATGAAAGGTATTCTTTTTCCTGTTTTCGACTTGACCGCTAATCAATCAATCCATTTATCAGTTAGACTGGGATCGAATCGTTGGTGTCGTCATACGCAGTGGCGCTTTGGCCGCAGTACAGGGAAGGGATGCATGTAAGGGTAGGGGGGAAAGAGAAAGAAGGGGAAGGAGAAGAAGAAGTAAGGACGCGTAGCCATGGCACTGAAAAATTTTCCGAAAAGTCAGTGGACGGGCCGGGATCCGAAAGGTTCGGGATGCGGGCCGTAACGCTCTCCCTCCATTACTGTCTAAAAGCTAAAGTTAAAAAAACATAACCGGTGTCATTGAGGGACGCCTCGAGGCGATCGCTTTGCTTTTTTTTTTTCTTTTCGGGCTGGTGAAAAAAAGCAGAAAATCTTTAAATAAATGGGCAGCAATTAAGAAGTAAATGATAGGACCTGTTTAATTCCTCGTCGGGCTCCCGCATTATTCGAGTTCACCGATCAAAGAGAACCACACCCCCGCCTCGACGTCGGGTCGGGCCTTTTACGAATTGTTCCCCTTGCCCCTCATCATTTCCAATTCACAGTGGAATCGATGCACCCACCTATTGCCAGTGTTCGCGTCCCCAGCGTAGTCTAGGCCGTCCTAAATGAAAATTCAACCTGGTGTGAATGGCAGTTTCCGTCAAACGACATAGGAACTTGAGAAAATGTTTTTCCTGCTGGTTTGAATTTATTGGTTGGGGTTCGTGCGCGGCGCCCTCTAATGTTCCTGGTTGTCCTCCGTTTGCTTCTTTCTCGATATGTGGCGAGAGAAAAAGAGTGCTTCCACTTTGAACGAATAGATAGCAAAGTTCCTTCCGTCTCGGGACCAGGAACATTGGCAATCATCATACGCACGATTCTCTGTACAACTCCTAATCCCCTAGAAAGATGAGCCGGATAAAGGACGACGCCCTCGGGAGCCGCAAAGCTGAACCTTTTCGTTGGGTACACTTGATGCGGTTGGATTCGAGAGTACTGTAGATGCTAGTACTTACAATTTTGTAGTAGAGAGAACAAACGTCCGCGGGGTAATTATAAGGATAAACTTGTAATAAAGTATATACTCGACTCGATTGGTATACAACTGATGATGTTTAAATAACAGCAAGACAAACAGAGGGCACGATCTACGATAAAATAATATGATGGTATAGACTGGAATCGATCACTGGGAGTCCGGGAAATAATCCCTATTATATGCGCCAGCATTGGAATACACGCCCTGATGATGACCACCGCCCGTGAAAGGATTCGAAGAGGACATAGTGGCCGGGGCTGAGAGAGGGTTGGCGGGATAATACATGCCATTTTGTGCGGCTGAAAGGGAAAGTGAAGGCGAATGGTGCAGAGGACCGGGCGAATGTGAGTGAGAATGCTGGGAAGGGTGGGAAAGTGAGTGGTGTTGGCGGTAAAAGGGAACGGACTGGAGGGACATGGGGTGATATAGCTGTAAGGAATCAGCGGTGGCAGGGAGAGAGGCACGGCGGGCACCCATAGATGGCGGGAAGGGGGCGGTCGTTGTCGGACCCGATGAAGGTCGTGCTGGCGCCAGAATGCGACGACGAGCATTGATCATCCAGTTGGATACCTGGCTCATCGACAAGCCCGTTGCATGGCAGAGCTGTTTCTTCTCCTCTTCGCTCGGATATGGATGGTCCGAGTGACGATGAAGCCAGGCTTTGAGGAAATCAGTCGTCTCTTTTGGCAACTTGCCGCGTTTTCGTTGGGGCCGCTCAACAGGTGGAGCACCATCTGGACCGACTGATGGGTACGGCGAGTCAGCAGGAGGCAATGTTGGGAGGGTAGGGGGGAGGGAATGGGAGGGATACGAGCGCTGCTGGCCAGAGATACGCAGCATTGGCGTCGGGTAAGACTGGTGACGCATAGAGTCGTCGTACTTGAGCTGGGTTGTCGTCGCGGTGCCGGGTGTAGACGATGGACGAACGATGCCAGGCGAGTTGCTATTCCAGTCACTCTCTGGGGAGAACGGGGAGATACCACTGCCACCATAGCCACTGTCTGCAGCATATGTCGTCGCGGTCTCTTCGTTCGTCGGCGGGAAGGTATAGCTAGCGAGGTTGCTGGACGTGTACGACGGCCGTGGATAAGGCGCGTGCCGCCTGCTCTCTGAGTGGAGGGTCGGGAGCGACGAGCGACGAAGCTCACGGGTGTCGTCGTTGAAGCCAGTGAAGATGCTGGGGAGCTGGACGCGGTCATCGTCGATGTTGGGCTTCTGGTCGTCGGCAGGGAGGTCAGCCATGGAGCTGGAGAGTGGATAAGCAACGAAGAGGAGGACGAGGAGGACGAGGAAGACAACGATGAGGAGGAGGACTCACCGATAGTCGATATGGACAGGGTCTTGAAGAGGCAGCATCCGACGTCGTACTTGTTATACGACGATCAATCCGAACAGCAAACAAAACGAGCGTCAGGCCAGCGTTCATCTCAAAAGACTCCCTCCTGTCCCAATTAATACTCCAATTCCGCAGCCAAATCCAGTTAAATTAAAAATCATTTCAGGAACCCCGAACCGAATCGGGCCAATTTCATAATACTTCTAAAACAGGCCCCCTCCAAACAACCGAACCAGATCGTTCCCAGATCCATCGTAGATCTCAAACCGGTTTGCCCAGCGACCGAAGCACTCCCGACGCCTTCGCCCGCTCCTTCCCCGTCACAGCCACCCCGTCCACCACCCGTACCCCCACACATCCCGCCATCACCAGCCCACGGTATGCAAGTCGCCCGACGTATACCGGATCAGGTAGCCCCCGTCGGAATCCCCTGTCCAGCTCCGCCCATCCCTCCGCTGTTCTCTTCAGCACTGGTGCATACCATCCCAATGTGCACGGGTTCATCCGGCAGTCAACCTCCTCCAGCTCCTCCATCCCTCGCAGCGTGCGTACGATTCCTTGTGTTGTCTCCAGTCGGCACCCAACAACTGACAGTCGCTTCACGCGTCGCAACCCACGTAATGGTTCGATGCTCTTCAGCTGGTTGTAGTTCAGGTTGATGATTCGCACATTGGGCACCATTTGTGCGAACATCGTCGGCAGCTCCCGTATTGCGCAGCCAGCAACTTCAAGATAATACAAGTTGTAACATGCCTCGTCGGCAAACAACGACTTGGGCACCTTGTTTCCGCTGACGTACAGCCGCTTCACGTCCCGGACATCCCGCGTCGCCAACACATACGTCGCGTTTTGATTCCGAGCGCTCAGCTTCTCCAGGCGACAAAGTCGATCGAGTCCTCCTACTGTCTTCAAACAGTTGCCATCGAGATACAACGTTCGCAGTGCAACTAGTCCCCCGACCTCTGCCTTCTTTATCCGGTTCCCGCTCGCACGAAGAATCCTCAATTTAGCAAGTCTCCCGATATCAAGTTCTGCAAGTTGGTTGTCCTCGACGTGCAGCACCACCAGCTGAGAGAGTCTCTCAACTCGTTTCAGCCCCTCGATCCGGTTCCCGCTGAGATTCATCACTTCTACCTTGGCCCAGTGTCCGATATCCACAACACCACGAAGACAGTTACCTGCCAGGCTCAGTTTAATAAGCTGTAGCGCTTCCAGTCCCTCCAGCGAAGTTATCCGGTTACCATCTGCTTTGAGTTCTCGTAGGTTCCGTAGACACGAAAGTTCTAAAACTAACATCAGAAAAATTTCCTTAAAACATCGTTGTGTAAAAGAACCTTACGTCTGAGAGAATCAAGCTCATTCCCACACACATCCAAACTCTCCAGTGCCCCCAGATGTCCAAAACTGGTCAAACTCGTTAACCGGTTGTCCGCAACTCCCAGCGTCCGTATTCCCTTTGGCACACCGCTCAAGTACGTCAGCGCATTACTGTTCAGAGAGCAGACGGAGAGACTGGGCATCAGTTCGCCTAAACGAGCAACACTCTCCAGTCCCCGTCCTTTGAGATCAACACACCGAATGGTCTCCCAATGGGGATGCCACGGCTCAACATCCGTCAATATCTGCACCAGCCGGTCATGAGCAACTCCAAACGAGCACTCGGTGAGGAAGCTTGCGTTAACGGAGGTGGCGGGTTTGAAGGTAGCCGGGGCTCTGAAACTTAACGTTCCCTCACCCTTGGTTCTCACCCACGAAGTCGAACGGGGACTCTGGAGTGCAGCTTCCATCAGATCCGCGATTCTCTTGGTCCGAGTGCTCATGCCCGGACTCGACTGGAAGCTTGACCCGAGCATATCAGACCCTGAAACAGTGCTCTCACTACGACTGACATTTCGGCCCAACCCCCGTATCTGACCGTCCCGTTTTCCGTCTGAAAAACTGACGCTTCGTGGATGCACAGTAGCCTTGGTGACTGGTGTACTCAATGGTGTGTTGTAGTTATAGTTCTTGAGTGCAGGCCTGACGACTGGTCGTCCCGATGTGTCGGGATCCGGAGAAGACGGAGGGTCGTCCTCGACAACGACGGGGACAAGAGGAGGGTCTTCGTCTGCCGAATCTGTAGAAATGTCTCCCGTCATCACAACCACGACCTCGTCAGTCTCGAAACTCGTCAGTCCTATCTCTTCTTCATCGTCTTCCTCTTCTGTGACGCGACTGAGCTCGATGTCCGTCCTTCTGTCCTCTCCGTGCTCCTCCTCGTCGCCATCCCTCAAGCTCTCAATGTCACCAAACACGTCTGCACTACTACTTTGGTCATCGCCCTGCTGATCCTGCCTGACCCATCGCATTTGTCTGGGGTCATAGACCATATCACCCATCCGCGCCGGCATCGCAACTTCCGCAGGCCGGATCGTCAGTAGCTGCTTCTTATCGCTCGGTCCCGCATGCTTAACGTAGCTCCCAGCCGTAAGGGTCGAGCCGGTTGTTGTCGATGAGGATACTAGCCGGTTGAGGTCATCGGACCAAAGCGAGGGGTAAGGTGGTTGCGAGACTTGAAGACGCGCTACTCCCGCTGCCACAACATCCACCGCAGCTTCTCCTCTCTCCTTCGGATTCGGTTCGTAGCTTGCACTTGTCGACCCTGGGGCAGGTGGTTCAGATAGCGTACGCTCATCATGATAATAGCTCGCCTCTACGTCTGAGCTACTCGAAAAGACGCGTTTCCCGGAAGCTTTGTTGCTTACCGGTGGGCTTTGCACGTTGTCGCGTATCGCAGCCATAAGGTTGGCAGCATCTTGACGATACTTGGAGGAAGAGTAGCCGGGACGGATGGCAGGGGCTGGTGGGGAGCTGTTGCTTTTGCCTATGTGTAATGTAAAGAAAGAAAAGAGAGGAATGAATGAACACACACTTGTTACAGTTGAGACGGTGGAGAAATCTTTAGCACTCCTGATCTGCTGCATGAGCTCTCGTGACTCGCCTAGATATTGCTTTCCATATATGCGTGGTCGTGATATCCGGATGTCCTCCTCAGAGTAGTCGCTCCGTGGGGAGAGCTTGACGCGTTTGGCCGACCTGAGACGAAAAAAGTCGTCTGCATCTTCCGAGTGCGACGGCGTGGGTTCAGACGAAGGAAATGATGGTGAAGGGGCAATAGAGTCGACAAGTGCCGATAGATGTTCGCGAGTATAAGTGTCGTATTGGAAGTGGAATAGTTTGAGGGCGCCCGGTGTACGTGTAGCAATGGGCTGGGGGGGTAGATTTGGTGTTGATTGAAAAGCTGGTGGTGGGATAGGTACGGTGAATGTAAACTTGGCATTGTTAGGTAGGGTGGGTGGCACCAAGCTCGTCGTGGGATGGGGCGGCGGCGAGGGCGGATCAAACATGCGCTCCAGAGGCAGCGGCGAGAAGAAATCCTTGACTCGTGTCTTGCCCGGTGTACGGGCAGGAGGGAGGGCGGAGTGCACGAGAAAAGTGCCGGCAGAGTAGTTGTTGTCCTTGTCAGTGGCGGGAGTAGATATGACGGTGGCAAGCGGGGCGGTAAGCGAGATCGAGCGGGTACAGTCATCGTCGTCGTCGGGCCACTCGTCAGCAAGCTCTGACGTCTGCCAGGCCGGCGTGGCCATATTCGTCTCGAGGTGGTCGACGTTCGTGGTCAACAAACGATATTGGTTGCACGTGATCGCGATTTGGCTCTGTATGCCTGCGGTCTTCCGACCTCGCCTTTTTAAGCTAGTTCGACGACGGCGAAACTCCCGCCACTTCAGCGTTCCTAGAGGCGGGGTGATTAAATTTCCCGAATTTCCGATAATTTCAATTCTCTACTCCTTTCTTTCTTCGGATTCTACGTCTGTCTAGATTCTCGAGTCTATCGCTGTTGCGCACTACACTTGTGTACTCGTTAGCTTAGAGCCTTGGCTGGCTGCCTATCTGTCTCGTTGGCCGCCAGTTTGTTCTTCCCTGCTGAAACATCGCGGAGCTCCTCCTGTGTCTTCGATTTCCCTCCAAATTCATTTTTGATCGATCACAATTGCTTAGTATATATCGAAGAAAAGGATACCGGGTTAGTCTCAATGAGCGCTGGTGCTAACTGTATTTGTGCGACCATAAACCTTGATACCACTCTCCAATTGCTATTCCGTATTGATACTCCTCTATTTTTTGCCTCGTACTTCTTCATCATGATTCTCTCCGTGTTTCTATTCATCATGCCGACGTACAGCATTCCTACACGGCAATAAATTTTGGTTTCAGTAGCACATCGGCCGCTGCAATTACCGGATCTTCCGAGATGCATGTCATCCCAGTTTCTGGTAAGTATCTACCCTCGAGCCAGTCATTGTCCTATGATAAAGCCACACACGTTATAGGGACGATCTCAGTTCACCTCCGCCGGCTCAACTGTTTTGCGGACCTCCTTGTTGCTCAGACCTCGGATTTACCTCCTCCGATGCTATAGTATGATTTATCGGGCCCGTCCCGTAACACTCTCTGGCTTTGAACTTGATTCTAATTTCAGTTCTTTGGTCCACCATTTGCTCTCTGTGTTCATCCTGTGTTTTACAGGAACGTACACAGACTCTGTAGACAGTAACTACAGCCGGTATAGCTCAACTCATTACTGCGTTGATTCTATTTACTTTTCCGCCAGTAGCCTCGATTAGGTGCCGACACTGCCCGAGGTTTCAAAACGACTTGTTTATGGAAGCCGACTCAGTTTGCCTCTAAGCTCGATTTACAGTTCGTCTTCGTGTCTGACTGATGATAAGCGATCCTCACTCACTTCGTTGACAATACTACCGTAATGCATAGGCGTCGACCTCTGCTCTAGCGGTGTCGTTACTAGCCATCCCCTTCTTCTTGACATGTATTGTGATCCTGATGATCGTATATATGTTTATCAGGTCTCTTGATGTTTCAGAAACAGAGAAAGCAGCGTTCGAATGGCACCCCGTTTTTCGGTCTTTGCTGCGAACCTAGGGCCGAGGCTGTACGGAGACTTTCACTTACCTTGCTTACTCTCGCTCGCTCCAGTTTGTCCTGATGTATACACTGAAGGGTGTCTATATGTGCCTTTGGATTTTGACTTGATGGTGATCCTTATGGCTCTGCAGGGCGATCTGTCTCTATGAGTATGAGGGCTCGGTACATGTCCTCAAAACGTGAGTCAAAGTAAGCGCACAGCCCATTCACTAGTGTTGCGACCAGGTCAAACGCCATCCCATTTCAGAATCTCGTCTTAGAGCTTCGCGCTGCTTACTAGGTATCCGGTCCCTTTCCATCCATATGATTTGATGGTTCATCATGATACTTTTGACATTTCTGGTCGTATATAGCCTCCGAACGTCAGACTTTACTCTTACCTACCACAATAGCTCTTTCTCATGTGCCCTCTGGCATATATTGTGATAGCTGCGGGTCATTGGACGTATCAGCATCTTTTCCACCGGGTACCAAGCATGTCCGGATATCGCACCACAGTTGTGATGTTGATCGTCGTCATCAAAACTCATAGGTGAATATCCTTCCATGATCTACATGTGCCTTTTGACGTATATTGTGATGACGGTGATTGTAACAATTTGTTCTCTCAGGTTATCACTCTTTTCTATGTTTCAGAGCAACCACAGATCTTCATTTGAGTTCTCTTTGCTCGGACTCTAACACAAGCAAATGTTAACGACATGTTATTCGCCAATCTGATGAAATAAGGGCTTACTGACTACACAGACACGGTTAATCGACGACGATTCACTCACTCGCCTACAGTTATCCAAGGTGTACAGACATGAGTTTGGCTCTTGACCCAGACCTACTTTAATTCTGTCAGAAATCCTTCCCCGAGTTACTGATCACACATCTCACACTCTGTCCCTTTTCCAGTCACCATCTTACGTTCGAGAACACGGCGGTGCAACCCTCAAGCGTTCCACGTGATCGCGCGACCGACGCCCTTACCACTTTGGGAAAGGGCGCAGTTGACATTCATAGCCCGACTATATTAATGACAGATGTGAACTGTCAATGAGCATCGTTCGAGCTGGTTCGTTCCCCACGATCGCTGGGTGTGCCTGTGAAAATCCCATTATACCTCAAACTCGTCCCTCCGACCCTCCGCCCCTGCGACGAGTTTTAGGCAGGCAGGCTATTTTGGACTCTGGAGGGCAGATGAAATGGCGGATGTCCTCTGGATGTCGTCTCTGAGACAGGCACATGTGTTTATGATATTATTTCCTTGAATCCTAAATATCTACCTTCGAACTGTGAGGACGGTCCATCGAGGAATGGGTGTGAAACATCCATACGGTATGCACCACTCAAAATCTCCTTAATTAAATCTCACATTAGCGTTTCCCGAATCAGATAGAATCCGCTTCTGTAGCTCTGAGTCTACTTAGTACTTATCAACGCTCACTCCCCGATATCATGGCCGAAACCCAAGCTTGGCATAGATCTCCAGCCACTTACAGCCACATGCGCAATGTTCCCGCGTAAAATGCTGATTTACAACTCCGGAGAGGCGATTAATCACTACGGCGTTCGAATTTCCATCTGAATTTCGTCATTTATCCATGATCTTTGTCAAATATTATTTGGGCCGAGGCGGTAGGGTTGGGGTGGGTGGTAAGTATCTCTATGCACCCAGGCTTCTTTACTATGGGCTAAGTTGACTTTGACGTGTATGATTGCTAACGATTATGTTCATCACCTTGGGTCAGGGAGTCTTGAACGATCCCGTCAAACCGGTGTTTACTTATTCGATGGTATGTGGATAGTGAGTTTCAACTTCTTCATATATTTATAGTAGTCTAACCTGTCGATCCTGTCAGAAATAACTTAGCACAAACTATAATGCCATACAGCGAGAAAAGTCCGCATTGACAGGCATTGCCTGACCTCCCTTCGGTGAGGACCGATGTAAACATTGACTGCGGAGGGGGGGCAGGCAACCGGGATATAACGTCCCATAGATACGGTAATATAATATCAACGACGCTCCAGACCTGTGGGAGCGATTTCGAATGTATGAATCTCCAAAGCATCAACTTTGACTTTATTCGACCAGGGTTGTTTTCGTTACGACTCTCCATAAAAGTGGATCTGGTCTGGGCTTCCCGAACTCCAGTACCGACCTCGAGGAAAGCTGTCAACCGCAACCGCGGGGTGATGTCATTTGTTTTTTGATCTGGCCATTATGAAGACCTATGCCTATCCTGTGCCCGGCCTCGGACGACCTGGCTCGTTAAGGGAAATCTTCCCATCTTGTAGCGCTTTGTACTCTGGCCTTGTCTAGTGTCAAAGGCAAACCTGAAGATCGCCACGCCAGCATTCACCAGCGAGATGTCCCAACTTCGCTCGGCACAGTTCAGTTTACTGTGGGACAAGGCGTTGCATTGAAAACTTTACGAGGGGTCGCGACATACATATATCAATGTCGTACATCTATGGTTGGTAGGCAACGGTCCCGACTAGTACAGTTCGCTTTCTGACATACTATATTGTTATCATGCATATGGTCTATCGAGCATATTGTGTTTCTCTGATACTGTCAACAGTGGCCCGTCCTTCTCAGCCACCCATTTAAATTGTCTTCCTCTTTCAGCGAGCCACGGCGGAATGAAAGGAACAGGAACCACAACCATACACGTACCGATCCCGAAGTCCGCATTTCATGGGTGGGTGTAACACATACCTACTGCGCACAAACGACCCTCCCTCGTTCTGCTCTCCCATGGGCCCGAACATCTAAACCCTACAAAGTCGAACCGCGATTGCCACCGGACCGTTCAACGCTGAACTCGTCTTCCCCTGCGTTTCCACAGTACCTGATGATCCGTACGCCTGCGATCTTCTAATCTTTTCTTGGTCAGGTGATAAAATAAATCTCCGCTCAGATTTAGACCCATCACCACATGTTGGGGAGTTGGTCGGTGCAGGGTGGATTCAAAAGAGCTTCTACATAGATTCATGATTTCACAATCATTTCCCAGTCTGCTTCCGCAAGATTTCGTCAAATATCTCGTCCCGGACCCGATAGTTCGCAACATACCCGCTCGACGAAGCAACAGTCCTTGGTGGGGAAATCAATCTTTTCTCAGCGTAGGTGATTAATGAAAGAATCTCTCCGACACGATCAAGGTTCCTCACGGTTAATCCCCTCATGTTTGCAAAGGGGTGCAAAACAGAGGAGTGGGATACGTGTGAATTCGAAGGTCCGATGTGCACCGGAAAGCTCCCAGGAGAGAAAGTTAGTTCGAGTTTCTTCTTCTATAGTCGCTTTATCTACTCAGCTTCCTGCGACCATCGTCTCGACGCTTTACTAGATTTGCGTCATGGGAAATGATAGCAATCTGCGTCACCAAGCCAGGGTCTTCTGATGTATTCCGTCTCTCGGTGTGCCTAGATTCTGAAGTTGCGTCCGGTAACGGCGAGTAACGCTTTCGTGGGTTCCGGTTGGAATGCCGAACCACAGCTCGTTTGGAACGTTTCCGTCGAAGCACGGAGTTGTTAGTGAGAAGATAGACACATAGGCGCAGTACTGCATATTGGGTCGTTCGATTAATTACTACAATATGTCGCAAGCATGCTTCACCTAGTGCTCCAGGAAACCTACCTTTTCAAGCTAGCATTCGCATCATTGGAGCTGTCAGCCTCGCAGATATCATGCTGCATCCCCGCACGTAAATAATAGATTCCAAGACCTCCGATGAGATGGACTGGCTCATTCCGGGTAGTCCTTGTGTAAATCCCACTCTAGCCGGCGGGGAGGAACGAGGAACGAGGGGAAATGAGAAGAAAAAGAACCGTAATTGCTTGCGTATGATCCGCCGCTGCGCAGTGATTGGGTTTTCACCAAACCCATGGACCAATGAGGGGGGGTCGGCCGTTATAAGTGAGTGCGACAAAGAGTGTCGGTGCCTGGGATCAGGATCAGGGCATGATAAGGACGATCCATAGAGAGCGCTTTACTTGTGCGCGTTGAGCCTAGATCCAGCTGCCGGACTAACGGTTTACCACAAGAAGTTTGCGATCCATAAGGACAGGTCCAAGCACTCGTGGAGTTAAAAGTTATGTGGGATTGCTTTGTTAACGGAAAAAGGGAAAGGATCAAGTAGGTACAACTTTGTCCTTCGATGCAGTTGAATTATTATTACGCTATAATGGTAGAGTGTCACAAGATATGTGCGTACGTGAAGCTTGATGTGTTTGCGGAATTGTCCATGCTATCTATTGAAAGAAAACTTGCGAGATGAGATATGCTGGTGGCTGATGGTTGATGCTGTTGATGAAAAACAAATAAGCAATGCTAGAAGTTGGTTTGAGGCGATGCGGTGTACTGGTATGCGCGCTGAATAGTAAATCACCATCAGTTCCTGGAGCCTCGAACAGAATGATAAATTAAATTTTACCCACAGGCATGTTTGTTTGAGAAAATGGATCGAATGAGGTTCAAGATCAGTGCCGCAGTGGGGCTCTTAGGTTGGAGGAGGTTGGCCTCAGGAGCAAAGGTCTTCGCATATTGGTGATGCGGCGGATCAGAAATTTATCAAAGTCGAGGGCGCCCGGAGAAGATGAATGAAGAGCATCTGGATTATCCAGGATAGCGTCGCGAGGTCCCGGGATGCACCCTGACGAAGACAATCTCGGGGGGGGTGAGAGACGTTCAAGTCTCCTACGAGAAGAGAGCTCAGAGACTGGGCTCGGGAACACGGGAGAGAACCCTGTAATTTTGTATGTTGCGCTCGCTTTTACCACGGGAGATGGTTGGTTCTCGCTGTCACCCGGAATGAACGTAGGAGGCTTGGGCCACGAGTCCGGTTTAGACGTAGTTTCGGAAGTAAACTTGGAAGTACGGGTGGAGGTAGATCCAGAAGGAGTGGGTGACGGGGAAGGATGCATTGATTTGAAACGATGCGGAGAAAACACGGGAAAGTGGTATAGGTATGGTTCTGGATCCTGGTGGTTGTGCACAGAGGAAGGTCTGAGCATGTAGTTTGCAGATGGAGAAAGATTAGAGATAAGTGGAGACATTTCAAAAAGCAGCTCTGGAGATATTTGATCCTGAATGGGAGACAAATGCGGAGACAAAGCCTGTTTTTGTCGAGATGGAATCTCAATGGGTGTCGTAGGCCGACGAGAGAAGGGAAGGGTCTCTTCGGTGAGCTGGCGTGTAGAAAGATCCATGGGTATGATCTGGGAAGAATATACGACCGGAGTGATTGTATCCCTGCACAACGGCGTAATGAGCTGATATGACTCTACTGAGATCTGGACGGTCAAATTAACAAAAATTTTAGCCGCCAATGTGATAAGAGCTCACGTTGTGGCGGCAATTAAGATGCAAGTGGAGCTAACTTTGAGTGAAGGTAGTTTGTCTCGCTTTTTGTGTATTGATTAAGGAGTTGTATGCGGACACGGTGAAGCGAGGAAGGAATTTGACAGGGCTTGAGGCCAGCGTTCTAGGCTTGAACTGAATATAAAGAAGAAAGAAGAAGAATGAGATGAGCATCGACCACCAGGGAATCTAAGGGTGGTACTGACCGCAAACTGGCCGGGAACTCTAGCTTACGGTTGGGTTCCCTGACTTGACGAACGACTGCTGTGGCGTGCGAACCACGATACAGGACTAGCAACGCGCCAAGTAAAAGGCTGAACGACCGCAACTGCAACTGCAACGTGTCAGATACGCGAGAAAAGAAGGTGGAAGAACGGAGGAAGGACGAAAAAGCAAACAAAAAGGCTCACGGCAGAAGGAAATAAAAATACTTTTCCGTTCTGGGCGAGCTGCCACGTGCCACGACTCGCCCGCCTCGGGCTGGTGGTCCTAACAAGAAACAAGAAACAAGAAACAAGCGTGTGCCATTGTTCTCGATGGGAAAAGGAATGATATTGGAACGATGAATGATGGAACACAGGAGAAGGAATTGGAAACTGGGATTTCCCGGGCCAGCCTATGACGTCACTAGCGCAGCATACATACATGCACATCGGTGACGCCCTTCCCTCTTCTCTGAATCGTACCACCACCACCATGTCCCCCACCCACACCGTTCACGTACGTCGTTCTTGTCGTCCTTGTCCTTGTCCTCGTCGTCCTCTCTCATCAATTTTCTGTCGCAGGTATCAGGTATCGCCTCAACAACCACCGAGGCGAGCCTTCACGATTTCTTTACGTATGTCACATCATCGATCGTCTATCTGTGTAGTACTAAATTATGTTCGTGTCTAGCTTCTGTGGAACGTGAGACCATTCCAATTCCATTTCGCCGTCCAGCCGCCTTACCCGCAGTCGTCCAGAATCAACTCCATCGATTTCAGGGATCCAGACAAGACTGCTGTTATCCAGTTTGAGAAGCCCTCGGCTGCAAAGACCGCTCTTATGGTGCGCCGCTCGCCAAATAGAACAAGGTTCCCCGCTCAGTCTTTATCTTTCAGCTTAATGGCGGTGCTTTGGATGGCGCCACTCTTTCCGTCACTACTGATGCCCTGCCGTCTGATGAAGAGGATGAACATAAAGAAGGCACTCCTCTCCAACAATCCGACAAACCTCGAGCTGGGAGTACGTTATTATTTCCCGCGTTTTCTTATCGCTCATCAGTTGTCGTCAGTTGCGGCGGAATATCTCGCAAAGGGTTACACCCTTTCAGACCAGATTCTGCAGCGTGCGATTGAGATCGATAGTAAGTGTGGTTCCTTTAATGTCGCATCTGTGTTGTTGACCTTGCATACAGACAAGCAAGGAATTTCGAAACGCTTCCTAGAATACTTCCAATCGTTTGATTCCAAACTCGGCGAGCGCACTCTCGGTCCAGACAAGACCATCTCCGGCAAAGTCCATGAGACCGTCACTGCCGCTGCTCAGCAGGCTAAGACTGTCGACGCCCAGAAAGGTTACTCCAAGATTGCAGGAGAGGTAATTCAAACAATTTGATATCCTCTGCGCCTTCCTGATATGCGCCATTATAGTATTACGAGAAGGCTCTGGCGTCGCCGCTTGGCGTTAAAGTCAAAGAGTTTTATACGACAACCTCGAAGCAAGTTCACGATATTCACGAGGAGGCACGTCGTATCGCTGTTCAACATAAAGCTTCCCCCGCTCCTGTTGGTAGCCCAGAACCCTCCCCAGCGCCGGCTTCTGCTTCTGCTTGATTCGATTTAGGGTCAAGACGCTTTACGATAACAAGACGTTGTAATAGTATCAATGATAGTAGTGTACAATATTGTTAAGTGTAAATAAATAGATACACGTCGCAATTCTTGTCCGAATATTTCGGCCGCCACAGGATTCACTCGATAAGACCATGTCGGCCGAATCACGGAGGGGAGAAGAATAACAGGATAAAAGCTAGTAAATTCCATGCTATCTAGGACATGGCCAACGATACTGACAAGACCGGATGGTCTGCAAATCTGTACAACAAGAACGCTCCCTTCGTATATTCCAATGCGTTCACAGCGCCTGTCCTCCAGATGCTTTCACCCCAAGCGGGAGAGAAGATAATCGATTTTGGGTGTGGTAGTGGAGAGGTGACGCTTGAATTAGAAAAGATCGTCAAGGGGAAGGAAGGTGGACGCGTCGTCGGCGTAGATTTCAGTGACAGTATGGTGAGGGCTTCTCCGTTTGCTAGAATCTGCGCGGTTGCTGACCGTATAATGATATAAAGATCACCAAGGCTAGAGCACGAGGACTAGAACACGCGTATGTCGCCGATATCCAGGACTTGCCTAACCTACCTATCGGTGTGGACATCAAGTTTGACGCGGTGTTCACGAACGCGGCATTGCATTGGTGCAAACGCAATCCGAGGGGCGTCCTGCAGAGTGCCAAGAGGGTACTGAAGCCTGGTGGGAGGATCGCTGGCGAGATGGGCGGCTTCATGAATTGCATTGGTGAGCTGTGAGTTTCTGTGACTTGGCCAGGGCTGATGCTGCAACAGGCATCAGAAGTGCGCTGCACAAGGCTCTGCAGACCAGAGGGTACGATGTAGGTTCCATGGATCCGTGGTATTTTCCGTCAGTAGAAGACTACACAGAGGTCCGTTGTGTGTTGCAGCTATCTCTTGAAGAATGTCGATGATGCTTGCCAGGTTCTCAAGGCCGAGTCGTTTGAGCCCATCGAGATTACTTTGACACCGCGGGTGACAGCGCTCCCGGCAGGCGTGTTTGGCTGGCTGGCCGTGTTCGTTCGACCCATGATATTGAAGGATTTCAGTGACGAAGAGGCGACGAAGATCATGAGGGAGATCGAGGAGACATGTAGGATTGACTGCCAGGACAGACAAGGACGCTGGCAAATGTTGTATATGAGGTTGAGGTTCAGTGCTGTCTGGAAGCAGTAAAATAAATTTGTCTTGCTTCCTGCGACCATGTCGTTACCAAACTTCATCTGCGCCGTCGCTGGCCATGGCGTTCTCCATATCTTCAGCACCACTAAATGTTGCTTGGTTTCGTTTTCCTACCTCTGAGATGTTTGGGTTCACGAAAGCGCAGATACAAACGCTGGACACGGCAGTTAATCCCAATGGATCTTCCCGTGGCCTGGATGTCTTGAAGGACCTCAAGTTTCTGGAAATTGTACCGCAAGGTACTTGGCAAGCCTAGACAGTACAAATTATTTTTGTGTTTGTTGTATGTAATATTTGTAAAAACAACTTCCACCTATGCTTCAAATTTCTTTCTTCTTCCTCTTCACGGTCGTGGCTGCGAATACCAAAATTCTCAATTTCTATGCCTCGGCAGGCCAACGAGCAGTATGGAACGAATGGTGAGAGCGAGCATCCAGTTCAAGCAAGGTATTTAACGTCTGCCCAAGCCAACGTTGAGTGCCAACGGAAGCCAAAGGCAATGGGAAATTCTACCGGCACCTGTGGGAATGCCTCTGTCGGACGATACCTCTCTACTCTGGATCAACCTAGACCTGTCGAGAAGGGAACGGACAGCCTATACCTTGCGTGTCTCGTGGGCGGCATACGTTCGTGGTATCACCATCACTACCAAGTACTCATTGTGACTTGCATGCAGCACCCGACCGACGTTTTCATTGACGTCCTCGATGGGCCAGCTCGAGCACATATTCGCTTCGTCGATGCCGGCGTCCTTACTCCAGGGCGAACAAAGCAGCCTCATCCCGTGCCATTCAGTATCGTCTTGGAGCGCCTGTACTTTGGTTTCCTCCCGGCTTCTGTTGTACCTACTCTTGTTTTCATGGCGGTCGTTGTCCTGATTGCAGGTTTTGCTCTCTCTAGGATCAATGCATATCTGGAGAAAATATCGGTCGAAGCTAGGAGGGAGAGACGTTTGAAATCATTTGGCGTAACGACTCGTTGATATTGCCAGGAACCGAGCGCACCAAGAAGTTTGTTCAAACGTATTTTATGCGTCAAATATATTCGTCACTCACTATTTATGGCTGCGCTTTCAAAAATCGTTCCTACTTTCCGGTCTCGGCCTGCATTACTCTTCTTCTTGGTAAGACGTGATTCCGTGCTCTCCAGTGCAAACTATAATAGATTGCGCACCTGCCTATCTTACAGTGACAAAAACGTCGACTCGCGAAATTCGACTTCATGATGGCGCGATATCGTTCACACACCCCGAAAACACTTATTATCGGCATCGCTTCCTAATCTCTTTCGTATAACCATGGTCTTCTCAAAACTACATTGCCTATCACTGTTTCTATCGAGTGCTTGGGCGCAGCAGGTCGCCTTCCAAAGGCTCGAATTCCACCACCAAAGTCACGACACTTCAGAGTGGACCCAATTCAACCATACGATCAAGCATGTCGCGGTTATCGGGGCAGGTCAGGACCATCTTGTGGTCGATATCTGGCATGTTTGCTGACTTGATCATGATCTAAGGTCCTGCGGGGCTCCAAGCAGCCGCTGCTCTGGTAGAACACAACTTTACAGTACGCCTCTTTGACCGCGCTCCTGGTCCGGGTGGAAACTGGTTCTATTCTGAAGAGATTCCTGTTCGGGAGTCTTACCCGTAAGCTGAGCCCAATACCTTGCTGAAAAATGCTCATATCGCGCGCAGAGACGAACCTTTGGGAAAGCAAAAGTGGGTTCCTGACCATCTTCCCGTAACCCAGTACTACCAAGAAGGTAACGATGGTGTGAGTCTGGACGAGAGGTGGAGAGAGCATTGGCTCCCGCGTCCGATTTGGGACTCGCTATCCACGAACTCACCCGCAGTCATTACTGAACTTCCCGATGTGCCATATTTGCCTGACCACGTATGTTCATCACTACTTTCTGATATACCATGCCTTAGTAATACTTGTTTAGCCTTGGGTGATCCCTGCTCATACAATCCAGACGCATGTTCGCGCCTATGCCTCCCTTCACAAGCTCAATGTGAACGACAACCCGGCAGTAACGGCTTACTCAACACGCGTCGAGAAGCTTGCGAAGAAACCTAACAGTTCAGCGTGGACGCTTACTCTGAAGCATCTCAAAAAGCTTGAAGAATCGCACCGGATTAAAGCTACTTGGTGGACCGAGGAATTCGATGCTGTTGTTGTTGCCGCAGGACCCTATGATCAACCTCATGTACCCAACATTGAAGGTCTAATTGAGTGGAGCAAAGTAAGGGCCGTCGACGATCCGTCCAGGTTTAGTGTCTATCATTCGAGGGTCTATCGTACCCCGCAGCGGTACACTGGAAAGGTATGTTCGTGATTACAGAAGATATCAAGTGGCTAACGAACGTCTCCTGAGCAGAACGTACTGGTCGTTGGTGTTGGCACCTCTGGCTCGGAAATCGCTCGTGATATCATACCTTATGCTAAGAAGGTTTATGCTAGCTCGAAGGTTTGCATCTTGGTTTTGTCATACTCTGCAAAGTCGTTGATCCTTGAGATAGAAATACGTCTGGGACAACCTCCACCCCTTCCAGCGCCGTTCCTTTCGCAGATTCCCTCCCGAGACTGAATTTATTCCCGAGATTGCCTCTTTTAGTGCGCTGCCCTCGTTTGATAACGGCATAAAGGCAGGAAAGATAACTCTCGTGAATGGTAGTGTTTTGGAAGGTATCGATGAGGTATACGACTCAATTTCTCTCGAACACCTTTCAGAGTGCTGAAGTGATTGTCAGATTATCCTCGCGACAGGATACAAGAGGTCAAACTCATTCCTTTCAGCAATCCTTAATGGGTAGGTGCTGTCCAGAGTCTTGTCTAATCCTCAGCTGATAGATTCTTATGCAGCACTCTCGGCAACAAATTCCAAGCCCCATCTAGTCCTCCGTCCGATGTATTCAATGGAAATCCTCTGCGGAACGTTCACTGGACTGGGCATTACATCCCTGACCCGACGCTTGCATTCACCAATGGTATGTATTCTAAGTTCGTATATACATATTACTTATTTTCGGTTTTAAGTACGTCCATGGACCATCGGTCAATATCAGTCGTATGCGCTCGCCAAAGTATGGGAGGGAACTGCGCGGATTCCTAACGAGGCTGAGCTGTGGAGGCAATACAATGGTACGAGATACACACATTTCCGCGGGCTCTTTGGAACTGGTCCCTCGGAAGGTCAGTCTTGACTCGTCATGCTGGACTCAAATTTGACTTTGACTTTTAGCTATCGTTCGCCAATATGTGGCGTGGCTCAACAACGAGTCTCTCGAACATGGTGGTAGACTCGTCTCTCCTTGGCCTGTACAGTACGTTTTGTGCCTCCCCCTCGTTTCCTTCGAGTTGTGTATTGATAAAGGGATATCAGGAACTGGGAGGTGTTTTCTTATTATGCTAATCAGGAATGGGAAAAAGATTATATTACGAGGGAGAATTTTACGCAGTTTGAGAAGTTGCCCGCGGATGAGTGGACGAAGGCTGATGTATGGGATGCTTCCGTTCTGGAGGACGAGTTCTGGTAGATTTGAGGCATGATCATTGATATGCGGTGATTTGCAAATGTACCTTGTCTTCTTAGGGCCGCATGCAATAACAAATGGATGTACTATTTTGTTATATGCCCACTGAGGCCGAAAGCTGGGGTATGCGTATACACAGGTACCAGTTCCATCGAATAAGTGTTGAATGAAGATTTGAGATGAACGGATGCGAGTGGGTCAGTAAGGTCCTGTGACGGTTGACCCAATTCGCGTTCGTGTCGGGCTAACAAAGGATAGAGAGATGAGCGAGGACCACGGATGAGAAAAAAATATTAGCGCCGATCAGAAATACTACCTTGTTTCTCCGTTCTCGTTTATGAATGATTCTGAGATCACCAAGGTACTGAAGTTATTCTTTGTCCTGATTCTGAATCAGTTTGAGTCGGTTCTGGAGGCAGTTGGACTGTTTCAGTTTACAAGAACGAGAGGAGAGGAGTATCATATATAAGGCACGAACACAAGTATTCATGCACATGAATGAGATCCATAATATCATAGGACAATCTGGCTGATAAAGAGAGAAGATACTAAGTCCTTGGAAGCCTGATGACTCGGAGAGAACAAGTCCCTGTGTCTACTTCAATCGCTATCCTCGTTCTCACTGCCATCAAAACCATCACGGCCCCTCCTTTGAAGGGAAGAAGGTTTCAGTGGGTAGTTGCGCTCCTGAGACTAGTTTCATCGTAATGATTCATATGTGCGGCGACAGGCCCCAAAGCGGCGGTTGCAAGTCGGCGGCACTGTAGTGCGAAAGTCTCTTGCTATGCGTCAGTACATATCGATGCATAGCAGCACCTCGTATCGTTCTGAGAGGAGGTTGTGATATCAAGCTATTTCCAAGTTCCAAGGCGATGCAGATGGAGGGTCCGTTCCACCGCTGTTGGTGATCTGTTCGAGATGGCGTTACAAAGGAAGAACGGAGGGCTGGACAAGGATGTCACTGATGCTGTGCTGGACGACTCGGCTCAGGTGAGAAAGAATAAATATGCGCCATGAGAAGGGATCGAGATATGACCTTGGCCGAAACTTCTATCCTGGCCGGTGGTATCCAGTCGCAATATCAGGAGCTATCCGGGTAAAGGGAGGGATGACAGGCATGAATTTTACCTGTGAGATGAGGGAAGAAGATGTCCTTCTTTGGCTTCGGAAGAATACTCAGGCTTGGTGGAGCTCAGATGATAGCAAGCTCGTGATACCAGTTTGTTTATATCGAGATATTTTCCTCACTGACTGAGCGAGGTCCAGTCGACTGCTGTAGAAGCCTGACATTATGCTGGTGTTATAAGTATACCAAAGAATACTTTGCAGGCAGACGTTGCATCGGCTAAAAGCGGTCTGATAGAATTTCGGGAAGTCCTGGAGCCTCCTTCATAGCGACCCATTCCTGGGGGCTATTGTATCCAGGAGGCGGTGCCAAGAAAAAAGTTCGTAACTTTGATAAATATAAAGGATATTAACGGAAAAGTCGAAGTGGAGCTTCTAGTGCTTCGGCAAAACGACGACGGCAGACTTGATATAGGAGATATCTACCAGTCTCATAGATGCAGAGCAGATACAGGAGACAGATCCACAGCTGGATACAAGGAGCAGTTTAGTACAAGACACAAAATGCGCCTCAAGTTCAGGTTGTTACCCTTTGGACCACCTTTGTTTTAACCAAAAGTAGATGAGCATGCTGCGGGTAGCCAAACCACTTGATTCGGGTCTCGAGTGAAGTTCGATTTCATTATTAGATTATGCCCAGTGGTAGCGCTACCTGGATTTGCTCCCGACATGAGTGTGGTCGTTCAACCCTGATCGGGTAAGCGATCGGCTCTACTTTTGCCGGACCGATGTCCCGGACCGGTTGTCTTCCACTTTCTATTTCATTCTACGTGTCTTCATCCTCCCACGTTATCCGGTGTCGTGTCAGTTTCCCTCTAGTTATCTATTAGAAGAGGGACATGTTTTCCAAGCGCGACCCTAATCCTGTATCTTCTGATCCAGGTGTCTCACTGGCACAGGCATCGTCAAGTGTATTTGACTACACCTCTGTAACAACTTTTCTCCGTGTTTTGTCATCCAGCTAATATATGTTTTCAGATATTTTCTTTGGTATTTGGAGGTTGCTGCTCGTATGTTTTACCGCGATATTGCCAGGATACACGCTTGATGCAACTTTTCCTCTTAGGAACGTCTGGCTCTACGAAAATCTCCTCCTGCTTAATCCACGAATTGGTGAATCTTAGACTTATTCTGCCTCTCTGTTTTTGGACGTGAGCCAACGCTGCCTTTACTCCAGGTTCCGCACTCACTTTTTCACAAATGATGTTCATTTCTCTGCAATCATTTCCGTCGTTCGTCACTCGTTCACCAGATACGTGGATACCGCGACTGAAGCCACGACAAGTACCACTTAAGAACTGGGCTACCCAAGTGCTCGTTTTATCAACCGGATCGCTATTAAATAACTGGGTCTTTGCCTTCAATGTGCCTCTTACTGTGTTGATGGTCTTCCGTTCGGCTGGTAAACATGTCGAGTTCTCTGGCTTATGACGTATCTCAAGCCACCTGCAGGCCTCCCCGTTTCCATGTTATTCGGATTCTTCTTCATGAAGAAGAGATATAGCTTTGTGCAAGTGGTAGGCCTTTCTTGTCTTCAGGTTTTTTTTGTTAACTGAGTTTTTTAAGTTCTCGGTCATTATGGTCTCTTTGGGAGTTACAATCGCAACCTTTTCTCGTCCACGATCGGGCGCACCTTCACAATCAAATTCTGATGTCCAGCAGTATTCGGTAGGAATTGTGATGCTGATCTTGTCCTTGTTGTGTACCGGTTTTCTTGGGATGCTCCAAGAGAAGACCTATCAAAGATACGGCCCCTGCTGGAAAGAAGGAGTATTTTATACGGTACAGTGCTGCCATTCTTGTTTTCTTCTTTACTGATAGAAGACACAAGCATTGTCTCTCTCTTCCTATCTTCCTATTCCTGGTTCAGGACGTTAGGCAGGGCTTGGCGAGTCTTTCCGAACCAACGGAGACTTCGGCTGGCACGCCATGGTTAATCTTGGCAGGAAACCTTGTTACGCAGCTTATATGTGTTTCGGGGGTGAACCGATTGACATCCGTGAGTTTCATCTGCTACGCAAAGTCATTAGCTGAGTCAACGGCAGCGAGTATCGTCTGTGTCGACGAATTTGGTGCTAACGACGAGAAAGGCGATCAGTTTATGCTTTAGCGTATGGTGGTTTGGGAACGGATGGAATCTTCAACTTGGTATTGGTGCTTCTATGGTATTCCTGGGTAGCATGTTGTATAGCGCGGGTGCCAGGGTAGAAAAGAAAAAGATAGAATAATATAATAGGCGTTCGGGCGGTGTATCATTTGATTGCCGGAGACGGTCTTTTCCGACTCGCGGGCTGCTCGTTACTTAGCTTTCCCAACGTTCACGTCCGTTCGTCATGTTAGAAAAGGTAGACTCTTTCCACTTTATGGAGACCAGCAACATATCGTATTCAAGGTATCCTGGCTCTGGACACCAGCGCCTGCGCCAGCACCCGCAAAATTCGACCCAACGGATCCCAAAATGAATCCGTTGAACCCGCAGGGCTTGAAACCGTGTGTCGAGTTGGAATTAGTATTCGTATGATGCTCACGTATTCTCTCAAGGTGCTGTGCGTGCCCACAGACAAAGTCGGCTCGTGATGACTGTTTCCTCAACGCCGGTGTGGAAGCCGACGAAAAATGCAGAGAGCTTGTTGCAAGTCATATAGCCTGTATGCAGGGATTGGGATTTAAAGTCTGACTTTCTGCTGCTGCCGTCGATACACAGAGGACAATATATATCTCTTGCGAAGAGAACGACTTGTGTGTCAGTGTTCTGTGAGAATCAGTAGCTTTCTGGTGAGTTCCCTCATCTTCTACAGTATATTTTTTAAGACTCAATCCCGAAACAGTGAGAGATAGGTAACTCGGCCATTAAATGGCGCCTGCTTACACGGAGTACCCAAGTGTTCCAAGTCTCGCCGGGCACAGTTCATTGGCGTGCTCTGACGGCTGTCTGTGTTGACCCAAAATCGCAACAAGTACACTATCTACTAAAACACGGTGGAGGTACTAGTCCTCAGCCTCCCTCCTTTTCTCTTGTCCTGGTCCCTCTGCTCATTGATCTGATTTCATCTGGTGTTTCTTGTGAGGTATAGTAACGGACATGTACGGTATTTTTTTGCTCCCTGGGTGGGGCTAATTAAGTTGGGTTCTGCGTTTTGCCTAGGCCATGGAGTGTTTTGCGAGTGTGTCATGCATGAATGTCGTGTTGGCTGTGCTCTCGTGGTATGCGATGACTATATCCGTGTTCTTCTTCTGTATCATAGTACTCTTCCTCTTCTCACTATTCTCTTTCCGTTTACCGCATGGACAGTTAACATCCTTGCTTAGCACAAATTGTGCATAGTATTCGCCGATTCATCCATGTCCTGTTCTGCATTACAGGACTCGGCCGTATACTTCTCTTTTCCCTGGGAAGGCCTTGACATATTTTAATGATACATTTGTTTCCGATCCTTAGACATGCCTACTACATTATACTGTATATAACAGCGTCCATCTAGTCTAAAATCAATTTGCGCTCCCGGATAAAGCCATACTTGGTTCCGATGATATCCTGCAGTCCTTCCTGCACACCAACGAAATCATGACGGCCTGCCAACAACTTGACGAGCATGACATCTCTGTTGCCATCGGTGAATTCTTCTACGGTTCCAAAGTTGTCCAGCTTTGTATGTGTGACCAACTCTTCCCGCCTTTCTTTTCTAGCGCTTACTTGCGAGGTGAAGGTGGCCCAGTCTTCTTTTGACAAGGCCGAAGGATTTGTGGGTAGCTTGACGGTCGGAAGGTGGGGTTCGAGGAAGGCGTTGAAGAGTGTTTCGGAGTGGGTATAGGGTATATCCCAGTCGTTCTCTGCGAAAGGGTATAAAAGACAGCAGAGAAACAACGATTATAACACTGACCGGCATGGGCGATAGTCACTTCGCCCTTTATTCTCTGCAAGTAGATGTGAATAAACGGGTTCAACTGCAGTCAGAGGATGAAACACACAGGAACGATGCTAAAGGTATCGAATTTGTGGATCAATGCCCAGGAAACAATATCTGGGCAAGATCATCGTGAGCGTAAGCTGAGAACCGACTTGAGAAAACTGACTGGCGGCGTAGGGGATCATAGACAGAGGCTTCATCAAGGGTACAGCCCCAAACACGTTGTACGTCTTCAGAACGTCTTCAATGCTCGAAAACGGGCTCATAAGGACGACGCCTCGATAGTTGACGCCTTCGTCTGAGAGTTCAGCGGCTAAACGAGCGCCCACGCCTGTGCCTAGACTGTGGCCAACGATGAGGATGTCTTCGCCTCTTGCACCCTGGCTGATCAACCACTCCCACGCAGCTCTCGCGTCGCGGACCAAGCCGTCCTCACTGGGTGTTCCGGAGCTTTCGGCGAAACCGCGATAGTCGATGGCCAGGACATTGGCATGAAGGCGAGAGGAGTAAGCCTGGTAATGTTGTACCCGCGCATTGAAGGCCCGAGTGCCGGCGTTTCCATGCAGGAAGAGAATGGTGGGGGAGCTTCTTATAGCATCGGATATGAGCAGCTCGGGTGACTGAGGTGGAAATGGAATGGTCTGGTACTGTCTGTCGGAGAGAACGAACCATGAACCGAGGGATTCGTTGTCGGACGTTTGAATCTTGAAGTTGTATGTTTTGTTTGCTGGGACAAGGTTACACACTGTCGCTAGCTTGCTACAGAGACAGGAATAACGCACGAGAAAGACCATATTTCTCTGGGGCGTCAAAGTCGGCAAACCAGGGAACACGAACAGCATTAAGATATATTGTACTAGAATCAAGTCAGCAAGACGTGTATGCAGGCGATGAGGTTGTACTGACTGGCCTTGAAAGTACGGAATCGTTAGTAGACCCACGGTGACCAAGTAAACACCGCCAAGGACAGCAAATACGGTCCGAGCCTTGGTTAGAAAGGAATTCGTTAATAGACGGTCCATTTCTGAGTGTTAGAATATGAGAAATGTCAAGTCAACGTTGAGAACGTTGATGCTGAAAAACAAACTGTTCGATCACATGCCCAACCGTGACTTACTTCAATACACCAAGCCCGCCAGAATAGAGAATCAACACCGTACGTACAGTAATTGCTACATGAAAAAAATGCAAGGTATAACTAGTATAGCTAGTACAAAGTAATAATAATAAGTCCCAGCCAACAATAATTTACGCTGCAGAGCCAAGTAGTGATACCGAAAAGAACTCAACCATGTCGTCAAGATATCCGGGCTTCGCGATGATATTCTGGCGGTAGCTCATCCTCATCCCATTCGCCCCCTGCTTGCAATCTCTCATTTAACAGTCTGACCAACTCCTCTGTGGGCAGATCAACCCTCTGTGGCTGCTCGTTCGACGGACCAGCCACGGGTTCCGGCACTGGTGGTTGCGGCTCCGACGGTCTGGTGGCACTTTCTTGCAAGATCGCGGTTGATTGAGCATGCAGAAGAGCTGCTTTCTCCCCAATAGAAGATGACTGTCCCTCACGACTAAGTCCTCCCGCTGACATTTTCTCAGATCTCTGACTGCTCGTCGGCGAATGTTGCTGTCTGTCAGAATTCGAGTACGAGGAGGTCAAAGGCGCCATTATGAATGGCGTAGGTGCAGGGAGTGAGACGGGTGATGGAGAAAAGTCATCGTCCAATACGACAGACCTGCGCATTTTCTCGCGTCGTCGTCGCCGGCGAAGGAATAGAACGAGACCGATAATGGCGAGGATGGAGATACCACCGATGACGCCTCCTGCGATAGGGCCCGTGGGGCTGGAAGATCTTGAACCTGAACCAGAGCTCGAATCGGAGCCGGAGCTTGAACCCGAGCTCGAGGTTGACGAAGGTGCCTCTTGGTCTTTAAGCAGTATGCCGTTGATGAGAACGCTCAGGGCAATAGTCTGGTTGTCACTTTGAAAGTCAGAGCTTGGTGGCCCGACCCATTCAGCACCGTATACATTGGTTCCATTTGATGTCGCCAGTTCGAGGACGGCATTATACTGGGAATGTGTTCAATAATTATATAGGCATTATATACGCCAGCACACACATACCTGCACACCTATGTATTCCTTGACATAATTTCGCATATCAGAATACGTAGTGTTCCGCCAATACACCGCGCCGAGGCCGCGCATCATCAAAAGGTCGCCACTCTTGGAATCTGCAAAAAAACAGTTAGTCGCTGCATCTCAAAGTCAAGCCTTTTAGCACCCACCCCCATTCGCAATGACGCCATCGTTGCCTTGCCAAGCGTCATTGGTCACTGCAGCTGCTACGGTCTCCTGAAGCAGAGTTTGCGTGCTCGCGTTTCCGCTGATCGAAGTTAGTATGGCCAGGCCCTCGATGAACAATCCAGAATTATATGGATGCGTCCCTGAACCGACCGAGCATGAGTCGTTCTTTCTGGCAGAAATGGAATCCTGGACCACGTTCTCTACATTATAGAGATGTGAATGGATAAATGTCGCTGATTCGATGGCTGCGTTCAGATACGTCTCGTTGCCGGTTGCTTCGGCCAACAGAGCAGATACACTGGTTTGGTAGGATGTAAGCATGATGAAGGAAGGAAGGATTCATAGAACCTACACTAGAAACGAGCTAAGGATCAAAGTGTCAAAGTCTGGAGAATTGCTAGTGGTCAGAGGCTCACCCTGTGGCTAAGCCGACGATGCTCGGATTATCCGAGTCCGTTTCCTAAGAAAAAATAAGAGAGATTAGAATAGGTGGCTAAATAATCATGGCTTACCCAGAAAGTACCGCCAGCCATGGTGACTGCAAACTGAAGTCAGGTCCATTCAGATGAAAGCTGGACACGCGATGCTCACTGCCTTGGCACGTAGACTGCACGGAAAATGACTTTACGGACGTGTTCCCGGATGAAACGTCGGCGTCTGAGAGGGTGTAAGCCCTCGCGGATGTCCAAGAGGTGACAGCGTAGTTCAGAAACGTTTCGTCCTGGTAGATTTCATAGGCGCGGGCGGCTGCATAGCCGTAGGCGCTGTAAACCCATTTGATATGACATCCGGTGAAAAGAGCGGGGGGGGGGAAGACTCACAGTCCGTAGTTTAGCTATTGATTGAGGGGGAAAAGATAAACAGATGAGGGTTTATATAAAACATAGACTAACACTTGGTTGTGGGAGAAAAAAAGTCAGCTCGATAGCGCTGTAGAAAGAGATAGACGCACAATTCGTCCAGAAAATTCGACCGATCTGCCTCGATGAGTGGAAAATACTTCTTCAACACATCTTTGTATGTCGTCTGATTTGTTATCCTGTCGAACTCGGCCATCTCTGCGTAAAATGCTCCCGGTGTGCCATAAGCAGAATCTAAACGCAACCTTAAAAACGTGCGCAAGGAGAGAGAGATAAAAATACTAACCATTAAATGACCCATCACTCTGGAGGTAGCCGAGCGTTTTCTCCAGGGCAGCACTGACAATGCTGATACGGTTATCCTGGGATGTGGTTACATTCGGGCTCTGAGAAGAGAGAGAGGATGATCAGCTGTCGATAGTTCCGAATAATGACCATCGGAATTGCTCACTCGCCAGGAGGACGAAGGCGTGAAATCTTGAGCGGCGATTATTAGAAGAGAATGAGCGACCAGCGTCCAGAAGATAAAGAGGGACACCATGGGACGGTAAGAGAAAAGAAAAAGACCTGACTACGAGGTGGGCCTCCCAAGGAAGATGTATGCCGTTGTGTTGGTGATGGTGACTTACACAGCCTCTTTCTCTTGATTTTTCAGAGGGGGGCGCCACTGGGGCGCCCGGCAATAGTCAGGGTAAGCTGGTAAGGATCATGTCCGGGTGTGGTGCCTGAGGGCAACCTTGGGAACACGGAAGAGTAACCGCGAAAAATATAAAGAGCAATCCAACATTAGAGCAGACTTTCAGTATCTTTCATTTTTTTGTTGTGGCTGAGAGGACGTATGTATTCCGAGATAGCGTTCGGAATGAAGTGGGCGAACGGAAGGAACCCGGGAATGCGGCGTTGTCACCCCTGCCGGTGCCAGTGACACTCTAATGTGCAATTGAATTTACGGCTACTCGATGATTGTAACAGACTGGATAGGTCGTTCAAGGATTCGTAACTTTGGGAGTTCTTTCATGTCCTTCAAATGTTTCCTTGGACTTGGCAATAGTTTTTCGGTATCCTGAAACAGGTCAATCATTTCTGGCGTACCCAGAAGCCCCACCGCATTGGCTGGGTCCTGGGACCCTAGTTACTAGTAGAACAAGATTTCCTACAAACTTCATTGTGATTTTCCGGTCAGAAATGAGTAGTCCAAGGTATGTCCATCACGGTAATATGGATGGGTAGCAAAGATTGCTGGTACATTCTTATTTCGCATCCTTGACCCCAAGTCAAACAAAAACTCGACTCACTTGTAGATATCCTCCACGAGCTTTACGTCCATGCAAGTACTCGCGACTGTAGCTCAACGTTCCAACTAATCGACTATTTTGATGCTGTCTTCTGTTAAAGTCAGGCCTAGTCGTTCGTGACGCTGGAGCATTGTAGTGCTTCAGGCTCTTAGCAATGGAGGGTACTCACCGCACGACATGCGGTTAACATCATCGATGCAGAAGCATTCTACAATATCTTCCCGGGTATCGCAGTACAAACGCTGCTGTTTCCTTGAAGCTACACTACAGATAAACACATCTAAACAGCCAATAGACGGATGCAAAATCATCAAATCTCGACGAACGTTTTTGATTTCACCTTCCAATCAAATCATTCGCTATCACAGCAAAGGACTTGTGAATAAGAAACTCTAATAAGGTCAATTGCCTACCTTCAGCTCTGACCATTCAGTAACGATCCTTTTGATCGCGCTTACTCAAGTGTAACGGACGGGCCCGTTCTACTTCCTTTTTCGTAACATAAACCCGGACTTTATTTGAACTATGCTTATCTATGCACTCCACTCTTATCTACGTATAAATACTTGGTCGTGCCTAGAATTACGCCAGTCTTTCTTACCTTTTCCCCCCGAATCGAGGTGTCTTCAACCCGGTCCTTGATTCGTCCTTGTGTGCCGCTACTGACTATCATCGCTAACGTCACATATTTTTGACCTCAGAACAAGAAACCTCGCTTAATCGACTCCTGAATCGACGGGCCTAACCCCAGGAAAGCGCTGGACTGATCACCCGGTTCTCTCTTGGCTTCGCCCCGTCACCCTACAGACTCTGCTTCGTTTACTACCTCTTTCTGCACTCGACCTTCTGCTTTCTTCTTTTCTCTCTCGAACCACTAGACATTAATGTCTCGTTATCAGCTACGTAGCCGGGGTCCCTTGATGACCCCAGTGCCTCCGGCCCCTAATGTCGCTGCTCAGGTGCAGCAGACTGAACATGATGAGTCCCCTTTGACTAGCTCCAGGGATACTGACTCTTCCAGAAGAAACCTGGCTATGCTCGAGGATCGCTCCGCGAGCCTGAGTATTCGCACTGCCCTGCCACGACGTCGTGCTGCCAGCGACGCCGGGGTTATGCCGATACCCTCTCACCTTCGTGGGAGTGGTGGACGTACTTCCGCTTCATTGGAGTACGAAGATGCTGTGGAGTTCTCTCTCTATACAGCTGAACGTGATGGCCAAGCTGGTCAAGCGTATGACACGAGTTATGACTCGATGCCAGGGGAATGGCCGGATGGCAATCCCGAAGATGGCCTGCCCGACGACCGATCTGAGGGTCAGAACACGGCGCATGGCCTTGAACATGAGGGTAGACGTACCTTACATGTAGATGAAACTAGTATTGCTAGTACTGAATACAATGAAGCCAATAACGGTGAATTTGCCGAACCCGATTGGACTGATGAACAATTGCATGCATTTGAAGAAGCTGAACGCCAGCTTGAAGAATCTGAACGCGCCACTCTTGAACGGCGTAAGGCTCGTATGGAGGAATATCGTCGCCAACCTTCCCTCATACCCGTCCGAGTTCTGCCAGTGAAACATAAACCTGAATATGAGCCAGAGAGCGGTCCCTCTGGTCCGTCGACCTTTGCCAAGGGGAAGACTGTTGAATTTCGTGGTCGTGGTATACCCGGCCTCAATGAAGAAGAACTTGACCCTGATAATCAGCGTCGAGTTTTGGAACACTGGCAGTCCATTCAGAATGAGGACCCTGCTGTTCAAAGGGCAATATACGAAGGCATTGTGGCTTCTGAACTTTGGTCTAAATCTAATAAGGATAATGAGGAGAGTTTCACTACCTCTACCCCTTACAAACCAGAGAAACATAACGAAAAGCCTAAGCACAGTCGTACTGTTAGGATTGAGGATATCATTGATTATGATGACCCAATACCAGAGAAGTATGCAGATGCTGAGTGGATTGGACCCATTCCACCTGAACATAGTTTAATTGGTTCACAGGGAATTGCCTCTACAAGTAATAAGAAGGGCAAATCTAAGTCTGTGACACCACCATCAGCTAGCACAACCTCAGGTAATGTGCATAGCACTCCAATGGGTGTACCGGCTGACTTTGAACAGCCTCATCAATCATTGACTACCCCCATGAATGAACCATGGCGTGCTTCAAGCCAGGTGCCTCCCAATAGTTTCCTGGGACGAACTCTTCATCGAGGCAACAATGGTGAAAGAAGAAGGGGACAGGCGGTGCCATCGCCATCGCCATCTGGGTCTTCATCATCCTCCTCGTCTGATAGTGGTTCCTCTTCGGACAATGAGAGCTCATCTACTTCTAATGGAAAGAAGAAGAAGAAGCATCGCAAACGTAAATCTCATTCACATCGTAAGCATAAAGGCAAATCGAAAGATGTTCATTTACGCAGGCCCATTGATCCCAAGGTCTATTCAGGATCAGAGGATGTCAAGAAGGTTAATAGATTCATGCAAGATTGTGAATCATACCTTGAGGTTCTTGATGATGATCCAGTCCGAGATGTGTACAATATATCTCGTTTCCTTGATGGTACAGCCCGTGACTTCTACGATGTAGTTGTCAGTGGAAATTATGAGAAGTGGACATTAGGCACCTTCTTCCGAGAGATGTTTGACTATTGTTTTCCTATTGATTTCCGTGAAAAGATTCGGAAGGAGATTGAGAACTGCCGTCAAGGTGGACGGCGAGTGAAGGTGTTCACCCATGAACTGGAAAACCTGTACAACGTCCTGGGTGATGAATCTGACCGTGCCAAGGTTGTTAAACTGTGGAAGGGCCTTAACCTTGACATCACTGATATCCTGTCTTGGAAGAGTTTCTCCCAGGAAGTTCACTCTTGGGCTGTCATCGCTC